CGTGTGTTTGACTGACTGACTCGACGCACGCCTCTCAGGCACTCTCTCTCTCTCTCTCTCTCTCTCTCTCTCTCTCTCTCTCTCTCTCTCTCTCTCTCTCTCTCTCTCTCCCTGCCTCTCTCTCTCTCTCTCTCTCTCTCTCTCTCACACACACACATTCACTGGACTGATCCCTGACATGTCGAAGCTCGCGGTTGAGGGTCCTCAGTAGCAGCTCTTCGACGATGCGAAACGGGACTGACTGGTGAAAGACGAATGCGATGACCACTGCGCTGAGTGCTGCGACGATTGCGGAGAGCGTGATGACCATGACGATCATGCCCATGGCTGCGTTTCTGCTTCTTGCGTCGAGGACTAGCATCTTTTTCTTCCTCCTTGTCCATTTCCTCATCTTCGTCGTCTGATTGTTCCTCGCTCTTTTCGTCATCATCATCAGCTTCTTCCTCTTCTTCCTCGTCTGATTGTTCCTCTTCTTCTTCCGCGTCCGCTTCCTCCTGCTCAGAATCACTCCCACTCTTATCCTCAGAAGAAGAACAGACGACTGCACTGGTGCCGGTCGATCGGACTTCAGACCCAGACCTACATGTTCCAATTCCACTCTCACTGACATGAGGAGTCGTATCGGCAGCGGGAGTAGAACTAGTGTTTGTAGCATTGGTAGTCTTTGCCCGTCGTTCCCATCGTCGAAGTTTCTTGTTCTGCTCTTTCAACATCCTCAGGAGTTCTGCCTGGATGGCCTGGTACGAACGCTCAGTCTGTACAACTTGTTGTCTTGCAAGGTCGATGACGGTGTCTCGAGCCGTGGTGACTAACACTGTCGTCTCGGTCGGTTCGCATCCCCAAGCCGCCATCTCTAGTCGCAGCTGCGTCTCGACGCGAGATACGCGTTTGCTAGGCAGGATTTCACGAAGTTGCTTGAGTGCCTTGGCCTCGGCGGAGCTGACGATCTCCCCCTTTTCTTGTCGTTCAGCTTGAGCTTCAGCCTCACCTTCACTCTCGCCCCGACTTTTACGACGGTCTCTTTTGCGTTTCTTGGATTTTCCTGTATCAAAACCCAAAGCGATCAACGCCAAAAATATTAGCACCCGCACACAAATGCACACAACACGTTCGTCCCATCCAAGGGGTCATCCACTTACCGGTGTTGTCTTTATTCTTGTTGCCAACCGTACCACTTTCGCTTTCCGCTTCAACATTGACATGCGTATTCTCTCCTTCTTCACCCTGCTGACCACTGTTGTCGTGCTTGTTCTTCTTCTTCGTCGTCGTCGTCGTCGTCGACTTCTTCTTCTTGGATTTGGTCTTGGACTTGGGCTTCTTGCGCGGTCTTTCGGGGCCATCGTCCGCCTCCACCCCAGCCGTCACATTAGAGGTGTTCTCGTGATTGTCGTTTTCATCTTGATCTTGACCGCCAGTCCTCGACTCGCTGCTCCTGGCCCTTGCTCTTCTGTCGTCGGTCTTCTTTCTCGTCTCTTGGAACACCACTTCAACGCTGGTATCGCGCTTTGATGCTGCCGCCTTTGAGTTGACTCTAGTTTTATCCTGATGGTCGTCCGACGACACGATTGGGAAACTTGACAATGAGCCTCCCGCTCGAGACTTTTTCTCAGACTTGTTGTCATTTGGTCTGATGATGCGCGTGTTCGAGTGCGGTGTCGGCGTGTTCTCTTTGTCTTCTGGGCCCAGCTCGGAGCTCGTACCACTGTCCGACAAACCTGGTCGCACCTTGCTCGAGAACGACGGTCGAACTCTCGCGCGATTTCCCAACAGTGCCATTTGCTGAAGGAGGTACGCCGGGCTCTGCTTCGGATCAAGAGGGGCCTCGATGGTGGTGGCGTTGTTTGTCTTGTAGCCAGACCCCGACGCCGGTGCCAGTGGAGGCGCCACGCGAGGAGTAGGAGCTGAAGCACTGACGGGTAGAGTGTCGCCCGTCAAGTCAACCACAGGCTTCCACGGAGATTGGGTGTTCTGAGGCGTCACCGTCGCACCGCGCCGGTTGCGACCTCGAGATCTTGCCCTCCACATTGCCAAAGCTCACAAGTGGTGTAGATTTAGAGGCTTTTACTGACGGGGCAACTGGGAGGAAGAGATGTGCGAATTGTGAGAAGGATGGAGGTGAAACTTGAAAGATGCCGATGGATAGTTCCAAGACAGAATCAAACTTGCTGAAGGGGAATTGGAGTTAAGTGAATTGAATTGATTTCGATCCAATTCAATCCAATCACCACTTCACTGCAATGTGGTGGGAGGGCAGGGAGAGAGGTTAGGTAGGTAAGGTAGAGGTCAGCCAATTCTAAGCACAGTTATTGCAGAGAAAAGGCCCAAGGTCTATACAGCGTCATTGAGAAACCGTTTTCTGATTTTATGCCCTCGATACTCTCTCTCGTTGAGGAAGTCATTCAACTCACAGAAAATTTTTTGAGACCTAGTCATTGCTCCCATGAATACGCAGAAAGGGATTTGCTCCGTTATTGAACGGCTACCATTTCCCTCACAACATCATCAACTTTTGTGTCCGTCTCAACCTTGCCCCAGTTGTGCCAAATATCGGCCTTCATCTCCTTCAGCCGCTTATGCATCCTCCACAGATCGGCCATGTCTTTATCGTCACGCTCGTTCTCCTCCATCTGTGCTATTCGCTCATACTGGTCCTTGTATTTCTTATAGTACTTTTGAAAGCGCCTGGCGTCCTCCATGATGTCTTGCCTGGTGGGACCTCGCTTCTCCGGCGAAGAAGATAGTTCAGTGTCTCTCCGTCCAGGGGTTGGTCGCTTCAGTTGCTCGGTAACACCATTCGCAGTAATTGCAGAACGAGCAGCTTCCGATTGCTGGCGTTTCGAAGGTCTGCTCTCTTCCGAAAGCGGAGCCTTTCGCTTTGCAGGACTTCTGTCCGGGCTTCTTCCTCGAGAAACAGGTTGACTCTTATCGGCAACAACTGGAGAGTACTTAGTGCCCTGCTTTGGCTTTGGCAGATCTACGCTTGAAGGCGGAGATGATGGCGCTGAAGACTGGTTTGAAGCTTTGCTCGAGCTGGAATTGTCAACATCAGTCGAGGTCGTAGGAGGCGAAGATCCAAGTGGTGACGGTTTCGACGGTGAACTATCGTGCCTGGGTCTCGGTGAGATGCGGGACGCCGTCCCTTCCGACTTTGGTACAGGTTTCAAGGATTTTGTGGTGCTTGCCGCTGCTGGACGCGCCTTTTCAGTCCCACTAGAAGATGAACTCGAGGCAGATGACTTGTGCACCGGTTTTCGGGGTGACGCAATATTTTGTGACGATTTCTGTGGTCTTGCCTTCTCTTGGTTGGGCTTTTTAACGACGGCCGAAGCCTTTGTGGGATTGGGTTGAGCGACAGTGACCTCTGCTGCATCCGCGTCCTCGTCTGAGTCCTCGATCCTCTCCGATGATTTAAACTTGCCTTCGGGTTTGGAAGCTTTGCTTGGAGGCTGTGGAGTGTTCTTACCACGACTGGGAACGGACCCGTCTCCTTTAAGAGCGCTTTTCGTGCTAGGGACCTTGTCTTTCACCTTCTTCAGCGTAGCCGCTGTGACATCCTTCTTAGTCTTTGATTTTAGAGGTTCCTTGTCAGATGCCTCGTTCTTGCTCTCGTTGCCGTCGTCTGCTGTCGGTCTTGGTGCCACGGGCTTATCGAAATTTAGCCTCGAGAGGATTTTACCTTTACCCCGTTCGTTCTGAGGCAATAGTAACTGCCACAAGTTGTCCTTCTTTTCCACCCGCATACGATCGTATGCTTGGATTGCATGGTCGACGGCTGACTGTCTTTCATCTGAAGACCGATAAGGGAACTTCCAAACATCCAATTCGCGATAAGACTTCTCCTTCAGCTCCTTGAGGCCATCGCCTTCTTTTGAATCTCTAGCCACCTTCTCGATCAATCGTTCACAGTCTTCCTTGCTGGCACGTAGCTGCTTACAAATCTCCTTGAGGGACATAGGTCGGACAGCCAGGAGGTGAACAAGTGGGATGCGAATGGCGTCGAGGCGGACCCTGTCTTTGGGAGACACACCGGGAGACAAAGCGGCAGATGTTGGTCCCAGCCTCGGGGAGAAGCTGGCCGTGAGAAATGGGCTGGATGGACGCGAGGATGAGAGCCCCCCCAGAAGATCTTTCCTGAGTGCTGTTGAGCTTTGCCCCAATGAGGGAGATGGTCTGATGTCCTTCTTTCCCACATGTTGGGCACCACCTATTATACTCGTTTCATTTGACGCTCTCTGCTCCTGGATGGACTTCAGTGTGCTCTCTAGCGTAGCCAAGGCCTCGTCACTTTTGGCAGTAGCTTCTTCTGCTTTCTGTACTTCCAGTCTGTGGCTCGACTTTCCCGAGAAATACAGCAAGTCGGCATCATCGGTAGACCGTTTGAAGATCTCGGTGGGGAAAGAGTCGAGGGTAGTCTCCAAGGGTATTGCCTTCTTTCCCACTTGTATGAGTGGTCTTCTACCACATCTCAGTTTGACTTGTTCTTTGTTGTTGAGAGACCGAAGGAGTTCCTTGGTTACGCTTTCGACCACGTCCAGGCGGAAGATCTGCGAGGGCTCACTGGCAGACTTGTCCGAGGTGCCGTGCTCCGAGGCATGTCGAAGAGTGAGGCCCTTGGGAGGAATGTTCACGACCCCCATGGTTGTTTCAAGCTTCTATGCAAATGAGTTTGGAAAGGAAGATTGGTCGTTCAAAGGCGTGGGTAGGTGGTCATGGGTATCGTAGGAGGCAACGGAGGGTAACAAGTCAAAGGAAACAAAGGACTATCAGCCCGTTCGCTGCATAGCAGTGGCAGCAGCTGACAAACGGCGGCATGACACGTCTGGACGATCAGGAACAAAATCCGTTGAAATGGTATAATCTTCACAGCCAGCTGGAAAGAAGTGAGAGGTGAGTGCGTCCGGGAGATACGCAGCAGACGAGGTCGAGGCAGTGAGGATGAGGAAGCGAGGACTTGGTCGATGGCGACGATTGGAGGAAGGCCGGGGTGGAGTGTGCTCAGTGCTCACGACCAAGCGATCATTGTTCGAAGCACGCGGGTCGGACGCTGGGAGCGAAGAGAGTGGGACGGGCAACGGGGCGAGGTGTATGGCTGGGCGGCGTCAAAGGTAGTGCGCTGCTTCGTTTTGGGCTAGTGTGCCTCTGTGGCTCTCGGGTTTGCTTTTCGAGTGCGGGAGGGCGGCATTGATATTGGTGGTGTATGCACTGTAACTCGTCACGCTGAAGGAAAGAGGCTGCACAGGTGGTGGTGGTAGTGGTGGTGGTCGAGAAGTGCAGGGCAGAACGAGGACGGGAGGGTGCCAGCCAGACGTTGCTCTAGGCCTCGTTAGGCATAGCCTGCCGCCTTTCCGGGGGGACTAGGGTCGCCATCTGGTGTCAGCACGGCTCCCAGGCAAGAAACGCGTCGACGCCCGGGCAGCCATTCGCAGGCGAGTGAGAGACTATGGAGCCGGGCCTTTGGTCTAAAGGGCATCCAAGAAGTCGATGCCGAAAAGCACTCGTGGCCGGGATGCTGGACGGTGCGGATAGAGAAGAGGAGGTACTGTAGGGATGTTACTTGCACACTCCCCCTAGCTAGCTATCTACAGTGGGCCTAGGTACCTATTACAGGCAGTACAGGCAGGAAACTAGGACCCTACAGTGCACACTACGAATCTTCCAGGCGACTCGCTTATCCGGAACATGTTTTGCAGTAGACCTGACTCCTGAGACAGCAACGAGTGGAATTACACTCCGCCAACAAAGGTCGAAAGGAGAGAAGGGGCATCACGGGCATCAACAAAGAAACAGTTTGCCACCTACGGGCGCCCCATGTTGGGCTTTTTGTGCCTGGGCTCATCGATCCCGCTGACTGTTCGATCTTCAGCAGATCCAGAGCGGCTTAAGCATCTGTCAATGTATCACCACCCGATAGCTTTCAACCCATCATCTGGTTCGCTTTCCAGGACAGGCCACAGATCTACTCCATTTGATTGCAGGCTTCGGGACGGCGAAACTGAAGTACTTACACGACGGCTCGGGTACCAACCTTGGGTTCCCATCAATTGAAGCGAAACTGATGGAATGTGACCTTGATGCTGACGGGCTGTTTCGGGCAATGAGCGTCAACCCAAAAATATCTATCTGGCACAATGGTGCCCCATGAACCGGTGTTTTTTCAAGGTAACTCGGAGTGCTCGTAAAGGTACCCTATGGGAAAATAAACTCGTGCTACCCTGGCCCAACGATGGACACCGACAAGTACTAGTCCACCCAGTCCAGCTAGATTTCCGTGGCTGAAGTCATGACGGCCGTGACAAGCCTTCAGACGGACGATAGAAGAAGCCTGACCAGGCGACGGAGCAAGGACCAATGCATCGGTGGAACGGCGGACTGGCAGACGGATTCTTGTACCGGCCTCGTCCCATACAATATCATTGATTGGGAATGGTACTGGACGTATTGTACCGTGGATGGAAGATTGTACCGGCTTCAAGATGGGGAATTCTCTGACCAAAAGCGTGTGTTGCTAATGACCGATGCTGCATGGCGACATTTGTTCAGCTGCACCACGAGAAGACCCAAGACGCCTCTAATCGTAAGCTCTCGCTCCCCTACAAAAACGCCTCCTCACAGCCCTGAGCCGCCTCGGTCGCCTTTTTCAGCCTAGCGCGTGTAGCCTCACTAGCCTCAACTGTCTCCGATGCACAAGACACGCACCGCATCATTAGTGACCGGTTCGTGGTGCCTTGCATTGAAAGCCTTGCAGTGCACTTTGTACCGTTGCCTTGCTATCTTCATCGAACACGGACATCGTATCATTTTGCAGAGTCAATATGTCGTCAGGTAAGTTGCGCAGTGAGACCCGACCTCCAACATCTTTCCAGATTCGAGCGACTGCCAGCGCGCCCGTCCTGGATGGAAAATATTCCCACATGCCGACGAGCCTGCTAACCATGGTACCAGATCTTGATGAGAAGACCCTGGAAGATGCTGCCAATACCGGAGAGATGGAATAGTATGTGCATCGCGGCATTGTCATCCCTTGACCCCAGACTTACGACCTACCAGTGAAAAATGGCCGTCCCTCCTCGAGCCGCTCCTCCAACGTCTCAACCAGGTACGGAGGAATCACGAAAAAGAGTTGGCAAATATTGATCCTGTTCCAGATTGTCTATACCGAGTTTCATACCCCACGACCCTATCCCAGGGTAAATCGTCAACTCATACCCAACTCACCATCTCAGATACACGGCACTTCCACACGAGACTCGAACCCGGCCATACAAACACCGTCGACCCCCGTGCGGAACTTGCCTCCTGTACCACCTTTTCCAAATTCCTCAGCCACATCCACGAGCCATGTGCCGGATTCCCTCCCTCCGTCGCAAGAGCCCTCGGCCGATGCGATAAACGAATTGCCCTCCCTTTTGCTCCAGATCCTGCATAGCGTTCAGCATACCCTCCGCACCGCGTTTGCAGAAAAGCCACCGCACACCATTCAGCGGCTGGCTGAACTGGTGCTACGTCCTACAAGAAACTACCGGACGCTGCCGGCATGGCTACGTGCCGTCGACCGGGTAGTCAGCGTCAGCAGCTCGGCGGATATCTTCCCTCTGTCGGACACACCGCCCATCGTCAACGGAGTCAACGGAGACGGAGGTGGGGGCATTTTGTGGACCAACAACGACAATCGCAATGGCTACGACAGCAATTCGCTGGGTAGCGACGAGAGTCTAGGCGGCGCCTTGCTCACACCTATACCGTGGTTGAGAAATGGCCTCGGAGGTCGCGAGGGATCGAGCGAAGATTCAGGACACTTTGGCTCAGATCAGAGCTCAAGCACAGACACTCTAGGCGATCCGTTATCAATACCGGACGCGCATGTCCCCGGAGCAGATCCTCTGGTGCCTGAAAGACCCGACGGTGCGGTCACACAGGGCGAGTTGATGCGCATGGAGCAAGAGGCTGGGGTTGTCCCGGTGAACCCAACCTCCAGCAACGGCCCGAGCAGTCGAACAATGGCGGGCGCCGAGGAGGGACTGTACATGGACGAAGAAGGTGAATTGGTTCCTCACGCCCGTGGTCCTGATGTAGTTGGCTCGGTGGACATGGGCCGTGTCGACGGGCATGACGTCGAAATCAGAATTGGAAGTCCTCCGCGAGGAGAAGAAGAAGAGGAGGAAGATAGAGACCCGACAGATCCAAACGATGCGCAGACGGTGCTGCCAGGGGGGGACAACCTCCCACAGTCGCCTCAGAATGCGGGTGAAGTCGACGACTTTGAAATCGTGCTCAAGGAGACAGAAGCCGCTGGTGGTGGCGAAGAAGGTACAGATGACGTGGACGCCATGCAGGTCGATGCCGAGGGCACCAGAGGAAAGGGAGAGGAGCAGAAATCGGAAAACGAGCAGGATGAAGACATTGTGCTCGTCGACGCCGACGGAAAGACAGACGACGACCTATCCAAAGCTGATGTGTCTGGTGAAAATCTCGGACCTGACGCAGTGGATACTTCGACCGTGACTTGAAGGAGTAGAGCTTGACGAACAAACATGAGGTATTGAGTCAATACTCTCTAACTTTGTATACCACCTATTGTACTACCTAGCTAATGAATTCATGACGATCGCAATTCTCCGTAATATGTCTGTTTGTCATGTGTATATCATACGGCTCCGTGCCTAAGGTGGGTGAGGTCAGGTAGGCGGTATTGATGGGTATTCCCATTCACAATCCACAATCCATGATCCACGATCATTTTCGTATGCGTTGATCTCTCTCTCTTTCTCTCTGTCTTTAAACGGCGCCTCTTTTCCATGCATCATCAAACGTCATCAAACATCAACAAAACCAAAAAGAAGTCATTTCAGTCAGTGCCCGATGCTGCTGTAAAATACTCCGCGGGGCCTCGACCGAGAAAGAGTCGGGGAAATCCCCCCCTTTGTTTCGTTATAATCATGCGCCGCCCGTCTCTTGATCCCCAGGGTATCGCTTTCACAGATCTCCCTCTGTCTCAGGTGGGTCGTCGAAAGACGCGTATATGTGTTATATATGACTCCGGGAAGTTGCAAAATGGCAAAATGGCAAAATGCAAAAGCATCGAATAGCAAGGTCAACGACGTGCAAGGTATGTATGTATTTAGACTTTGTCGTGTAAAGAATGTTGGAGCATATTAACACCCTGCAATGTATGATAGATTTTGTGGCAGAGAAGATGCCAGAGCAGATCAAAAAAACATGCGATGGAGATTTGTCATGGCCAAAACGCACGATGGGAAGAAATCAAGAGGTGCAAAGGTCCACAGACATGAATCTGACCTGGTGATGAGGTTTTTGACTCGCTGTGGGGAGAGAGAGCGCAGAGGGTATGCAGAACAGCAAAACAAGACCCAGTGACGAAATGCTGTGGCGGTGATGGTTGTCGGCGTCGTCGTCCTCGTTTCGTTGTCATGATTAATTCTTGTCTGTGAGCTAGTAGAGACAGGATAATTGTCAATGCAGTTATAGCCGCCTATCTCAGACGGCGTGAGCAGCCGTGAGAGTACAAACGTCGACCATACTTGAAAAAGTTGGAGACGGAATGAAGGTGCTTCTTATGAGTGAGCCGGACGCCTCATTGAACCACCGTCTTCAATTTTTGTCGTTCGAGTTGTCCGGACTTCGTCGATGTCGATGTCCAACAATAGATTTCGTAACTTGGATCTTAATCAGGTACAACTTTTCCAATTATCTAGTCGTTGCCGTTTTGTTGTGAATCTTTCGAATCTCTGGAATCTTTGGCCTCGGTACCATTCACAGTATCCTTGCTAGACTCGAAATTCGCAGCGTCGGGACCAATGGGACCGGACTTCTTCTTTTCTTTCTTTGCCCATCGCAGGCCACAGGCATTGCACAACGTCTTGGGCCCATTGGGACCTTTCCTCCATTCCGGACTGTCGAGCGTACCGCAGTCCGTACAGACGTACTCGTCTGCACTTTTGACTTTCTTGTGCTTCTTGTCGGAATATGAGTGCCGTGATTCGGCCTTGTCCATGGGGATTTGAATGCCGGCATCACCACGGATCAGTGCCGGAGACGTCCCGCCGGTCGATATGCCGTGTGACCGCTCGCCCTCGCGGTATCGGAGACCTGTCAACATCTCAATTGAGTCGACGTGCGAAGAGCCCTCGTATCGCGCCATCTTGTCTCGGATGCTGTCTGGTTTCGCGAACGCGTTGGCTTCGTCCAGGGCTTCGCGCGTGAGAGCAATGTTGGACACGGTGGGCCTTGCGGGCGGTGGCATGCCGGAGTAGTCGGTGTTTGAATGTACCGAAGGCGACGTGGGTGTTATCTCGGCTCCTGAGTTGGAGCGTGTTCTGGAACTGGAAGCTCCCGCAGGTTTGTGATACTGATCAGCATGACCATCCGTCTCCTCGGCCTCTTCTTTCCTCAAGGCAGCTATCCTCGCCTGCAGCCGGATGTTTTCAATCTTATGTTCGAGAAAAGAATCGAGAAGTTCCGAGTTGCGGCTCGGATAAGGTCGTGCCATCATAAAGAATCCCCTACAGATTCCTGGGGACACAACAGATGTACCGGACAACTCGAGGGCTGAGGTCTCTTGTGTCAAGTGCGGATGTCCATGACACTCGAATATCTTGTACTTGTCATCTGCTGTGCGAAGGCGGTGGAAGAACCGCAACGTGTTCCCGGTAGCGATACTTTCATTGAACTCGCGAATAAACAATCCCTGGTCGTCAGGATGGACAAAGTCAGGCATCGACTTGCCCAAGAGATCTTGGGGGTCATATCCAGTTAATGGTTTTGCTGAGGGGGATATGTAAACCAGCCGACCATCAGGGGTAAGGATGTAGAGCAGATCCTTGAGCTCCTCGAGAACCCGTTGGGACCAATTGCGCCGCTTGGTAAATTCAGTCAAATTGCTGCTGAAGCCTTGGGCTAGTCGGCCGAAATCAGGGGGGAGAGGTCCAGCTCCCACACCATTGGCAGCGATTGCACCGGAAGAATCGGTCTGATTTGAGTTCTCTTTTAGCAATGCAGGAGGTACCGGGCCCATATTATCGAAAGTCGTGGATGTCATGGATGACATATCTAGAGACAGAGCACCGGGATATAAACTCATATCGGTGTCGGCGAGCAGCGAGGGATCTGACATGGTCGTATCCGGCGGAAGATGGAAGGAGTCCAAGTTGGTCTGGAACGCCATGTTGCGTTTGTTTGGTGGGGCTGAGTGGAAAGAATGACCAGTGTAGAGACTTCCAGGATAGGCCAGGCGAAGTGAGGTTCCAGCTGGACGGAGTCGTCTGCCACTCGATGCTGGTCAGGATGCAGCTTGGATGCAGCCTAGTGGTGCAAATATGTTTGAATCGAGATCTGTGGCGGCGTGTGCGCTCAACTTCTCAGAGTGCGCCGGAGAAAGTAAGCGAGACAGGCCCCCAGGGACGCTGGGTGCGAGCAGACAGCGAAAAAAGAGCGAGAAGGGATTGTGGTCTGATCGATGGGATCGAGATTCACTTTCCACCATCGACATCGTTGCTAAGGATCGCATGACTAATCGCCTCTCTGGCACCACGTGATTTTGTTCACGTGATCTCGCATCACGGGTGCAGGCATCAAGCCTCGGAAAAGGCAGTCACCGCGTCAGACGCGCCTTTCAGTTTATTAACCTTGAGAGGGAGGCGATCAGTGCCCGTGATTGGCAACCGCTACGACTCCCTTGCTTCACTGAAGACACTGTAACATGTCTCGCCGGTGCCTGCTTTTGTTTTTCATCTGACACACGATTCTCATTGATGGTACACTTCGGTTTTGGCCTTCCAGAGAGCATGACCTTTTTTGCCGCTGAAAACTCCCCAACCTGGCCCTGAGTTGTCTGCCCGCTGTTCACTTCGTTAGACTCAGAAGTCTGGGCTGCTTTGAGCACTCCGGGCTCCCTGCGCCGTCGGCAACATGTCTCGTCTTCAGTCCATGCAGCTCTCCGGCATACGCTCTTTTGGCCCGTCGGATGCGGAGACGGTCAAGTTCGAAACGCCATTGACTCTCATTGTTGGCCAGAATGGTTCTGGCAAGACGACCATCATCGAAGCCCTCAAATTTGCCTTTACCGGCATGCAGCCTCCCAACACAAAAGTTGGTGGTGCGTTTATCAATGACCCCAAACTGGGCAACGAGAAGAATGTCAAGGCAATGGTTAGAGTAGCGTTCAAAGATGCTAAGGGCACTTCGTACGTCATCTCACGGCGACTGGAACTGTCAGTGAAGAAAACTGCCCGATCTCTGAAAAGCCTTGAAGTCTCCCTCAACATCTCTAAGAAAGGCGTAAAGACCGTCCTTTCCTCAAGGGTTGCCGAAATGGATTCCATCCTGCCTCGCTATCTTGGTGTGGCCACGGCCATCATTGACAACGTCATTTTCTGCCATCAGGACGAAAGCTTGTGGCCTCTCAGTGACCCATCAACTCTAAAGAAGAAATTCGACGAGATATTCGAAGCACAGAAATACACGAAAGCCATTGACAATATTAAGCAGATTCGTAAAAAGCAGAATGAAGAACTGGGCAAGTATAAAATCCTCGAAGACCACGCCAAACTTGACAAGGATCGCGCGAACAAAGTGGCGGCCAACGGGCGAAGGCTTCATGCGACAATCGAAGAATTAACGGCTGAGATCCACGATCTGCAGAAGCGGAGCGCTCATGCTCGAAGTATGGCAGATGAGGCTTGGAGGAAAGGTGAAGACTATGCGAAGGTGCTGGGCTTGTTAGAGGGAAAGCGTATCGAGGCACGAGGCACAAAAAACACCATTGATGGGCTCAAAGAACATCTTGAGGAGGTTGACGAATCTGACGAGTGGCTGCAAGAGACACTGGACCTCTTTGAAACAAAGCAACAAGAATTGAAAGATGACATCCGCGCCAAGCAGGAACAATACCTCGAGCGGCAAGATGAAATCAAACTCCTTGGTAAGCAACGCGAAGAGAAAGTCAAACTCAAAGGACGATATGAGCAAGAAAAAGAAGAGCATGAGCGGCAACTTGTCCGACGAAGAGAAATGGTGCAGGCCGTTGCCACCAAGCACCAGATTCGTCGTTATGATGATCTCACTGACGACGCACGTGTTGAAGAATTTCTGCTCAAGGTGAAGAAGATCCTGCAGGACCAGAAAGTTGCTCTTGACCGTGCTAAGCTTGAGCATGCCTCAGAGCGACGAGAGGCGCAAACATTGGTTAACAAGCTGACAGAGCGCAAGGCTGCCCTTCAAGACCAAAAAGTCGGCATTCGCAAGCAGATGGACACGAATGATCGAGATGCTGGGGAGTTCCAACGCAAAGTCAATCAGATCAATGTCGACGAAGGCAGCAGAGCCGTTGTGGAGTCTCGCATCGAAGATCTCAATATCAAGCTGAGGCATTCTATAGAAGCCGCAGAGGCTGCTGACTGGGATAAAAGATTACAAGACGCCCATAACCAGCTCCAATCTTTGGAAACGACAAACTCTAAACTCGGTGATGAGATTGTGCAATCGACCCAGAAGGCAGGAGAACTCGCTCGGTTGTCGCATCTGAAACAAGAACTAAAGGATCGACAGCGAAGCCTAGAGACACTCTTGAATGCGCATAGCGACCGTATTAATAAGGTCATGGCGGATCAAGAATGGACACCTGCTACTATTGAGGCTGTTTACCAAGATGTTTTGGCTGCAGTCAGCACCAAACTTTCAACCGCTGAACGTGAGCGAGATTCTCTTGGAGGGCGTTTGGAGCAGGCCTCATTCAGACAGAAGACGCTGCGTGATGAAATCAACAGAAAGAGGGCGGAGGCAAAGGATTGTGACAAGCAGATTCGTGCGGTGGTCGCGGCCGGGCCAGACGCGTATGACGAAGCATTGCAGCAGGCCGAGGCTGACGTGGATTTCGCTCGCGACGAAAGTGGCGGTTTTGCTGGTCTCCATGACTACTACAAAAAGGTGCTGCAATCTCTCGAGGCACCCAAACCCGCGTGTCGAACTTGCTCTCGAGGTTTCAAGAGCCTTGATGACCCGGCGTTGACAAGAACGAAGAAACGTATGCAGGAATTAGTTGCCAAAACACTTGAAGACTTTGAGCGTACAAACCCAAAAGAGGCCGAGGCCGAGTACAAGCGCCTTCTCGATCTCGGACTGGCTGTTGAGACGTGGAAGAAGCTTGAAAACACCGACATACCAGCTGCTGAACAGGAGTTGTCAAAATTAAAGGATCAACGTGATAAGATTGAGTCAGAGCTCGAACAACACGATAAGATCGCGGAACAAGCCCTGCAAGTCAAACGAGATGTGGAGTCTATTGGACGAACGGTCGCGTCAATTGCCAAATATCATGGCGAAATTGGAACTCTCGGAACCCAAGTTGAGGAACTTTCGACGAAACAATCCCAACAAATGACTGGCCGAACTTTGGAGGACATCCGAGAGGATCTAAACTCCACAACCGAGAAAATCCGTGGTATACAGAATGTGATGACACGCCTCAGAGCGGATCAAGAACAGTCTCGAGCTGCAATATCATCCCAAGAGCTTGAGCTGAGAGATCTGAAGGGAGAGTTGAGCACAGTTGGTCATCAACTTGACAAAAAAGCATCGCTTGCTGCCCGTGTCGAGGAGTTCCGCGAGCAGAATCGGAAACTACGCGAAGACCTCAATAAACTCGATCGAGACATTGAAATGCTCGATCCTCAAATCGCAACAGCAAAGGCCAAGTCTGAAGACATTGAACAGAGAACAGCCGCCAAAGAACACGAAATGTTTTCCGAACAGACTAGGCTTAGCGAAAGCGTGAACAGCCTAGACATATTGAACGATCAGGTCCAAGCCTACGTAGATCGCGACGGACCAAATCAGGTTGCCCATGTAAACAGAGAGCTGAGCCATCTTGAAGGAGAACTAGATCGTGCTCAGACTGAACAAGGACAGCTAACGCGGGAAATGAACAAGATCAATGATCAAATCCGAGACAGCGAGTCGACCAGAAGACGGTACTCGGACACTTTGCGGTATCGGCAAGAGACAAGAAAGTTGGCACGATTGCAAGAAGAGATTGAAGAGCTTACCAGCCAGAATAGCGAAGCGGATCGTGACAATTTTCAGCAACAATCTAAAAAGTACCAGAACGAGTACACCAGACTCAGTGCCGAACAAGCGCGCAAGGCGGGAGAGGTGACATCAAAGGATGCTCAGCTCAAGGAACTCATGGAGGATTACAATCTCAATCTCGAAGATGCTGCGAATCGCTACAAGGAGGCCCATATCAAAGTCGAGGCCACCAAGGCTGCAGTGGAGGATCTGGGCCGGTACGGTGGAGCGCTGGACAAAGCAATCATGAAATATCATAGCCTCAAGATGGAGCAAATCAACGCCATCATCGAAGAGCTGTGGCGGAAGACATACAAAGGCAGCGACGTTGATACGATCCTGATCCGTGCCGACAACGAATCTGGACGTGGCAATCGTTCGTACAACTACCGCGTGGTCATGGTAAAACGCGATGTTGAAATGGACATGCGAGGACGGTGCAGTGCTGGGCAAAAGGTTCTTGCCAGCATCATCATCCGACTTGCCCTGGCGGAATGCTTCAGCGCGAACTGCGGACTCATCGCTCTGGACGAGCCCACGACCAATCTCGACCGCGAGAACATCGAAAGCCTGGCGGAGTCGCTGCGCGACATAATCAGGGAACGACAACAGCAATCCAACTTCCAGCTCATCGTGATCACCCATGACGAAGACTTCCTTCGTAAGATGGATTGCGCCGATTTTGCCAATTACTATTACCGAATCTCCAGGGACCAGGCCGAGAATTCCATTATTGAAAGACAACAGATCACTGAGGTTTTGTAGGGACAGGCATGCTGCACACGTGCTGAGAGTTGATTCGTCCGCGTTGTCAGGGCACTTGCCAGGAAACAGCTGGCCTCGAGAACCCGCAGGCTTACGATGGAAAGTACTCATTTCTTCCTTGAATGTGTCTGCCTGAAACAATGGCGAGATGGTTGACGTGGCAATACTTGTTCCGTAAGCTGAAAGATCCTCAGGTCAACGCGCAACACTTTCAGATTCCTGAGCATTGTCCGTCTTGACAAAACCAAAAATGCATGTGCAATAGAAGAGTTCTCGGTCCTCGGCTCATTGTTCTACAGCAAGTCAGTCTCGCGGAAGAGGCTGGAGATGGTGGGTGGAAATTCTGGAGCTCACTCGGCGATGCACCGAAGAGCTTAGCGAGAATGAAGTGGGCAGCGATAGGCGTTTCTCCCCAACTCTGCAAGGGACCATCGGCAGGATTGTCAGCTAGGGCCCTCTCCTCGTTTTCTTAGTTGTTGTAACCTCGGCGATGTTTCAATACTTTACACATTTCATTTATTCCGCATCTCGAAAAGTGAACAATGGTCGTGGCGCTGCAGGTCGGAACCCCTCATGTACTATGCATATACCAAGCGTTCATCGCCAAATCGACCGTATGACTGATGTTCTCCCTCTGCTGTGACGTTGGAGAAAACAATACTGCGTCCTAGTCAGCCGACATGGATCATGGCGAATCATCATCAGTTGGGACCCTGGATCTGCACCAACAGACCGTGTCAATCCTGGACGACGAAGGTACAAACTCGTTAGCATTCTTTACTTGTTTCGGATCATCCTCCGCCCAATCTCTTGCTCCTCGCAATATCCATCCGCTCGCTGGCTTTCTCCTCTTCACCGTTTCATCGGCCCTTGCTGTTCGTGCGCAGCATGACACCGTCAAATGATCCTTCAGATTTTGGCACGGTCAGGTTTTGATCTATGCTGGACCCGCTTGGAGCTCAGTTTCACCCTATGTGCTGCCTGAACCTCGCGGAGAGAGACACGAAAGGGGCCTAGTTCCTATTTCGTTTTCTGCCTGTTATGACTTCCCTCTATGTCGTCTAGCACAGCTCTTCGACCCGCGCTTCACTTTATGCCCGTTAAGCAACCGCTCGGTCCTCTCAGCGCTCAATGTCAATCGAGTTCCAATAATGCCGTTTACCGGCCCGGATCCGCTTCTCCCCGCGACCCGCTCCATGGAGCCCTCTATATTGTTGTGTACCGTGCCGACCTCGACAAACTAAAGGTACAGCCACTCAGACCTCGGAATCACACCATGAGCACCACGATTGTCGTGTCCACAAACACCTAGCCCGATCAGGTTTGTGAATGCTTTATAAGTGAGTGCGCACTGGGTTACGTGAAAGAAATGTGCATCGATACCACTTCTAGACCACACCGTCATTCTACGTCTGCTGATCTCCAGTATACCCCCCCATACCACTCTGTTCGTATGCTGCGCAAGGGGATCTACTATGTTTGATTGGACTTCCTTGATCAAAGCTGCCCTGCTCCTCACGCGCGTTTCATTTTCTTCTATACCAGGTGACTATTGCTCGGAGCGAACCTTCTTTTCTGGTCAAGTCGGTAGAACCGAAGCTAATCACTTTGACACTCACTATTGTTATTACCTTACAAAACGTCAGACGTTGTACAATCAGGAAGGATCACTGGAGCAAGCACGACGTCAGCCGTTTGTTCCTATAAGTCGAGGCATTGTGCCTTCTTGTTGCGCGTGTTGGTCTCTACTATTCCTCCCTGCTAGCAACCATGTGGGCGCAAAAGATCTTTGTTGCTGGGCTGGCAGCTGTTGGTACAGCAGCGTAAGTGATATCCTCCCTCAACCACTATCTGCCTATGAAGTCGCTCACACAATTCAGATCTCCTCTAGCCATAAACAAACGCCAATTCGCCTATGGCTCGAACCCAGTACGTGGTGTCAATATAGGAGGTTGGCTGGTCCTTGAACCATGGATCACGCCGTCGATATTCGACGCATTTGGCGAGGACGTGGTGGACGAGTATACACTGTGCCAAACGTCAGGCGATGCCGAAGGGATACTTCGCAGCCACTGGGATAGTTGGGTCTCGTTGAGCGATTTCCAAAGAATTGCGGACAGTGGCTTCAATCTGGTACGGATACCAATCGGGTACTGGGCATTCCAGAAATACGAACAGGATCCATACGTACAAGGAGCGGCAGACTACCTCGACGCGGCCATAGGTTGGGCCCGCCAAACAGGCCTAAAGGTCTGGATCGACTTGCACGGTAAGTCACGTCAGTGTGTCGATGTAACGGGCAATGCTGATGAGTGAATCCAGGTGCGCCTCGCTCGCAGAATGGATATGACAACTCTGGCCAGCGTACCTCGTGGCCGGGTTGGACGCAGGGCGATTCTATACAGGCCACTCTCGATGTCATTGGTCAGATATCAGGGAAGTACGCGACATCAGACTATTCTGATGTGGTTGTGGGGATTGAGCTTCTGAATGAACCATTTATGCCTGGATTGTCCGGCGGCAAGTCAGCCACTCAAGGATATTATCAAGCTGGATTCGGCGTTGTCAGGCAATGCGGACAGACACCAGTCGTGATTCATGATGGCTTCGACAAACCTTCGGACTGGAATGGGTTTCTGACTGGTCAAGGCACATCTGGAGCCATCGTTGACCACCACGAATATCAGGTCTTCACCAATGAAGGAGTGGCACTTTCGCCCGAGGATCATGTCAATGAAGTGTGGAACTCAGCAAGCAATTGGGGAACAGGTCAAGACAAGTTCATCATCGTGGGTGAATGGACTGCAGCCATGACCGATTGTGCGCCGTACCTCAACGGCCGGGGTGTTGGTGCAAGATACGACGGCTCCTACAACCAAGGCAACGGCGACGGGAGTTCCTATGTCGGATCGTGCTCGGATATGAACTACATCGACCAATGGAGCGACTACTACAAGCAGGCCACAACCAACTATATCAAGACACAGATCAGCGCATTCGAGACCGCCGTTCAGGGCTGGATATTCTGGAATTTCAAGACCGAGAGCGCTGCAGAGTGGGATCTGTTCAAGCTGATCGACGCCGGCGTGTGGCCTCAGAGCTAGAACGGGCAACGTGAGACGCGGCGTGGATTTTTCCTTGTTGGTTATAGCCTTTCTGCTACTGGAGGAAAAACCAGCTGATTTGCATGCATGGAGAGGGACATTCGTTGCATTCTACACGTGTGAATATTACAGGCTCATCCGGCATCGCTTCAATTCGACACCCTCAGCATTTGCATAAAAGGGGCCAGCATCTGTCTTGCCAGGCTACGAGTACTCTGCGCAGCAGCAGAAACACCGACAGTGTTTGTGTATGTGGCTGGCCATCGTTCCTGAGGTCTAGACTACAGTACGAGTCTGAGTTCAGATTTCATAGAGGTCGATCCTTGACGCTCAGGCATGAGTCCGTGTGATGATCAGCGTTGGGAGAAGATTATTGACGATCGCCAACGGATCAAATAATGAAGTTTATGACATGACAAGTTGACAACTGCTAAGATGGGATGACAAGCACTTAATTGACACTTATTACATACTCGATCCTCTGTAGCTGAGGTAGTTCAAAACATGAATCTATGTGAGGCATGTCATTTTAAAATGGGTAGGCAACGGACTGCTTTGCTGGGATGGCATTGTATCGTGTATGGGAGGGTGCGTATAGATAGGTAGGCCGTGGTGAGATACGCTGAAGCGCCAACTACCTTACCTACCACGTATCCAAGGTAGAGCGATGTCTTATCAAGAGAGGCCACGGAGCTGGAAGTTAGTGCATCGCATCTGCAATGCAAGCAAGCAATGGGGGCAGTTCAGAGTAAAAGAGGCAACTGTTTACCGTATTAGAAGATCATGATACGATTCATTTTTCTCTAAGCGTTTCCTAGCACTTCTGTATCGACAGACGCCATTGACCTCTTCAGGATCGGCCACTCTAGAACAGAACGACAACTCGTAAACGAAGTCCCCCGTCGGCTGTGACTTCCAAACAAAAAACATTGGCATAGGCATCTGAATACCATTACGCATTTACTTCCAACCCTTGACCCTGCAAGCCTCGTCCGTAGTATTTTGTTTATTCAATCAGGAACCCATCAGCATTCGCCTTGACAACCTTTTCAAAATCAACGTCCTCGTCCATCTCGAGCAATCTCGCAGCCAGCACGTCAACGTCGACGAAGGGTTTCGTCATCTCAAACGAGACGGTCATGGGGAAGAACTCGCCGTCGTCGTCGGCCTGAGCCTCGAACTCGAAACTACCGCTTGCGTTGTCGGCGTCGAGCGTGCCAATGGTCCACTCCAGGCTGTCGCCCGTGACCTGGTACACTGCGTCAAAGCTGCTCACGGAAGGCTCGGATGAGGAGTATGGGATGGTGACGCTAACGTCGCGCAGCGTCACGTCCGTGTTGGTCAGCTCGTACTCGATTGTGATGGTGTAGCTGTCGTCGGACTTGTTGACCCACGCGGTAAAAGTGAGAGGGAGGACGTCGGGCGTGTCCGCGGGCGCGGTTGCACGCCAGCGCAGGACCCCGATACTGTTGTTCGACGGGAAGCGCTTGGTCGTATCTTTGAGTTGGATCGTGCGCGAGCTGTTGAAGAGGTTCTTGTCCACATTGGGGTGTGTGCGGAATTGCGCTCTGAGTGGTCCTTCGTCGGCAGAGACGCGCAGCGCGAGTTTTGTCAGCGCCGGGTCGGCGATCTTGAGTTGTAGGTCGCCTTTGACTTCGAACGAGCGCAGGGCACCTTCGCGTGAGAGTTTGGCTGAGAGCGTCTCAGATATGGAGATGACAACGGGGTTGGTGTGCGCGGATGCTGTGTGGTCTTGGGTCGAGGTTGAGGTGGAGGGACGGGTGCGGTCTGGGAGGTCTTCGACCAACGGGGTTTCCGGTTCAGGGCCGAGTTCTTCTTGCACTTTGGCGAAGGCGTTGGAAGTCTTTGACTTTTTGCCCAATTGCATACCCTTGGTGGCACGGGAAGCGGAGAATTTGGACGAGACTTTGTTCTTCTCAGCTTCGTAGGTGTCGTAGGTATTCGGCTGGGTAGGGGGGGTGTAAGTCGGTTGTTGAGGCATCTTTGGCGCAATCCCGCGTCCGTACGATGCAGAGCGCGCTGCTTCTTTCCTTTGGAGTTCAAGTTGTTTGGCTTTTCGTTTACGTTCTTCAGAGGCCTCTAGTTCTTTATTCCTTGCAATGATCTCCTGGATGCGCTCTTCATGAGACTCCATTTCGAGGAAGGTCTTGATTTGGTTCAAGGACAAGTTCTCTCGGTAGCCCATAGTGACGAGTTCATCGAAAGCGCTGAGCAGCTCAAAGGCATTGCGGAGGATCTCGCGTTCGTCGGGTTTCTTGCATATTGATGTGACCACCTGTCCGAATAGGTGCAAACTGTCAATGTCTTGTAGGATGTTGGACTGTTTATTGGTGATGAGGACAAGGTAGAGCTCATCTAGAGGCTGGTAGACAAATCGGACATTCTCCTGCTCGACTGTGGTATGTTGGGTAGAACTATCTGCGAGTTTGGGGAAAGATGCCAGGAGGGCTTCAACTCTAGACTTTGGGATTTCTCTGAATTGGCGGGAGAGGAGGGCCTTGCCGCCTCGCGTGCAGATCGACGCTGCGAGCACGACCATGATGGCGATGCGATGTAAGGAGGAAGGAGGGCGAGACAATTGAGGAGGAACAACTTGACCGGGCGAGGCACAAGCACTGTTGACTTTGTATGTGATTCTCCTAACTTGCTCCGCCGCGACATGTTGGAGTTGAGTGTCCAGATCTCGACTTGGCATACTTTCATGCCGCTTTAATTTTAACTGCACGCTGCTTTAATCATGGCTATTAGCACGTAATGCCGAGCGTTGTGTCTTTCCTGTCGCGGTTGCTTCCATCGATCAAGAGCAGAAAGAAAGCAACTGAGTCTGTAGCGAAGACATCATGCCTCTGCGGATTGCTCGAAATTAGTCTCGCCTATCGTTGTTACTCACTCGCCGGAATTATCAGATCACGGCGGGTAATGCATTGCACGTCTCTTGTCTAGCAAGGCCGCAAGTCATCCGATCCCCCAAGCTAAACACCCCTATGGCTACATATCCCAGTCAAAGATATCAGATCAAGACTCTAACTCGGTCGATATGTTACAAATGTCTGACTAGAGATATGTGCTGACCCGAGCCATATCAACTCACACCACTCCCATCCCTCTTCAGCATTTCAGACCCAACTTAGTTCGACTCCCTTAAACGAACCCTGGCCATAGACTCCGGTCGTTATTGGACACCGACTGGTAGCGTGTGTTTGGCTCTCAAACGATAAAGAACCACAACTACGAATCATACCGTTAGCGGTCTCATATCTTGGTGAGGGACTGAGTTTGTCTTTGCCAAATCGAGAAACATCCCTCATTCGCAGAGCGTGGGCCGTGTACTATATGAACGTACCTTTTGCAGCCAGTTTTTGGCAACTGGCTCTTCCCACGTCCCTTCCATGGCGTCGACCTCAGACTTACCACTCCACAAGTCTACCTCTTCTAGCTTGCGGAATTTTGTCTTCTTAACAAATTTCCAGAACAGGATAAAGAAGGCGAAAATTCTTGCAGCAGTCAGCGATTGCAGCAGAGAAGAAAACGAATAATCATCCTTACGGTATGCCAATATAGTGGACCAGAAAGTCGTTGACGTTCCAATTGCCTCTCATGAAAGTTTCGAAGCCATTGAAGACGACGAGAACAACAAAGTATATCAGTGTGGCCCATGCGATGTAGGGCTGAAATCGCGGCCGATACGCTCTACATGCTGGGTCATCGAGTGATACTCCTTGGACTGCTTGTGCCTTGCGGAAGCGAATGAAGGCATAGCACAAGGAAATCCATGTAAGCATTGCAGCTACCGTTGTGAGGTTGGCGAACTAGAGTCCAAACGGTTAGCCCACCCGTGAGAAGCAAAGGTAAAGGTAGGTTATCCATGGAAGCTGTTGCGGCATACCCAGAGGAAAACTGTGTTACCAGCCACAGAGACAGTCATGTAAGTCAATGTTCCAAAGAGTGCGGTCACGAGGACGCAGTAAATCGGAACACCCCTGTCACCGAATGTTAGTATCGCTCTTCGGTTTGAAATCAAAAGGAAAAGAGCTCTCCATACTTCTTGGTGCAGGTCAGCAGAACGCGTGGCGCCTGTTTATTCTGTGCCAGTGCATACATGTACCGACTCCCAGTATACAGAAATGCATTTGCTGAAGACACGGCCGATGTCAAGATGCACACGTTGATGATCGAAGGAAGAACTCTGATCCCTGAATTGGTGATTCCTATAACCCACGGTGAACGAGCAGCTCCTGGAGCTCCTTCTGCCTGAGCGCGGAGGAGATGCGGGTCGTTCGAGGCCACGATACAGCCTATGCAGAAGCTTCCCAACACATAAAAGGCCAGAATACGCCATATGCTGCGACGAACAGCTTTTGGAACGTTGCGTCGCGGGTTTTCAGCTTCGCCAGCCGTGGCAGCAATCATTTCAATGCCTGCATATGTGAATGCGGCATAAATGAGCACGGAGAAGAAGCCTAAGAATCGGCCCGTCGCCCCAGTCGCCGGTGCAACCTCATTCATCACTAGAGAGAGAAAGTCAGTCGAGGAAGTTTTATGGACCTCTCTGGGCAATATTACCTCCCGGATCTTTCCAGTAACGAAAGCCGAGCCGATCATGGTTCGGACCACCACCAAGAATCAATACGACGGAGAGAATGAGCAGTCCGATGATGAGAATAAGTTTGATCGATGCAAAACAGAACTCTGCTTCCCCGAATATGGAGACTGCGAAGATATTGAGAAAGAGGATCACGATCAAGCACAACGTTATCCACACCGCAGGCTAACGCGTATCAGTATATTAGATTTCAAATAGAAGCAGCTTTCGTTGTGAAGCGTGAGAACGAACCGAGACACCCCTTGCTCCAGGCCAATAATCAATGACGAGTGTGGCAGCGCTAATGTCAAGGCAGAGGACAATCGCGCAAAAGTACCAGTTCTATACGAACGTTAGTGTTGGTGTCAAGTGAGACATTAAGCATTGATGCTTGCATTCCAACCAACGGCAAACCCCAGACTGTCATCGACAAACCTCCCGCAGAATTGAGGAATCGCGCCCGGGACAGGAAGCCAGGTACACATTTCTCCCAGAGACACCATCTTGGAAAACGTTATTAACTCGGATGTGGATATAGTGTCTTGTACTCAGACTTGCCATGCCATAGACTGCCATACCAGAGATGGCGAAGCCCAAGGTAAGACTTAGAGGGCCAGCTTTTGCCAGAGAAGAACCGATTCCGAGAAACAGACTCGTTCCAATGGCGCCGCCCAACGCTAGGAATTGGATGTGCCTCGCACGAAGTCTGGAAGTGGGAGGTCTAGGTCAGCCAACGGCATATCACCGTGTCTACGGACTCAAGAGCAGTCATGGTACTGTGTAATGTCGCATCCCGGAGAATCTCTGCGAGTGCTTCCAAAGATGTCGCGCAAATGTCACGGCCAAGAGGGATGAAGGGATGAAATGCTAAACAGGACGACATGCTCAACTGACCTTCGGTTGACATGGCCATACCGTCTTTCAAGTTCAGATGCATGAACCGATGCGTCTCTAACGCTCTCCTCGCGGGCCATTTCTTCCACATCAGCGTCGTTGCCGGCAACCTTTTTCTCCATCATGCTTATCACTGAGTCTTCCTGAGATCTGATAGCTAGCTAGGTCTGTTTCGAATGTTGTATTGAAAGTGAACCCTTTTGAATTGAAGGATGACGAGCTGTATTTATGCCAGCCCTTGACTGCACTTCAAAGAATCCGAGATAAGCAACGATGAGCCAGGGGCCTCCAGTTGAAACCTGAAGATAGTCGGTCGACATCTGGCACTAGAAGATGGGACCGGAGGGCTCATGAAGCCAAAAAGGAATTGGGATCTCATACCGAAGAGAATGAGGACCCCCTCTGCGGTTGTGATCTGGGATGGAAAGGAACGATTGAGCTACGGCCCATTTTCAACGCATGTTGCCAGAAGCTAAGAAGTCTATAGCGAACGAGAGGCAAGCAAACCTGATTCCGCATGTGGGCGGTCGAACTTGGCTTTTGATGTCCGCGTCGAGGCCTCCTTGATAACGGCATTGCGGCAAAGACATAGCAAGTAACTGCTTTTGTTGATAACATGACAGGGGAGTTCTGACGTTGAGTCCATGATCTGGAATGGTCCACATCAGAAGCGGTGGTTCAATCCCGTCCATGGCTCTCCACATGGACAGAGTGTCTAACCACTTTAAGCGTCTCGGGAGAGCCATTGCGAGAACTTGCCTTGTCGCCGAGCGAGGAGCCCAGGCCATGTTGTCCGGCTCCCTTGGCGGGCGACTCCGCAAGGGCCTTCATTAAAGATCCTTCGCCTCCTTGTTCTCAGACTACGCTCCTGCACCTTCGCAGAAGGCTTCCTTTCCCACCGAATCAGTCAAGGTCTCAACCAGTAAAGGTTGAGCGAGCGACAAGCCACGACTGTTGGCCTCCTCAAGGGTCATTTCCGACGTATCGGTCATGTCGCATGGCTCGTAAGCGAGACAGAACCTTTACCGTAGGTCGCTTTGGATTTCCATCTTATCTGAAAACCGTATCTGGTCGAGTGGAGAGATATCGATGGTAAATGATGTTCACTCGGAGCGTGGCTAACCGCACTATAGGGATGCTGGAAATGCCGCTCTCGCAAAGTCAAGGTCCTTCTGCCAGATGATTGATCGCGGGCCATTGCTGAGTCTTGACAGTGCGATGAGGCTAAACCCCAATGTTCTGCATGCAGAAATCGTGGCATCGCCTGCAATTATGGTGCGAAACTTGTCTGGGTTGAGGAGGACAAGTCTGGTTACAAGTCCGACGGCCGACGTGTATGGCGATGTGGTATGCTCTGAACCCGTGAGATTTGAAGTCACCTCCAACTGATTGTCTCCTTTACAGATCTGACATGGAAGGGGTATTCAACGCTGCCATCGGACGTGGTAGACTGCCTGATTGTCAGATGCGACGGATCAGACGTTCAAGAGAGTACTTCTTCAAGTTTCGGGTCTCCGGAGTGGCTGACGCCTTCCCATAATCCTTTCTCAGCGTTCCAAGTCCGATCAATTGGAGCACCTCCCGTTGAAGCTGGCACTTCGACCACGGTCGAAGTTGTTCCTGCTGACGATGCTCGATCCCTTGTCACAAGAAGCCTCAGTTTGGGTCCGTCGATGATAGAACACCCGGACCTCCCCTGGCAGGAAAAGATGCTATTTCATCACTATGTTCAACAAGTGGCCAGCAATATGTTACCATTCCAACATTCGCGGAACCCTTGGAAGTCGTACTACCCCGCGGTAGCCCTGGGAAGCTCTTGCGGTGACCAGAGGTCGTTGTACCACGCGATGATTTCGCACGCTGCATTTCACCTGGCGCAACTTGGGGTGACCCAACATGAGGAATTCTCGGCAATTGGCACGAACCGTTATACCACTGCAATAAGCGAGCTTCGGTCAACTCTCGAAGTTGAGCCTGGCGAGTTCGCTACCATCATAGGCTCAATATTCTCTTTGATGTTTGCAGAGGTGCGTCTCAGTTCTCCCATGACTTCTTTGACCGTCGTAACAAGGGAACAGGTCTATTCCGGTCGGTCTCGGAAATGGCGCTATCATCACAAAGGAGCATGGACCCTCGTTCAGCAGCATCGTGACAAAATCCTTTGGGATACAACCGAGCTTGCAAGCGTTTCCTTGCAGTGCCTCAACATTATCAAGATCATTGGGGAAACCGCAACGGGTGTTATCAGCGACTTGGACAGTGAAGAATCGCTCGACAGTCCCTTGCAAGACTCAGACACCAGCCTGGCGTCGTTGATCGCAGCTACACCAGCGTTTGGATTTACGCTGGGGGCCAGTAAGCCCATATTAGACTGCATATCTAAAATCAACAGGCTCCAGCAGAATGCGAACCAGTGGAATAACGAGTCATTTTCTCAGAGAGACGACATGCTGGAGGATATTCTCACGCAGCTGAATTCCTGTCGGCGCAAAACCCTACATTCACTGCAAGCGGAAGAAACCAATTCACCACTGGATCCGACGGAAGACACTCCCGAAGTCTTGCATCAAGTCAAAGCCTTTCTTTATGCTACTTATGTTTATCTCTACCGTACCATATTCGATTCGCCACCTGCGAATGTGAGAAACTATGTCTCCGAAACGCTTCATAATGTTGACGCATTCTATGCCAAGAGCAGCGGCAACTTCTCCATCTGGCCAGCTTTCATTGCTGCGGTGGAAGCATACACCCCTGAGGATGTAGAGGCAGCCCAAAGATGGCTCCTTCGCTCTACGTGCTACGGCATGGGCAATCGACAAGCACTTCGTGCAGTAGTTGAGGAGGTTTGGAGAAGGAGGGCTCAAATATCTGAGCTGGTTGGCGTAGAACGAGGTGTGATTGCAGTGGATTGGAGAAAAGTCATGAAAGATATGAATTATGATGTTTTGATAGTGTGACAACATTGATAATGGAAACTTGTATTGGGACTAGTATTGATGTGGATTCAGCGTTGGCTTGTCAGGTTACAAGTTCATCGGCAGTGACTGAGCCCTTGGTGAACATCCATCATGATATCACTTTTGACATTTCGCTTGCCCATCTTGGTTCGACAAACATCGCCGTAGCTTGGGAGAGGACCTTCGTTTCCCGGCCAGGAGTCACATCCTCGACCGTCGCCTTCACCCACGCCTTTCGTCCTCGAACATCGGCGGTTTCGGCACTGACCAGAACCATGCTGTCGACAGGGATTGGCGCCTGGTAAGAGATTTCCAGTTTGACCGTAACCCCAATCTTTGCTTGGAACTTGGGAAAACAAGCACGGCCCATGCATTCGTCGAGTAGGATGCCAACCAGTCCACCGTGAACAATACCATTATGACCTGATAATCGACGGCCGAGGTGATAGAATGCCAACAGCTTCCCGGCCTCGTCGTTGGAGATGACATACGGGCGGGATGAGATCAAGTCCGGTCCAGCAAGGGTGGTCACCGTGAGGTGATCGGGAACATGCTCAGGCGCGACGTCAAATATGCTGCGCGAAGATTTGGTGAATGGTGAAAGGAGGAGTTCATGAGCGGCAGGATGGTCGCTGACTACCTGAGACAGGAGGGAATCGGCTTGTTCCTCCTCAGTTGAGAGATCAAGTGCGTTCTCCATGTGTTCGCTTGTGGTCGCAGGGCGGTAAACGCTTGTTCAGCTGAGATCCTTATCTTCTCTTCAGCGTGACCACGTTCATTTATGGCCTGACGAGCGTGCTTGAGTCATTTCAGAGGCACATAGCCTGTATTGGCTGACCCCTTGGCCGAGGGTCTGACTGGCAACCTACCTCTACTCCGTGCCCGCGGTAGATTACCATGGAAGCTGCATTTTGTCCAAAAGGAGTATTATGGCGAACGGGGTGTCTTCCAAAATCAGAACACAATGTAGCTCCCCACTAGTGATCACAAGTCAAACTCCCAAGGTTCGGGGCCTGTTGAGGTGGCCAGGATTCTCGCGATAACATGCCCAAAGTTCCAAATCAGGCCTAGTCTCAGATGCGGTTTATCGCGGTTTGTCTCGCGCCGCACACTATGCTTGTGCGGCCTCTCTACCATCAGGTCTCCCTCCCATGGATGATCTCTGCCTTTCTCACCCAAGTTCCAGAGGCAAGCCGACAGAATGACTCGGACTGAGTCTCCCCGTTGCCCCGCAGAGAACACAGTCAGAATGGCTTCGCTGTTGATTACCCGTTCCATGCCGGACGTTTTTGCGTCTCCGGGAAACTCTCACGCCCGACGTGGGATGTATCATGTATAAATCTGGCCCTTGGATGGGATGCTGATTCCAGAGACTGCTATTCTTTCTCACCACTCAAACAACCTTCGCACAATGGCCATCCCAATCTCGACGGAGGAGAAGACGGTGCTGATTGAACACGTCGACGCAGACATTGTCAAGATTGTCTTGAATCGGCCGAAAGCACTGAACGCCATAAATGCCGACCTTCTCCAAGATCTCGTCAAGGCTCTTCGAAACGTTGCCGGCTCAAAAGTCATCATTCTCGAATCCGCTGGCGACCGATCATTCTGCGCAGGAGAGGATCTCAAGCAAACCCTGGCACCGAAGACAGGCTCTCCTGAAGAATTGAGGACCGCTTTTGACCTGCTCCAAGACATTACTCGACTTACAAGCTGCTCACAGTCTGTGGTCATTTCGGCTGTCCAGGGATTCGCAATAGGAGGTGGTGCAGAGATCGCCTTGGCCGCGGACTTTGTTATCGGGGGACCTGGCGCACAGTTCAGATTCCCAGAAGTGCCTATCGGGCATGCTGCCACGGGCGGGATCACTCTTCGATTGACGCAACTGGTAGGGCTTCTGCAAGCGAAGAGATTGCTCCTCAGGGGTCAGTTCATCAAAGCAGATGAGGCTGCACGACTAGGATTGCTCACTGAACTTGTGGATGACCCCAAGGCGCGGGCCCTCGAGCTTGCTCACGAAATTGCAAAGATGCCCACTGTGTCTTTGGCTGGTTCCAAGACATCCCTCGAACGTTCCGTGTTCCCGCACATGGAAGTCTCTCTGCAGGATGAAGTCAACGTAGCAAGCTACTGCTTTGCGCAAAGCGACGCGGCCAAGGCGTTCACGGACTTCGCATCAAGGAAAGCTGTCAAGCACGGAAGTGCCATGACCACGACAAACGCAGTCCGCAAGCATGGAGATGCAACCAAGACTACCAATGGTATCGTCGGCGCTCAAGTGTCGTCGAGTATCCGGGATATCAACACAGCGTTGAAACACGCTGTATCCTCATTTCCAACTTCAACTTTCATACGCTTTTCTGGCCGGGATACGAGTTTCCAGCAGTTCGATACCTTGACCGCGAAGCTTGCCGGAGGGCTCAGCAGCCTTGGCATTGGTCCCGGAGACAGAGTGCTTGTGATGATGAGAAACAGCCTTGAGATGGTGACCAGCTGGCTAGCAACGAACCGGTTGGGAGCGACCTGGGTTCCGATAAACGTCCAATTGAGGTCGGTGACCCTCAAGCATGTCATTGAATCGGCCGAGCCAAAACTGGTCATCGTTGACGCGGATCTACGCTCTGAGATTGAGGTTCTTAAATTTCTCGACCCGAAGATGCTGTGGATCAACGGTGAACAGACCGGTCCTACCAGCATAGCTTCGCTCTACGAGCAGGGCTCGGCGATGACGGATCCCGCTGATGTTTTACCCGGCACCCCTTCAGCTTTCCTGTTCACAAGTGGCACCACCGGCAGATCCAAACCGTGCATCTTATCCCATGAATACTTCATCATACAAGCCAAAACGCTGATCGAAGGGTGTGGACTGAATGGAGACGATGTTCTCTACTGCCCTTTCCCACTGTTCCATGCTGATGCCACCGCGCTCACCACCATCCCTGCACTCCTTCTAGGCGCGGTCGCGGCACTCTCTGTCCGTTACAGCGCCAGTAAGTTCTGGGACGAGATTCGAACGACCAACGCAACGGTGTACGATTTCATGGGTGCAACGTTGGCATTGACGTATAAACAACCTCCGTCAGACAAAGACAGAGATCACAGAGTTAGATTGGCTTGGGGCGTGCCGATGCCTAGCTTTGCAAGTGATTACGAACAGCGCTTCGGACATCGTCTCATCACATTGTACGGCAGCGTCGAGGCCAGCTTGCCGGTATTCCAGGACGGCGAACTAGCTCCGGGTTCCTGCGGCAAACTGCGCAAGGGTTACCAGCTGCGCATTGCCGACGAGATGGATGAGGAGCTCCCGCCAAACACCGTGGGACACATCTTGCTTCGAAGTGACGTCCCCACTGCGTTCTTTCAGGGCTATTACAATGACGCTGCCAGTACCCTTGCTGCGTTTTCGAACCTATGGCTTCACACGGGCGACAAAGGCAAGGTGGACGAACAAGGCAATGTATACTTTGTCGGGCGAGTCAAGGACGTCATCCGCAGGAGAGGGGAGAACATCAATGCATCAGAACTGGAGGAAGAGTTTTTGCGACACCCTGATGTGGTGTTGGCAGCTGCCTATGGAATCCCGTCCGAACTTGGGTCAGGCACGGAAGAAGACGTCAAGGTGGTGGTCAAGATACGTGAGGGAAGCTCTATCTCAGAAAGAGACCTCTGGGAGTGGTCAGTCAAGCATATGGCTCGTTTTCAAGTTCCCAATGTGGTTGAGATCACGCAGGATATCAGGAGGACACCCACAGGAAAGATGGAGAAGCATGGTCTGAGTGTGGCGGGAGGGCAGAGGTTCGACCTGCGTCAGAGATGATATCAGGTTCTCGTTCCAGGAGTATAATCAGAGCAAGCCTGTAGAATGCGCAGATAGGGCCTTGTGAGGGCGTGCAATGATGGCTCAGCATCCTAGACTGCTTGACAGCGGCAGAAGATGTTGCCTCTAACTGCAGCTACATGGGGATTTGAGATAGTCTCCTTCAACCACTCAATAATATTGTACGAGCATCGTATCGGTGCCCAAACGCATAAATACGATGTGCAGCATGCCAAATATTGCTCTACAGATAGAGAGTCCAGCACACGAAGTGTGCACTCACCACTTGTTGGGTGGTGCTACGAACTCTTTCAATGTGGCTGTACTTCACATAGACACGTCGAATCAGCTCGCAAAGGCTGCATTCGCTTATATGCAGCCTCACATCGTGCCTTTGGGCTGAATCCAGCCACCCCGGGACTTTTATGAGGTTCTCACGACAGCCTCATTACTACAACAAAATCAAAGATTGCACCACATGTGTGTCCATCTCTACTGTCAGGCTCGTCTACCGTTACTCCAAATTCGAGCGCAACAGCAATGTCTGATTCTATTGGGACCATTGCCTTGGTGGTGTCCCTGGTCGCACTCTGCGTGGCACTTCTACAGGTTCTGCAACAGTACACTGCAACCGCTGATGGGTTCCGCCGATGTCACTCTTCGGTCATGGGCAATTGGGCTGCTCTGACACAGCGGCGGTTTCGGCTGAGTGAATTGCGATTTGAGACTGTCTTCGCCGTTCCGGTCATATTTCTCAGAGACGACGACAGTGTGCCACTTGTTTGGTTTCGGAATCGCCCTGTCATCGATATTGAAGGGACGGATGCGTCCGTCAGAAGCACGTCAATGAGTGATGCAGTAGCTAGGCACAAGCCACATCGCTTGTCAGGTTCGCTGGGATTCAGTGCGAGGAAATTCCCAAAACTGTTCAACGACAACAAGTGCGACGCTGTGTTGATCGACAATGATTTGGTATCATGGGTCCGTCTCCTTGACAAACTCCAGGCGGTCGAATTCCAGTTGGGTCAAATCTCTAGTGGGTTCAAACCGATATTGAGGCCAGCAATACAGGTCAGCTACAGATCCTGGGATTTTGTGCCCCCAGACGTCATGAAACCATATGCGGTCAGCACACTCGGCGACATTGCCATCCTTGTGCAGCGTCTGGGCATGTCATGGAAGGATTTCAATCCCGGAGAAGGTGTCCTCAGGGCGGAAGGGAATCATTCCCAGGTTACCTCGACGATGGTCCGATCTCTTGGGATACTGCTATCTTTCTCCACCGAGAACTACCACATTGATTATCACGAGAGCCGCAAGAATATATTTGTACCGAGCTGGAAGGCTTCGATGCTCGGGTTTGGCCTAATGCCCAGGGATGATGCTTTTGATATATCGGGCGACTTCGGTCGTCATCCTCTTCAAGCCTTTCCAGTTGGCCAGGCCGCCACCTTTGATTACCATCTCAGGCTTTACTGTGGAATGGGCGGCTCACGGTCGGCTACGAGCAAGGACTGGTCACCGCGGGATTTTTCAGGTACGTATTGGACCTTGCCTCGATTAGTCCAGGCTGAGCAGTATGACAGTGGCTTCCGAGTTCATTGCGCTCGTTTCCCCAGTTTTGAGGATAAGACGCACGCGGATGACCCGCCTGCTTAGGCCTGCACCCAACATTGGCAAGGACGTCTACTCCAGTCAGTCTTGCATGGCGTTCTTTCGAAAGAAGCTTTATGGTTCCGGCCTTCAGTCTGGCAACTTCAGGCACCTCGAAGCTATCTGCAAGAGATGTGATGAAATTGTAGAGCACCCAAAATGGGATGTTGAATGGAACGCCCCCGGAGGACTTGATTATAACGGAGCTGACCTAGGATTGCTAGACTGCATACACGATGCCTGCGATTGGGCATCCTACGAGCTTCGAGAAGCCAATGTCGAAGACCGTCCTTTTGACCTTTTGTTACAGTCTCACATATTCGCCCTCTTCGTATTGAAAGAGGAGGAGCTGGACTCGCATTGGTCAACGGATCCTATATTTCTCATGGAGTTTTACTTTGAGAAAGCCTTGCCAAATGTCGTCCGCCGCTTAGTGGCATTGACGGTTGGGTACACTAGAGAAGTCATTACTGGTCTCTGGCTTCTGTTGGTCTTCCGAGGACTATGCTGGTACAACTTGCACCACTTCAAGTTCAAGTTTGCACCTGTAGATGAGCAGTATTTTGGGAGCAATCAACAAATATATATCGGATGAGGTTATGGAGCACATCTCATGATCAGATGTCAGATATGAGGGAGTCTGAGGTCTCACTTGTCTTGAAACGACGATAATCCCACGAGCAGGGCCAGAAGCTTGCTGCCATATTGAAGTCTGTGCCTCAGTGGTGACCAGGAAATCGAACTTCTAAGAAAATTGGAAGGGCGGGTGGCGTCGAATGAGAAGCGCATGAAGTCCTCATCAATCCTTTGACTGAGTATCAAGCATATCAAGTGTAGGTACTGTACCTACTAGGTAGCGTTGCGCCCCGAACCTCGGTGCCAACGGTAGCCATCCTGAGCATCGCCATGGTTCCCGGTCGATGAAAAGAGAAAAACATCGGATCCGACGTGATGCATGATGGATCCCGGTTGTCGTCGGGAATATTGCGGTGGTTGGACAATGCGAGATCTGGGGACGATCCGAGCTACGGCCGCAGGCGTGGGATACGAGGTAGTTCTGTACTCTTATAGGGTTCTCTAGGATGAGGATGGAGACCGGATACCTGTACCATAGTGGCCCAGGGACTGGCAGGGACTTATTAGGGAGACCCCGATGGCCCCCAATGGGCCCCCCCGTAGGCGCCCACCGCCACTCAGACGCCCCTCGACCAGATGAAGAAGCATGCGAACCGTTTTTAGCCGAGGTTCCCAAATGCTTCAAAAGCTCGTGGAATTCCTGCCCTCATGTCTGTCTACACGCCACTTTTCCATACAGCTACCCTTTCTGTGACCTCAATTTTGCAGTCTGTTCTCCTGTGGTTCTAATTTTCAGGAGCGTTACTTTCGGCGTCTTTCCAGTCCACCCTGATCACATATACACCATGGCCTCAATATGCCGCTCACTGCGGCCACTGGCCAAAGCATCCACCTCCCTTCCTCTACGGACGTCAGTAGCGCGGGCACTACCCCGAAGGAATTTCGTGCCGTAGGAGGATACATCTTCCACGAGATCAACCTCATACTGACTAGACCAGACAGAGAACCTTCGTCGCCTCAGCGAGACGGCGCAACGATGTTGACACCGACTCCCTCACCCCGACTCCAATCACCCACTTCTCCGAGACTGAAACAATGCTCGCCGAGTCCATATCCAAATGGGCCAACGAAGCCGTGGCTCCCAAGGTGCGGCAAATGGACGAGGAAGAGAAGATGGACCCCGAAGTCGTCGAGCAGATGTTCGAGCAGGGACTCATGGCCTTTGAGATCCCCGAAGAATACGGAGGCGCCGGCATGAACTTCACCTCTGCGATTGTGGGCATAGAAGAGCTCGCGCGGGTAGACCCTTCAGTGTCGGTCATGTGCGACGTCCACAACACACTGGTGGTGACGTCCATTCTCAAATATGGCAGTGAGAAGTTGAAGAAGGAGTGGCTGCCAAAGCTGGCCACGAACACGGTCGGGTCGTTTTGCCTGTCCGAGCCGGCTTCGGGCTCGGATGCTTTCGCGCTCAAGACCAAGGCTGAAAAGACGGAAAATGGATACAAGGTGAGCATTTTTCGGCTGGATTAGATCTGCAATGGTATGCTAAAGTATATGGCAGATCAACGGCTCTAAGATGTGGATTACCAACTCCCTGGAGGCCGACTTTTTCCTCGTGTTTGCCAACCTCAACCCAGAGGCTGGGTACAAGGGCATCACGGCCTTCATCGTCACCAAGGACACGAAGGGATTCAGTATCGCAAAGAAGGAGAAGAAGCTCGGGATCCGAGCATCGAGCACGTGCGTCATCAACTTCGACGATGTCGAGGTGCCGAAGGAGAACCTCCTCGGCCAAGAGGGCCAGGGCTACAAGTACGCCATCAGCCTCCTGAACGAGGGCCGCATTGGCATCGGAGCTCAGATGACCGGCCTGGCACTGGGTGCGTGGGAGAATGCGGCCAAGTATGTGTGGAACGACCGCAAGCAATTCGGTCAGCTTGTCGGTGAGTTCCAGGGCATGCAGCATCAACTTGCACAGGCATACACCGAGATCTGCGCGGCCCGTGCCTTGGTCTACAATGCTGCCCGGAAGAAGGAAGCGGGGGAGGACTTTGTGACCGACGCTGCCATGGCGAAGCTCTACGCCAGTCAAGTGGCGGGCAAAGTCAGCAGTCTTGCGGTCGAATGGATGGGTGGCATGGGTTTCGTTCGAGAGGGGATTGCCGAAAAGATGTTCCGGGACAGCAAGATTGGTGCCATTTACGAAGGGACGAGCAACATCCAGCTCACCACGATAGCGAAGACGTTGCAGAAGAAATATACCCAATAAAGAAAGGGAGGCCGCCATATCTACCTCAAAGTATTTAGATTGTACGAGATGTTGGAAAACTAAATGCCCCCTATGTTTGATTAGTTAGCAAAGGCGATATGGGACGATATGCTCGTGTGCCTTAGATAGTGGCTATCAGGATTTCGTTTTCTGTTTTGAAACTGAGTTTCCCTTTCTCTTTGGATATTGTACCCGGTATGCGAGGTTGTATTTCATAATCACTGCGTCGCGAGGATCTGGTGAAATCCCCCATAGACCATCAGGTACTCCCGGAATCTTGCATCCACAAAACAACAAAATCCGGCCTAGTTGCCTCGAGTTATCCAACTAACCAACTAAGTAGAGATAAAAGATAAATCGAGCAACCAGGCCGAGTTTGATTACACATCTCGTGTACTGGTCAAATGTCCAGGTACTCCCATACAGAGTATATACGAAGATAGCTGATTTGATTAATTCCATTTGTTTTTGTATGCCTTGCTCGAGCGGCGCGCTTTCTTCCCTCTCCGTCCCATTTTGTCCTGCTCCGACTCATCATGTCTATGGACGGCTATTACGACTTTCCTGACACCAAGGCCCCTCAAGCCTGTGTTGCCTGCCGCAAACAAGTGAGTGTGGTTGCTATGGGGGTCTCCTCTTTTGAATTTCCACGTCCCTCAAGTGAAATTCCAACTTGTGCTTGAGTCGAACTGCACTGCGGCTGGATCACGTTTCTGACCTTTAACTTACTTTCCAATGTGCAGAAACGAAAATGCGACAAGGTACTTCCGACATGCTCTCTGTGCGCCCGCATGGCGAGAACATGTGACTATTCCGAATCCACACCACTTCCCAGCGCCGAGGACTTCGCGCGGATGAAGCAGAAGATGGCGGACCTCGAGGCTCGACTCGAAGGCCGCCGGTCCGACGGAGGATGGCACCAACCGTTCAAATCCGTCAGCAGAAGTCCTTCGTCGGGCCTCGAGTCGGCGAGTGCTGGTGGAGGAGGTGGTGGTGTCTCTATCTCAGCAGCAGCAGCAGCAGCAGACAGCAACGCCGCCAGGTTCCCGGCCATGTTCTTCCTGGACGCCGAAGTTTACGAATCCTCTGGCCAGAGCGCCGTCGCGCAGAAACCCACTGTGCCAATTCCGCCAGAGGTGCTAGCCATGCTGGGCAGTTCGATTCTCGACATCCAGGACATTGTCGGGCGGTACTTTGAAAACATCCACACATGGCTCCCGTTCATCTCGAGAAAGCGCATGGAACTGACGCTGACGAACCCGGGACTGGAAATGACCTTTGACCTTGCTCTATTGTTGCTCTGTATGAAATTAATCACCCTGGGACCGCTACCTATGGGGTTCGGTGGCGGTGGTGATGGTGTACAGCAGCACACCCGGGGCCCCCTATACACCTTGGCGAAGCGGACGTTGTATCTAGCCGAATCCCACGGGCTCATATGCTTGCGAACCCTCCAGGCGAATATACTGGTGGCAGCATACGAGATTGGGCATGCAATTTACCCGGCGGCGTATCTGACGACGGGACATTGTGCGCGGCTGGGCCACGCTTTGGGGCTCAACGATCGACGGCGCGCTCCTCAGATATATAAGAAAAAGGCTGGCGCGTGGGCCGAAGTCGAAGAAATGAAGCGGACGTGGTGGGCGACGATGCTCCTCGATCGGTAAGGCAGAAAGGGTCAGAGATCAACTGTCTTCCCTTGGTTTCCCTCTCGTTTGGCTTGTTTTTTTCTCCCTCACTCGTCCCTCACACATGCCTCGCGCCTCAAAACCGCACTTGTCAAAGACCGACCCATTCTGGTCAGAATTACGGGATGAATACAGTTTACTAACAGTCAACGGCGTCACGTTAGATACGTCAATCTAGGTTCGTACGGACATCCTTTGGCAACCGACGACCCCGGACGCGGCGAGACGTTGCCCGCGGACGACGTGCTCTGGGACGACGGCGAGCTCACAGGCAGCGAGCCACTGTACGTGTCATCGTCGACGAACATCAAGGCCGGCGCGTTCGCCCGCACGTGCCAGGCGTGCCACCTCCTGGGCCGGTTGCTCCGGCTGCTCAACGACCAGATGCTGTCCGACGAGGGGGTCATAGGGCCGGGCATGGACGTGAGCATGGGCATGGGCATGCGGTTCGCCGAGGCGCTGCAGCTGCACCGCACGTTCCGGGCGCTCGCGAACCTCCTGATGACGGAGCACGGCGACGGCGAGGACGAGGGCCAAAGACGGCCGGGCGCGCCGCCACCGCCGCCGCCGCCGCCGTCGCAACAACACTACGGGACGGCGCTGGCGCTCTGCCTGGGCGGGCTGCTTCACCTGTACGACCCGTTCGCGTGCACCGAGACGAACCACGGCACGGGCACGGTTGAGGAGACGGAGATGCAGACGGTCGCCATCGCCGGGCTGCGCGCGGTCGCGGCCGACGTCCTGCGCTTCAGCCGCGGCGCGCTGCAGGCGTCGATGAGGGACCACCCGGCCGCCATCAGCCCGCTGGTCGGCGACTGTCTGTACATCGCCGCCGCGACGTACGCCTGGCTCGCGTACGAGACGGGCTCGAGGGACGCCGCCGACGCCTACCATCAGCTGAGGAACGTGCTGGGGATCATGGCCACGAGGTGGGCCGTCGCCGGACAGTACCTCGCCACCCTGGAGAAGGCGAGGGAGACGTTGTACCCCGAGACGCCGCTCTTGCTTTCGCGTTCGCATTCGCTTTCCCACTGACGGGGGGTAACTTAACGACTGTACGACCACACGATCGTGATCACAGTCACGGTGGTCACGGTGCGTGATGGCACTTGATCCAAGATCACGAATAGCCACCATATGTCTGTACAGATACCCACTTTGATCACGATCGTCACGACAGCGGTCGATCACAATTAGTAGGCCCGCCATGGCACACCCGATGAGCCTGAAGAAAGGTGCTTGTGGGTAGATGACAATATGGGCGGACCATGATCAAAATGACAATCACCACATGATAAGTACCCTTCCTCGGCCATCTATGGACGGACGTTCGGGAACAGGTTAAATGCCCACCGCGAAGAGTATAATAGTATACAAGGCTACACCAAGGGTTTCTGGTTCAAGAGGGACTCGCTTTTATGCCATGCAAGTAATGGAACACTTCTTTAACAAGTATTATCTTGTGACCTTTTATACTAGTGTACATAAGATTTTCTATTGTTGTTGTTGTTGTTGTTTTTTTGGGCTTTTTTGCTTTTGGAAAACATACCGGAGCTCTTTGAGGCTGGATGATGATGAGTTCATCTCTTTCCTGGATGAATGTCCATACCTCTCGTCGTGCCCAGTCTGACTGTCCCAGACCCAGTACTCTGCACACCTGAATATCTAGGTAGGTATATATGAACGATTGGTTGCCACTGGGAAAAAAGGCAACAAAAATCGTCCTTTTTATTTATCCCACGGTGGGAAGAAGACAGGATAGTACAAGGATCGCGACAGTACAAGGGTCGTGTGGCATTGATATGGATACGACACTGCCACCGACACGGACAGGGACAATGAACATTTGTCGTCGTTCGGTCATATCTTAATCTTAATACCGGCATGGTCCAACCCCAGCGCGACCCCGGTCACGACAGCCGCGTAGAGAATCAAGACGGCCATGGCGGGCAGAGCGGCCATGTCGAGCGTGTTGACCGTCAAATTCACAAGGCCCGTAAGCAGGTTGGCGACGAGGAAGATGACGAGACCGTTTGTGTTGAAGACGCGGAGGATACGGGACGTGGCGAACGAGACACCGCGAGCCTTTCCACCTTCGCCACCACCAGCCTTGGATTGCCGTTGTCGTGAGGAGGAGCCGCGGGAGGAATCCTCGTCGGCGGCAGCAGCGTTGGCGTAGATGAATTCGGGACCGAGGTCTTCGACGACGCCAAACAAAAACAGCTGGCCGTTGTTAAAGGCCGCTACCAACAGAACATAAGGGAGGTTGGCGAGACGGCGGGAGACTGTCAGGTTGCCGCCGTAGATGTTGGTCGTGAAGATGAACAGGGCCGAGTAGATTAGCGTGCGGACTGCGAGGGTGCGGAGAACGACGCGGCGTTCGTTGCGTACGTCGTCGACGGAGGTGGTAGTCATCATCATCATCAGTTGCGATGATTTGGGCTTGGCCCGAGCAGAACTACCAGAACTAGTAGGGGGCGTGTTGAACGTGACAATCTGTCTTCCTGTGCCGCGACCCGCGAGGAAAATGGCAAGGTATCCAATAAAGGAAAAGACGCCCTCGCGGTTCTTGGACAACCATGACGGACCGCGCTCAGAGATCAGGATGTACCGAAGAAGGGTTGGGTGGCTGTTGAGGACGAATTCGTACGTGACGCTGATCAGGACGGCCAAAAGGTCGTAGGACCGCACGACGTGGCGGGTCAGAGAGTCGGAAATCTCGACAAAGGGCGGTAAGAGGCAGAGAGTGAAGAAGAAGTTCCAGTGGACGCCGTACTCGGTGACGTGCTCGGCGTAGTCGAGGTTCTTGACTGAGAGCAAGCGGATAATACCGAGGATGAAGAGCGGGAGAGCGTGGCGGAGGGAGATGAGGAATCGAGAAACAAAGGAAGACGACGACGATGAGGGTTTGACGATGGCTCGGGCTGATACAACGCCAGCGGAAAAGACGAACAGTCCGACGCCCAGATCCATCAGGGATGTTCCCCATGTTTCGACTTTGGCGAAGCGGCGGGGGAAAATGGGAAAGTCGACGGCCAGGATGGATACGCAAGTAACGACAAGCATGCTCCCGCGGTAGTGAGTGAGAAAAGGTCGTACGGGGAGCGTTTTGGCAGTCGAAGGCGATGGGTTGGCATCGGTGCTGATGTTAATGTTGGTACTTTTGCTGGCGATCTTGGTGGCGTTGGATTTTTTTGAGGACAGTGATGAAGATGAATCCAAGTTCGAGGGTGCGCTTGTCAAGAACAAAAGAAGCAACGCTGGCGTGATCAAAAAGATACTCAGAACGATGGGCGTAGCGCTGTACAGCGTGACGGCGAAGAGGATGGCGCAGACATTGAGTAGGAAATCCGCGACGAGAGAGACAGGCGTGTAGGGTGTGAAGAAGCTCTGGCGTTTTTGGAGAGCTGTCCAGAGTAAGACGGCGGCCTGGAGAGGTGCACAGTTAGAGATGATGAGATTCAGTTGTATACGCCACATACACTTGAAACGAGGGCGACGAGATTGATGTCGGTCAAGGAGCTCCCGGAGAGATTGGAAACGAATGCCTCCTTGCGGGCCTTGTAGCTGATGGCCTCGGAGGGATTCATTGTGGTGGCCGGCTTAGAGTGGAATTTTGGGTCATAGTAGACACCGAGAAAGAAAAGAACCGAGCATGCTAATGGTCGAAAGTAATTAACTGGTAGGCAATTGATCGAGTCTGAAGTCCGTAGTGCGGAAGACGTGGCAGGATTTATTACCAGGTGTTTACATACAATACAGAGGGACGTTAAACTTGATCAACTAGCCAGAACACAATAGAGTATATTGACGCCTCTAATTTGCCCTTACCCTAAAGGTACAACAGTCTCGCAGGTAATTCCATCACCACCACCACCACTACATACACAACTCTAATAGCCAAGGTAAGTACCCAACAAAACCAAAAGAAACTCGTCCATATCATGACTTCTTCCTGATTGTCCTCACCCCATTCAGTATGGCACAATCTTGACCCTCGTCCTCATCTCCTCCGGCAACTCTTCAAGCTTGACCAATCCCATCTGCACACAATCCCCCCAGAAAAACATCGCTCGATCTTGTGCATAAGCAAGGTAATCGAATTCCTCATGTTCCTCGCCACCACCTTCGTCTTCGGCCCCATTTTGCTCGCCCATTTTCACATCTCCTTCGTGATGACTCTCCTCTTGGGCCCGACCCTCCGGTCTATCGGCTTCACTCTCTTCTTTCAACTGCTTCTCCTCTTCATTTAGGGGATCGGACATCGGCACAACATTGCCCGGCTCTTCCCTCTCATTTCCATTTTCCAAAGCCTCCAGTTCCGGCACTTTGGCTTGCACAATGCCCCAGGCCACCCATTGAGCCGAGTTCGCGGGCCTCCAAATTCTCGTCTCTCTCAAATATCTCTGGATTTCTTCTTCTTGCGCCTTCTCTCGCTCTTTCTCTTCTGCGTCGTAATCTGTCTCGAGCGATTGACCTGAAACACTCGTTCCAGGAGGGGCTCTTGCATCGAGCATGAAATCGCTAATATTCGTCTTCTCACGGGCCTCAAGTTTCGGAGTCGAACTCGCAGAAGGATTAAACTGTGGTCGATGCATAGTATAGCTCCTAACAAAGCGATATTGTTCACTTTCATTCGGATACCTCCGCGTATCACACATCCAGCTATGCTCCGGATGATGGTAATTGTACGACCATTCCGTAAAATGATTCGCAAACTCCAAACCAGGCATATTCTGAGATGCGTATTCAAAGTCAATAACCACAAGTTGCTTATGTTGGTTCGAGGGTTGAAGTAATGGTGACGTGCCTGAAGGTTGCAGTCGCATCAGATTGCCATACTGTGTATCATTGTGGGCAAAAACGAGACCATCGCGGATTTTCTTCACGCCACCGCTTTCCTCGATCAGTCGTTGTCGGTATGCTTCATATGTCCTGCGGAAGAGAGGCCATTCAACACCACAGATCAGACCATTTCGAATGTATCTTTGTTCGATGGCGGAGTCCTGCCTGGACACTCCTGCCTGTCTCTCTCGCTCGGCCTGATGGATTTGACTGTCGAGCCAAGTAATGACCTTCTCACACCGGTCGACCCATTTGTCCCAGTTGACAAAGACCGCAGGCCCAGCCTCGAGCTCCGATTCCAACAATTCGATGCCGTCGTGCAACTCACGCATTCGCTTCGCAATCTGCTTAGATGTTTCTGGGATTCGGAGATCTTCTGCTGTCAGAGTCTTTGCATGCAAAAACTCCTCAAACCGACCATTTTCGAAAGTCCCGAGGAGACGTGGGCCGATTCGCTTACGACAAAGGCGCCGCAGAATGGACAATTCCGCTTCTCGATCAATCAAATGCTCGACCTGGGGACCGTAGATTCTCAGAAGGAGCTGTACGGCTTTTCGAGGTTGGCTTGACGTTGACGCTGACGCTGTCTCCGATGTTGCTGTTTGACTGTTTGAGGAAGGGGCAGGCTCCGGCATATTCTTAGGCGGTCGGACAACGTAAACGGCGTTGGTTAGAGCTCCGCTCAAACGCACCACGTCAATGTCTTTTGCCCTTTCCATCGGAACTCGACGCCAGCCTTTTATTTTAAGGGTGTGTGTCAGGCGAAGGATATCCTCTTTGAAAGTAACCCAATGTTCGTAATCCCGCTTTTTTGCCGCGTCGCTTGTGTCGACGTCGACGCCTCCTCCCGTAAAAGCCAGGGTTTTTGAGTTGTCCAAATGAGCTTCCACATTTGGAACGAGTATATCGTCACCAAAGAATTCCGTGTCTGAAGATTGGGGTCCAACTGAGGCTCGCTTGAACTTTCTTGCTATCGACCCCTTCCGCGAGGGAGCGCTGGACGCTCTGGACGACCATTTTGGTATCGCTGTAGACCATGAGGTGAACCCGGAGAGGATGCTCTCCAACTTCGCTAGAGATTGGCTACTTTCAGCGTCCTGAGCGGAATCGTCTGATTGGTTCCCTTCGGGCAAATTCGGCGTAAGGTGACTGCGATGATGGATGAGATGATGCCGATGATGCTTGCGCTTCTGTCTTTTTGATTTTTCCTCCTGCAACCAGTCCACCACCTGGTTGAGCATCGCACGTAGATCCGGAGCCTTGGCATCGTTTGGAGTGCCTGCTGATTCGCCTTCAGCTTTGTCGAGGCTCAAGTACGACATGGGATGTGATAAAGACGTGGTAGATGATCCAGCGGTGTTGAGAGAAGGTCTTCCGGTCATCTTCTTGCCAGATATACTGGCTCTATGAAGTTTGGGACTGTGAGAACTACCGAGCGTTGGGGATGAGCCTTCATCGTAATTCTCCACTTTGACGGGCTCAATCTGCTCGGGCTCCTCTACAATAGTCACGCCTATCTCATGCAGACCACCAAGTCAGCGTTGGACCATTTCTCATGTATCGCAGAGGAGATGGAAACGATATGAGCACGTGCGTGTCGCGTGCTCGAGTATTGTGCTCGTCTGAAAGCGCAGCGAGAGCACGTGGTTCTGCCAGCTGGGAGCCATAGTAATCTAGAACCGCCAGGCCTATGCGGATTCCGAGTACGTACCTTTCTGAAGCCCAGGCCCAGGAGAGGATGCCGCACGTGTTGAGGTTGGGGACAGTCCTGGCGATGATGCCATGGCCGCTGCACTATCTTAGCCCACTTAGGGCTGCGGTCCTGAGAGCAGTTGTCACCACGGGCCAGACCTTGCTGAAACAATTTTAAACGACAAAGAATAGCTAAGAAGCCATGTACCGCACCGAGGCTCTGGGAACAAGGCAAAGGAGGAGGTTTGGACGAAATTAGGAAGCGGGAACTGGGAAGGGAAGTTGGCTGAACTGGCTGGTGCTGGCTTTGTGCGCCATCAGGTCGGACACGTGCTTTGACTGCCCAGCCTCGCCTGCTCAGCCTCGTCACTACCAGCGTTGAACGAACTTCTTCACGACGTCCTCTTCGTATTCGTATATACAAAAAGAAAACCACTACACAAGGATGTCTACTCGGCTGAATGATACTCAGTCATCGGCCAAAACCGCATTGTTCCTGTTGTCTGCATCCCAATCCCATCCCTGAAAATGCCATATAGTTTCATCGCTCAAACCGTCCCTGATGCATGGATATCGTTACAAATACAGTCTTTTAAAAGATGCCACTAGCGACCACCTGGTGTCATTGGCTCAACGTCTTCTGATGGGGTTTGTGATACACCTTGGTCACGCTGTCACCATTGGGCTGTGGACTCCGACTGGCACTTCCACCTCCCATCTCTGCTGGATCCTCGACAAGATCCGACAAGCCAAAGGCATTGTTCTCAACATCGTAGTTGTGCATCAACCCTGCACTTTCTCCGGAAACATTCCGCATCCCTCCAGGGCTAAAGGTGAGGCTGCCACTCCGCCTGTGAGGGTCGAAGCTCCTTCGCGACTGCATGCTCATCCTTGTATGGAGACCAGCCAGAGGGTCGGTGGGAATTCCATCCTCATCAGGGATTTTGCCGTTCAATAACCGATGTCCATCAGGGTCGCCTCGAGACAAGTTGAGTAAATAAACGCCCGAGAAGATGACCAGGAACCCACAGAGAAGGGAAATGGTGTTCACAGCGTCTGTGGTGTTGAAACCCCGGAACAGGATAAACGACGCACACAGAGTCGCCGTCGTAAAGGTAACGTAGTACAGAGGATTGACGATCGAAGTGGAAAATTGGCTGAGGGCCTTGTTGAAGTAGTTCATCTGGGTCAGAATGCACACTATCGTCACAATCATGAAGACGTAGGTCGATGGATGTGAAAATTGGTTGTTCCCAGCGAAGGTCAGCTTCAAGGCGATGCCAAATGCCTTGACTGACATGACCGATATCGATCCGACTGTCGAGCAGATCGAGATATAGATCAAAGGATTCTTCTTTCCGTATATGGGCGCAACTTTGTAGATCATGACCGTTGAGAAAACGATGGCGGCCAGACAATAAAGAACAAAACCTGCGACACGCCTGGTTAGTTTTGTTTGGCAGTGCGATCGTCGACACAACGTCTCGACTTACCAGGCTTAATGGCAAAATCCAAAATTTGATCGACCGTCTCGATTTCTTTATCAGGAGGAGCATGTAGTACAATAATGACCGATCCCAGCAGACATGTAGCGCATCCCAATTTGCCCAAGACGCCCAGCTCTTCGTGCAAGAAATACGCCCCGAGCACGGCTCCAATAAGCACGCTGAGAGCACCCAAGGGCGTCACCAGAATTGCAGGCGCAAAAGCGTAAGCTGCGAAGTTGGCGATCTCGCCAACAACGAGTGAGGATATTCCAGCCCACCACAATGGGGTTTTAAGATATGCATATCCATCTCCTTCGAATCCATGCTTGTCTGCAGCATCGTTGAGACCCTTTTTCGTAATGACAAAACTGGTGCCGATGGCCAGTGTCGATGTTATAGCAAGGGCCAACCCAATATATTTGTCTTCCAGCATATTCAACATGGCTGCGCGTGGGTGTAGAGGGGTCGCAGAACGGACCCTCTGCGATTGTGGGCTGGGCGAATATAAAGGTACGATCGATACAGAAGGTGAAGTGTTAGAGAGACTGTGTCGATGCGCCGAGGTGCGCTCTAGGGCTCGCTGGGAATCGAGGTAAGCAAACTGTTTCTTCTGGGTTAATTCTGAAACAGGTGGCCAGACTCTGTGGGCTTATTCAGTGTGGGGGCGTGCTATTGAGCGACTTGCGATCGAGGCTTGCGCGTGCAGAAGAACGAGTGACGGGTTTCCAAAGGAGGGGGTTGTGATTATGCGCAGCAAACAGACACAATTTGAGATGATTGTTGAGGAGGAGGAGAGGGCTCTCAAGGTTCGAGAGAGGTGTTGTGATCCCAGCACAGGACAACTTCGACCAGGGGCAAGAGAGCGCAGCCGCAGCGGAGAAAGGACCGAGTTTCTTGGTGGTGGTGATCTGGGCGCCAGTCAGTGTCCGCCCTGGGAGCCTGTAAAAATGGGCGTACCTGAGGCTGTACCTGAGGCTTCCCTACAGGTTACCTAGGACCTAATACGGAGTAGAGGTGGTGGCAGTTGCTGGTGGTAGAGCGTCGAGCAGAGAGCGCAGCTTGCAGTCGTCTGCTCGGACTCTATTTAGAGAGAGTCTCTCTGAAGGTGCCGTAGTCATATGGAGTATTCTGTCCCTTTCCCTGTCCCATACCACACAGCCCCTTCCCACACCCACCCACACACGACGCGTCAACCTGTGATGAAAATGGCAAAATGTCCACACCTTACATGACAATCATGACACTTGAGACATCCTCGACAGGCATTGTCAACATAGTGTCTCCTTATTGTGAAAACACCGGTCTGGCCCACGAAGGAGAGCATCTCCCGTGGCTTTCCTCGATTGCCGTTATCTATCCCAGCGACCATCTCAAAAACCTTTTCTCCTTCATACGAGATTCGGCAGCTGTTACTTACTATCAACAATAGCGCAGTTGGGCCACAACCAATGTATTGCGGCACATGGTTATGCGCAGGAAGAACGCGTAATAGCCACACACTCGCAGACAAGAGCAGACATTTAGGCGATAGTAATAGCGACAAGTTCCAGCCATGAATCGAGGCTCCAATTGCATCCAAAAATTCCTGTACATGCTATCTTCGCAAGGGATCTTTCTAGCCTATCTTTCATTCCTTGAAACCTCGGACAAGAGACGCTTGTCCATTCTTCACAGGTCCACCCATGAGAAACATTGATACAGCTGATCCCAAACGCCTCGGAGTCAAACAGTTGCCCAACTTTATAAGAAGCTCTTGAAGTCCTTTTTGGAAAAACCCCCCAGCCAACCCCAATCCATAAATCGACTTTTCGCGAAACACAGAATTGCTCTTCTATCTTCTTTCCTTGTGGCCGTAAACAAAAACATGACAAATCGTGGCTTTGACCGCCTCGACTTAAAGCAGCCGTCAGACCATCCTCGTGGTGCTTTCGGGTGCTGTAAATCTGAAGGGCTCCGTGGTGCATCATTAAAGGTAGTAATCATAGTAGTATCCAGAGCAGTTCTTACTAGCGAAGTGGTGCTGCTCGAGGGAATGGAAGTGGAATATGTTCATGGCTGGCATCGTCTGGGGTATCATAATTTTGGTCACATCATGTTGATATCTCCACCGGCAGAGAGACCAGCTCCCATATTCCCAGCGTTGCCCATCATGTTGTGCATTGCCATGTTTGGGCTCTTGTTCGCATTGAGCTGCAATTCCGGATTGCATGGAGGAGAATGTTGCTTGTGGTATTTGAGCCCGTTCAAATTCTTGTATCGCTTCTGACAAACGTCACACTTATATGGCTTCTCTTTCTCCATGCCCATGGTACCAGGGTAAGGTGCTTGTGTATCAGGGTCGACAATCGAGAAAGTGCCATCCCCATTCTCATGGAGTCGTTGATTGTTATGACCATGCTGCGAACAGGTTAGTCAAACGCTCGAGATAGCAAGAATGGAACGTCGCGACTTACCGTTTTATGATATTTGAGACCATTTTGATTTTTATAAGCCTTCTCACAACCAATCACGGGACAGCGGAACGGCTTCGGTTCTTCATGGGGAGGGATATTAGTCGTGGTGTCCGGCAGACCAGCCGCAGCTTGCCGTTCGCGAATTGTTCTGGCGATCTCACTGTCCGCTCCATATTGTCCAGAGCCAAGTCGGTTGTGAATAACGTTCTGTGATTGCATGCCCTGAGCCCCATGAGAGAAGAGCCGTTTGGCAGGCTCATCAATGCAAAGATCAATCATGTCACTGTTCATGCCAAAGCCAAACCCACCGAATCCGTTGGGAATGTTGCTGTACAGGTTGTTCGACATGGACATGTCGTCCATACCGTTCATCAGACCATCGTCTAACTCACCCGGCGTACCAGGGGCAGAAGAGTCCGGGGTACCCCGATACGGATTCTGTTGTAGGTCTTGAAACTGCTGCATGGGATTGGCCATGAGCGTGGATGAGACGTTGTTTCCTTGAAATGCGGCGTTTGGTCGACCAGAAGCCACAGGGGTGTTTGGCGTAGATTGACGGAATGCTTGATGTCCTTGCATCATTGAAGTGTTCAGCTGAGGAATCTGCGGTTGTGCCGTAGCATTGAAAGACGTTTGGGGGGAGGCTTGGGACTGGTTGGACGTATATATGTTGGGTGGCGGAGTTGTCTCGTCTGTCCCGTCAATGTCATCCATCTCCATATCTTCAACCGTATCCATGTCAGGAATCGTCTGCAATGTACTCGCAAAGCCCGTCTGTCGTGGAGGGTTTTGTGACGCAGAAGATTGCGATCCAAATGGCCGGCCGGGCGCATTTTGAGATTGCTGTTGTTGACTTCGCTGTTGGGCTTCTTGTTGGACTTGGGCCGCAGTCGTGGCAGCGAGCGCCGCCCGGCTGTCGGGAACAGGGTGTTGACTCTCATTTGCCGAAGGGTCCTTCTGCGCGTGGGCTTCTTCGTAGTGTTGAAGCAAATCGTGCAGAGTGGGTAGCGTAAGGCCACAACATGAGAAATCTTTCATAAAATTTGCCTCCAACTTAGGGAGGTACGACGCGGATTGGAAGGAGGGGGAATTGAATGCGAAGGGCGATGTTCCAGACATCATCATACTGTGAACTGTAAGCATGGGACCTTGACTAGGGGAACCAATATCACCAACTCGTCTCGAATCCAGCTACCGACTGAAATCCCTCCCCAACTCATACCTGCATTGATGCTTTGAGCAATACTCTCTCGTCGGGCTTGTCTGTCATTTTGAGCGCCCTTCATCGCAATTGGTCGTGCCCCACGTTCGAACTTAGCGAAGTCATCGGAGGCGTTGGAGGGCATCTGTGGCATCGGACGGTTGAAAGCGGTATCTGCTGGTGAGTTCGCCATCCTCCTCTTTTCTTCGCTATCGCTTCTCTGCAAGGCCGAGGTCAAATTCGAAGGCTGATTACCACGAGGCGAGGTCGATGTTTGTCGTGCCGAGACGTCGAGAGGGCCGGCTACGCTCGCCATTCCCCGAACAGGTGGCGTTGCGCCAAAGGTCGGGAAAGTACTATCGTCGAAGTCAGGCTCGAGTAAGGGGTTGTCGAGGCAGAGTCTCGTCGTAGTACGTCCAACGTCAATCGGCTTCTTGAACCAGGGGAGAATGACCTTCTCTGACTTCTTGCCGAATGCTTTCCCAAAGGAAGAGCCGCTATCGACCGGTGTGCCGGGAGTTGTATCTCGGGACGTGAATGAGGACCGATCACTCGGAGACGGCGAGTGATTTAGTGGAGGAGGACTCTCTTCGTAATCAAACATAGACTTGTATGGAAGAGCGTCGTCGGAATGGTATCGAGTAAAGTAGAAGAATACTCGCGATAATATTGCTGAGATCCGGCTGTGACGTGATGAAGGCGACTCGGAACGACACCTGACTGTCTATCTGAGGCGCGGCGAATCCGTCGAGGTGTAATGAGCGACAAGGAGAGGGCAGTGAGATGCAAAGACAAGGCGATGTCTTGTCGAGATACTGATAAAGGCTCTCGCTGGAGATACAGTCTATCGAGTCGGTGAACAAGCACGAGGCAGGATAAAAGTATCGATGAGGGAGAAGATGGAGGGTCGATGGTACTGCAGGTCGACTCGAATCGAGTGGATGAGGACCCGGGCAACTCGAGGGTTTAGCAGGCGAGCCAGTGAGCCAGGGTTCACTAGGTCGCCCATCCCCCGTCGCCCATTAGCATTGTACCTAGGGCAGCGGCGATGGGGACCTAGCGCAGGCTGGTGGGCTCAACCTCCAAGCACCGAGTGACGCCCTTGACTGCCCACAGCGTCCGCTAGACCACCAGGGCCAGAGTTGCATTTCTCGGCCGGGGGCGTGTTCTGAGTCTCTACAAGCTTGTCACCTGTGGAGCCGGTCTCTTCCATCTTTTCCGCATCTCAGCCTAGTGAGCAAACAAGTCATCATTATTCGACCAGAACACCACCCACCCTCGTTTCCGACCCAGCGAGTCTCTCCCGAGGCTCCATTTCCACGCCTGGGCGACATGCCAGGCACAGTGACGGTTGTGTTGATCGTGTTGGGTTCATGAGTATCAAGTTCTGGTTGTCTACGAGGCACGACTACTGGTATCGGCGTATCACTGACCCATCCAGTACATTGCATGTACGCACTTCAAGAAAAGGCTCCTGCTCCTCGCTTTCCCGCATCGAGGACTTTGACAGCAATCAATATATCTGCTGCACGGCCGGCTTTGACGCTCATCACCTCGTTTGAGATCTTCGCTTTGGTATCGACTACTAATCCACTAGTTGCGAGCATTGACGCAAGATCCCAACACGTACTGGTCAGTTACCACGAGTCGGTTGGCCATGCGAGAAGCAGTGCCATCATGTCAGCCTTCGTGAGCCAGAGATGAACCCAAGCATCCGAGAAGTGAGCAACCCTGGTCGAGAATATCTTGCACGGGCCTTTGCCGCTATTTCAGCTGGCAGCCTGCTCACCAACCGCCGAAACTTCGCATGGCACATGTGGGCTGCCCTCCCTAACAGCGTCGAAAGCCGGCATCGTACCGGAATAGTAATGGAGACCTTTAACCCTAAAGCAAGATAGATTCCCAGTCGAATGGGCACCGTACGGAGTATAAAACCCTTGTTATGCAAGAGATGGCTGTCGGAAAATACCTGTACCACACCTTGCTTGTCGATTCTTTCACCGATTCTTTTATGATGACCCCTTCCAGCCACAAGCTGTCACCGAACAACATTTTGGGACAGGTAACAGTCGTGGTGTAAACGAACCCTTTCCGGGCTGACGGGGAGTGACGCAGGATGGGTCAAAGCCGTCCGCTGTTCACCACGAAAACCACGAGATTCAACCTAGCCTCGATTGGACTGGGTCCTGACCATTGCAAGACCCTTGAACTAACCAGGCATGGTGGTGGGACACCCGGGAAGCTACTCGTGTGCGGCCTTCTCAAGCAATGCTGAACGGATTCAGCGGCCACCAGTTGCCGTTAGGGGCTGACTTGCGCAGTCTCGGTCCGCCCACTCTTCTACTCCTGAGTCCTTACTGCTCACGTCTCCCTTCCTCACCATCACACGTACCGACGGACCGCTATGCCTGCAACGACTCCCGACATATTACAGTTTTCGGTAACGTTCGGCGTCTGCTCAAACTGCTCCGAAGCAAGTCCTGGCCTCCCTGCCGAAAATTATTTCGCGAGTGACCTCGCGGCTTCTGGAGGTGCTTTTGAGACCCCTTCTCAGCCTCACTCACCAGGCCGAAGAGATGGGTGAATATTACACGTCTACCCACCATACGCATATCCCATCGAGAAATCTCGAATTGCCCCTGTGGCGTCACGTGGCAAGCTGGATCCGTAGGCTTCGAGAAGCGTACGTGGATACCTGCGTCTCGGGCAATCGGATGTACAAGATTTGCCCCCCCCGTTAAACCATGACTGATGCAGGGCGTAATCTCGCCATGGTCAGGCTGTCCTGGCAAACGCACTCGTTCGTTCAGAACAGCACGAGCAGTGCCACCCATTCTTACTTCGACCTGTTCACATCTCATTTGGGCAGGACCGTGTGGTCATAGTGATGCAAGGAGCCCTGACCGACAGTTGGGCTGCAATGGGCAGGTGGCCACTCTTCTAGCCTCTAGCCTCTAGGCCAGCAGAACAGCTCGCTGATCATCACGCAGCTAGGCTATAGGCTTTGCCTAGGGAGCCTTGTCAAGGCAGGAATGGTCCTCTGGTTGGCTCTGTCAAGCAACCGCGAACCCCTCCAGCAATTAATTGATGCGAATATCGTTTACACACAAGCTGTCAATCTCGATTGATGGATCTCCAGCCCGCTGATGATCCAAACAGCTGCCAACGTCTACTGTATCGTTCTTATGCATCCCAATTCAGAACATCAGTGCCGATAAAACAAGCGCCACTCAGGAGTGAGCGGTTATTGCTTCGTCGTGCCATACTCGTCCCCGATCTACTAGCATGATCCGTCAATCGATGTCGGAGGCTCAACATCACAACCTGAAGCCAGAACGTCGACACTGCCTTCCTATGTAAGTACGTGCTCCGTAACACAGCCGGCAAATAGTGGCCGTGCACGTAGTTGGGACAGAGCACCGAGGCTAGAAAGTGCATCGAGCCATTTTTCAATAAGGCTCAACTCCCCCAACACCAAGCAAGGCTGGCCTTTCATTCTGGAAACGTTGACTAATGGTTTCGCCTCGATCCAGGTTTTCTGGACGATACGCTGCTTCTGAGTGGACGGCGAGAGATTTGACGGAAGACGTCGCGGCATTGGTACCGGGAGCTTGGGACGACGGCAGCCACTTCTTCGGACTGTTGTGCTCTATGCAAAGCCCAGGACTCGGGCATTATTACGTTTTGTCTCCCAATTTGGAGACGGAGGGCGAGATTTGGTTGCCGCATGCGGTTTGCTCCGGTAGAAAATTCGGTACCCGCCATGTTCGCCCTCAGATTCGACAGTGGAACTCCCGACCGACCAGTATTCAGGCTGGAAATCATTTCACCAAAGGTGCCGAGGCACGCACCGTTACTGGCTGTAGCCTGGTAGGCATTTCTTCGATAGCCTCGTCAACTCTACCTCAGCGAGTACCGCGCAAGGTAGCACTCTTATTGTCGAGTGCGCCAACTTTTGGCCATATTTCACTGACTTTTTGGGTCTGGAGTTTTGACGCAACAACCTAACCGCAACACACGATTGGGGGTTTGGGAATGCCTCCTCCACGCGGCTGCAATCGCTCTATCAGTGCCGATCATGCCTGCACGACGAACAAATGCCGTGCAAGTACGAATAGCCGCAGGTGAGTGTCTTGTCCACCCTTTCTCCTCCTCGCCTAGTCAACGTTTCACATCAAACAAGCAGAGCCGGCTGGTGACAGACCCACAAACTTCATGTGCGTAATAGCGTGTCCAGCGAATCATTCACCCGCTTCATTTCCCATCTTTGTTGAAAGCCTGGTGCCTCCAATCAAATGTTTCGCGGGCTTTGTTATCTTCTTAATCAACTATTCGTATCGAAAGATGCAACAATACTTTTGTGGCATTGACTACGGGAGAGCCATGATCTCTTTGCCAGTGTCGACGCATTCCTGAGAAAAGTAAAACACAAAAGTTTTCCTGATCGCCACCTGCGCCACCACTCGACACGCTTTCCGTTGCTTGCATTTACAATCATACTCGGCTGGATTAGAATCGAATGGCCATCGGTCCGGCTTGCACATGCAACGATAGAACAAGGCACAAAGCCTTGGCAGCGGCAACACTCCGTGTCCATGTTGTGACTGAGTCATTCACTCAGATTCGAGGGGTAGTCAAAGGCAAGTCCCAAGCTGTCTCTCGCCTCACTCATAGAATGGGGCCCCGCTGTTATCGGTTCACACGTTGACATGGCAAAGTTGACTGGGATAACGATAGTGGATCACTCAAGACACAGGTCAGTCGAAGGTCATCCCATAGAATACATCGACTACCGCAATGAAGGTGATCGTCTTGTAACAGTATCGCCTTGCCCGTCAATAGCACCAATCGCATACTCCGGACACCACATGCTCGTGTTGACGCCTTTCATGCTACACGGCACGCATGTGAGCAACTCCTCTCCTTAGTGGCTATTCCTGTGCTGTTATGGCAGGACTTTTCCTTTTATGCACGTGTGAACTCTTGATATCCATGTTTGGATCTTATTTCATGCTTTTGCTGTCAAACCGTGACTTGCGAACGAGTCGAAGCGCTTACTTTTGATCTTTCGCAAGCAAAGTCTCGCCTTCGCCCTCGGCTGAAAAAGCTTGTCAGCACCATGTCCTTCGACAGGGGACTATTACTCACCAGGTGATGGCGACTCGACTGGTGACAACGCACTCCTCGGATCGTCCACGCGGAATGTGGTTGGTGCATGGCAGTGAGGACACCTCTCCTTCCACAAGGAGCGTCGATAGCGAACGTATCGAACAAGGCCAGAGGCAACCAGCCACCCGTGCATTATCCTAGACAGGACAGTCAGCACCGATTAGGCCTCGAATATGCAATCAAATCCCAGTGTCCTGAGGTGATCTCTCTTATTACGGGATAACTCACATCGCCACGAGTGCTCCAACCGAGACGTATACCATCATAACCACTGGGTCCCATGAGTCCGAGTCGGTCTCCACAACAGTCGTGATGATGTACAGGATGAAAGTGGCAACGACGAGGAAGATATCGAGAGCGAGAACGAAAAGTGAGGGCGCTTGATTGCCCTCCGGCAGCATCAGAGCTCCTCGAGGATGTTTCGCTATAGTGCTTGCCAGGACGATGGCAATGTTCGACACGAACGAAACCGCAAGGAATGCGGCAACAACGGTGAAGGCAGCTTTTCGGGTCGTCGCCCCAACAGCAAACCCAAGGCTCAAAGCGACAGCATCATTGAGCACGAGCAAGAAGCGGATACGGTTGTCGAGATTCGTCTTGCTGCAGGCGTTGAGATTCTCTCGGATTCTGGACGCCGTTGGCAGATGGCGGATGTATTCGTGATGGGATGCCATGGCCACGCTGCAAGGCAAACGAGCTGAAATGGAAGAGGGTAAAGCAGTATATGAAGGTCGAGATTCCCGGAAAAAGAACCTCTCGACAGACGGAACGGGATGCTGTTGTTGTTATATGTCTAGGGTTGTGTCAATATGCGAAACAGTGTTGCCTGGCGGATGAAATGAACTACTGTAGTTCTCTTCCCCCCCCCCCCCCTTTGGAGTTGGCCCCCAATGATCCAACATTCGGTTTCAGAAGACTGCATAGCCACGCTCGGACAGGTGCCATAACGCGTGACGGTTTCTCTCTTTCTTACTCTGACCTAGCCGCAACCAAAAGTGGGAAGATGTAGAGGGGGTCGCATCGGTCCAGTCACGCTGTTGGCCAAGTGACCGGCCACGATACAGACCTCAAGGAAGGCTTGAAAACTGGAGCAAACACGAGTACACGCACTGCTTTTAACCCCTTGTTCAAGATCCTGACTCACTCTGCTTTGTTTGGTGGTGCCATCGCGTCTGGCCGACGACCGTCGTCGCTCGTCGCGGAGAAACAGTCAGAAACAAGTTGAGGTGACTCGCGGCGGGGCACGAGGATGACGCGTCTCTCTCTGAACGGCGTGAAGACTGCAACGCCAACTGACATAGACTCGTACTGATATAGATTCGTCAAGGCTGTAACCGGACATACCAAGTAACCATTTTCAGTTTGCACAGCTCAGTGTCCTGCCATGTAGATGTCTGTCCGGAGTGCTTCGAGATACGGCGATGCCTTCGTCGATGAAGTCGGCAATACTTCGGCCGCTTTACACAATGCAAGGGCTTGGCGCCGCCTTTCCCACACTGGAACCTTCAACTTTGATCGGCTGGTACATTAGATGCCACTCGCCTGCAAAGCCAAAACGATACTTCAGGTCGATGCCTTAGATTTCCTAGGATTCCCGCGCGCGCAATGACCGACGTCTCTCCAGCGACAGAGCAGCCATCTGCTGATAAGAGTTCCAACCCTCTTGGTACTCCACACCCAGACTCGGCTCCTACAACCGAGGCGTCTTCAACTTCAGTTAAGCGCAAAGTTGACGATTTAGGTCCGATGGAAGCAAAGTTAGATGCTAGAGATGACAAACGACGCAAAGGGACAGCACCAATCAAGGAAGAGTATCTTGTAAAGTCAAACGATGGTGTCGAACCAAGACCTCCTCAAGACGAAGCTGATGATGATGCTGCCGAGGCCTTTCACCACAAAGACAGGCAGACAGGCGGCCACAATGCCAAATCCAAACGTCGCGAGAAGAAGACTGGCCAAAACAAGGCCCGAGACTTCGGCAGCTCCAGGGACGAAGTAGGGCTCTGCACCTCCCGCGCACACAGACCTGAATTTTCTCCAGAAGATTGCAAATACGGAGACAAGTGCAAATTCGAACATGACCTGCGGAAGTACCTGGAGCATAAGCGGCAGGATTTGACCACTTTCAACGGTGTTTGTCCTGTATGGCAGACGAAGGGAAGGTGTCCCGTCGGGTGGAAGTGCCGTTTCGTGGGGTCTCATTCAAAGGAGGTCGAACATGACGACGGACGACGAGAACTAGTCCTGCTGCAGGACGAGTCACGAATGGCCGAATACGCTGCAACGTCAGTAGAAGAAGAGGGAGCGGGAGTGGCCAACGCCATCGGTGTACAGCAACGATTTGATCTCACCAAGCGAAAGGTTGGAACGCCCAAGTCCGATCAGGTCTTGAAGTGGCTCGATGCTCAAGCTCAAGCTCAAGCTCAGGGGCAGAAGCAGCGGGTCGATGGTGGTCGACCGGATCGGAGCCATCGCAACTCTTCCTCTCCCGAACCCGACCCAGAACAAGGCACCGTGAACGGTCACAGGAAGCTAGATTCACGTGCTACATTCGTCGATCCTCCTCTTCGACCTTCCGAGAAGCGCAGATTGTACTTTGGAGCCGAGACGCCTGTCCTCGCTCCTCTGACAACGCAGGGAAACCTCCCCTTTCGGCGGCTATGTACCTCTTTTGGAGCCACCTTCACGTATTCAGAAATGGCAATGTCGTTGCCTCTGATTCAAGGTCAAAAGTCCGAGTGGGCACTGATCAAAGCCCACGAATCCGAAGTGCAGCCACCGACCTTTTCTCTCAAGGGTGGAAAGAACATTGTCTATGACTATGATCAAAGCAAAGATCTCTGCTTCGGTGCCCAGATCGCAGCAAACAAGCCATGGCTTGCAATCAAAGCTACCGAAATATTGACAACTCTCCTTCCAAAGGGCCTCCGTGTGGTTGACCTCAACGTGGGTTGCCCCATCGACTTGGTTTTTCGCGATGGCGCCGGCTCAGCACTCATGGACACGGCGCCCAAGTTGGAAAAAATGCTTCGAGGGATGAACCTCGTGTCCGGTGAGACCCCTGTCACCGTCAAGATTCGTACGGGTACAAAAGACAAGCATCCCACGGCGCAAAAGCTGGTGGAGAGACTTGTCCTAGGTGCGGGTCAGACTGCGGGCCACCCTTGCGGAGTAGCGGCGATCACTCTTCACGGTAGAACAAGACAGCAAAGATATACCCGTTCGGCGGATTGGGACTACATCGCAGAGACGGCGACCCTCATCCAGAATTTCAACGAGAAAGCAGACAGCGTAGCGGACACGATTCATGAACCGGACGAGCGAGATATGCCGAACGGCCACAAAGGTTCGAAACATGGCAAGGTATTCTTTGTCGGAAATGGGGACGTTTACTCTCATGAACATTATTACGACCATATTGAACACGCAAAGGTCGATGGTGTGATGGCTGCCAGAGGAGCTCTGATCAAGCCGTGGCTTTTCGAAGAAATCGCGGCGGGCCAGTATATAGACAAGTCTTCATCGGAACGACTTCAAATCATCGAGAAATTCTGCCGGTATGGTCTGGAGGCATGGGGAAGTGACGAGATCGGAGTCGGACAGACTCGAAGGTTTCTGCTCGAATGGCTCAGTTTTGCTTGCCGCTATGTCCCCGTCGGGTTGCTTGAGTATCTGCCTCCGAACATCCAGCACCGACCCCCTCGATACAAGGGAAGAGACGAGCTGGAGACCCTAATGGCTAGCGACAACTACTTGGACTGGATCAAACTCAGGTACGCTTGTCTGATATCTGTTTTTGAACTTCAACTGACGTGAGATGTAGCGAGATGTTCCTCGGTCCTGCCCACAAGGATTTCCAGTTCGTGCCGAAGCACAAGTCCAACGCATACGAAATGCAGGCGGAAGGATGATAGAAGGATGATAGTGCGGTGGGTAATACCCAAGGTCCACACTCTGACATGGTCCCGTGGCGAAGTAGAGACGCATCCGAGACATGTAGAGCCATAACCAATTCAGCATCACGGCAGTTACTCAAATTTTGCAGAATCCAGTGGTTCATGTTTCTACTGTACTCGGTTTACCTCTCCAGGCTGATGCGAGTAGACTAGAAAAGCCGGAGGCCTATATCGACAGGTCTATCGCGCGACCCTCACGCATAGACTGGTCCGCAGCAAGGACAACAGCAAGCGACCGCACTGCGTCTTTCATATGCTGCTCCAGGTTTTGGTCTTCCCAGATGGCCTCGAGTAGGAATTGCTGCTCCCGAGCACAAAGCCCGTAGTGGTCTGGCTCGTCAGCCATGGACAAAACCTTGTCCTTGCCGTCGGCAACACGGTGTATGCGAAGTCGAGAAGTCTTTGTGTGGCTGTGTACATCTGCAGACCCAGTGTCGTCCTCCTTCACAATCGACACCGAACCTCGCGGACCCATAACGTCTTTGACGAAGTGCGCCGTCTCTGAGATCATCGGGCCCCAGCCTGCTTCGTACCACCCTACCGAGCCATCGGCGAATGTGACCTGAAGGTGACCATAGTTGACCTGGTCAGAAGCAATCTCGTCCGAGAGGCGTACTCCCATACCGCGAACCTGGACAGGAGCACTGTCCGTGATCTGTAGCATGACATCAAGATAGTGCACTCCACAATCCACGACGGGGCTGACATTCTCCAAGAGCCGCTTGTGAAGCACCCATGCGCGGCCCGTAGAGCGCTGATTGAGGTTCATACGCATGACGAACGGGGGGCCGAGAAGACGTGCCTGGGTGACGAATTCGACCCAACTTGGGTGGTGTCGCAAGATGTAGCCCACGACCAGTTTTCTGCCGGTGCGGTGTGCCGTGGCCACGACACGTTCGGCATCCGTGACCGTCAGCGCGAGTGGCTTCTCGACGAACACATGGGCGCCGGCCTCCATCGCCGTGATCGCATACTGGGCATGTGTATCGGTGTGGGTGTTGATCGAGACCACGTCCGGCTTGAGCGCGAGCACGGCATCAAGATCAGTAAAGGTCCGGTAGTGCTTCAGCTGGTCTGGAAGTGCCGTGCCGCTGCGGTTGACCAATCCTACGATCTGATATCCCGGATTGCCATGGTAGGCAATTGCGTGTGATTGTCCCATTTGTCCCAGACCAACCACTGCAACGGTCAGTACAGGTCTTTGACCAGCAAGGTGGTCATCATCCCTGCTGAATGCAGTGTCAGCCATCGTTGCCTGGCCCCTCTGAAGCTGATAGATGAGCAACGGAACGCGGTGGATGAGGTACCGATCGAAACTTCGCGGTGTAGCGAGAAGGGCTAGATCTGACTGTCTTAGAAACTCCACCGTTCTGCATCAATGATAAGGAATAAACGACTAGAACCTAACTGGGTCGGCAAATGCCGTCTATTCAATCATCTTCTCGGCATCACGATTTTCGCCGTCTATTGTTAAAGTCTCTCTGAACTATACTCTGGATGTCCCTGATTCTTTGACCACGAGAAAAATGGAGTGTATCCGTGATCCCATTTTGGCCTAGTCAACTCTTGCACAAGCGGTCCGTGTTTTTCGCAACTTGAGCAGCTTTGCCCGTGAAGAAGTATATCATGATAATACATGTTTTTGAAACTTCTGATTCCATACTCGCTTGGTGGTGGGCTCTAGCTGAGGGGATTTCACCGATCTCGTAGTGTACAGGGACACCAGCCTCAGTGATACCAACCTCGGCCAACACTCTCCTCGCACGGCTCGTTGATTATGTCTCGACTGAACGGGTGTCTGCTCCTCGCTAGGATTGGCCGTACGAAAACGCCACATAAGACATCTGATTCGACTCGCGGTAAGGAACGAGAAACGCTTACCAGAATTTTTCTGAGACCAACAGTCATGCTCCTGAGAGGACCTTTCCAGCTCTCGCAATTAATGTCAAACGCTGAGTTGCTCCAGGTGTCTCACCGTCAGCAATCCCATATATGAACTAACAATGTCAGGGCCTGACTTCAGCTACAAGATACATTGGTCTAGTCGCTTGCTAAGGGATTGGCACAGACTTCGACCGCTCTGGCCTGACCCTGGTATTTGCCGGGGTCATTTTGCGGCTTCCCATACCTTTCTCAGACAGACTCCTGTTTAGCTCCGCAGCCTTGTCCCGAGGAAAAGATTGACTAACGCATCCTTACTAACGCTGCTTTGAATACAACGGAAAGCAGCATCTTATCCACACGGTTATGCTAAGATAGGACTCCCCCTTGGTCTGAAGAGCATATAAGGAAGCCAGAATGCATCCCTTCCGCTGTCATCTTCAATCTCTCATGGCAAAATGATCCCACCAATGCAGTTACACTCTTGGATACATCACGACAACCAAGCAGATACCAAGGCTCGTTCTTCACGCAAGAGCCAAGTTTTCCGTCATGTGGCAGCACATCGAAAGCTGGAACGACAGCAACGGACTTGGAAGTTGAGAGCCTCAGCTCTCGACCTATATCAGACCCTTCAGACACCACAAGAGCGCCATGTGAAGGCAGTCGAGAAGCATTTCACAGCTGTGCTTGATCCCTTGGACACACTGTCTCTGCCTGCCACGGATGAAATCCAGAGTCTGATCCACTTCGACCAAGAATACATCATTCCAGCTCTATCAGGCTGCCTAGTTTGCAGAGTCTTCCCCTCTGCGTATCTCCAGGATGATGTGGCTAGGTACGGGTATTTAGCGAGGATTGCAGCCATAAAAGCACGCTGTTCAGATCCTGGATTGTACAATCAAGCGCTCAGTTTGAAAGCCGAAGCCATGCGACGACTTCGAGAGCGTCTGCCACAGTTGGAAGAATCAAACAGGCTTCCTCGAGCAGTTCTCTCTCTGATGTTTGCAGAATCATCGTGTCTCAATTTTGAGGCGGCAGATATTCACGTCCAGCTTCTTTCAGCCGTCAACGAAAGCTACGGCCTGGATCTCGATGACCTGATCAGTGTGTTACATCAGGATGTCCAACGAGCAGCCATGACTTTGACAAGAACAAGGTTCTCCATGCACGACAGATCTTGGGCCAGTCTTGAGGGCGAATTATTTCATTCCCGAGCGCCGAGGAAGAGCCTAGACAGTTACCAAGAATCCTCCCTCGAATGGATCATGATCGAGTTGCGCGGAGCACTTACTGCTTTGGACATACTTCAGAGGGCTGAGAGCCCACAAAGCAGTCGAGAAGCGGCGACTTTCAAGTGTCTCCACGTCATGGCGTCCCTGATCGACCATTATCACGATACCACAGACCAGGTGGAAAAGTACACGGCCCTGGCGGCGGTGTATCGTATTCGACGAGCGGCGGGTATGGAACGAGTGATTATTTGTGAAAGTACAGTGTTCGACTCTGGCAGAGTCATCATACCACAGTTGCGTGAATTGCTAGCGGCCACTTATGGAGACCTTCCAGCTCTGCGACTGTGGGCATTGTACATTGGCGCCAAAGCAGGAGACGATTGGTTTGACCAGGAGCTCGGTAACCACAGCAAGCAGATGGGATTTTACGATCCCGAAATGTTACAAGGGTTTCTCACTGGATTTGAACGATCGGGACTGGGTCGATGGAATTGGGAAACGGTTTAGATTGAGCCGATTGGTCGATATCTAAGCTAGTGCTATCAAGGCACATCTGGGTTTCACGCTGAGATTGGCGGCGCCGGGTATTCCAAGTTATGCAATCGGGCCATTGCCATCTGAAAGTATAACTGTACAGTCGAAAGCATGGGGCTGCAATTCCCTCGCCCTTGTCACTGCAGCCTTGCGTCAGCTCCTAGAAGCGGAATATGCCATCCGACTGGCACGCCGTTATTCAGCCTTGCACTTGCAGCTGCACGAGACTTCCGTTTTGCCCTCCGTGGTCTAGCCTGCTCGTATCGGAGTGGGGGAGGCTTCGGCAACGCTGACGCCCGGCTTACTTCAACAAACCTCGCCGACCTAGGATCTTGGCCTTCAGACCACAGAATCGAGATCGAGAGTGACTGAATAAGCGAGGCCATCCGTTGGCCACTTCGATGCCTGAGAGACCAACACATCATCACTATCCGGGGACGAGCAGCAATGATGTGACAAGCACTTTCGTAAACATCATGCCGCTATGGCCGGGACGCTACCGCAGAGTGAAGCCGCTGGGTTGATGGTGCTGGAAGGGCCATCTCCCGAGGAATGGGCGTTGATAAAGGGTGTGTTCATCGAGTTGTACGTCCACCAGGAGAGGAAGCTATCCGAGGTGCGAAGGCTATTGGCCGAGCAATGTGGGTTTTATGCAACGCAAGTCCTCCAGGTACCTTGCTAAGGACAGGGCTGGCTAACACGATGCCCAGGGAGAAGGCGTACAAGAGACGAATTGCTCAATGGCGGGCCTTCAAAAACTATAAAGCCGCCGACAAGAAAGCAATCTCTGACACAGTTCAACAGGTTCAAGAAAGCAGCAATTCCCCTGTCCGACTATACGGCAGACCGGTGAAATGGGATAGAATAAAGCGGTTCAACAGGACCCCCGGTCCAAGTAGAAAACGTCGATCGGCGCTACCTTTTGAGGCGAAGCTTGACCTACAGCTGCGCCCAGATGTTCTTTCCCCTGCACTTGAGAGCGATGAACGCATTCTTTTTCTGACTCAATCCTATCTGACCTGGAATGTCTCACGGTGGAAGCCTCTTGGCTTTCACGGCCATACTAAGGGCCACGTTAATGCACCAGATGGTCTACCTGCGGCCTTCAACAAATGCTTCTATGACGCTATCCCCCTGCTGCTGACAAAGCGCACATCAGAAGCATTCGAGAAGATCAACTTTGCTTGCAGTCTCGCATTGCAATGCCTCCAAGATTGTCCGTACTGGGTATTCTTACGTCTGCTACGACTGTATGCGTATCCTCTATGGGGACGATTTGCGGACGTGCGAAGCCACATTATAAGATATCTGCGATTGCTGGCTTCCCGCACGTTGCCAGTTAGTCATCCCCTGAACAACCTGCTTGACATGTGGATTGAAGCTGGAATGGAACCCGACAAAGCCAGACTGGCTGCCCTTCTCCGACTCACCTCTGACCTCATCGGACCGTCAAGTCCACTGGAAGCTGAAGAGTGGGCTTGGGTTCAAGATGAGATTTGCTCTCTACACTATCAGCTTGGAGGCTTCAATGATGCTTTGCGGATCGCCGACAGGCTTGCGGTAGACACCCAAATTCCACTAGGTGTTCGAATCTGCTCCCTACAAATGGTGGCAAGGCAATATCTGCACCAAGCAAATATAGAGAAAGCCGAGTCAATTCTACTGGACACTTTGCAGCTTTGTGATGAAGCACCAGACGATTTTGGAGCGGATTGTTTTGTGCCACAATCCTATTCTGACCTGGGATATGCATCATTCATGAAAGGAGATTATAAACGAAGCTCAATACTCTTTGAGTCGGCACTAAACAAAGCAAGACAAGTCCAGAACTCAGGCAACGCGTCGTCCATCCAATGTCGAATTGAGGCTACAAGCCAACAAAATACCGCAGACGATCCTGCAGAGACGTCCTCACAAGCAATGAAGGCCAACAGCAAATGGGCACTCTGGGCATTTTGCCGACCTTTTTCATGACACCATTTGAGATACAAAATGCTTAACGAATAGCTCATGCTTCACTCTTTGATCCAACACTTGTGCGCTGACAACCATCCACAGTGTCTGTCACGAGACGCTAAGATTCTCGCCTAGACGGGCGATATCTCTAGCAACTCAGTGAGCAAAGGACGAGATAAGGAAGCGTACCACCTAGCATAGCTGGAAGTACACTTCCGATAGAGGGGGAAGCTTACAAGAAACGCTCCCCTCCCGGTCTAGGTAGACGACCTCTTCGCCCTTCAAGCGATGAGTCGTTGTTACAGAGGGCTCAACATTGCATCAACTATCTCATTACAGGGCTATTCTCAGTGAAGGTCCTGAGAGTGTCTTTGGCCCTCTACCTTTTCTTTGTTTCATTCAGAGATTATGTCTGCTTCTTGCATCTGATTCACATTGTATTGTGGTTGTCTTTGTTGCCTGTTACACAAAAGTACACTTACGACGTCTCTTTCTTTGTTGACCTCTTCTTTTTAAATTTTGGGCGCTCACAGGAGGATCTCAGAGAAGGATCTTTTGAGGCTCGCGCTACTTTGTGCTGAACATACCAACTATCGGCGACTCTTGGACTTCATCCTGATAACTGTCGACGACAACAAGACTGCTGTTCTTGGTCAGCTAGAATAGCAAATTCAGAGAAGAGAGCCAGTCGCATCTGCCTACGCCTAATCCAGCTCTCTAGCAGAGACCACCACATTCTCAGGGTAAGGATTCTCCATTCTCTGCGCTCTAGAGCTTACCCAGGGGGGAGACTGACAAGATGCATATCCAGAGCATTCCGCGAGAGCACATCTCAACCCTGACTAAAATCCTCCAGTTCCCTCCTGATGTCGAAGCACGCGAACACATCAAATCGTTGGCAAGTCTCGTCAAACTACTACCTTATACTCTTCGCACCAGCCGGGCGGAGAGGATCATACTTCGAACTCAGGGAAGCCTTTGCAGTCTTCACAACTTCTTAGACCTCGAGACCGTGCAGACCATCCTGGGCAAGATCAAGGTCGAGATCGGTTCTCGCCTCAACAGTATCGTCAGCCAACGCCAACTCCTCAGCCCCGAGCAAGGAAACTGCATCACACAGCTTCGGCACTTGCACGCTCTGTGGATACCGCAATACGAGTTCGAAAAGACCTTTCTGTGCCGCACCGCTGAGACTAACTGGACCTATGAGACATCGCGATGCGAGGCATGCATCATCAGTCGAATTGCCGGGGATTTGGAATCTCTGCTCAATCTGAGATGTACAGTGAGATCGCGCGCGACGAGCAAGCACGTTGCGAAACATGGCTTTCCACGACTGCAAGTATGGATCGACAATTGGATTGAGCATTTGCACCACCGCTTTTCAGGAACAGGACAGATTATGGACTTGGACAAGGTCATTGCGAAGAACGACGAGGACGGTGCTGCTCTAATGACAGCGCGAAGCAAGGTTCATGAGTTTCGCACACAACAACATGGCATTGTTCACGTGGATCTCTTGAAGCATGGTCAACACGCTCGACCTGGAAAACAGCCTCTGAATGAAACTGTTGACGACGAGTCCGACGCCAGTGCTGATCCCAGCTCGAAAGGCCAGAGTCCTTACGGGAACCGAACATCTCTGAAGCGAGGCAAGTCGGAGATGGTGTACAGTGTCGACCTTGAGACTCTTGCGTCTGGTCCCTCGCGGATGCAGAAATGCGAGTTTGGAGTGAAGGAGGAGGAGGAGGAGGAGGAGGAGGAGGAGGAGCAGAGACCATACATCCCACCCAGACAGAACTGGAACAAAAACCGAGTATCTAGAACTTCAACAGTCCCGCGTCCAGCAGCACAGCCAAATCCACGAGGTCGTCCCGCTCGCAGAGATAGCTGGGAAACCGAGTCACTGGAAAGCACCTATTTCTCAGGCGCCACGTCAAGCTTGTATCCGCGTCCTCAAAAGCGTGCAGCACCAGCAGCACCAGCAGCAACAACAACAAGAGCACCTCGCCCACGAGGAGGTCCAGCGGAGACATATGAGAAATTGATCGGGCCCTTCCCAGCCGACTCTGTCGCGGAGACGATTGGGCTGTATTCTAACGCCGACGACAACAGCAGACGATCAGGTGAGCCGGATCCCGGTGCTCTTGAAACATTACCGCAAACCACTTATGATCCTCGTCGAAGCCTGGATGCACATGCATATGCACATTGGCACTCGGCATCGCAGTCGCGCGCCCCATCACCATCGCCGTCGACAGCATCCTACACCACAACAGACAGCGACTTTACCTTTGAGGAATTGGGGCAGGGCAGTGCGGCTACAACGGCCATCTTCATCCTCGATGAGAGCAGCGGCGAGAGTGGCGGGATGAGCAGCAGCCCTACATCACCGCCGCCGCGGCCGCGGCCGCAGCAGCAGCAAGCTCAGCTTTCACCCTGTTCCTCGTCGCGATGGGAAGATTTCTACGAAAGTCAAACCAGACTACGTGACGATCTGGATTGGTTCTATCACCAGGAGGGAAAATGAATCGTGAGATCACTCGTACTGTCGTGCGGTACCTCTTTCTGGCGGCAGCTTTGCTTTTGTCCAAGTTTTCATTTTCCAAGCCTGCAACAACAATGGAATTATGGAGTTTGTCGGGTTGGGTCTGCCGTGTTCCCGTATTTGAAATTGCAATCCAGACAGACCTACCTGGGCCATAGATGCCTCCTTACTGGGACTATTCGAATTCCGCAACGCGGCGTATATCGATACTAGAAAGACGTAAATCACTAGTTGATACTTATCTATCACTACGACGAGTACGTGAGTGTATAAAATTTGGTTTGTCCGTCCGGTCCAATCTCTCCCTAAAGAAACTACCTACGACTACCTCACCACCTATCTACCTAGCCCCTGAGGTGCCTCACGTACACCATAGCCACGGCTCATAGAAAGACAACTGACAACAGACACGCAGACACCACAGTCTCCGCAAACCATAGCGGCTGGGAACTTTCCTCAGGCGTACAGACTCAGAAACAATGGGTTTTTTGTAACAAAAAACTACAACTTTAGTACTCTGCACTCTGTACAGCATTAAAAGAACGACATGAAATTCCTTCATCATCCTTCACTTCATTTCTTCTCTCTATTGGTACATATTACCTGGTATGGTCTAATAAGACCCCTCACAATATTTAGACGCTTATATAACTCGTAGTACGCATGGCAGCGAACCAAAACTCCGTTATAGATCCCTCAGAACAGCCCCAGACTATCCGTTCCCTCCGCCAAAAAACAAACACAAGAACAATTTGGACCCGCCAGCTTTTGCTGTTTGTTGTTTTCTTTTGTAAAATGGGAAGATCCGAGAGCAAGCAAGGATAAATGGACGGAAAGGTTTCAGTCTGCATGGAGGATAGCCGCGCTCCTGCCGTGTAAGGTGCCCGCCATTCGATCAGAAAAGGCCTTGGCATCAAAGCCACTCTTTCGTCTAGTGCTCCGCCTAAGAGACTGTTTGACCTCCTGCTCTTCCCTTGCTTCTTCGGCGATAACTCTTGCACCGTCTTGGTTTTCGAGCACTTGCTTCTGACTGCTGCGAGCTTGCTGCTTCGCATTTTCCATGTCGATCGCTGGCGAGTTGACCACGGATGCCTTGGAAGCGAGCTCAGCGTCAACCTTTTTCTGAGCAGCGATTCTGTCACGTTGGTATCGAGCCGATACGTCGCCACCAGTCCAGGCGGTGTTCAAGAGACGGTCCCAGAATGTGAAAAATGGTTGGGAGAAATTGGTCTTGATACCCCAGCTCTGATGGTGAACATCGTGATAAGCAGCATTGTTCGAGGTGACGTGCTGGAGGGGATCCCATGGAAATGCATAACCACAGTGGTCATCCACAGTCTTGATGGTAGAGCAGGTAAAGAACCACATCCCTTGGCGAATAGTCATGCCCGTCACGAGATAGGCCACTCCCGTACCCAACGTATCCAGCATGAATCCCTCAATCGGGTGGTTGTATAGAGCACCGTAGGCATAAGGAACGTAGAGACGGTGGTGACGAGAATGAAGTGTTGTATATAAAAACTTGTTCATGTGCATGGCCCGGTGCAAGAAGTACTGCCAGGTGTCGACGATCAAGACAGCTACCGTGAACTGAACAGCAGGAATGCCGATCCAATAAATGAACTTGGCAGTAAGAACTTCCCAGGATGCGAAAGTGTGAGGTTCGTACATGCCGCCACGTAAGATCGCGGCCAGCTGAGGGTAGGCGTATAGTTTGCTTCCCAGTGCTTGGGCGTCCAAGCCGATGAGAGCGAGCAGACCAGGAACGTATTGCTGTACGTGACGAAGACGGTATGCCCAAAGAGTGACATCGTACTCCTCTCTTCCCACAGTCTCTTCCGGATCGAAATATGCAACCGCCAGTCCAAAAGCAGTCTGGATGATTTGTTGGAGAACAACATCTCGAAATACCTCCCACCTCGTGACGTGATTTCGCTTCAATACCTCTGCTGGAGTATGTAATCTGTATTTTGCGCAAAGATCAAAGACGTCGAGGATGTGGAAGAACCCAGAAACCACCCAGTAGGCAATCACAGGAGCCAACAGTTGGCACACGATGTCCGGGACGCCAGGGATCATGGAAGGGCGCGGGGTGAGCGTGTAAGATGGGAGAGGAGGGAGATCCGGCAGTGTAGCGTTCGCCATGTTGTCGGCCATACACGAGAAGGATGGAAGACTTTCAAGGAACGAAGCAGGGCCTTGTTGTTCAAAGGGAGGCTCTGAAGTATGTAAAGTTGGGTGACTCGGAGGACTCGGATGTCGAGACAATAAGGAGCGAAAGGAGCGACGGGGTTGCGAGGGCAGCAGAGAAATCGGTTGACCTGAGTCAAAGTAGCGTGACAGAAAATAAGAGTATCATACGTGATTGAAGGGAATTAAATGAAGAAATGAGCGCGAGAAGAGGTGGAGTGAGGTTCAAAGGGAAGCAAGATTGAGCATGGCTATTCAACTCGTGATGGATGCAATATTCGCCTCTCGCAGATTGCGATGACAAGGACGAGCATCAATCCGCCGGATCTACGCTTCTCCGTCTCCGAATATGCCTCACCACCCACATCACGTGCGAAGACACTGCCAAGCCCTCGGCCGAGCTGCCCCAATAACTGACGGCTGATCCACAGCCGTGGCTAGAGCCAGAATTTCATGTGGGTTGAAGTGAAGACCCCTCGACAGGACAACAAAAAGCCTGCGTTTTTCTTTCCCATCTCTCGACACTCCACCTCCACAACCGTTCTATCCTGTCGTCTCTGCTGTTACCTCTCTAGCAGCCATTCAAAATGATTATCTACAGGGTGCGCATACATGATTCTGGCCACCGATCGGAATCGCAAGACAACCCCGCCACGAAAAGAATCTCTCACTGACTTGCTCATCCACAGGACATCATTACCGGCGACGAGATCTGCTCGGATACCTCTAAGATTATCGACGCTGGCAATGGCTTGTGGGAAATTGACGGCAGGATGATCAAGAAGGGTGCTGAGAACTTTGGTCCGTTTCCAAACAATTTCGCTTCTGGGAGTATGTTCTGACAAACGCTAGTTCTCGAGGGTGCCAACCCCTCTGCCGAAGGTGAAGACGCCGACGAAGGCGGTGAGGACGGCGACAACCAACCAGTCCTCGATCTTGCCGACCAGTTCAGACTCCAGAAGCTGGAGGGTGGCATGAGCAAGAAGGCTTATCAGAGTGAACTCAAGAGTAGGCCAAGCTCAGATCACCCAAGTGCGTGAGGGTGTTAACCTTTTCTTAGAATACATGAAAGCCCTCACCGAGAAGCTGAAGGAGCTCGGAAAAACCGAGGAAGAGATCAAAAAGTTCCAATCCGAAGCACCTGCTGCGGCCAAGAAGATCCTCGGCAACTGGGACAACTACGACATCTACCAGGGCGAGTCAATGGCTGAGAACGGCATGTATGTTCTAGTTGACTTCCGTGAGGACGGTATGACTCCCTACATCACCGTCTGGAAGTATGGTCTTGAGGAGTACAAGGTGTAAATCAGACTTTGGAATTCGACTCGGTGGTGAAGCCCTTGGAGCGCTAGTGAGACGACCTGATGAAAATGGCGAACGCGAGACGATAGCATTTCATGGATCAAGCATATTGAGAAATAGAATGTGCCAGGAATTTGAACTGTGTTTCTGTCCTTTTTTTTGCCTGTCCGGCTGTGGCTTGCTTTAGGTTGTTGATTCAATGATTCACATGCATTCTGTCCTTCTTCACCTTTGCAACACCTGCACCACTCCATCAGGAGCGCCCAAAGTATGCCATCAGTTGTGAGTTGACATGCGGCGCAACTTGGATGTGCAGGTTCTCGTTGGCCACCCATCCCAGAGGTCATGTTCGTTCATCATACTGATGCTTGATATTGGGACGGATCTTGGTGTTATTGGCTTCATTAACTGACGGACGGGGCCATTGCTGCACGTTAAATCGGCATGTCACTGGCATTCTCCGCAACTATCGATCGGGTCCTCGATTCGAGACAGATGTTCTTCCACCATCGCGGGCAATATGAGTGTCTGACGGAAGTTATTTCCGGGTTTCCCGTAGAATGTTAATGGCACGTTCTGGGTAAGAGCACCCGTCAGACGGGTGCTGTTACTTTCCAGTGTGTCTCGTGTTGCTCTCCTCCCCTCACGAGCACCTCCCACCCGTTTTACTCGTGTGCCTGGTCCTCAGAAAAGCTCTTCTATTCTTACACCCGATATTCCCACCACAATCTCTGTTTGAATGTTCGAATAGGATTGTTTGCCGTCATGGCATCTCTGCGACTTATCCTGCTACTTGTTGTCTTCATCGCCTTCGTCAATTGCCTTCCGCCTACCCAGTGTCATTCCTCGCTACGGCCGAAGACATCGTACCCTGCGAAGGAAAGGCCTGGTGGGCTGTACAGGAGATTCAGAGATTCTATCATTGAGAAGATATGGAACATACGTGGCAGGAATGGAGAAGAGGAGTGTTACAACACAGAACTGGCTCCGCGCATACCTGCTCGGTTCCATATACGTTATGGGGACGATGCGGTCCTGCGCTTCCAGATCAGGACCGAAGACGAAGCGAAAGCTCTTTCCAAAGTCATAAGGATGTTGTACATTGATGTCTGGGATGCCACAGACGACTGGGTCGACGTCAGGATCCAAAAGGCGGTCTTGCCCTCCTTCATCGGACTACTCCCATCATCTCTACACCACGCATACAAACCTCTCATTCACGACCTGCCACGAGCCGTCTACGACACTTACCCAAGCTCTCCTTACTCATTGGAAACTCCTCTTCTTTCAAGCCTTACAGCTCTCAACCGCGGTCGAACACACGTTGGTACGCCGCAGGACCTCTTCTTCCAAGACTACCAGCCACTTTCGGTGATTTACCCATGGCTACGCCTGATGGCTTCAATGTATCCCACTCATGCGGAATTGATCAGCATTGGTCAGTCACCGGAAGAACGAGACATACCCGCATTAAGGATAGGCGCCAAAACACAGCCCGGCGACGAACACGACGTTCGACATACTCTGCTGATTGTCGGTGGCGCCCATGCAAGAGAATGGATTGGAGTGTCCACTGTTGCATACATAGCGTACAATCTGATTACTCGCTATGGCCATCCCCATTTCCCTGCAGTGACAAAGTTGCTGGACCACTTCGACCTGGTTTTTGTCCCTGTCCTCAACCCAGATGGCTACGAATACACATGGACCACGGACAGATTCTGGCGCAAGAATAGACAGTCGACTCACCTGCCATTCTGTCCCGGGATCGACCTCGACCGCTCGTTCCGTTTCGAATGGGATGGCCATGATTTGGACAATGCTTGCAGTGACGATTACCCTGGACCAGCACCCTTGGCGGCCAAGGAAGCTCAGCTTCTGACTGACTGGGCGAGGGGTCAGATGGAGGACCGCAATGTCTCATTTGTGTCGTATCTGGACTTCCATTCTTACTCACAAGAGATCCTCTACCCCTACACCTATACCTGCGACATTGACCCACCGAACCTCGAGGATCTCGAGGAAGTGGCACTTGGCTTAGCCAAGTCGTTCCGATTGACGAACGGTCACTACTACGATGTGGAGAGGGCATGTTCAGGAAGCACCACTTACCGCGACAAAGTGGACAAGATCCGTGTACAGGTTGATCCACAGGGAGGCTCTGCTCTGGACTTTTTCTACCACGACCTCGACGTCAAGCTTGCGTTTCAAATCAAGCTCCGCGATACCGGCACTTATGGCTTTTTGCTACCAAAGTCTCAAATCGTGCCTACTGGAGAAGAAGCATATGAAGCTGTCATGGCCCTCGGGCGATGGCTGTTGGGTAATCACGGCATTGAAAGTCTTGATCCCGAAACTGTCTGGGGCGTAGAGACTGAAGCTGCCACGACCAAGGATGGACAGGACCAATCCGAGAATAATGAGTATGAGGACTATGAAGAGGATGACGAATGGTGGCAAGATCTCAGGAAGAGACGTCGGCGTCGTTGACGAGGATCCTGTCTTCTTTTCTGCTACTTTTCTTGTTGGATGCATTGAGATTAATAATGTTGTTTTATTTGCAATGTAGCACTATTGGAAGTTGGTGCGGTTTCGCCCATCAATCGAATGTCGTATTCGATTCAGCTTAGGAAAAAGTGACTTGCTCAGGCACTTTAAATATGCCTGTGGATACGTCATTTAGGTAGTCAATCGATGTCTCATCTTGACCACCATTTCGACATCATGACCTGAGGTATCGCACGTTTCATGTCTATGTTGAAGCAGTATTCAGGTGATTGATCGTATCGAGCAGGAAAGAACACGAAAAGCAAAAATGTCGATCAATGCTCCAGAGTCCAAGTGTGCTGCGGACGGGGGCAAATTCCACGACCACCAGGCAAGGTAGGCATGTAGTACTTGGGGTACCTTAGGTGAGGGCAGGTAGATGGGTGAGGTAGGCAGGTATATCTAGTTAGATGCCCGTGCAGCGCCTTGGTGTTCCTCCCTCGACGTCCTCGCCTCGTTGCGAAAGTGGGGAAGTCGTTCCGTGGGTTGGGTCGACATTCGTCGACGCCATTGACACCTGGGCCATGGCGTACGGTCGGTGCAAAGAAAAAGTAAAAAAAAGTATCGAAGCGGAGCAGACCAGAGCACGGAGAGAGAGAGAGAGAGAGAGCGCTGTCGCCGTCGCCATCTGTCAATATCGCTAAGCCGTCGGCGTCGCTTTCTCGCATTCGATGTGTCTCTCGCTCGTGTCAGCTAGCTAGCTATTACCGTCGCCCCCGTCGCTAAACTCATGTCCACGTTTATGACCATGCCCGTGTCCGAGTCCTCGTGCCGTGAAGCAAAAAAGCAAAGCAAAAGTAAGAAGAAAAAGAGGCAAAAGGCAAAAGCAAATGCAAATGCAAAGCACTTAACACTACCAGGTTCCCGTTTCCGTTCCAGTCCCTTTAATCCTTGTTCCCTACTCGCTAATCCATACTCCCTAGCCTCTCATGTTTGTATGTCTCGGGTTGTCCGCGGCGAGGTGAGACGAAGCAAAGCAAGCAAGGGAAAAACCGTACTTGCATTGATCTCACCCATTTTCACTTCCTTCTTCTTCACCCTGTTCTCGGATATCTCATACAAGTAAGTCTCTTTTCTAAACTCTCACTCAGTCTCGGGATTCAAGAATTTTAGCAACCAAGAAACCACCTGTTCTGTCGAGAGAGAATTCGTCGTACGTTCTCCGTCGGACGAGACGATGGAAGTATTTCAATAGCTCATGAGACTAACATGGCCATCTCCCAGAGCTGCACAAGCAAGCAACATCCGATGCGGATGGTAGGCCGTGGCCACGATGGGACTCTGAGTGCCGCGACCCGCAAGACTGCCGCCGACGACGCGCTCCAACCTCCTAGGAAGAGGCTCAAAGACGCCCAGCGCGTCGCCGTTGGTGTTGTACGTGCGGATCTCATGCCTGTCGGTGCCGACGGCAAAGACAGGGGCGTGTTCGTGCACCGAAAGACTTCTCAGCAACGGTCCGTGGGCAACGACACCGCCCGGTCCGCCCGCTGCCGTAGTCGCCGCCGCAAGGTGTCCGTCATGAACCTTGTTGCTGGTGGCAGCGAGGGTGAGGACAGCCTTGTCACTGCGCAAATCCCACAGCTTGACTTCACCGTTGCGGCTGCCGCTGATCAATTCTCGCACGCCGCCTCGTTGCATGTGGATGTTCGTGATCCATTGCTGATGCTCTCTCCAGATCTTGACCATGGCGGTCCGTGGGTTCAGCCGCTGATCAAACACCCGCACCACTCCGTCACCGAAACCGGCGATGAAGATCTGCCCTGCGACTTGATCGCTCGTCAGGCTGGTTACGCAGCTAGAGCTGCGGGCGGGAATGTCACCAACACATAATTCCGTTGCGGCATTCCAGACCTTGATCACCTTAACGTCGCCTGCAACCAATGCCTTGCCCTGGCCTTGCTGCCAGTCAAACACGAGTCCAGCGTTCTTGTTGCTCGGTATTAGCTCTGTCAAGGCACGAAAAGCCGTTATCACCTTGACCTCCGACGAAGAGTGATAGTTTCGGTAGACTTTGAGCACGCCGTCACTGCTTCCCACCATCAACAGCGGTTGGTCGTCTTCGTTGAGGAACTTTGCGTCGTTGATCCTGCTCCCGGTCGGGTTACCATTGCTGAAGCGACTGACTTGTTCATTGCGCTGGAAGTCCCAGATCGTGACTGTGTCTTTGTCGTCGGTCACGGCGAGATGATCGTCGAATTGGTGGAAGGCGAGGCGCATGGGTTGGTTTTGATTGTTTAGAAAACCTTCCAACCGCGTCCACTTACTGCTTCCTGCTACTCCCTTAAGAGGTTGACTGTCCGCAATAATCTTCTCGTTGCGATTACGTCGCCACAGACGTGAATTATAGTCGGCTGAACCTGGCTCATCTGGGTCGTTAGGTCGCATTTGTGGTTCACGGAAGTACTCCGTTGACCATTCCAAAAGGGTACTTGTCAGGGGCAAGCGGCCTTTCTGCTTTGCATCTAGAGGGACAAAACCAGCGGAGGTAGGCAAGATAGCAGACTGGTAAGGACCCACAGCACCATGAGCATCGGCGGTCTCTGGTGCGCGACTCCACTCAGGTGGTAAACGACCGCGAGGAGTGTTGATAGGATGCACCGAGTCTCTTGTCTTACTAGGTGATGTTTGAGGGCTGTTTTCCTTGGAAGGAGTGGATGGTTCTGAAGCTCCGAACGCGAGGTTGCGCAGCGACGTTCCGGCCCGCTTCAAGCTCAGAGAAAGGTAGCTCGTCTGTTTCTGCATCTGCGGCGGTGGAGTTCCTGGACGGCTCTCCACCTGTCTTAAAGAGGCCATCGATGGTACTTTCTTCAACTGGGTCTCTTCTCGTTTGTTGGCGCGGAGCAGGTCGTCAATCACTCTTAAAGCCAATTGAGCTAAAGGCGAGTGATTGATCAAAGTGTCGTGGATGTAGTCCACCACAATGGCAGCATTCCGTGCGATTTCTGGATGCGGGTCGATAGACAGTATCAAAATCTGCAGCCAAACGCAACCATAGATGCTATTTGCGGAAATCGGCATCAGACTAGCATTCGGTTCGACCGCAGAAGCATCATTGCCCCAGTACGGGTGGCGGTCTCTTTCTTCCACCAGAGATTCGTAAGCGACAACAAGAAATTTATTCTCATAGCGTTTAACAAACGCGGAGAGGAAAACGACCAACTCTTTCCGCACCAGTGTGCTGCCGTCTGATGTCATGAACAGAACCGAGGACGCGACCCCTTCTTCAATTTGGGAGACTTGGTCCGTCAAGTCAGGGATGCCAATGAAATTTGTGAGAGCGTGAAGCATCGAGGCCCTGACTTCTGGAACAGGATCAAGAGACAGCTCACACAATCTTGCATGAGCCATGGATCGAATACCCATCCATTTCGCGTCCGCGTAATCACTCCACAGCATGCTTAAACACAGGCAAGACCACTGTCGCAGTAAGGGGTTCTCTGGCTCTGCCATGTTTAGCAGGCAAGCTTCAAAAAGCTCAGGCAGGAGGCAGACTGTTTGTCCAGGTGGGTATCTCTTGCAGAAAGTGGCCACGATGAATGCACACATAGCCCGATGCTCGCTAGCATTCCCAACCGGAATATCGGAGCGTGGATTCATGATCGAGATGAAATAGTGGATACCGTTGTCCTTCAACAAGTCACTCTGCACAGTATAGTCGACGGCCATGATTCGAGCCCAGATGAAGACCATGACGGGCTTGAGCTCAAGCGATGCAGCTTGGAGCAGCTTCACCACATAAGGGAAGATTCCAATGCTCAACGCGAGGTGCACAGCCCATGGTCCAAGGTCAAGAAATTTGCTCAAGAGAATCAAAGCCCGAAGCCGATGGACTTGACTCAAGAGCACTTGCAGCACTATTGGCAACTGATCTGGTGCATGGTCCTTCGTCGGCCCCGAGCTGAGGTAGACCTCGAACGCCGTGAGCTGCTCTGAGAAGAATGTTGAGTGCTGGTATTCGTACACCCGTTTGCCTTCTTCGGCTTCACGAAGCAGAGGCAGCTGTGAGAGAACCATTTCCATGGCCAAATCCCAGCTCTGCCACAGCGGGTGGTGATGTGTCTCTGGAAGAGGAGGTGATGATATTGGATGGCAATGATTTGCCCTCATTATTCGCTCGCTGAGCAAGAAATTGCGGAAGAGTGCAGCTACCATCAGATCCTGTCGAAAGAGTTTCTTAAACAACGGTCGAGGGAGGATATTCCACGCGATAGTATCGGTGATGGCTGTAAAAATCCAATTCAACTCTCCCAACGGACTTCGCCTATCCTGAAGACGGCCCGGTACTGGGATTTTGCCATCCTCGAGAGAATGGCCGTTGGGAAGTGGATTCTGTAGGACAAACCATCTCAACGCAATGTCGATGGGAGTTGTCAGACAGCACGTGAATAGATCAGCGGGTAGATCTGGGTTCGTAGGCAGCATTTCAGCTTTCCCGCAGGCTGCAAGCTGGATACAGTCTCCGTAGTTTTGCAGAGCAGCGTTCGGGTCCTTCTTTCTCGCTTCCTCGTTCTCCTTCTCGTGCTTAGCGAGGAAGGTGTCGAAGTTGGCGACGATGTTGCCGGCGTGGGAGACGTCGTACACGAACAAGCTTGGTCCACCGAGCCACGACTGCAGGTCATAGATGCCAACTGGGATGTACTGGGTGTAGTTCTTGTTGAAAACCCAGATCTCACCAGAGGCCGTGGGAAGAGGCACACCGTGGCCGTTGTAATGGAACAAGACTCGCTCGTCCTTCGCATTCCGCCGCAAAGAAATACAGAACCTCTTGGTCTCATCGATGGAGGGATCCAGGTACTGCTTATATCTCGTCCTCAAGCTCAGCGATTCGTACTGTTCTTGTAGTCGCTTCCCGATCTGTTCCATAGTCTTTGTCGAGCCACTGCTGCTCCCGGTTGGGTCGACCCAGGCCTCGAGTTTGGCCGTAGGGTTGGTCTTTATCACATCGGGAGGGTCCACGCCGATATTCAAGCAAATAGCCAGTGCCGCAGAGACGGTTTTCATTCTATCTTTCATCCGCCAATCGACGCTAGGATATTGCTTGGACTCTTCCGACGGGGAGCCATTGCTTTCGTGCCTCTTCTCCGTGTAATACATGTAGAAGGTCGAATGCAGCAGAGACAGATACTCGTTCGATGTGTATTCATCATCCCAACCATGGCGTATGTGTGCCAGCTTATCTTCTGACGGTGGGCTAGCCATTCCTCCTCTTGCTCGCGGGCCTAGGTCGCTCTTCGTCCGGTGGAGAGGTGCCGGTCGCGAGGACAGGTAGTCTTCAGCTTCTGGTATGATTCTGGGAGAGGCGCCATTGGGCTGGTGGGAGGTGCTGCCGTGGATTTGGCCGGGCGTCTGATGAGCAGAGGCTGTTGAGTATCGCGCGACATCACCACCCAAGCCTCGCGATAAATGATGATTGTATTCCTGCGTCGCAGGCCTCGTACGGTAGGGCACGTCGAAGCCCAGACCGACATGTGCTTGGCTAGGCTGTGAAGCCATAGTGGGCTCCTCTGATGATTGTCTCGTCGTTGAAGCCGGGTAGAGATTTCGTCCACCTACAAGACATCAGTTCTGAGACGGGCGCAGGAAGGTTGTCTCGTCGACATCATCTGCACACATTGCCCGCAGAAGAAGAGCAACGATGATGTTCAGTTGTTGCTACAAGGCAAGATTCAAGGTGCTCAAAGACACTTGCCACTATTTGTGGCAGGGTGAGCTCGTCGCGACCATGATAGATCTTGGTGAAGAGTGTCTTTTGGTTCTTTCTTACGCGGATCCCAAAACTCCCGAAGCTGCTCATCTGCCTTTAGTTTTTGGCGGATGCGGGGAATCACGAGGCTAGCGGTGCCCGTCTTTGCTGCAAGTCAGCTCAACTTAGTGGCTTAAAGCGCGCTAGGGCTAGTGAGTCTACTAAGACTGCGGTGACCAGTCGTCTAGCGCGCGGAATTTCAGGCCTAGTCCCCTTAACCACTCACTAGCAATTTAGGCTCCCAGCCTTGTCGCCAGCCTCCTTGGATGGTCGATCTGGGGCCTTCAGCCGACTAATCATGAAAGGTCAAATCCGTGACCACGACTCACAGTTATGTTACAACAACGTTTGAATGGTCTCTCTTCACCGATGGCATTGGCATTACATTCGCAACCATCCCAGGCCTCCATTCCACCATAAAGACACGGTCTCCCATTAGAAATAGATAAACATACATGTAGCCACTAACAGCTGGGGAGCAGCTCTTCAATCATGTCATCAATGTCATCCTGCACGGCATGATTTCAACAACTCCAAAGAATGCTAGGGATGGAAAATTTCGAGTGTTATTTGAACAGAAGCATAGTGTGTCGTGGGTCTCAATCAAGGAAATCTTCAAGCCACCGTGGTTTGACCGGCTCCCTGTTCTTCCTCTTCCAGTCGCCTCCTCCAGTTGGCCAGATTGTCGCTGAGCTCGACGCCTTGGCCTGTGGGTGTTCGTTCAGAGTCAAACTGTGTGCTGATGCGATAGTTGTTTCGACTCGTGCTTTCCCACTGAGTTCGCAGAGTTTCTAGCTCTGACGCTAGGTTGTCCAAAGCAACAGACCCTCGTTCATCCCTGCCGAGGTCTTCGTTGACGGAGAGATCCGTCAAGGTCGAATGGCTCTCATCGCGAGTGTGACCGATGATTCCATTTGGCAGTGGCTGCAGTTGCGATTGCCGTCGGTAGTTGCCCACAGACTGGCCGACCTGATCGAGAAGCATAGTAACTCTGTCCTCGGCCTCTTCTGCTCTCTTTTCGAGCATGGAGTTCTCTGTTTTCAGCTGTTCAAGCTCTTTGCCGTATCGCTGCGAAGACTGTGACAGCTCCTCGTAGCTCCTCTTCTGCTTGTCACGGTCTGCTTGAACAGACGCGAGCTCGGAGCGGAGCGACTCGATGTTGCCTTCCAACAGTTTGATTTGTTGGCCGGTCTGCGTCTTCATCTCGTCAATCGCAGATTGTAGCTGTTGTCGCTCGTTGTCCCAAGATGAGGTGTCCATGTTTGCATTAGACATGGCACTGGCGCTTCTAGCGCTCTCAAGCTCCGTGGTGAGCTGTGAGTTCTGGGACTTGTACTTTGTGAGCTCCTCCTTCATCTTCTTCAACATCTTCTCGGTGCCTTTAACATAGTGCACTGCGGATTGATAGTCGTTCTCGAGTTGTTCGAGTTTCTCCTTGTAGGTGCTATCGGCTTCCTGCATCCGAGTTTCGAATTGACTCTTCGTCTCCTCGTGGGCCTTGAGGCTTGCTTGTAACTGTTGATCTAGCTCTCTGAGACGATTCTGCTCTGGAGTGCCGAATCGAGAGCTGGGAGAATGGTCAAAGATTGGTGACCCTCTCATGGTGGATCCATTGATTCCCCGTTCGCCCAGAAGATCTTTGAGGGCACTATGTTGAACAGCCAAAGCGCTGGCATCCCTTTGGCTGATTTCTAGAGTCGATCTTAATTCACGCAACTCGGACTGGTGGTTCTGTGCATCCCGAAGGGCAGCTTGTAGTTGTCGTCGGATCTGGAGAGCTTCGCGATTTGACTGCTCTTGATACGCTTCCAGCCCTGCTATCCTTTCTTCTGCGTTACGCAGCTTTTGTGCGGCCTTGTCAGCCGCTTCCTGGTTACGTTTGGCCAACGCTGACGCTTGATCAGCACTTGCTCTCAGCGCCGCCAGCTTCTGTTCCGAGACTTCGTCATGCTTTGACGAGGCATCCGACGACGATATTCTAGCTAAGCCAGCAAGCAAAGCTTCTCGATGTGTTGAAGCCTCCTTGGCGTGGGTTTCGGCGAGCTCCTCAGCGTCCCGCAAGCGCCTGGATGTATTCTCGAGCTCAGCAACCCTCTCTTCATGCTCGGCTTTCAGTTGAGATAGTTTGCGTTCGGAGACTTCTCGGTGCTGACGTTCTTCCTCGAGCTGGCGTTCGTATAAACTTGCTTTGCCTGTAGAAGCTGCCACTGCCGCTTCCAAGGCGGCCATCGAAGCAACGTGAGTCGAAAGCCGTGACGAAGCGTCCTCATGTGATCTAGTCAGAGTTTCGTGCTCAACCCTGAGATTCCGCAGCTCATCTTCGAGCTCAGCTCGTCTTCCAGCTTCAGCGCGTGCCAGACTCTGCGCTTCATGTAGTTCCGCCCGTAGGCCTTCGAGTTCGCCAGGATTTCGACTCTTGCTGAGCTCTTCATATCGAGTTTGCAAGGCATCCAAGGATTCCTCTGCAAGCTCTCGAGCACGTCTTTCGGATGTAAGATCGTTGGAGAGTGAATCGAGCTTCATCTTGTGCTCGGATTGTGCAGCCAATGCTAAAGCGAGTCGCCTGCTCAAGTCGGTGAAACGCTCTTGCTCATCTGGCTCGTGGGCGGCATCTGGTTGTGGCGTACTTCGCTGGCTTCCACCGTGAGCAGCAAGTTTCGCACGAGCATAAGCTGCTTCGGTCACGGCAGCATCACGTTGATGCTCCACCTCGGCCACACGTTTTGCCATTGATGATGCCTGTACCTCCATGGCTTCCTGCATCTTAATCATCTCTGTTCGCATGTTCACAAACGCCTCCATGAGCGGTCGATCATCATCCGCAACTTGGGTGACCACACGATCGTCAAATGTAGGGCTCGAGGTCATTGCTGCATTGTAACCTTGCTTTCGTGCCAATGCTAGCTCTGACGCATACCAAGCATTGGTCTTCTTCACAGATTCCAATTCTTTCAACAATGCTTCTTGGTGCGGATTCAATTTTGGCGACTTCGGTTCATCGACTATACTTCGTAGACTTCGAGCGTCACCTTCGCCATGATGGCGGCCCGAGGATGAGCGACCAAGAAGACCGTCTTCAGTGCTATCGATCGAGCTTTGAGCTCGCTGCGAGCGCAAGGATCGCTGCCTTGCGACGCCGTTGCTGACCAAGGGCGCGGCCTCACCGGCTTCCATTGCCTTGGCTTTGCTCTCGGTTCTTTGAATCGGGGTTCTCCGACCATGAGTGCTCGGGCTGTTCTCTCGGCTTGGTCTGATGTTCTCCTTTTGGACTTCTCTGATAGCCGGAGCCTGCACCATTGTCTCGGTGGGGATATTGCGGACTGAATCTGCTCCTGCGGATGGACCTCTTGTCTCGACCGGCGGGCCGTTGTACTTATTCTTTGGTGCATTTGCGGGTGACTGGGCCCCATTAAGGCGTGGTCCCGGAGCTTGCCCTTGTGGCGGAGGGCCGGCAGGGCCTTGAGCGACGGAAGCACGAGGAAGTCTTGAAGCTTGCTGTTGGGGATCTGGTCGCTGAACAGGGCCACCTGTGAATTGCTCACGGGAAACACTCGGGGCTCTTTGACCTTCTCGCGACGTCGATCGAACTGGTGGTGCGGTGCTTCTAACCTCCGTACTCGTGCTCGGTCGTCTAGTGGGGCTAGCTGGGCCTTTCATATCGACAGGTGCATCATTAGGGTACCTGATTTTGGCCGTGTCCAGGATGTAGACCATGCTTAGTTCTTCAGCGTTGCGCGGTGCAGAGCTGGGCTCGCCGGCCAGCACAATAATCTTATCTCGGTACGCGGTCATACTGTGTCCAGACCTTGGCGACGGAGACGGGCCCATATTCTGGAAGGTATACCATCTTTTTGAGCTGATTCGGAATGCTGCGAGGTCACCAAGATCAGTGCCTTCCTCAGTTCTACCGCCGAAGATATACATAACATCCCCAACCAGCGCAGCGGAATGGCCTTCTCGAGGAGCTGGAATATAGCCGATGCAATCTTCTTGTTTCCAGGAATTTGTAACCGGACTGTAGGTCCAAACATCGTTAAACCACCGCGTTCCATTCGTGCCACCGAAGCTGTGAGGGTCAGAATGATCATCAACTTCAAAGTCTCGCAAACTTACAGGAACAGCTGGTCGTTGTAGCTCACAATGGTATGATTAGTTCTCGGAGGCGGTACCTTGCCGTTGGCAGGAAGCGAATCGGTCGAGTTTTCAATCAAGAACTCCCACTGATTAGAGGGATTTTGCAAGGCGTTCAGGTCGAAAGCTATCAAATCATTGAAAAAGTATCCTTCAACTTGGCCTCCAAAGATGTAGATTTTGGAACCCAGGATGTTGAGCGTATGGCCGTATCGTCCAGACGGACGGGGTCCAGGCGGCGATGCGCGGGACCATTGTCGGGAGGCTTCGAAAGTCAGTAAAGGGGGGTCCTCGGCAGAGAACGTGATGCGACTCACAGGTATTAAGCAAGTATAAGGTATCATCAAGCACATCAGAGTCGTCCATTTTAGTGTCACCACCAAAGACGATAAAAGCATTGCCCACAAGAAGAGCAGCGTGTCCTACGCGGGGGCCGGGCCCTTCGGAGACCGTTGCAATAGGGTAGCAAGCGAGGTTTCCACCTCCAGACTCGAGCATCCAGAGATCGCCCCTGACCATGGAGCCATTGATCAAGCCTCCCATAATGTATATGTCGCCATCCTTGGAAGCGACCGCGTTGACAGCAGCGCCATAGCGAGGGAAAGGGTTCGATTGTGGGGTCGTGAAGTTCAGCCTTCGCTGCGACCAGGGGTATAGAGCAGCATTAGGAACTTGAGTTAACTGACCACCAGTGGCAGTGGATGGGCGCGCCTGCGTAACACGATCAGCAATTAATCGAGCGACAGCGAAAGGACAAACATACTCCCGACTCGGATTCCGACCTCTCTCGGCGTTGGTACGAAGGCCCGCCTGCAAGACTCGAGTTCATCGAGTTCATCGAGCCGTTGGGAGCAGCGTTTGCCGGGGCAGGTGATTGCGTTTGTCGGTCTCCAGCTCGTTCGAGGACGCCATTCTCTACTGTTGGAGCAGAAGTTCCATCGGAGGTATGAATCTTGCGACTTGCGGGAGGAAGGCCCGAAGCTGGCGCGCTCTTCTTCGACTTGAATAGAAACGCCATGGTTGATGGCCGTCCTCGCGTCTCAACGAGCAGGAGTGTACAGATCTGCGGCGCGCAGCTACTCTTTTCATGCGGCAATGTCGAGTTCCTGCTCTTTGAGGAACACTGCCGGGGGTCGCAGCGCTCGTTTCAGGCTAACGGCGAGCCCGACTCAGGCACATTTCATTGTTCGTCTTCGGGCTCGGTGGTGAGAGAGAGGGAAGAGAGAGCAGAAGCGTACTGATGCAATGCTCCAGGTAAGAAAATTCGGGAGGTTGTAAAAGATGGCCGATGCGCCCGCTCTGTCAAAGTCCCCGACGCGACGAGGTGAGCGCGATGCCTTTGGTCTTCTGACGCTTGGAGAGAGTAAAGGAGAGTCTGTGCGTGGGTGACGCTTGGATGAGAGGCTGGTGCCGGGAGGGACGAAACGACCACGGGACGCTGACAAGGGTTCGACTGACTATCCCAGGGAATTGGTGGTGTCCACGGAGTTTTGGTGAACAGGGAGGGAGACGAAATCCTACAACGTGTGCAGAAAGAATACAACAGGGGACACGGGGTGCAGCCGTCCTCGTGATAGCGACCTGTAGTTGGTGAGGAAGAAGTTCGCAGGCTTCGCGTTCGCGGGCACAGGCTCGGAACCGGGCGAGGTGATTGGGATGGGAGGGCAAAAGATGGAGCACCAACTTCCAGGATCTTGGTCTGTTTCAGCGTCTCCTTTCTGGTCTAGCCGGCCACGCTTATTTGAATCGCTGGGCACGGGCAAGTCAGAGGCGGCTCTGGTGCCCCTCTAGGCCTAAGGTTCCGGCTCCCGGGCAGCCTATAACGCGCGGATGGCGCTGATCAGGCTGCCCCTAAATCGCCTCGCCACCTATCGAGTCGGGGCACTCGATTTGAGGATGGGCTTATTCCTCTCTCCCTCAGGTACCAGGTACATAACTAAGGTTAATTACCAGGGTAAATTCGAGTCCTCCATCCCTTGCGCTTCGAGTACTGGTACTTAAAGATCTTCAACCCTACTGACTTTTCCCCTGAATCACCGCAGTACTAGCCACCGCCATGGAGCAGAGTGTCCGAAATAGTTGTGGGAGATCATCTCGAAAAGGAATCCCTGCGCCTCTGCTGTCAACATTCTGCCACCTCACATCGTCTCCCGTCCATGCACAACAGCTGTGTGAGAGCGCATCATGCGGCCCAGATCCGACACCTCGTGTACCACACAGAACCTACACAATCCGATGGCTACAAGAGCGCGGTTTTTGACACCTCCATCCACCCACCCACACACACACCCACTAGTGACTACGAGTGCCTGATCGCTGATTTGTGGATTTCTCCTCCATAGCCTCGCTGTCGACTCACTCACGTGATCCGCTTATCACGGGCAAGAAGCCGTTATCACAGCATCATTGGGTATCTCGTCCACATCCTTCCCGTGCTCTAAAACATTTTATCACATTCTTGTTGCCTCGTCTTGTCAGCTTCTCAGGCACTTCATCAGCACCCGATGCGTTCAGGCTGTGTATCATATTATTAGAAATCCTGAAACAGCTTTCTCACCTCTCCGGCGGAACCAGAGAGAAGGTATCAGCACCCCAAAACAGGCCAGGCACCCGGTGTGCGAACGACGACGGTGGGTGAAGCAGCATCCAGGTTGGCAGAATTCGCGCCCTACGCACGCTCATTTCAGCCCCGTTGACTCAGGCTCTCGGCAGATATTGGCTATTCTCAGACTTGTCGTAACCCTAAATCAACGCGGGGTCATTGCAGGCTCAGTTTTTGGTCCGACACCTCACAAACAGGACAATCCACCACGATCGATATGTCGTCGGACCCAGCCGCTCCGCAGGTGCAAGATGGCGACGACATTAGAACCTTCATCGAGGGGATGCCCAAGTGCGAGCTCCACGTCCACCTGGAGGGCTGTCTCACGCCCAGCCTGGCACGACGACTCGCCGAGAGGAACAACCTTCCCCTCCCACCGTCCCTATCGTCCCTCGACCCGTCTCAGACAGGATACTCCTTTCACGATCTGACGTCCTTCTTAGCCGTGTATTACCCCAACCTCAGCGTGTTACAGACCGAGCACGACTTTCGCGACCTGGCCTTGGACTACCTGACACGTGCCCACGCGCAGAACGTCAAACATGTCGAACTGTTCTTCGACCCGCAAGCACATACGTCCCGAGGGGTACCATTCCCCACTGTCATACGAGGATATCGTTTGGGCTTGTTGACGGCGCAGCGCACTCTAGGCATCTCAGCAAGCCTGATCCTTTGCTTCTTGCGCGACCAGTCCCCTGAGTATGCCATGGCGACCCTGATGGAAGCCTTACCCTACAAAGATGCCGTCATTGGCGTAGGTCTGGACTCGGACGAGCGGGATAATCCACCGTCCAAATTTGCTGCTGTTTTCCAACGGGCCAGTAAGGAAGGATTCCTGCTGACTGCTCATGTGAGTCCCTGGCTTCTGCTTACCTCCGCGCATCCTCATCAGTACTGACCATGTGGGCATAGTGCGACATTGACCAAGCAAATTCCATCACTCACATCCGTCAATGTATCAACGAGATTCAAGTTGACCGTATTGACCATGGGACCAATATTGTCGAAGACGACTCGCTGGTCGACATGATAATATCCAAGAACATCGGCTTGACATGCTGCCCTGTGTCCAATTCCGTTGTGACTGCTGATTTCAAGGGACGCGAAATCCTCACCCTCCTCCGCCGCGGTGTCAAAGTCACTATCAATTCTGATGACCCGGCTTACTTCCGCGCTTATGTCAACGAAAATGTCGAGAAGTTGGCGCGGGAATCGGATGTGACACGCAAGGAACTTATTCAGCTACAACGAAACGCATTTGCCATTTCATGGATTTCGTCCTGGCGAAGGAACCATTTCCTCGCCCTTCTGGACGATTACGAAGCTAAGATGATACAGACTCCCGCCCTGGTGAACGGTGCCGGCAATTGAGCATACGGTGGGGAATGTAATTCTCATGGTCTCATGCTATATATGTACCGCCCTCAGCATTTCTCACTCTCTTTTTCTCTAGAAGGAAATTTCGTCAAAGAACGTTGCCCGCAGTTGTACTATGGCTGCGATCTCGAGGATGAATTCCTGCAGAATCACAGCATTCGTCAGTATATGATTAAGGGTGGCTTGATGTCGAGGTTCACTGTCATCCCGACTGATTGGGGTGGCGGTGCCCGAATCGTGAGCTTGAGTTAGGGACGGGCGAAACGGTAGGGCATCAGCCTCAGGGTCCTGCTTCCTGCCTGCATGAACCGGCAGAGACGCTGTTGCTTCCGTAGGCGTCTTGGTGTTGTAAATATCAACTTGGGTTCGGAGCAGCGATGTAGTGGAGGGCGTTATGGGCCGGGCCGCTTCAGGGGCTGCCGTTAAGCCGTCGGTTCCATCTGTTGGCAGCGCTTGGCGAAGAGGCGACCGACCCAGAGCACGTTCGGCCAGATCTGCTCGATGACTGCCAGACCCTGATAGCTTACTGTCTATAGAGCCAAATTCGGTTGGTGGGATCGGTCTCCCTCTAGGAGTAGCCGGTCTCGACTGTGCCTTAGGCGGCGAGATACTTCTTGTTCTCATCGTGGACCCAGCAGTCTGCCCAGATGAGGTTCTTGGATTTGCTGGTTGTTCTGGTGCATCTTCTGATAGTTCGTGTCTTCGTAAAGACATCAGTTCATCCCATTGAGGAAACTGGGATTTCCACTGCGTGGCTTGGTCTGCAAGCTCACTTAGAATGAAAGTGATGTTGTACGCAGAGTGCTCCTCTAGACGGCCTTGGGCTCCAGGTAGCAACCAACCTTGAAGGTCCATATACTCGCAAGCAGTCAAGGCGACCAAGGCTTCGGTGAGATATAAGTTCGTGACAGAATCATTTGCAAAGAAGTTTCGCAGGAGCTGTGTAAGTGCCTCGAATAGTTTGCATTCTGGCGCAATAGTCATGCTGTTTCCATTGACCAAATCAGCATCTGCTGGGGCAGTGACGAAACAACTATGTTGCTCGAGCAGGACCTGGCAATCCTGCAAGGCATCCTGGTAAGATTGGTCTAGCTCATTGTCTAAATGATCTTTGCCAACCGCTCCAGAATACTCAAACAGTTTGTGTAGGTAGGCGTTCAACGCATCCACCCCACTTCGCACTGACTGAGTAGATGCGACCTCAGTTCTGAAGAGGATCAGTGGTACGTGACAGTGGTGTTTGCCGATGATAACCGACAATAGTTTGAGGCAAGCGTTGACTGTCTCCGAGTGACTAGACTTTAAGCTCATCACCAGCAAATCCAGCAAGTTGAATAGATTCGGAGAAGGGCTATCAGCAGTCTCAGAAAGCGCCTTCAACTGTTCGATAGATTTACTGCGGCTGACAGACATGCGCTGTCGTCGATGAGATTTGTCCCTGGAGACTCTCGGGGTATGTGGTGATGCTAGGAGATATCCCAACATTCGGTCAATGAGCTGATAGTGGTCTACTGCCAGAAGCATGCGAGACAAATGGGTAATAACTGCAGCTGTCGAGCCCCCTTCAACATCAGATGACTCCAGCAGTGAGGGATACAGGAGTTGTTGCACAAACAACACTTGGAAGTGGTCTAGTAAGGTGTCGCTAACCTCGAGTGATTTGCAGTGATTGAGCGTGTCTTGCCAGAACGCCAGATATGAGAAAAAGGCTTTGACGGCTTGTGGAGAGTCTCGTGGTGATTCGGCCAGCGAATCTACTGTCTCTGAATAATCGGATAGAGTGACGATAGCAAGCTTCGAAGACCGGGCAGCTAATGATGTCGACTGTCTGCTCAGCCTACTGTACAGAGCACCAAGGCCACTAGCCATTTGTGGTGCCAGATCGCTTTCGATCATCCATGTCTCCAGGGGTTTGAATCTAGAAGCAGTCTCAGTGAGGTAGAGTAGTGCCGTCCGTGCGAAATCGCCCACTGGGCCATCGTGGTGAACATACTGCACCAGGACGAAGAACAACGGAAATTGACTTCTCCTAGTCTCGTCAATGCCATTTCGGCCACGGGTATTTTCTCGATCTGGGTAGAACCAAGCTGGAAGAATATCGGGGTCCAACCTGATCTTTGTGGCGATCTCGAAAAGCAGTTCAACCAAGTCTGTTTCTAATCGTTCCTCAACGATGACTTGCCCTCCTATTGTAGCGTAGCAAACAAGGTCTAGTAGCGACCTAGTGAACAACTTGCTATCTAGTAAACCCTCAGCCTCGCCATTGATTAGAATGTGGAACAGCTGGGCGGAAAGCTTGATGATCTCGGTGTTTCGAGAGGACACGGCTAGTTTCGTGATGATAATATAGGCCTGGCTCGAGGCGACATAACGCAGACAGGAATGCGGTGCAGCTCGGCGGGACTCGTCGTGGAGGATGTTCTCGAGACGTTGAAGGAGTTTCGCGGTATAGGTCAAGGCCGACTCCTCCTCGCGCTCAACCGCACCCCCTCGCCAGGCTTGCTGCGATGGTCAGCTGGGAAGACGACAGAGACTCCGTGTGCTTACAGTAAGTGCATTGCAGATGCTTTTGCAGGTAGCAAGGCGCTCAGCTGGGGTGTTGGTTTTTTGTTTCGTCGGCGACGTGCCGGAGCCTGCAATCAGGCGCGTGAGCTGCAGGTCGCGCGCCGTTAGACTCGATCATCCTCGTACAACTTCGAATCTGCTGAGAGCACTCACAATATCCATGTCTTGTGACTCATATTGCAGGTCAAAAGTTCTGCAAAGAGTAGGGATGCTGCGCCTCTGAAAGGATGCCTGGAGGATGTTGTCGACACATGCCTGTTGACAGAAGGTGAAAACAGGTAAGTGTGAGGGACTTTGGTCACTTGAATGTCGCAGCTTCCAAGTCGCATGACGCGAAGATGCCTGGTGAGCCTACGAAATCGCCATACCCAGCAATCATTGAACATGGATATACGATATAGTGTCGACGAGCCTGTCTCCGTCTCCGAATCTCGATTATCATGTCTCGCATCGCTGGGCCCTTGAAATCCCTGGCGGAGAGCAGCAGCTTTGATCTCTACGTGGCTGATCTTCAGCCTTATGTCGAGGCTCGCTCCTACTATTCAGGTGTTTTCTATGACTATGATGGCTAAAGAAGCCGCAATCGCCGGGCACGATACTGCTGCTGCTCCTCTTTCGACGTTGGAAAACCATGTGGACAGTGTGCACGATATCGAACAAGACTTTGGCCAACCTACCCACGAGGACAGGTTGTCAACGACAACACCCCCAGGACAAGATTCCGAGCATGGCCATTCACTGGCTCGGATACGTCCCATCACACGGCACCGTGGCTCATCAGTGTCGACCTTCTTCAACGGCTTGTTCAGCACTGCTATAGCAATCACGACCTTGGGAGCCAGCATCACATTCTCGTACGTCCTGTCCAACGGCACTGCTCCGCCGACGTCGAAATCTCCAGCATTCTCTCAATACCAGGTCCAACAGTTCCTTGCCATAAGTTGGCTGTTGTTTCTGCTGGCCCTGGCCTTTGCATCACTTGGATCCACCCTATTGACATTCTTCAAGAACCACTGGATTGCGGACTGGGATGGTGCAAACGGAGAGACGTCCCAAGTGACTGTTCAGCTGTATGCAGTCGTCGCTAGTGGCCTTCTTGGTGGCTTGATAATTGGTGCTTTTGCCCTCTTGTGCCTAGTTGTGATGGCTTTCTCTGCCGGAGTGGGATGGGCAGCACTGTCTTTCACTGCGTTCTTTGGCCTGGTCATCCTCTTCGCTGTAATGCATCAGATACCTTGGTCGTGGAGGCGTGAAACACCATCTACCCCGACAAAGCATCGTTCTGCATGAGACCTGCTGTTTGTTGGACAAGCCCCGTTGGCTACCAAGAATACGGCTGTCACTGTACTTCATCAAATTCTACCCCGGGGTAGGTCCAACCAACATAAACCAGTCCTTGTGTACCGCTAACAAGAAAGCCACAATCACAGGGTGGCCCCTGACTCTCACGAAGTCATCGTGGGACGCCGGGCTTGGGGCCCAACAGATCCTAAATTCAAGAATGTTCTTTGTAGTCCTCGAGAATGGTAAAGGAGAAGTAAGATATTGGACAAGAGGGATTGGAGTGAAACAGAAATTCATGATATAGCATCCTTCTATTGTAGGTCTGAACCTGTATTACAGATGAGGAGCCAGGGGATTGATCTACTCCCCAAGCAGGCTAAGCAGGAGACCGTTGCTACCCTCGGTTCGTGAAGTGAACTCGGAGAGCTCATCTTCCACTGTCCATACATACATAGATGCATATGCTAGCAGCCACAGTCAGTCACATTGAGGTGGTGCGACGGATCCGCGGATTTTACGATGATGAATCGTAAAGTAACTCCACCAGTCGATGTGGCCTCGGATTCAACGGATTCATACGATAGACATGACCGTTCCGTTTCACGGCCGCAGGAGTAGCCATTTCTGGGTCGTTTGCTATATAATTGAACCCAGCGAGTCGATCGCATGCACCTGCAGGGGCTCACTAGCACAACAGGTGGTTAGAAGTGCTCGTTTGCTGGACTCCGATTGTGAGGCCCCGGGACGAGATATTTTCGCAAGACAATTTCTGTGGTTGTGGCTAGGGACTGCCCTTGTTATGAGCATTGCTATCGCGGCGAAAAGAGATTCGCTACCGGCGTACTTTGCTCTTGTTGCAGGTGGAGGTTGTCGAGCCGAGGATATGCTTTCGTTCTAGCATCGTTCTTTGGTCATCGATTGCAGAGACATGTTGCTGATGAGAGTTCTGATGGCAGTCAGATTCCGACACCACTCGTATAAACTTGTCATAATGCCTCTCTGAAATGAAATCAAGCACATGCTTCTTCCAGATTGCGCTCAATGAAATCGATGCATCTTGCACCTTTGCGTAGAGTCATAGACAGGATGTAGTCAATTGGACATCGGGTTGCAGGGTGAGCGTGAAATCAATCAGAACTATCATCGCTGTCGGCCTTCCTCTTTTTGCCACCTTTTGCCTTTTTCTTGGGAGCAACTTCATCGTCACTGTCTTCGCTCTTGGCCTCCGATTTAGCTCTACCCTTCTTTGAACCTTCATCGGGCACACTTTCACATATTTCGGTCAAGAAATCAAACTGGCCATCTTTCATCAATGCGGCCTTGAGATGTTGTGCCGTCACACGCTTGGAGTGTTGGCCCTTGGCTTCTGCAGCCCCTTTCATCACTAACGTGATCATGAATAATTCAAGAGCTTTGGCTGATGGAAGTTAGCATCACAGACCCGCAATTGAAAGGTCAATACTTACAAACAGCAGTAGGAGTAGCTTGAGCCACTTTTCCGACATCCTCGTCTGCTTGCATGATACGCTTGATGCGTGCTACCGGAAATTTGGTTCTCACGTCTATACCGTGAGAGGGATCTGTGGTGGCAATGGGCATGACCGGCGGGGCGGCGGAGGGTTGCTCCATTTTGACGGGGATGCCACTTCCAGCACCGTTGGGGTCGTAACTCGAATTGAGTTCCTCGGCCGCTGCCCGTCGAGTTCGAGGCATGTCGGCGGGTAGTTGACCAAAGGTTTCTGAGTGGAAGGGAAAGGACTGTTGCGGGTGTGGTTGAACAGGATAATTTTGGTCAAAAGGCTGGTGAGTCTGTGGTGGGGGATGATATGAAGAATTAAACTGGTCGTAGGAATGTGGCAAGGTTTGTGAGTGGCTTGACGAAGGAGCTTGAGTGGGTATGCTCGGAGTTCGGAAGGCCTGTGGTGAGTAGGACGATGACGGGTTGGATGGTCGCGACGCGAAATAAGACGTCGACGGGGTGGTGGATTGCGGTGAGAAGAATGGCGAGGCGTCATAGGAGCCACGAGCCGAGACTGGGAAGTCTGCAGGCACCTCTGGCTCTGGATGGTACGAGGGGATGCGCGTGAGTTTGGGCGGTGGATGGACGCCGGATAAGTTGGGGGATTTGGGCCGGTAGTTAGTGTTGTTTGGGTTACTCATTGCTTAGGGCCTCCGTAGCGGGCTGGCGGGTTTTATGGTGGTCGCTGGAGGGACTCTGGGCTAAGCAAGACATGTTTTGAGTGAGAGAGTCTTTATGGCCGCAAGATGTCTTCGTTTGCACGCGAGGAGCCTTTCATGATTCCAACGACAGGTGAAGGTCAGTGACGGCAATCAGGGCAGCGGACAGTGAGCAGGCGCGGTGTGGTCACGTGTTGGGTGTCAGGTGTTGGTGGACAGGGCTCGTATTCGTATCTGAGGTGGGAGCCAGACACTAAAGGTACTGTACGCAGGGCAATGGGATGAGGTGAGGGGTTGTTGCGCGATCGAGCGCGGGCACATGCTGCCTTTAATAACCATCGAGCCGGGCACCATTGCTGGATCATCCGCCCTGAAAACAAGCCACTCCCGATTGGCGATTGGCCCAGTCAGAGGCCAACTAGACGCTCCTTGAGGAACGCAGCGTCCACTCATAATCTCCACCATTTACTGTTCACTACGTAGTACGACTCCATATCCAGATCTTTTCAGGGTCGCCCGGGCCAAGGCGTCGCACATTGTCGATGTTTGTGCATCACCACCTTCAGCCTCACCGTTTCTCTGACTCTAGGCCGCAGTCAATGTTTCGTCGTTCGCCTCTGTATCTTTCCATGGAGGCGCCATGACAGTTTCTGTGACTGCGCCTCTCTTGATCTCGACTACTTCTCCATGCGTCCAATTCAGCGCGCATGTCAGAGCACGAACCGCCACGGTGAGGTTTGATCTTGTTTGATTACTCGGTAAGGGTGCGCCTGCACTGCATGTGCATTCATCATGGATTCGGATGTCAGCAATTTAATACTGCCAAGTGATGACAGAGCAAGTTGGAGATCATCATTCCAGAACAATTATTGCAAACCTAACAACCCAGTGCCATCATCACTGTGGTCGTCAGGAAGCAACCGGAATGGTCGTCGATGAAAGCAATCTGAAAAACTTGATCTAATCTGATGGCTATGATACCTAACCCTTCAATCTCTCTGAACTCGACGCTAAACTTGATGACATGATGAATTCGGTCATGATATCCAGGCCTTGCAACCGTTCTTCTATGCTCTCACCAAGAAATAGATTCACCACTGGCCATGCATGAATTCCTGCCTCAAACTCCGAAGCTTTCACAATGGCTCCGCCTTTTTTCATGTGGTGAACCATGTCCTGGATGCCCGGTCCAAAAACTTCTTCAGCACCGTACACCACACGGTACCCATTGAGTGGTGACGCCTGTCTCCATCGGCCAGTGTTCAAGCCTGGGGAAACCACGCTGTCCAACTTAGCCGCCTCTCCAGCATACTGTTTGGCGTAAACGTGCAAACTATCCCTGTCTAAATAATCACTTTTGGTGTTCTGGTTTAGATCCGAAATCAAGTGTGTCCAGGGCGAAAGCAAAATGGCAATTCCTGGTCGGTTCAGGGACTGGCATTGAGGGTCCTGTTCCAAATGTCCGGGTTGCAACAGCATGCTCAAGACCAAGGTGGCTCCTGCAGAGTCACCGCTCACGCAAATCTTCGAGGCGGAGCCATTCCCGAACGTCTCTCTCAGGAATCTATACCCGGCGCGAGTCTCGTTGAATTGAGTTGGCCATTGAGCATCCGGCACAAGTGTATATTCGAGCGCAAATACAGCGGGGTTTTTGAAGCCGCTCTCTTTCAGCCGAGTGGCCCAGGCCATCAAGAACTCCATGTAGAAGTAGGCCGACCCCATGCTGAACCCGCCGCCTGCAAGTTGTCAACACCCGCTCGGCTTGTGCTTGCCATCCCAATGCTACTCACCATGGACATAGTAGATAATGATGTCCGGTTCAATCTCTGTGTTTTCAACCATCCACAGGCCTCGAGCACCGTATCTGACGACCTCTCGATGGAACATTGGACAATGAAGGTAGCCATGCCGTAACAGACGAAAGCGAAAGAATGGATAGACCACCCACTTAGAGAAAAAGACTCTGCCAACGCTTGCAGGAATACTTGCGAATGCGTATCGCACGCAACGGATGACTACGTCCTGGAAAAGGCTGGCATGCGCCGCAAAAGGCGACTGTTGATGCTGTTTGATGAGATATCTCTCCCGAATCAATTGATATGGCAATTGCAGAACTGGGTGCAAGGATAGGTGAGTATTGAGCAGCCACTGTGAGTAGCTTGTCAACATACCTAGGAAGGGAATGACTTTTATTATCACGACAAGAAGTTCAGCGGACGCCACATGTAATAGCAGCTGAGGAATTAAAAAGATAACAAATGCCAGACAGTCTAGTCCATTCACTGGCCCGAGAATCATCATCCCAAGTCGAGGTGACTGCTAGTGAGCAGAGGCGGAAACATGAAAGAAGGGCGACAAGGTTCAGAAAGAATCGATTTGAGGTAGCGACGTTACAGTTCGTCGGTAAAGAGTATGTAATAGGTATGGAAGATCGTACCAAGTACCTCGTAGGGTGACAGAAATAGATGAACAGAGGATTGACGGTTGTGCACCTACCTACATAAGAAACCGTCTGAAGATGATACTCGACGCTGATGACCAGCGATCCGCATTGGTGGTGATCTCATCGTCGAGCCTGATTGAACGCAGTCAGCCCTAACTTAATCTCTTGAGGCGGGATTTTGAATTTTCTGGAGAACGGCCGAACAAGGCTGGGCCTTTAGCCTTGCAGTTTGCGAAAGAGTAGTCGACCCGTTTGTGGACTGCGCTTCCTGTCGGCGTGCAGAACCTGTGCTACTGGCATTATCACCATGTCACCACCATTTCTTATAAAATAACGACACTTCCGCGACCGTCTCATGAACAACTGATTGCCATTCTATATATGTCGGTCAATGGCGTTTGATCACAAGCGCGCAGCCGCCATTTTGCCCAGATTCCTCAACTTCGAGTCTTCCTCAACCGACACGCCCTCAGAATTCTACCATCCTTCGTCATGGCTTCGGTAACATTAGATGCCTCTCTGGTCGAATTGGCCCAGTATGTTCCTGGTGCACTGCAGGCGTCGCTGGCCGTTTCAACTAACTACCTTACTGCAGTTCTTTACCGATGGAAAAGGTGCCGGACAAACTTCACTGTGCCACTTGTCAAGAAATCAATCTCAACGCCTACAAAACCTCGTGTTGTGACGAGTCAATTTGCGAGTCTTGTTAGTCAAGTTTCATATCCCCTGGAGTGATAGGATCTAATTGCCACTTCAGGTTTTACTCGCGCTTGCGACACCAGCTGTCCTAAATGCGACCACAAGCCGTTCACTGCCGACACCTGCAAACAACACCGTTCTATGCGAAACACAGTTAAGGCTTGGTTGAAGCTGCAACAGAAGGAAAAGGCAGAGGAACTGGCTAAGCCGGCTGTTGCCGACGAGACTCTACAATCAACTTCAAGGCAAGAAAGCGTGGAAAAAGCCGTTCAGGAGGAGAACCCTGTCGCCGAGTCAATTATAGAACCGCCAGCCACAGAGGTCGACAGTGAAGATGCGGGTGCTGCTCCTGATATCCAGCCATCAATAGAGGTACTTTCATTGATTTGTTTGGTTTATTCAGTCTCTAACCGCTTACCAGGACCACGACCTCGAAGATGCTGAGCATCTAGACGATGACATCGATATCCAAGTAGACCTGGATGACGACCACCGTGAAATACCTCTGCAGCCTGTCAAGAACGTCGAAGCCTCTGCCGTTGATCAAATCGCGCCTCCAACTGGCCCAAAAGCGCAGGCACGCGAGCAATTCAACCCGGACCTTGATATGGGTGGAATGGATTTTCAGAACATGATGAATGGCATGAACAACATGGACATGAATCAAATGATGCAGATGATGGCAGCCAATGGAATGGGAAGTTTCAATCCAATGATGGGTGAGTTTGCCGCTAATTGTTCTTCTTCACATCAACTGACTTTGAGTGTATAGGGATGCCTATGGGGATGAGTCCAATGTCGGCCGGTATGTTTGGCAGTTTTGGAGGTCCGAAGGGCATGAATGGAATGAATGCTATGAACATGGGAATGAACTTCAATCCAAATCAAGGCATGTTCTGGAATAATCAAAACAACAGTATGTGGCAGAATAATAATGCAAACGCATTTCCGAATGCCATGGGCGGTGACTTTGGCCCAAACTATGGTTTCAATGTCGACTTCCAACAATCATACTCCAATGGTGATTTCCAAACTGGTTATTATCGTGGCTATGGCCGTGGCCGCGGTCGGGGCCGTGGAGGTTACGGTAGAGGTCGTGGTAACTTCTATCAGTATTCTCAATTTCAGCAGCAACAGGGATTCTATAATGGCCCCGATCAACGAAGTGCAAGGTCTATGACAACCGAGGATCGTCCCAACGATACTGCAAGCGATCAGAAAAACGGCGACAAGCTCGATGATACAACACACGAAGACGCCGAATTCGCCCCGGGTGGCCAAGACGAGGTCCAAGAAGCTCTTGGAGAAGATTATCAGAAGCAGCCGATCGAGGAGAAGCAGACTGAGGATGTGGCTGCCGCTGCAGATGGCACTGTCCCGCAAGTTGTTGACCATGAACAGAAAAACGGGGGCAAGGACCCAGCACAAAGCGAAGAATATGCACCTATTGAGACATTCGAGTCGAGAACAGAGGAGCACAGAAACGCCAACGGGAGTGCTGAGATGCCAATCCCGGAAGCTTACAGTGAAGATCTTAAAGGACCCATGCCCCCTCCATCTGCGCCTCTAGGTCCATCAGCCCAATATGGGGGTCGAGGTCATGGTAGATTTTCGTCCCGTGGTCGTGGATCAATGTCCATGCCGAATGGGCATTTTGCTCCGTCAGTAAAGCCATTCACCGCCCCCACTGAGCCAAAAGGGGTTGGTATTGTAGGTGCGCCAACAGGTCCTAGAGCGATGCGTGAGCCTCCTGCAGCTGCTCCGGCGCCCTCGAGGCCAGATTCACGTGCGTCGGGCGGAGGTTTCCAGATTATGGGCAGAGCGTCCAAGGCGCAAACACCGCGGTCACGGTCTCGTGAGAGCGCAAGGATCTCAAACCGAGACATTGAGGGTGATGCTACTGAGGATCGCTCCAGGAGACCGTCGAGACAAGACAGCTACGCCAACTCAAGGCATGATGCCGATGAACAAGACTACCACGACCATCGCGATAAAGACAAGCGATATAGCAAGTCGAATGGGGCTGGCTATGATGACTATGAACGAGACTACCAAGATGTATCTCGCTCGGGCTCCATTGACCGCAAAACATCGAAGCGGAGTCGTGATGATCAGGACAAGATATCGAAGCACCGATCGTCAAGATCCAGACGGTACGATGAAGTCGATGGCAACGGCGACTACGAAATGGAAGATCACGAGGATCACTACGCCGAAAGCAGGAGTAAACACCGAAGCAGCAAGTCGTCAAAGTACGATGAGCGAGAACGCGAGCGAGATCAGTATCGACGCGAGAAAGGTCGCGAGCGAGAACGGGATAGGGATAGAGATCGGGACCGAGACCGGGACCGAGACCGAGACAGTCATTTGGACCGAGATGGCAAACCACGCGAACGGGACGGTGATAAAGACAAGGATCGTGACCGCAAACGATCCCGACATGATCGACATCGTGAAGACGAGAAGAATCACAACTATGACTATGACTACGAGCACGAGGCACAGGATCAAGAGTCACGACATCGTTCGCGGCGGCACAAAAAGGACCATCGTCGTGATGTGGACGACGGGGATGACCATGGTACGGCTACGAGTACGAACGAGCGCTCATCACGTCGGTCGACACCTTCAGTACAGCATGCCAACGCGGAGCCGGAGAAGGATCCTCATACTCTAGAACGGGAGGCGAGAAATCGTGAGCGAATGCTGAAGGAGCAACAACGGCGCGAGAAGGCTGCAAAAGCAGGCGGCGGTGGTAGTGGCAGTGGCGGTGGCGGGCGGAGAGTGACGTACAAATATGAAGACGAAATCGAGAGGGGACTAATGGAAGGTGAGAGGGCGACTGCACGGTGGAGATGAACGACATTGATCGAATTCGACGTGAGGATTTTCGTCCATCAGACACAAGACTGGGCATGTCGACTGGTTGATTGGGCTGGTGGTTGAAATCCGTCGCCCTTTCTCTCTCTCCACGTCGAATGGCCTTCTGCCCACCTGAGTATGACCATGCCGAAGGTGGAATGCACCGTGCGGAGCACACACACCCACACTCTCTCGCTCCCTCTCTCTCTCTCTGCCTTGCGCATGACGGTCTTTGCTCGGTCAACGATAGCCGCGGCCTGCAGAAGTCAATACCAAAGATCAAAGATCAAAGATCCAACAAAACTTCCATGACGGGTAATGGGAGTTCCAACAATTATTGCGAACGACGGCTTAACGCTGCAATTGGCGTGTGAGAGTAGCATGAAAAGTCATAACGAAGAAGGGCAGGAGCGGCTTCAAACTCACACCAAGACAAAAAGAAAAGAACAAAAAAAAATCGCTTGCTCTGCTCTTGACACAGAGGCAGTACAGGTCATCATCTGGTCCGGGGTCTGACTCTGTCTTGTATACTTCCCTCCTACACTGCCTACCTGCCTTGCCTAGGTACCTGCCTACGCGAGCAGAGTGACCGCTTTGGCTTATATGGGGTGTTGTTTGCAGAGAGGAAAATTCACACCGACAGCTTCTCTTACTCATGCTTTTAATTGGTTTCGACCATTCTTTTCTCATTCTCCTGAAAGCGAGTGCGCACACGCCCGCTTGCAGATGTATTATTGATAGAGAGGGCGGAAACGTTCTCTCAATAAAGGGCGGAAACCACGGCAGGGAAGCGCAGTTCCGATGGAATGGGCTGGGTGGGAGGCTACCTTGGGCAAAGGGCAGAGGGCACAGGACTGAGATCCCTGGAATGAGATCCCCGACGATTCTGCAAAGGCTGGTATTTATCACTAGATGGGATTGGTACTTTTTGGTACTCTGTGTGTCCTCACAGGTTCTTCACTCCGACCCTTGGACAGGCCAGGGGGAAAAAAAAGAGAAAAAAGAAAAACAAAACGAAATTCAGGGTGGCTGTGATTTGCAATTGTCACGGTCATTGTCACTGTAATTGGTACCTGATGGAAACAACCACAAGAAAGCACAGGCAGTACTAATAGAGTACCAATAAATAGTACCTTAGATACCTACCTATATTGGTCAGGAAGCTGGCTACAGGCAGGTAGGGAGGTACCTTTAATCGACTCCCTCCTTAGGAAATCATGACAATGTCTCTATCACAAAGCTTTTTCTTCTGGGGTAAATATTTACCAGGGGCCCCCCCCCTTTCATCATGATCTTGTCGGCGTCGATGCAATGCAATTCACTCATCAACCACTCGCTGGCGTCGATTTCAACGTCATGAATCGCCCTTCGTGTACGAGTAGATATATGCGAATTAGGTAGACAATGGATAACACTACCCACGTAGACCCGAGTCAGGGGTCTCCTCTAATGTATAACGTATAAAGTCTAACCCTCTAGTGGATTTGATCACACAAAAATTGCCCTAATAGTGGTTTTCCAATCACAGGTCCTTCTCTCAACTCAATCTGGGAGAATGAACATGTAACCAGGGAGACACGGACGCGGACACGGGCACGGGCACGGTTGGTGACTTGGGTTTATGAAATCGAGGGTCTTCAGCAGAGGGCAGTCAACGCAAGCACACCCATACCCATCCCCACCACCATCGTCATCACCGTTGAGACAGAGTCTCCCGCTCTCGCCCTCACGCTATCGGAGCCGCTGTGCGAAGTTTGACTCGCTCCAGAACTACCACCTGTGGTGGTGGTGTTCGTCGTCGTCGTCGTCATCGTCGTCGTAGCATTGCCACCACTGTTGCCGTCGCCGGAAGTGGTGTTGTTCCCAGGGATGGATGCAGCGGTTGCGGAGGACGAGGATGCTGTCGTCGAAGAAGACGAGGCGGCAGTTACGGTCACGACGCCAGTCGCGGTGACGAGGGCGGAGTAGATGTCGGCGCTGCCGTCGTTGGTGTTGTTGTTGTACGAGTTGCCCTTGTCGAGGCCGTTGCTGGAAGAGTAGTCGACGCCAGCGCAGTCCGGGCGCCACGAACCCAGGTCGACGCCTTCCTCGACGAAGAAGCAGTTGCCTGCCGGTACCAGGAGGCCGGCCGGGGACGGAGCGAGCGGAGAGCAGTCTGATGAGAGGTAGATGCGCACTGGAAAAGAGAGCGAACGTCGTTAGTGTGCGAGTATTGGTGTCGGTGTCGATTGTGTGTTGAAGAAGTGAACGGTGGCAGTGGTGGGTATGGGAATGTACAACGTACAATGATATTACATGTACAACCACCCCCCCCCCCCCCCCCCCCCGACAGAGACACACACACACAAAAGGAGAGACAAAGAAGCCACAGAGAAATTTTACACTAATAACATACACAAGGGGCGTGTGACTTACATGTACACCCTTGGTCGATCTGATTCACGTAAAGCGCCACCGTGCCATTCGGGAGCTGGTGACATGACGTATCTGCCTGCAGAGCATTCGGGTCATTGTACGACTGGAAGGACGTGCCGGCGTTGCAAGAAGAGTGTTCGAAGAACGTAAGTGCAAGGGCGGCATGGGCGACGTGTGGCGCAAAGAGAAGTGTAATTGCAAGCAGAGTTGCGACCTTACTCGACTGCGAAAACTGTCGAAAAAGTCCAAATGTCGACATTGTTGTGGGAGGACTCAATAATGAACAGGAGTAGTGGCTGGTTGGAATTGCAATCACGACAGAGAGGTAGTCAGGAAGTGTAACCCAGATACCTAGGTACCTGGATGCTGATGATGCTGATGATGCTGAGGTGGTTCGCGACTGGGTGGAGAGGGGGTCTTTGATATACAAGGATCAGAGTCTTATACCAGGCTTCGAGGCATGGCGGGCGGGTAAACGACGCAAGTCCGCGTCGTGTACAAATTCTCCGTGGTTAAAGGAGTGGTTTCTCGCGTGGTCGCGTCGATAAGAGATAGTATCGCAGTGGTTGCGTGTTCAAGAGGATAGCGAGATGGTTCATCGGCGTTGCAGATGCACGGACCGAGTGTTTGTAAAATTGGAAAAACTGCCAGATGCGGCCTTGACAGCAGTCAATTGACCGAATTCCCAACGTTCCGAGATTGATCAGCAATTTCACTAAGGCTTCTGGAATGTCAACAATGTCATGCATCAAATTCATTCCTAGCCTTGCAGGTAATAATGCCGCTAATACATCGGATCGTTATGCTGGTCGTTCAATCATCTCCTGCTTCGCAGAACATCATCGTCTCCGGGATTTTGTCCACATGGACACAAACTCGATCTTGTCCTTGACCCCTAATCCCACTCGTTTGACCCGGCCCAGTCTAGCCAATGCCTCGGCAATCTTATCTAGAAATGCTCGTTCTTCCTTGGTCGTGGGACCTTCGGAATCTTCACCACCCACAAGCGTGTCGGCATCACTCCCTGTGCCGTCAGACGCCAGAGTGTCGAGATAATTTGTTGTATATGACGATGCTTTGGCCACTGCTGGTTCCGGGCTTCTCTTGGACGTGTTGTACATGGATTCTGCTATACGGATCCGTATGCAGTGACTCGGTCTACTGCACAGGTTCCACAAGAAAGTGAGGTAGGAGTGCGGGATCGGTGTTGTGACGTCGGCAGGTGTAAATCTCAAACTGACGGGAAAGACTTTTGTTCGTGGTGGTGTGTTCAAGAGACTTGGACTCATGGGCAGGATGCCTCTTCCGTTGGACGTGGTACATTCGGGGAATACCACCAGAATACGGTTCGGGTTGCGTGCAACCAGGGCACCTATATCAACCAACTTGGCGCCCTCTGGAGGATTCAGTTTTGGATACGTGAAAGACCGATATACAGCCGTGAAAAGCGAGATCGGTTCGACGAGCCTCGTGTTTGGATATGTCGCCGCATAGATCGGGTCGAAGATAGCAGCCAGGTATAGTGCGTCTATGGGCGAAGCATGTGATGAAGCTATCACTGAGCCAGCCTGAGGTATCCGGGTGCTGTTTTTTGCCAATGACCTGTGGACATCAGCACGCATAGTCATATAAAGATGGGTGTGTAGTAGAGCCATACCCTTTCTTTACTCCATCGATTTGCAAGTCGATCCACCATATCCCCGGTATCCCCAGTATACACCATAGTGATGCTTTCCTTCCCAGTACTCCTATAGGCATCCATTGTAGCACCAGGAAATATGATATTGCAAACATCAGAAGTACCGGGACACGGAAGATGAAGAGAAAGGTATGGAAAGGCAGAGCGATGCCGGCGGGTTTGTGAGGGATTGGGAGGAATGGCGCAATGCCAGAGCCTAAACATGACGGGTCAGCAACAAGAAACGCAAGTGAGTGCTGCTTCTGTGGGCATATCCAAGACATACCTTTGTCGCGGAACTGAGAGAACTTCTCCATCGCGGACTTGTGGCTTGTACCTCGAGAAAAATATCAAGGCTCTAGATTTGAGAAGAGAATTGAAGCATTACCGTCAGAGCGACGAATCCATAAAAGCGGTCGGAGTGAACAACGAAATCAGCACCGGCGAACTAGCGATACATGGCAATAGAAGGCGTCGTGGGATGATATGGCCAGGGTTGGAGAAGAACCGCGTGTGGTACAGGCCGATCTAAGATTCATCGGGCATGGTGGGAGCAGGACTCCATGCACGACTCGGCTTCGGTGGTTCGATGATGATAAGTGAGGTTGGTATGAAGAGACGGATGTGTTCGGTTCGTTGCTGGAGGGAAAAAGCAGGACGAAGATTTTCACATGCTCCTCCTCATGAACGCATCATCCAGTGCATCGAAAGAACCGCCGGATTCGGGTCGATGCTTCGTCTTGGCAATGATGTTCATACGAGTGCAATAAAAAAATAAACCAAAGCGACAGAATGCTGCTCACGCTGCCTTCAACCACGCAGACTCCGACAACTTCTTTCCCAGCTTGATCTCTACCTACCAGTTAGTGTCCCTCCTCTTGCGACCCTACATGTTCCCAGCACTGCCCTCTTATCCCCAGTCTTGTGGCTTGGTGGGTCACAACGAACCGTATGTAAGGAACGCCCGGTGGGCACGGATAAAGTGCCCGTGCAGCATCGTGCTGAGAACCCTTGTCTGTCCTTCGGATCATGCAATAGCCTCGAATTGTACTCGTATCCCGGCTTACTACGACGCGGAATCATGTTTCGTTGATCCACTACATGAGAGCCTTGCAGGGGATGCCATGACATCCTGGTGTTTTGGCATGTGATAGCTATCTCAGAATGGTGTTGCTTTGCTGTTCTCCATCAACCCCCGTATTCACCTTTATCAGGCATCTCAGCAGTCCCTGTTGCACATTCAATGGCTTTTGCTCCCTATCGACAATTCAATGTCTGTCTGTTCTAGAAGCACTCGTATGACTCCTGGGGAATGGGCTTGCGCCAGAGTTCCAAAACAACTGGAACAAGAGGTGAATATGGCACCAATGCTACACTCATTTCATTCACCAGAGAGGATGGTGGACTTCATGAAAAACAAATCTTTCCTGGACCTGTGGTGCTGCTCTTCATCTGCGTAGGTTCGAGCAGAAGCCATTATCACCAGAGACTTTTCCAGGCAAGAGACGTGGCAGCTCCCTTCAGCATCAGGTAAGGAGGTGTTGCTCCTGCAATTCCAGACGTACAACTCTCCGCATCATTTCAACGCCATACATCAACCACCGATAAGGATGGGTAAGCTGTTCCCGAGACCTAGACGACATCATCCTGGAGTCTAATCCAGTAGGCGATGACAATAAATCTCACCAATCCCGACCTATTCACGGTACTAGCCCAGGCGGGGGACCATCGGACGTTCTGAAACCAAAAAAGAACAAGGAATTTGCGGCATGGGCAGAATACATGGGTGAGGAGAAGGACGAAGCCTTCATCACCTGGAAAAAGCAGATGCAGGAAAGCGATCCTGCCTCAATGAAGAAATGATTGGTTCAGAGCAGAACTAATTCTCCAGAAGGCCGGCCCAGCCGACTGGCTGGACTCGCAGTCCTTTCACGTTTATCATACCAGATACGCCGCACAACGTCAAGGATAACAGGTGGTTGAGCACCGAAGAGAGAGGGACATTCGAGCAGAGTCTGTTGAAGGGCTGTGGAGACTGAAGGATGCAAGTCACATGGAAGGTTGTCAACTCGATTTTTCTCCTCTACCACAAATTTAGATGACACCAGATGCCATTTGGGTTCTCGAAGCTATGTCTCTGGTGTGGTCGCTGCAGTATGGCGCTTCTCACACTTGTTTTCGTTGCCCTAACCAACGTCTGGGGGCACTGGCGAAACCACAGCCGCCGATAGGGCAAGCACCTCATTGAGGAATGTGCAACGGTCAGGCACGTCGTTTGATACTGTGTGATTGCGTTTCCAGCCATATCACTTGAAAGCGGACTTGCTTGTGGGTGGTTGGCGCAGACAGTAGATGAGAATCTGATCCCTGCATATGAGGGGCTGTTAGGCTATCGATGAAGCACCAACGTTGGTCGTAAAGAGGCTAAAATTGTTCTACAGGCGAAAACATATCCAGATTTATCCGCTCGATGAGGCCTCAAAAGAGCACAATATCATGGATAGAGCTCACAGGTCACCAAGATATCTGGAAGGAAGCTTTCAACGGTGGAAGAGGGATTGACTTCTCCAATCGACACGAAGACGAGCCTGGTTAGAGAGGTGGGAGTTGTTCGAGGTACCCACGCATCTTGATGTAGAATTCTCTCGGTTGCTCGCTTACGAGGCTGAATGAAAACCAATCGACACATTGACATGGGCGCACACCGGCCCTCGCTGGACTGATGCTGCGAGTAGAGTGATAGGGACCGAGTCTCCATGGACACTCTTTTACGACCCCAAAAGTGCCTTCATGTAAATACGTTCCGCGGTGTTCCAAGAGAACCCAAGAGAGGCGTCAGCAGAGGTGCGAGAAGGTCGGAATGATTTATGGGGTCTTGTACTTATCCAAGGACAAGAAGGCTCTCGACGTCGACGATGAGGTTGCCCGACAAAGTTGGCCGATGAGGTTGGCCGACGTTTCTGAACAACCCAAGAACTGGAGAAGATGATCTTACCTTATGGAGATGGCGCGGTTTTCGCCGACGACAACGACCACAAAAGCCCAAGGGCGGGATTGTCCACCTTCCTCTTTTCACTCCTCTAGGGCTGTACTGGCGAGACCAAACTTGTATTTGAGGGACAGCAAATCTCAACTGAATAAGTATACTGAAGCCCTGCCGTCTCGCCATAGCCGTCCGAAGCTCATTACGATACCATGCCTTCTACACTCGATCTGCAGGCCACTAGGGCCGAATTCCCTGCCTTGGCTCAAAAGCAGGTCTTTATGGACAACGCTGGAGGGTCCCAGGTCCTCAAGACGGTCATAGATTCAATTTCAACATACCTTTCGTCTACCAATGTCCAGCTAGGGGCATCTTATCCCGTATCGCAGGCATCGACGAACAAGTTCAATGACGGTTACCTCGCAGGCGCAAAGTATATCAATGCGTCTCCCAGCGAAGTCGTGTTTGGTCCGTCCACAACACAATTATTTCGGAACCTCTCCATAGCTCTCAAGATCGACCCTGGCTCAGAGATTATCCTGTCGAATCTCGACCACGAGGCAAATCTGGCGCCCTGGGTCCAACTGGCAGAATGGAAGGGACTGACGGTCAAGTGGTGGATTCCAACGAAGAACACCAGATCAAACCCCAGACTAGAGCCAGACGACCTGAAAGCACTTCTGACTCCCAAGACACGCTTGGTTTGCTGCACACACACTTCGAACATCCTGGGCACGATTACAGATGTCGCTAGTCTGTCCAAGGTCATCCACGAGACCAACCCAAACACGTTGTTTTGTGTCGATGCAGTGGCCTACGCTCCACATGCACCAGTCGATGTCAAGGCCTTTGGAGTTGACTTCTACTCGTTCTCATGGTACAAGGTCTATGGGCCGCATGTTTCGATGTTGTATGTCGGCGAAAAGGCCAAGAACGAATTGCAGAGCCTGGGACACTATTTCAAATCAAGGGACACGCTGGAAGAAATGCTTGGTCTCGCAGCAGGAAGTTATGAGTGCACCCAAGCCATACCACAGGTCGTGGAATATATCAACAGGGTCGGTTGGGACGCAGTTGCACAGCAGGAGCAAGAGATCCAAGAAATTTTGTTGTCGTACCTCAGGTCAAAGCCGGATTCGATTAAAATATACGGAGAACCCTCTTCAGACAGGAAGATTCGAGTCCCAGTAATCAGCTTCAGAGTTAAGGGCCAAAGTTCGATCGGTATTATCGATGGTATTGAAGCGAGATCGGATTTTGGTTGTCGAAGTGGCCACTTTTACAGCAAGAGGTTGTGTGAGAACGTATTGGGCATACCCGATGCGGACGATGGTGTTATCAGGTGTTCACTGCTCCATTACAACACGACTGAGGAAGTGAAGGGGCTGGTCAAGGTGTTGGACGAAGTAATCACTGAAGGTGCCGGGAAAAGCGTCCAGAATCCAGATAGGAAGAACATTGCAGACTGGTAAACAATTGCAAGCCATTGAACACAGATGACGACATGTTTCGGTCCAGAGAGTGACTGATACACTGTCACGTAGTGGAGTCTCGGGTACATCTTAGATTAGTAAGTGTCTTAACGGAGGAGTCGAGATGTTGAAGACGACACGGGACACGGGTGGAGGCGTTCTTTGTCATTCTGGGATAGTGACAGAGCAATGCAAGAATTGGGGCCTTGGTAGAAGTAAGAAAAGTGCAAAACACCGAGCCTCTATGGACTGCAGATTTCAAAAATAACAATGATCAAGGATCGAGGTTCGTCGAGGCAGTTGTCTGAATGTGTACCTGTGTGTTGAAGGTGCTTGCATCTCTGCCCGGCCCAGTACGGATCGTGATTGGCTGCGAGGGCAATGTTTACTGCTAGCCTCTTTTGTGCTAGTTCAATATCAACGAACCTGGGGCAGCATCAACCCTCGAGGGCAACATCTTTACCCATATCTCATGATACAGTGAAACAGCGATGGTTATTTGATGTTATTTGGTGGATTTATCGAGCGAAGCCCTGGATTGCACGTCTCACAATGGCCGACACTGAAAATGTATGATCCCAAACCCGTCTCAAAATTCGCATTTATTGACCCTATGGAACCGCAGTTCGTCTCTCAACTCCCACAGCCGGCTCGCCATGGGCTCCCATCACCTCAGAAGCACTTAGCAGAGCTCAGCTCATCGGCAAACAACTCTCGGACTGCTATGCTTCCTCCTGGTTTTGCCAGTCACAAGCGCCAGGGATCCAACCGTTTGTCATAGACCCGAAAAAGAGAAGGGGAGATGCTGATGGACATATACAGTGCCTGAGCCGGCCCCGAAGCGCAAGACGCTTGCTGAACGCGCGGGCGAACCTCCGAGAGTAACACAGGCTGCACCTCGATCGAATGCCCCCCTCAATTCTGCAGTCATGTCCACGGTTCACGGCCGCAATCCCTCTGCATTCTCACAGTCCTACCGAAGCAATCCAACCCAATCGAGAAACACACCCAGCTCTACAGGGTCGTCATTCTCGATGAGTGTAGGTAGCAGCATCCGACCACCGAGTACGCGACCGGTATCGAGTCTCGCGCGACCCAAATCGTCACTTGCCAAAGAAAGAGGGACTAGAATGGCCCACCCGAGGCCTACAACGTCAATGGATACCCGAGTTGAGAATCCAGAAGGACCCAATAATAAACGTATGATTGATTTTTCCAATCCCCAACTGAACTTCACTGCCCGTGGCCCCCTGAACCCTGCGAGGACTGCCGTGTACATGCCCAAGAGAGGTGCTCGGAACATCTCCCCCATGAGATGCACAGGAATATCAAACCATCCTCAGATACTTCGACGAGAGCCTTTGAGGGCCTTTTCGATTACCAGTCGGATGGCAGAATTGTCTTTATATCCCGAGACTCCACAGCCCAAGGCGCGTTTGGGAAGCCCTTCCAAAGTTCCTAGGCCATCTCCGGGAGCTCCCAAAGCTCTGGATAAGCCAGTGTTCAGTCCTCCGCAGTTTCCCAAGAACACACCATCTCCTCGTAAAAACAAAGCGGGTGTCAAGCTGACCAAGTATTCTGATCTAGAAGCCTGGGATCCCGAAGAACAATACAGTAACATGGAGAGGATGTACGAAGATGTGTGCAAGCATTATAAGCAAGCGATGGAAGATAACGTGGAGGCTAAGGAGGCCAACCATGCTTACAAGTCAACGCTTGCCAGCCTAGAGCAGGAGCGAAAAGACCTCACAGAAAACCTAATTTCACTGAGATGCGAGCTAGAAACGACGAAATTTCGGCTCGAGACGGCCGAACGAGCGAAGACCGAGGTCCAGCGAGCCAACGAGGAAGAAATCGAGGACGTCAAGCGTGACCACCGAATCGAGTGCGAAAACATCCGCCAAGCACACCGTCAAGACATGGAACGGCTAAAGGCTGATCATCGAGAAGAGTTGCGTGAGTTGAAGAAGAGACTAGAAGATGAGCTTGAAGATGAACGAACCCAACGAATCCAAGCTCTAAGTCAAGTCTCTACTCAGGGCGCGTTGGAAAAGCAGAGACATCACATGGATATTGAGGCAAAAGAACAAGAAATCAGAAACATCCGCTCGGAGGTGGAGAGGTTAAAGGCTGATCTTGCCAGAGAGAAGAGCCTCAACGACGACCTACGGCAAAATTTGAGCTCTGCCGGAGCCAACGCAACGACTATGGAGACTGCTCGACAAGCCCTACAAGCGAAGATTGATTATCTTGAATCGGACAGCAAGTCCCAATCGGAAGCATATGCCATGATGGAGAAGAGAATGAATGCGGCTCTGGAAAAAGCGACAGAATGCGAAGAAAAGCTGCGAAAGGAGGAAATGCTCCGACGAAAGCTGCATAATCAAGTGCAGGAGCTCAAGGGCAATATCCGAGTGTTCTGTCGTGTGCGTCCGTCCAATGGAGATGAATCGGAAGGCACGGCCAAGTTCAATTTTCCAGCATCCGACGAAGACCCTAAAGATATTGAGGTCAAGGGCCCAGAAGAAACCAACAGCTTGGGCAAGGTCACGACCAAAACGCACCAGTTCTCCTTCGACCGAGTCTTTGCGCCGTCGAGCAACAACACCGAGATCTTTGAGGAAATCAGTCAACTCATCCAATCGGCTCTGGACGGTTACAACGTGTGCATCTTTGCATACGGACAGACCGGCTCCGGCAAGACGTTTACAATGTCGTCTGAAGACGGTATGATACCACAGGCTCTGCGGCAAATCTATAGCACAAGCAAAGAGCTCGAAACCAGAGGGTGGAAGTACACGATGGAAGGCAGCTTTGTTGAAGTATACAACGAGGAGCTACGAGATCTCTTAGGCAAGGATGGCGAGAGTAACGGCAAAAAACACGAGATCCGCCACGACATGGCGACGTGTGAAACAACAATCACGGACGTGACGACGCTCACACTCGACAGCCAGGAGCAGGTTGAGGGCATTCTGGCGCAAGCAATGTCTCGACGATCTGTGGCGGCCACAAAGGCCAATGAACGAAGTAGTCGAAGCCACTCGGTGTTCATCCTCAAACTGACAGGCTACAACTCGATCACGGGCAAACGGTGCAAGGGCACGCTCAACCTGGTCGATCTGGCGGGTTCGGAACGCCTGACGCATTCACAAGTCGAAGGGGCAAGGTTAAAAGAGACGCAAAACATCAACAAGTCTTTGTCTTGCTTAGGCGACGTCATTGGTGCTTTGGGTCAGCAGCAGCAACAGCAACAGCAACATGGTCAGCAGCAAAGTGGGAGCGGGCCCAACGGTGGTGGTGGTGGAGGAGGAGGAGTCGGACACATCCCTTACCGTAACAGCAAACTGACGTACCTCTTGCAATTCAGCCTAGGAGGGAACAGCAAGACTTTGATGTTCGTCATGGTCGCGCCGGAGAAGAAGTGTCTCTCGGAAACCATCACCTCTCTCAAGTTTGCCGACAAAGTGAGCAGGACGAGGATTGGTGTGGCGAGGAAAACCAGTGGGAGGTGAGAGGAATTCCTCTCCTCTTAAGAAGATAACGAACTCCGGCGGCAGAGCGATGACTTGGCCTTAGTGGGAAGCGTCAAAGGTTGGGTTCTTGTTTCTTTGTGACGATTGGTTCAGGCTCTCTTGGAGGAACGATACCAGTTTTCGTCGACACGCCCAAGTGCGAAAAAAGGAGATTCTAGTACGCCCACCCGAAAGGGATGTGGGTTTCTCATCAAACGAGGCATGTACATGGTGCGGAGTGCAGTTCTTTTTGTTCTCTTCCTGTATACTCTACTGACCTAGGTACCTTTTTTGGGTTGCAGTTGCTGTTCCTGTTAGTGGTGACGGCGGCGGCGGCGGCGGCGTTGTTGTTGTGGGCTTGTTCTTTCTTCTCGGAAGCTACCACGGTACCCGTGTACAAGACAGAGAGACCTTAAATTACTTACCTGGATACCTTGGCTTGGCTACCTACCCAGCCACCTAGATACCATTAACGAAAATGATCATGACTATTATGAACGTGAGAGACAGAGAGAGAGAGAGAGAACCTCGGGACACTGTGGCCACGAGGGGGAAATTTGGAATCGTGGATATTTTACAATAGTAGTCGGGTCCAGGTACCATATTTAGGACCCCGGTCCCGTACCCAAGGTGTCGTGGCTTTATTATGTTCAAGGTAAAGGGCGATGATAAGGTACGGAGAGATTACAATGCCACCGGATTTTCCAGATTACTCAACTATTGAAGTGAACCCGCACCGCACCAGCCGGGCCGAGACATACCGCTGGCTATATATTAGATAGAAGATAACAAATCACAATTTCGTCGGTCGTTGTTCTCTCCTCTGCTCGTTCTGCGTGGTTTGTTTCTTTTTCCTCCCCGCCATCACCTCTCTCACGATCCCCCTGGAAATATACTCTGCAATGCCCATGTTGGTGACCATGGGATTCACGCCACTCGCCGAAGGAAACACACTGGCGTCGGCCACGTACAGGCTGCCGCCATCCACGCCCCAGACTTTGCCGTGTGCGTCGACCACGCCGGTCTTGGGCGACGAGCTCATGCGGCATGTGCCCATCTGATGCGCCGAGCCGAGCATGTACGGATCCGGAACCGTGAGGCCTGTTGCGCGAACGACCTCCAGCCAAGCCGTGAAAGACTTTTCGTCTCTTTCCTTTTCTTTGGCTTTGGCTTCTTCTTCGTCTTCTTCGCCACGCCCTAGGTCTTGCTCCGTAGCTACACCACCACCACCTTCGTGCTGCGACGACGACAACGACGACGGTCTCACCCATCTCGGCACGTAGGCGTGTCCGGTGTCGATTTCAACCGCCCCCATGACGAAACATATCCTCGCGGCGGCGATTTGACCTTCTAGAATATGGCCTCTGTCCCGCGCGCTAGGTACGTACGCGATCCTGGGCCTCTTCCGTTCTGGATCCTTGGGATCGATGTACACGCGTCCCGGGTCCGCGTCTCTGGTGATGGAGATGAACCCGGTCGAGAAGCCGTACTTGGCAGCGTTGACCCTGTATTCTATGGCTGGGCTGAACACGTCGCCACTAGGGCCCTCCTTTGAGTGGTTGGCTGAGCCTGTGCGGGACGGAATAACCAGGAGCCCGAACGGAGGAGGGCTGAAGATTGTTTCGATTTTGGGCCCGTGATTCGCGCCGTCCTGGTTCTGGTGCTCGGTGACAGCGACGGTAAGAATACTCCCTTCCCATGGATTCGTGCGGTTCGGCCACACAGACCACACCTGGGCCGTCGCATGAAGGTGGAGGTTCGCACCGATGTTTGGGTTCTTGAGTCCGGACCGCAGCAAGACCAGTGGAGAGTTAAGGGTTCCTGCCGCGAGAACGACACGCTCCGCTGAGATATGCAGAGTCCGTGTTGTCCGGCGGTCGCGGGACGTCCAGAGTACCTTGACGCCGTTGGCTACCTTTCGGTTGCCCTGCTGGGAGAATGTGATCTCCTCGACAAAGGCACCTTCAATGAACTCGGCTCCATGCTTGGCCGCGTCAGGAAGCCAGCAGTTCACGGGACCTTGCTTGGTCGTGCTGGGACATCCGTACGAGCAGTACCCGCAATCATGTCGCTTGGAGGCAGTGTTTTGTGGGACAATCTCGACGCTCATACCCAGACGGCGTGCACCTTCAAGTAACGTCTTGTTGGCAACGTTGTGCTCGATCTTGGCGAGACTGGATGGGTCCGTTGAGCTTGAGACGCCCATTCGATGGCACACGGTATCGAGACAGTCCTGGAATTCAGGGGAGAGGAAGTGAGGGAGCCCACCATCGGACCATTCTTTCCGCACGGCATACTGCGGTTGTAAGCTTGCGGACCAGTTCACCGTGCCACCTCCGCCGAGATTGCTGCCGGCAAGAACGACGAGGTTGTTGTCGTCCGCCGCTATCATGCCACCATTCTCCATCAGATGTTCTCCTGCCTCGACGGCGCCCATGGGGAAATGAGCAGAGGGGAAGTGGTAGGACTTTTCGAGTATGAGACATTTTAAGCCTGCCCGAGAAAGGTGTGATGCCACCACTCCTGCGCCGCAGCCAGAGCCGATGATAATCACGTCCGTTGACAGGCTTGTCGGAGTGTCGGGGGATGTGAAATCATGAAACACAAAATCATAACTGTCGTTGCGCTCGATGTTCCTGGGGACAGTGGGGAAGTCAAGCACTTGTGGGAGTGTGGACGATGTTGTTGACCATGTCAGTCTCGCCAGTCCATTCAACGAGCGGTAGATGGCGCGGAACAAGGGCAGTCGGGCAGTGGACCAGCCATTGACGATGCGCGTTCGAGTCGCCAGATCTTGAGTATGGATTGGGGCCGAGTAGCCTGTGAGGATGTACGAGCCGACGGTGGTGTTGAGAGCCGAGAAGATGACGGCCAGGCCTTGTGCGTCTGCGGGGGGGACGTATAGTTTGAACTTGCGGACGACTGCCTCTCGGAATGCCGGGTTTGCGACAATGTCCTCGGAAAGGTATGCTCGAGCAAGCTTGTCGGAGGCGCTCTCTGGAAGGTAAGGTCTTATGCGAGAGACGGCGCTTTCTAGCTGCGCTTGTGATACATTGGATCCAGCAACTACGGAAGGCACCGTCACTTCCAAGATGGAAAACAGAGTGTCCAACTGGGTCTTTGTAAAGACTTCTGTGTCGGGAGCCGGGAGGAGCGGAGAAGGGAGAGAGGCCAGGCTTGAGGCGTTTGTGATTTGTGCCATCTTGAGGACGTCGGGTGCTTGGTTGGCAAGACACGCAGGACGAGAGCGAGTCCAGGAGCCGGTCTTTAAGTCGGGAGAAGTTCACAGAGACGTGTGTAAAGAGAATGCGTGAGCTCGTCCTGTACTTCCCGCGGCAGCTGTGGGAGGAGAGACAGACGGTGGGGTTTGTCTGCGCGATGCTGGAGACCTCTTCGGAGTATCCGTAGCACGAACTTGCAGTCGAATTGCTATACAAAGTGACACATGTGGACAGGATCAAACCTGAAGGACACAGGGCTTGTCCTGCTAGGTTTGAAGGAGTATAGGAGTCTGTGTTCTCAGTATCTTCAACTAACCTTTATGTACGTAAAAGATCAACGCTGTACGGGGTATCTGACGTTAGGTAAGAATCTGACCTGGATGGCTGAGGCAGGCCCATCCGGGGGTACCTATGTAAGCAGGTATGGTTTCCGCTAAGCACGAGGCGGGTGGAATTGCTAGAGCCTCTGGATTAAGGCGTCCATGTCAGCCAGAGGAAAAACGATGGTGCAGGGCGAGACGAGATTTGCGAGTCAGTGGCGGTGTCTACAGGACGAGCGAAGGAGAAGCCGAGGTTCGTTGGTGGGACAGAAATAGACAAAAAGAAACATGCCTTAGTCAAGGGTCGGCAAGGTACAGACAGATACGCATACGCTCTGCATCTGCACCGATTTCGCAGGTAACCAAGGCCCTGTAGGTTGTTCTGGTCCTACAGTCTGTCGACTCGAATGAATATCAGACCATGAATGCAGACTCTGTAACAGAAGGAAAAATACACGCGCCATCGGCCAGACTGCCACGCATCGCCGCATCGGCCAGCTCGATTACCCCGTATCCCATCGGCAGGGTTTGACTAAAATGACCCCATTGTCACTAACGGAGTCGACGAGGAGGCTTGACTAAAATTACCCTAAACACCGTACCATGTCCTGATGCATACAAGATCGACGGGACGAGGATGTACCAACCTCTAACTAGGCAACCTTAGATAAAGAGCTGGAGGACGGAATCCTCCATACTAACACCCAACAACACTCTTTGCTCTATCATACTGTAGCCTGTCCCCATCTAAGTACTCTTGCCTTTTAGCTGCCGTCCCTTCACGTAAACCTCTTCAATGTTCCGGTCATCACCAGATATCAAAAACTTTTCAAAAATCATCGGCAGACTATCGTCCTCCTGGACCATGGTCATGACCCCGTCGACTCCGCCCCGAACCACCAGAGCATCAAAGTCCTTGCCGACCTCGAAATTCCCAATCTTGTCGGCCAGACTGCACACTCTGGCACCGCCCAGCGTAGCCAGAGAGAAGCACTGCCAGATGGACAGCGCAGGCTCTCCATTGATGGCCTGCCTGGCATTCGACACGATGACAGCCTGCCTCATGGCGTCAAGTATGCTCGAGGAAAACCCTCCGCCACTGTCGGTGCCCAAGCCGACCTTGATGCCCTTTTCGAGGAATCTGCCAATCGGCGCAGCCATGAACCCGCCTCCCACCGTCGTGTTGGAGACGGGGCAATGCGCAACACCGCTATCCTTCTGCCGCAGCTTGTCGATCTCGTAGTCGGTCATGATGGTGCAGTGCGCCAGGATGCTGCGGTCCGTAAGCAACCCGAAGTGGTCGTACAGATCGGCCTCGTTGGTGAAGTCCGGGAACAGCCTCAACGTCGCGTCTATCTCTTGTTGGGCTTCGTTGAAGTGCGTCTGGATCGGCAGATCCGGGTTCTCTTGGGCCAGAGACCCGAGACCTGCAAGCAACTCGTCGTCGCACGACACGGCGAACCGCGGCGTGAGGATAGGTTTGACCAATGCACCACCACCACTCGACGCGTCGAGCGCGCGGACATGGTCGATAACGTTCCTCGTCACCTGGAGAGACTCGGCGGCATCTTTGTCCCTGTAGTAGTCCGGCGCGTTCCTGTCCATGTTGCACTTGCCTATCAGTGCCCGCTGGCCTTTGGAGTGGCAGACGTCGGCCAGGATCGTGGTGGCTTCGCCATGGAGAGATGCGTAGTACGAACAAGTCGTGACTCCCTGTCTGATGAAGCCGTCGACACAGGCAGAGTAGATTTTCCGTGCGTGCTCGGCGTCCCGAAACTTTGCTTCGTTCGGAAACGTGATCTCGTCCAACCAGTCGAGAATGTGCAGTCCGCCGCCCAGCCCTCGTTGACCCCATTGAGGCGCGTGGTTGTGCGTGTCGACGAAACCTGGAATCAAGAAGTCGGTGCGGTCGAGGAGTGTGATGGCGCTGGGTTGCTCTGGCAGATTCAGTCTCGACAGGGTCTTCTCGACATCTGCTCGGGGGACGTCGTGCTCGACATGACTGATTTGCCCAGAGGCTGAAACAACCACCAAGGTGTCTTCCAGGATCTTGGTTTCGCCGACCGTTGGGCAGTGGACGATTGTCCCATGAAAAGCGCGGGCTCTCGCCATGTTGTTGAAATGGAGACAGTGTATGTAAGCAACTCTGAGGCGCTCAAAGTCAATGTCTCTCTACCAGGCCAAAGACAAACGACAGTATCCTTGACGTGTCTAGGTATCTAAACTTGACTTAGACGTTTGTTGGTGTCAACTCTGGCCCAATTTTCGTTATCGTAACCCCGTTCAGACAGTAGATCTCTAGGTAGGCATCAACGGGCATAGCCCGATATCAATGGATTCTCTCGGCGAGCTCCGACGGTACAATAAATACACCTCAGGACTGAATAAGTGCTAGTGACCTTTATCACTCCTGATCGATGTACTCGTTCCGTAGCACACCGTTGAAGCCACCTTCTTCAATCTCTCCCGCACTCATCCGAAAGTTTGGTCTTGCAGGGATCTACAAAGGCAAGGAGTGTAGGTAGTAACTCTACTCATCTCGATTCTTTATCCAGCATATGCCCCCTTTCTCACCATCTCCATCATACCTCGCATCCACACTCCGTCAGGGCGAAAGCTCTCCTCGATGCAAAATCTCTGAGACTCGTCGGCGAAGTCGACGCCTCGCCTATAATACAATCGATCGACGACGCACTCGACGCACTTTCCAGCCTTGACGCTCCCGTCTCTTCCATCACTCTTGCCATCCTGTGCCACGGTTCCGTCGTCGCTGATTAATTCGTCATATGCCCTGTTCATGGTGCTCAGCGGCGTCACCCACTCCGGCGGCCACAGGGCCGTGACCTCGCTCGGCGTCAGGCCAGTGTCGACGTATGCTGGCATGATACAGTTGACGGCGACGTTGTCACTGGCCAGTAGGTTCTTCCCGATGCTGCGCACCAGCGACACCAGCGACGCCTTTGTCGCCGCGTACTGCACCGCGATCGGGAATGGATAGAGCGCCGAGCATGAAGAAGTAATGACGAATTTCGGATTGTACGGCACTTTCACTTGCTGCTGTTCACCGCTACCAGCTCCCCCTGCCTTCAGTGCTCGATTCGTCACCCTGGCATAGTGCAAAAACATCTTCAACCCATAAAACACCGCCACCTGATTGACCTGCGTGCATCGCATCGATGGCATCGTCGGGTCTGCGTCCAGATCGTCCTTGGTAGGATCAAGCAGGTGTTCGCCCTCGGTCGTGCCGGCGTTGGCCGCGAAAAAGTCGATGCGGCCGACACCGGACCATGAGAATGCCTCCTTGACCATGGACAGTTGAGAGTCCCACGACGCCACGTCGGTTTCGATGAACTTGTGCCGTGCGGGATCCAGCTCGGATTTGACCTTTTCGTATGCCTCTGGACGGAGGTCGGCCACGACGACGCGCCATTCCTCGTCGGATTTGGAGAGTAGGTGTTTGACTAGACCCAGACCAATGCCGGAGCAACCACCTGAGTGATTTTTTTATGGATGGTAAGCGTCAACTCATTCGCTCACCTACTCACTCACACATGTCTGCCGGATGAACCAGAGAGGGTGGGTGGATTTGGCTTTCATACCTGTGACTATGGCCGTCTTCATCGTTCCTTCTGCTCCAGCGGACCCCAATGCCGACCCTGGTGAATGATACAGTAGGTATTGTGCAAGGTTATAAGGTATAGTTGAGAAGAAGCCAAACCAGTTTACAACTTCTCGAAGAACAAAAACAAGAACATGCAGCACAGAACAAGGTATTGATGGCTAGTACCTATTTCAATTGGTTTTCATTGAATACGTCGTAAAAGCTGAGTAGTCTACTAGGTACAAAGCCCCTCAGTTAAGATCCGCCGTCAAGATCCCGTATATGATGCCTCTGTCTCGTGTACCGAGGTGTCATTGTATTCTGACTCGTCGACGACTTGTTTGAGCGAACCGGCAATTATCAGCTTTAGGCGCACCATTTTCCCCGCAACAAAGGGCACTGGGTATTTGTACCGGTACAAGCGAGGAACTCTTTCCCCCACAAGGCGGCCGAGGACAACACAAGGGGAAACTTTTGTCCTTGTGTGTTCCCGGTATGCGTAGGAGGTAACTGTCCGACTTTGAGTCAGTATTGAAAGGCAAGCGGGTCGACCTTGTATGCTGAACCCTTGCTTCCCAACCAGCCTCTTCAAACCACTTGTGCATTTGCTTGTCTTTGGGCCGCCCACAGAGGCGCAACAGTCTCGACGGCTCTTTCGACCACGGCCTTCACCCGGTCTCGTAGAACGGCATTACCACATTCAACCTCCAAGTTTTCCAACCAGAGCTTTGCAACGTTCTTGTCCACGCGAATTTCAAGCCCGGGAACTGGTATTCCCATTGCTGCAAGTCTTGCCCGTTCAGCCATCTCGGCACTTTCAACGTCCTCTTCATCTGAGCTCTCCTCTTTAGCCTCCGCATCGGTTGCTTTGCCGTCGGGTTGATACGAGACTTTAGGTTTCTCGATTGGTACGACATTATCTCCGAATTGTTCCTCAAGAAACATGCAGAGCCGGGAAAATCTGTCCTCGGTGCTGATGTTCTTATGTTCGTTACGAGGCAGGCCCTTGTGCTCATGCACGTGGCTGTGATCGCTCTTCGATGACGAATATTTGACCGCTGCTGGGCTGCTTTCCACAGTCATCAACACCGCCATGACAGCGTCCGCGATTCCGTCATTCACTGTGTTCCCTTCCCATTCCAATTCAATTTCCTTTTCTCGCCCTGACCATTTGAGCTTCACGCAACCCATGATGAGGAACGTTCGCTGCGGTTCCGTCATGATCTCCTCGTCGGCTTCCTCTTCGTTTTTGACACCATTCGGCTTGACGAGCGAGTCCGAATGGCCATTGACTTCACGCTCGGCTTCACCCACCTCCTCAATACTACCAAAGGTACCCTCGAGCGCCCATCGAATGAGTTCGACACCAGCTGCTGCAAGAGTGATATGTTGGCGGCACAGTATGGTTGTGGTCGTAAGGCCTGCATATTCTCGGAGGTCTTCAGGTGCCATCAGACTCAATTTGAAGCCGTTCTGCACCAAGACTCCACGGACGACTCTGGGATCGTCTTCGATCGAACTCGGAGGCGGGATCTGAGCAAGCTTGCCGACCACCTTGGCCACTTTGTCTTTTCGAAACGGTATCTTGATCTCGGCTCCATTCTCTGGACTGTAGACCTTGGTGGGTTGGGCGTTCGGGTTGCTTGCAAGCCTCCGAGAATTGAGGTCTAGTAATCTTGATCTCAATCTCGCGGCTTGATATCGTTCGCCGTGGACCAGGATAACGTGAGGTGAAGCCACTTGTTCAATGAACTCAACATTCTCCACACCGGTCACATGTGCTGCGAACTGAAACTCTTCCACTGTACATCGACGCGGGATCATCACCGCGGCGACTTCATCTTTGGATTTCCGACCCATCGTCTGCCCAACACCGGTATGACCACCACTCATGATGGCAGGGATCATTTCTGGCTCCCCTAGGATTGTCTTGGCCATGGTGCCTTCAACGTTGTAACCAGTCATAACCACTCCGTTTCGTGGATCGGGAGCCCACCGCTCTAGCAAAATTCGAGACATTCCTGACTGGAGCATACCTGGCGAGGCCAGCATAACGCACCCCCCCACATCATCAAATCTGTCCAGGTTCCGCAAACTTCGTACGAATCGAAAATCCCACGGCCCGGCGCTGACACCCTTGGCATTTCCGGCAGCTTCAGCCTCTGCCATACGTTCTCGGAATATCCTTTTGATGTTGTCGTTCATCGCATTGATATACGTTTGATAAACAACCATGCATTTTCGTGCAGTGTTTCCCGTGTAGTAGATTGGGATCTTCTGTAACTCTGGATGTCGCTGCCAGTAGTCCTCTAAGATCAGCAAAAGTTCCTGTGCCCGACCAAGAGCGAATACAGGCATTAAGACCTTGCCCCCACGATTGAGAATGTTGGAGATAGACTTGAGTAAGGCGGCCTCCCTTTCTGCACGAGGTGGGGCATTTGATATGCCAAAGGTGGATTCAGTGATCAGGACGTCAATCTTGCCAACGGTAGCTGTATTTGGCACTTCGGCCGCAACAAGATGGCGATCTTGTTCCCTGGAATAATCGGCAGTAAAGAAAATATTGAGTCCAGCAATGTTAATCAAGAACATCGCGGCTCCAAGGACATGGCCAGCAGGATATGGTGTTATCCTGACCCCAGAAACTGTGTGTGTCGTGTAAAAGTCAATTGTTTCAATCTGAGGAAGTGTCGAGATATGATCGGCTTCAGTGTATAATGAAGTTCTCTGATCGGATGTTGAAGAAGTGTTGCTCACTCGCACTGAATCCTGAATAAGCCATTTATATATGGCTTTCGTAGGATGCGTCATGAAGACTCGGCCTTTGAAATCTGTCTTTGCGAGCACGTAAGGGAGGGCGGCTGCATGGTCGAGATGGAAACTGTTCAATGAACGCGGTTAGCAAAACATCGTAGCATGAAGTGGCAGATCTATCAGAGACTTCATATGACACACCAAAGGGCTGCGCAGACAGAGATCAAGAGGAAGGAAGAGGGATTGTGGCTGAACGATATTGTATTGATATCTGCCTAAAGATACAGGCCGTAGGAGATTCCTTCTCAACAATCCTTCGTCACAAGCTCGTGTATCCAGAGGCAGGGGGCACATGATGCTGGCCATGCGCACAGGCTACTTTCCGCACCCAAAAAAAGCACGTCATAAACAAGTAAGGGGATGGTCACCTACTGGCTGATCAATAGGATATCGACAGTACTGAGATCAAAATCGTCAAAATAAGGCATCGCTGACATTCCTTCGCGACCAGTGTGCATGCCAGCATCGAGCTACAATCCCGTCAGCACGAATTCAAGGCAGGGCACTATCGAACCTCACCATGACTGTTTTGCCCTTATACTGCAGAATGTGACATGACCGGCCAACCTCTTGACACCCGCCCAGGCCAATAAACACGAGCTCATCCGAGGGATCGATGGGTTCGTCGTCTTCGGTAGAGGCCATTGCGGCGGCCTTTCGTTTGGCAGCCATTGTATCGGCTTCAAGACCGTTCGCAGTCGAAAGGGACAAACGTGCACACTTGGAGAAACACCAGTTAGGGGGCTAGTATCTCAGTTCCTCTAACCGAGACCAAATCTGACACAGGCTGTCAGGTTCATGACGGCAGCAAGCGTAGGCAGATTGGCGATAGACAGGTCGGTGATGCGAAAGCGAAAGGAAAATAAGTCGTGTTACCTGCGACCTGCAGTTGTAGCATTCAAATGACCGGAATTTCGGCTGGTGCCGTCATTGCGGATCACGTGCCATGGCTTGAACAAAGAGTCGTCGCCTGCGCGCGGGTCTGTCATGAATTTGGTTCACCCCATCCCATCATCACTCAACATCACAGCAGTCTGCAATCTTAGCCGCGCATACGACATCTCATCCCTCGGTCATCCCTTCCGGATGTCGACATTATCTGCACCGGCATGCTAGGCTCAAGGTGGAGGCTGAGCGTGGAATTGCGCTCACTCGGAAAGCAGAGAGCAAGACAAACGCTTTGGTGGAATTCTTCGTCGCGCGTCGACTAATACGATCTCCTCTCGAACATCATGGCTCAATCGCAACCGCCGCCTGCACGGCCAACTTTGCCTCAGACACAGAGTCCCTTTCAGCGCGATTTCACAGGCGGCCATGGCAGACCTAGTCCGCTCGGTCCTCAGTCTCCGCAACTGGCCATGAATTACTCCTCACCTTCGCCTCAGCAATTCTCACCTCAGGCGTACAATCAGCCTCCGGCGGCGAAGCGTCCTCGCTTGTCGCCAGATGCTCAATCTCCCTTCTCTCCCCAAAGTTATCCTCCAACCCCAGGGGGCCAACCTACAACCCCCGGCGGAAACGTTCAGACGAATGGAACTGGACCCCCGAATTCGAGACAAGGGCTGATGCCACCCCCACAGAGACCTAGTGACAAAGCGGAAGATCGGAACTACGAAGACATTTTGTCGGGTACTGGGATCAACATCGAGGAAGAAGCGAGAATGCTTGTCAGGCCCGACTATTATGGATCATCAACGCCACGACCAGCATCACAGCCGCAATCGGCAGGCTTCCGTTATCACGTAAACTCTTTGAACGCAGGAGAAGCTGGAGACTCGGTGAACGGCACCCCACAGGGACAAACTGGGTCGGAAAATCAACCTCAGCCCTATCAACCTTCGACGGAGGAGTTGAAGCACAGGGATGAGGAGCGTGCAGATTGGGAGGCTTCTAGGCATAGCCAACATCCACTCTGGGACATGTTCCTGCTCGGTGGTGCTTTGAACGATAAGATTCGCACTATCAGCATCACCGAGCACTTGGTCGATCCGCAATCGGGCGTTTTGGTTAATACCCAAAAACATGCCCCACCTCCAACTGTACGGGTGAACGGTCTCGAGGGCTCGTCTCGTGTTATTGACAAAGGCCAAGCTATTCTCGACACAGGAACCAAGGGGGAGAGACTGTCTGACATTATGAAGGTCATCAGTTTAGCCACAAAAGCGAGATTGACTGGTGTCGTAAGTGCTTCTGCAAGGATCTCCCAAGAAAGGCAACTGCATTCCAAAGGGAAGGTTCCCGATGAATGGCAAGATTTAGCATCTGTGACTAAGCCGCTGAATGAGGCCCTTGACGGTGCGTCGAGCCCAGCCGGGAGCACAAGTCTGAAGCGTGAGTACTCCATCTCAATTGCGTTACTCAACCGCTAATTGTGCTTTAGGCACGCATTCACAGGCCAACAGTGAGCCGGTATTCTCTGCAGATCCAGTGCCAGCCCCTGCCCGCATACTCGACGTTTTGGACAAGACCTCGCAGGCCGAACGAGCTGTCGAGGACGCGCGCAGGCAAAAACGACTAAAAAGGAAAGCAACCACCAATGCTGATGGAACAGTCGGGACACCTTCAGCCGATGCCGCAGCCGAGGCCGCGGCCGTGGCAGCATTGGAGTCAGACAAGAAGACGACCAAGAAGGAGAGAAAGTTGGCCGAGTCAAAGTTCTCGGAGCAACAGCAGCACAAGTCTGCGAACGAGGCTGCGCGAATGGCTTTCTCAGGTCTCCTGGGTAAGGGCTTTGGCAGCAAAAAGCAGAGGACTTACGACTGGATGAAGGGTAGCGGGGCCAGCCCTGCAATGACTCCGGGAAGACCTGCTCTATCAGCAACTGCGTCGACTGCTGGGACACCGGGTCCTGATCGAGCTCGTGCTGCCCCCAAAGACAAACAACTTGGCCAATGGGACGAGGAAAAAGATCCCAAGATACAAGCTCGAGACGTCTTTCTTGTATTGGAAGGGGATGGGCGGAACTCGAGATCTTACTTACGAGGTCTGAGCCTGCCCGAGAAATAATTCTTGACATGCATTTCTAGATTTTTCACCATGATGCTAGTGATATAGCAAGGTCGGATGGCAAGACAGGCGTATTGTAAGAAAACAAACCAGCAAAAATATGCACGGCTTGCACGGAATAGGACCCGCAACATTGCATGGGGAGGCAGGCATTCTGAAAAGGACGAGAGGGCATGGCATATTAGGGATATCTCAATGAGTCCTTTTTGATATATCTAGGGCCGAGGAGACTTCACTACCTAAGATGACCGTACCTATTATTGCATACTCGTACGTACCTAGGTAGGTAGTTATTGCAATTCAAAACATATCCATGGCTATTTTGTAGGAGGTCCTCCCTAGGTATCTGTGAAGAGCGGATGAGGCGTCGGTGTTTTTGCTATTCGGGTATGCGATTCGGGTAACCGGGGTTCTTTTTATCCCCATGCCCTTAAGGCGTGATTGCATAGGTAGATGGAGACGAGGACGAATGGCGAGGCTTGCATCAATGTGGTGGCGGAAGGCTTTTATTCCGATTTTTCTTCTCGAGTTGCCGAGCATACGAACGAACGAGGAGGGGAGGGAACTGTTCCATCTGTGCAAAGTATAGAAGTGCCTGGCTCAATGTAGGTGTTGAGGCACCCCGGCATCAATGTTGTCCTCAACTTACTTTGCCCGTCAAATGTCTGTACAGTACAAGGACCTACTCGTAGATCCCTGGATAAAATGGCTTCAAGCTGGTGGTTTGACCATTGGCGTCATAACACCACCACATGCAGAAATTGTCGCGGAGAAGGACGTCGGCGATTCGAGCAAATCGCGGGCCCTGTCTCTCGACAACCCACCATGCCGTTTCTCCAACTTGCGGCAAAAATGTTCTTTTCATTAGAAGGCCTGCACTCTCGAGGGAGCAGTTGAATGGGAACACGGGTTAGACGATTGCTGGTTTCAGGAGTTGGCAGAAAATTCTCCGTGTCTAAGAAAAGGCTGTGTAGGGGGAGGAAACACACAACGACGGGTGTGGGTGATACAAGGTCCGTCGCGGCGCAGAAACAAATGCCTAGGCGCCTGGAGAGCCCAGCCCAGCCGCGCCTTGGATTGGCGCCCAACAATACCGAGTAGGTAGCGCTAAAGGCTAAAAGTTTGGCACTCGTACAGCACTCGGGCTTGGACTTAGGCCTGGGGGGTCCCTGGCCTTTTTGGGCGATTGTCCTCCGGATTACAAACTCCCTCTGGCCTGCGCCCCCAAGGCTGGTGGTGCTGGTGTCAATGCTCTTACGGCCCAGCACTCGCTACCGTGCTAACTCGCTCATTCGTTACCACGTCCTCCGTCTCCGTCAAGACTTCGTTCGCACCCTTCGACGTCAATCGACCTGGACTCTTCCTCTATCTTGCCCACGACACAGCTCGATTCTTCTCTCTTCACGCTCACATTTGTCCCACCCGGTCTCTGCAGTCAGTAGCCATCCACGAAAAGGCATGAACGTGTATCTGACCCAGTAAGAGGCACGTCCTCCTCGTCGGGTCCCCTGTTCGTATTTTACTGCCTCGCCTCTCTGCCTCCTCGACCACGACCATCCGATCACAGTTTCAGGGGAGAACCTCTCCTCCTGCATCGATAACCCTACCGCCGTCATCCTTGCCAGATCCGATATTCCTACCCCAGTTTTGCCGACCTCTGCGGAATCGATTCTCGTGTGCCCTCGCATGTTGCAAACTGCGCTTTGTGGCGCGAATCCACAACACCTGCGTTGTCGGACAGTCTCCACCACCATCAAGACCTGAAAGACCCTAAAACAATGTCGACTCCTTCCACGATAGCTACCACAATCGTCCCTGCTCACTATGGTTATTCTCATCAGAATCCCTATTCTCCCTCGGCGCTCCCATACCCCGCAACGAATACGCTGCCTGCACCTCAGCGGCTGACGACTTCCTATCATTCCTACCCGACAACTGGACCATATCCACGACCCCAACCATCTCCTGCCTCGTACAGGCCACCTTCGAACGTTTCGTCCATGGCACCGTCCCAGACGGCCTCTACCTTGCCAGAAAATCAGCGCCGAAAACAGCCCGATTGGAATGAGTTTTACAAAAATGGTGTCCCGAAAGAAATCATCGTAATTGATGATGACAGCCCAGAACCTGACCAGGCGGGCAACGCCCCTGGCCAACAGCAGCAGGCTGATGCCTACGGCTCCAATGGGCGTAAACGAAAAGTCGATCAGGGCTATGAGATTGAATACACCGATAGCCCGACATATTCAACGCATCCTGCGAAATTTGGCGGCTCATCATCTTCAGCTGCCTCTTATCATTCTGGAGGTCGAACCACGTCTCTACAGACGGTCACAGCACCCACCTCACTCGAATCGTACGGGAGCAATCCTGCTAGCGCAAGTTATGAAGATGTGAGGACCGGCCAGAAGAGAAAACGAGCACAACCGCAGAAGGAAACAAGAGCACAGGCCAAAAAACGACAGCAAGAGACGACAGATGCATTCGCAGACTACATCCCCCCTCCCAAGCCTGCTAAAAAGGCTCCGGATGTCCATGTCCCTGTCATCCGCGATGTATGTTTTTCATGTCAATATTCGATATTGAGTATCTCGCTGACAACTCCCAGACTGTGCACAAACACCAAAAGGTGGACGACGATGACGGGCACTACATTGTGACCTCCAACACGCCTTTGACTGATCGATGTAAGGGTATTCGAATTGAGGCTTCAACTTTCATACTGACGAAACTCTAGATGATATCATCAAGCTGCTGGGCCAAGGTACTTTCGGAAAGGTTGTTGAAGCATTCGACAAGAAGAAGAAGACAAAATGTGCAGTCAAGATCATTAGATCGGTTCAGAAGTATCGTGATGCTTCTCGGATTGAGCTGCGAGTACTCTCTACGCTGGCTCTAAACGACAAACCCAACAGGAACAAATGCATACATCTGCGAGACTCGTTCGACTTTCGAAATCACATCTGTATCGTCACCGACCTCTTGGGACAGAGTGTTTTCGACTTCCTAAAGGGAAATGGCTTCGTTCCCTTTCCCAGTTCTCAAATCCAAAGCTTTGCTCGTCAGCTCTTTACAAGCGTGGCGTGTAAGTTTGCTCCCTTTGATGTTCCTCCGGCATAATACTGACTCGAGCAGTCTTACATGATCTGAACCTGATCCACACCGATTTAAAGCCTGAAAATATTCTCCTTGTCCATAATGCGTACCAGACGTTCACCTACAACCGGACGATACCGTCGTCATCCCACACAATTTCTAGGACAGCCCGACAACGGAGAGTGCTTCTTGACAGCGAGATCCGACTGATAGATTTCGGCTCTGCCACTTTTGATGACGAGTATCATTCATCAGTGGTGTCAACGCGGCATTATCGAGCGCCAGAAATTATCCTACAGCTTGGCTGGAGCTTCCCTTGTGACATTTGGAGTATAGGGTGCATCATTGTCGAATTCTTTACCGGAGATGCCCTGTTCCAGACACACGATAATCTCGAGCATCTGGCCATGATGGAGGTGGTCTGCAACGGAAAGATCGACCCCAAAATCGTGAAACAAGTTTGCTCTGGTGGGCGTGGAGCCAATGCCAATTCAGCTTCCAAATTCTTCACCCGAGGAAAGTTGGAATATCCCAACCAGGAGACTTCTAGGGCATCCCGGAAATATGTTAAAGCCATGAAACACCTCCATGTGAGCCTCCTCCCATCCCCGTGATCTCGTCTACAAATTCTGATCTCTTCGCAGGAATTTATCCCAGGAAATACTGCCTTCAATAAGCAGTTACTGGATCTACTTAGAAAGATATTTGTCTATGACCCCAAACAGAGAATCACTGCAAAGGAGGCTCTGAAGCATCCTTGGTTCAAAGAGACGCTGATTGATGACGGCACAGAGGCCATTCGAATACGCGAGGAACGTGCGGCTTTGGGGCCCGATGCGAAACGGCCCCGCGTGTAAATGAGCGTTCACGACACCTATTTGATGACCTCCGAATGGCGGAACTGCAGGGCATCGAAACCGCGGCCACATGAGAATCCACGACTGTAATGAAAAGCCTTTCGACACCGGTCACTGTATGTGCCAAACGCTCAGAGGCTTCCGAAGGTTTCTGATGGTCTGCATCTTGATTAGACCTCACATTTCCTTGTCCAGTATCTGTGACAGGCGATGACTTGCACTGGGTTCACATGCATATCAGGGCAAAAGCTTGAGGTTGAAGGTGCTGATATGGGGAACTCACAGTACTCATAGCTATGAATAACTCAACATGGTGACATATTACACACTACAAGAGGATTGTATGCTTAGAGTACCTGTTAGTCGCTGAGACAGAATATGAACATTGAGCACAACCTTGTTTCTGAAGATGTTGTGTTGATGAGTTTGGTTCCTGGTTTGTCACCGACTGCAGCTACTATCATCGCAATGTTAAACAACATGCTTCTTCTAGCCCTAATTTGTGGCCTGCTTCAACTAATGGGTGGTCTCTACCTATACATTGATAGCAGTTCGATGGGTTTTTCTTGAGTGAAGAAGTCTCTAGCTAATATTCGCCACGACAGCCCCGCCTGAAGTATGTGTATTGTTGGTTGCGGCTGCGGCGGTCGTCGTCTGGGCTTCTGTCGCTTTCTGGGTCTTCTTCTTCCGTTCGTGCCTCAGTTTGCGGATTTCTTCGATGCGTTTGTACTCCTTGGGCAGGAGGAGCTGCGCGAGTCCGAGCCATATACTTGCACGGGGAGGTGGGGTGGTCATTTCCAGAATTTTGGTTGCAGAGTTGGAATTTTAGTGAAATGCGTACATATACATGGGGTGATATGGGAGGTAAGGTATGAAATATTTTGAATAAGCTATATCGATGGTCTCCCAAGCTGGTAAGGTTTGTCAGTACGGTGACTTGGGGCAAATCATTCCGTCGGTATGTATATGCATGCTTTGGAAGTCGTCGCTTGTTTGGCCAGTCACCCTGCTGTAGGCTCCCTTTCTACATGATAGATTGAAGGACAGAGCAACACCAAGCTAGTCGGAGCCGGGGCGGTCAATTAGCCAACGACTTCTGGATCAAAAAGGCATGTTGTAAGCCATGGTGAGTTCGTCGCCTCGCTCATCCTAGGCTGGTTTCATGCCATTCCGCCGTATGAATGTCGAATGGACAGAATTCGCTCTGTCATGTCATATCCCTTGAATTCGAGTACAATGTACATCAGTTCGGCTGATTTGGATCAGGCTACGTGTTGAGTACAGTGTCGAGGATGCGGCTCATCAGGCGGGGTTTAGGCTTTGGTCTTGGCTTTAAGATTAGCAGTCGAACTAAAAGCTTGGCTGGCAGCCTTGAATTTCATGGGTCATTCCGAAGCCGATGGAAACAATTGATGGTCACCAAGGCTGAGCTTGATATACTTCCATGTGCTTCCTCGGATTCGCCTTAAGCTGCCAAAATACAATGCTAGAAAAGGATCACCAGCCAAATAACACCTTGTTCCACACGGCGACAGAGAAGCAAGAAAACAAAAAGATGCTCATAGACGGATAGCAACTGGGTCGTCATTGTGGCTGTGCTTCCTTCCTCTATTGCCATTTGACTAACTAATTTTGCGTTTGCAACATCCGCCAATCCCGGAGTCACGATCATCTTTTGTTGTCGTTGCGTGTATATTCATTCCTCGTTTTATCCTACTCGCCTGCTTGTCCTAGCATCGATATTTAAGTTAACGTACTTTGACCCGAAAACACCGCTTGCGACCAAGATCACATTATGCTTCAGGAACCACTTTCTTACACTCTTTCTTTCTAGTACAAAATCAACCTCAAGGTTTGTCCACTGTAACATTGTCAGCACGGCTTATTCCCTTAATCCTCCCTGATCCTTCCAGCCTCATCCTATCGACCCACGCCATAAGCAGCAAATCTCAGCTTTTGTCTTGGCTTGGTGACTTGATCAAGCTTCATATCCACAGAGATCGGCCAGACTCGGACTCCGAATCATGAGCCAAGTTCCTCCACGCTTTTGAGGCCAAGTCACATGAACTCAGATCTTCACCATGGATTCAGCCAGTGCTCCTGGGATGGCAGACCATACTTTCGGTCAAGAACAGTATCACCATTGGCCAGCAATGTCAGAAGATTGGGATGTGTCTCCCGACAAAGATGCTGTGCCAGGCAAGCAGCCCGCTTTGGCCAGGTTGGAAACCGAAGGACTGTACGACGACGATATGATTGGCGTCAGCATAAGTCGTGTCCAGACTCACATGAGAGCCCCCGACACTCCGGCGTCCGAGAAAGCACGAGCTATGAATCTATCACTTGACTACTTCCAAAATATAGCGAGCTTGAAAGAAGAGCCAAATGAGAATGATGAGCTTGAACCACCACAAGACAGCACGCCTGATCAGGACTTGGAAACTCAGTCATCGCATGAAACAGCTGAACAGTGGTCACGACTGAAGCTATCTCCGACCACACAATCTCCAGATGAAATCACTGAATCAGAGCAGATCCGTATCTGGAAGGATCAAGTGGGATCATCTCAGTCTCGAGAAGAAGAGAAAGATAGCCCGGAGGGCATCCAGCCGCACCACCAGATAGCGCCACAATTGGCTGAGAGGCGCGAGAGATATATGCCGCAGTCAACTCGGCTGTCATACACACGAAACTTGCTCCAAGCCGTTGGTCAGGAAGGAAGACGACGGGCTTCAAGTGGACCAACAGCAATCATGTCGAGTTTGAAGAAGTTGATGCCTGATCTTCCTTCACCTTCTTTCAATTTCAGCTCCATGTCTATTTTGCCCGCCAGCTTCAGAAGCACAGGCCATTCTGGTACATCGACTCCAAGTCATAATCAGAATACTCCTCCACAGACATCAACCGCAGGAAAGTTCACCTGGAAAGAGGGTCCTAGACTTCGGAAATTGTCAAACCCAGATATTCAGGTCACAACTTCTCAGAGCAATCCTGCCGTAGCTAGGCCTTACTATGGCCTCGACGGCAATATCGAGTCATTGTTGTCCCCTATCAGTCCGGCATCGACGAAAAGCAGAGGTCGTTCTAATTCAGAGAGTTCTCTATACATAAGAAGGAGGGTTTCTGGAGTTTCGGCTTATGACGATACAAGTGCCTTTGCTAATGTCACCGACATGGCCAATTCTCGCTTCAAAGCCATCACAGACAGTTTTCAAAACTCCACCTTACGACTACCTAAACTGCCAGTGATCAGGCCATTGCCGAAGCGTCGCGGTTCTCCTGTGACGAGCTCTAGGGATATCCAGGCGAATAATGCAGACGACCATAACGGAGGACATGAGCATCAATACACAGCTAGCAAAGTAATTCGAAATGCCAAGAAAGGCATAGAGGTCGATACTCCGCAACGGCGAGCACATCCAATCTTATCACATGCGCTGGATAAGACAACGGGAGATATAGTCGTACTAGGGGGCTATCGTGGATCGATTTTAAGATCGGCCCAGCCACCCCATCGTCAGCTTTGGGTCCCAGTCAAAGTCGGACTTAATCTTCGTCGAGTTGATTTGGAGGTCGGTTTGACTAGGGAAGACGAGGAACGAATGGAAGAAACGATCATCCCTTCGGGCGTTCTCTCACACATTGGACCGATCGATATCTGTCGAAGACTGCTCAAGCATATGTACAAGTGTCCGAATACTCGCCAGAACAAGTTGAGAGTTCATGACTGGGGCTACGACTGGAGACTGAGCCCTCATCTACTGGCCGCGAGGCTGATAAAATTTCTCGAATCTTTGGAATGCAACCACCCAGAGACACCACCAGAAAAGAGGGGAGCCACCGTCATCGCTCACAGCCTCGGAGGTTTGATCACTCGATACGCAGTCAATCAGAGACCAGATCTGTTCGCCGGTGTTGTCTATGCGGGAGTTCCTCAACACTGCGTCAACATCCTTGGGCCCCTTCGAAATGGCGACGATGTGCTTCTCAGCTCCAGAGTACTTACTGCTCAAGTCAATTTCACCCTCAGAACCAGCTTTGCGCTCTTGCCGGAAACTGGACGCTGTTTCATTCAAAAGCACACCAACAAGAGGTATGATTTAAATTTCTTTGATCCCGACGTGTGGGACGAGTATCACCTTAGCCCGTGCATCAATCCGCCTTTATATCGGAGTAACAGTAATGGCGAGGGAAGAAAGAGCATTATCGGTGCGATTTCAGACAGTATCACGTCTAACAAACGAAGTTCATGGTTTGGAAGCCAAAGTTCTCAGACGTCGGAAGCTGCACAAAAAGCGGAAGCGACTGTTCAATCAGCAGCTGGCAAAGCTGCCGAGGTTGGCCGTTTGGCAGATGGTGAAGGTCCGGAAGAGGTGGTAGGTCCAACAATGAAGCAAGGCCAGCATCGATCTAGTGTGGCAACAGCATGTACGATCCCCAAAGATCAGGCTAAAGAGTACTTGAGTCGCACACTGGCCGAGGTTTTGGATTTCAAGAGAGCATTGGCATTTAATCCCGCTCATCAGGAAAGCAACCGGTATCCTCCTCATGCTTACATCTTTGGTAAGACAGTACCAACTGTGTACGGTGCCAGAGTTCCGGACGAGGAGGCGATCAAGTATACAGACGCCTTTGATGACCTGGCTTTTGCTGCCGGGGATGGCGTAGTGCTTGCCAGTGCTGCTCAATTGCCCGAGGGTTATCGATGTGTCAAAGGGGGACGAGTCGAGAGTGACCGAGGACATGTTGGTCTGATGGGCGATTTAGAAGGAGTCGGACGATGCATTGAGGCTGTTGTAAATGCACGGGCCAAGGGCGTTGGATTAGGTGAAAAGTATTTGAAGACAAAGAAGGGTGCAAGGGAGTCTTCTCCTTGAGCTAGTTGAGAACTTGAGATTGAGTAGAGCATATGTACACACACACACACACACACACACACACACACACACACACACACTTGGTCACTTGGCGGTGAATCTTTCACCGCTGCCCAAAGTCCATTTTCATTTCCATTTCCAGATCTTGCGGCACCATATGATCAGAGTCACGATTACAGGTCGATGCCTTTCTGTTGTTTGAGTGTGGCAAACGCCTTTTTCCTGTCGAACTCAGGATGGTCCAAGTTGTAGAAGAGGTCTCTGGTTGCTGCGATCCACGGGGAAGAGTCCACTTCCGCCACAAGATTTAGATAATCGGGGAGAAAGTTACGGCCCGACATCGTGGTTCTCCAGCGAAGCTTCTACCTAACGCTGAGGCGTTGCGCCGATGAGGGTCTGGCGGTGCGGGATGTTGAAAAGACGGCGTTTGTAGTGGGTACCGTCATGGTCTGCGGTCTCTGCCGCTCACGAAAACTTCGCCATGACCTGCTCAAGAGCGCTGATCATCTCCTTCTTGCGATCGTCACCACACCAACTCCCGTTGATGCTGTTCCTTACAATGGTCTCCCACTCCGGTTTGGACAGGTCGAAGGCGTCCTGGACGGCGCAGTAGTTGTCGAGGATGTATCCTCCGAAGTAGGCGGGGTCGTCGCTGTTGATGCTGAACTTGACGCCCCGGTCGAGGTAGGTGCGGATGGGCAGGTCGGCGACGCGCTTGACGCAGCGCAGCTCGACGTTGCTGAGCGGGCACATGGTCACGAGGACGTCGCGGGCGACGAACTCGGCCAGGACTTCGGGGGACTGGGTGAGCTTGATGCCGTGGTCGACGCGCTGGATGTGCAGCTCGCGCAGCGCCTCGGCCATGTACGACACGTCGGCCTCCTCGCCGGCGTGCGCGGTGCGGTGGAAGCCGCGGGCCTCGGCGTCGAGGAACGGCTCCGTGAACAGCGCCGGCGGGTTGCCCAGCTCGGTGCTGCTCAGCCCCAGGCCCTTGACCGCGCCGGACTCGAGGTCCGGCACCGCCGCCGCGTACATGGCCGCCCCGTCGGCCGGGGGCAGGTGGCGCAGGATGCACACGATCAGCTCCGACGTGAGGTTGAAGTCGGCCGTCGCCCGGGCCTGCGCCGCGCGGAACCCCGACACCACCGTCGCGTACGACACGCCGCGCGACGTGTGCGCCTGCGGGTCGAAGAAGACTTCGGCGTGGGCGACCCCGTCCGCCGCGGCGCGCCCAAAGTACGCGTACGCGAGCGATTCAAAGTCCGCCGCCGTCACCAGCACCGACATCCCGATGAAGTAGTAGTGCAGAAAGTCGTCGAGGGACGTGAACCGTCGGTAGCGGGCGAGGAGCGTGTCGACGGACGCGAAGGATGCGTCGACTTCCGGTGCGGGCAGCGCGATGTTGTTGCGTTTGGCGAGGGTGAAGAGAAGGTCTGGTTCCAGGGAGCCTGTGGTGATCGAGTTAGAAAGAGAGTATGCAGGAACATGTCCCCGAAGAGTAGAGTATTCGAATTGATGCAAATCCAGGCTGCCTGGGAGCTGACAGAGGGGAGATGCAGTTTGTAGACATTGTGTAAAATAGAGTGCAATGATGGGCTCAAGTGGGCGTTCATCGGCCGTCTCGAAAAGAAGAAGAAAATCACGAAGTACAAACTCACCTTCAATATGCATATGATGCTCGCACTTGGGCAGAGCCTTGAGGAACTCGTGCATCGATTCTTTACACATGGTGGGCGGATGGATTTTTTTTGGAGATGTCGAGACGAACGAGGTTGCGTTGCTCGTTTCGAAGAATACCAATAATATGATATTCGATCTCTCTTGAATTCTTCTCACTTCTCTCCTTTTAGCTTTTCTTTCTGTTGTTCTTTGTTATCCCAGGTGCACGTTGTATCGGAAGAAAAGTACTAACAAGTGACTTTTCGATAAGGTGTGTGTGAGACGGCGTAAGAAAATGCTTTGTAGATAAGGGAGTGTCAATGATCTCAGAGAACGAGTACGGATATTTCTGTGGGTGATAAAGATGCGGGAAGTCTCTGTCAAACCCTTTCCCAGAAAACCCAAACAAAAAGCTTACCGAAGCTTACCTATTAGTTGGCACACGTTATCAACTTAAACTTATCACGGATGCTGCTCTTCTCGTATTCTCTGGAGGACCAAAACACTTTGTCATGGCCGGAGGCTGCCGAAAGGGAAAGAAAAAACTCGTGCCCCATCAGGGCAACTCGGATATCCTGGATCCAGACTCGGTCGAAACTAACAAATTAAGAAAGGAACTCTGAGTCTCTGGCTACGTCACTCGGGATACTAGGATAACTAACTAGGCCCGAAATACACTAACTTGGAGAACTCTCTCCAACTTGAGGGACTCTCACCAAAATAAATTGAAGGACTCTCACTATAAAATAATTTGAGGGACTCTCACTAACTTAAGGACACTAACTGAAGTACACTAACGTACTGTAGGACTCGTGTACTTGGTTGCCCATCCACGAGGCAAGCACCTCGTCAGTCGTCGCTGATCAATCCCTACAGTACAGGTACGTACTCCATGTATGTACTCGTACAGCAGCCCATACAACCCCTGGTCAATCGTAGGTACCAATAAGACATACTCATACTGCCATTCAAAATCTTCCATTCAATCTACATCGCTTGGGGTATCTCTCGGATCGTTATAGATCTCACATAACCAGAAAAAAATGCTGTCCAAATCCCACTTGCAAGCAGGTTACCGCCCCGGATGCTTCCGTCCTGTCCTCCTTCTATACGAGTACTATGCATCCCTCTTCTTCGCCTCGTACTCAGACATCTGCTCCGTCATCATCAAATATGGAAAGCCAAATCATAAACACTCGTTCTTCTCCTGGCCTATACCCGTATACGTGGTACCTCCGTAACCTGCATTGCACGGCACTGCGGCCCATTGTCACCGAACCAACTTCGTTCCGGAACTGACAACGACAAACTGTACATCTCGACCTGCAGCTCGCCAGCGTTCAACGCCACCAGACACGAGCCAGGGCTGTAGATTCTTGCATTGGCTGACATCAAGCAACTTCAATTTTTGACAACCCTCCACTATACTCTGTACCCCAAGGCCGGTGACGCGTACGCATCCACGGACCGCGAGTTCCTGTAGTGATGTCAAATGCAAGCCAATAGACCTCAAACTTGGGTCCGAGACGGCACTGCCGCAAAATGAAAGATTGAGGTGAGTCAGGTTTGGACAACCGAGAGCCAGGACTTCTGTGGCCGTGTCGGACAACGCGCAGCAGAAAGACTAAAGAACAATCATTAGTGAAAGGCGTCGATCTTCTCAAAATGCGACAACTTACCAGGTCAAGCTGTTCCAACCTACTGCCGGCCCCGTTGACCAACCATACGATGCTCTGGTCACCCAGGTATGTACAGTCTGCCAGACACAGCCTCTTCAATCGTTCAAACTTGACGTTGCCCCAAAACTGGAATCCTGCATCGGTGATGGTTGTACATCGTGTCAAGTCCATCGACTCAATACGCTGACTTGCATGTGTCGCTATATGTGCCATGGTCCGGTCGGTGATGTGCTTGCAATAACTCAACGTGATTGCGGATAATTCCGGACAGCCGATGACCGTACCGGGAGCCGGTTGCTGGACAGCGGTGTTCACCTTCGTACCCAGCACCGGGCGTTGTGAACTCACTTTGTTGCGCTGGTTGGACAGCTGGGGCTGACTGGGTACCACCCAGCCTACGATCCTCGCCAGCAACGTGTCGCTGACTTTGCGGCAATTGCTAAAGTCCACTTCTTTCAGGCCGCGGGCCTTGTTGGCCATCTCCAATATCGCCGGAGCAGTCACATCCCAAACACTTTTCATCCGCCAACTTCGCACATTGGCTCCACATGTGCTGACGAGCGCGGCGAAACCTTCGTCTGTGACGTGGAAACAATTGCTGAGGTCGATGAAACGTGGCCTCTGACCGACAAAAGGACAAATCCGGTTAATCAAAACATCATCCGTGATTCTCCTGTTATACTGTGAAAGATCCAGGTGGGCTACCAAGTTGGGTGAAGTGTGAAGGAGATGCTGCCAGTGTAGGCTCACTGTCCGAAGACGCATCAGGTCGTGTAGTTCGAGGTATTCAAAAATCAACAACAACAACTTGTCAGGAATCTTGCCGTGATTGAGGCCGCCTCGGGGCTCAGACCGAGGTTTCGCTCGACTGCCAGGTGACAGAGCCTCAGGCAGTGAAGCGCCTGGAGGATGCTGCTCAGAAGTTGGAGACGGTGTCGCAGACACAGAGCTCCGAGGAGACGAACTTGCCGTGCTGGTCGTGACAGGAGATATTCTAGGTGACCTGCGTCTCTGTTCTTTTGACCCTTCGTCGGGTGATGGTGGAGCAAGTGAACCCCTTCTCGACCTTGACTTGACCTTTTCAAGACCTTCGCTTAGGAAAGGATCTGGATCGGAGGGTTCGACGATCCCCGGTTCGTCGGTGGGACTGGATATTTCAGCATCTGTGAAGGTGACTCTAGGTGGTGGCGCCGCCTTTCTCGTGATCTTCTCCTTGTCTTCGCCAATGACTAACTGATGTATCTTAGGCTCAGAATTTGCCTCATTCATGATAACGTCATTGTCGGAAGCTATTTGTAGTCGTTGTTTTGCTGTATCCTCGATCTGTCGAACAATATCTGGAGGGCATCGATCCCAAAAATCGGCCAAGACGTTTTCAGAGATCATCAAGCATTCGACCTGCGACACCGAGCGAACCGTGGCTGTCCGACGATCTGCCAAAGACAGACTGACTACTTCTCCAAAATACTGTCCTGGCCTTAGACGTGCGATCACACGAGGCGTCGGAGGGATACCATTGGGGATGTTCGATTGGTTCATCTTAGGGCTTGACGGATTCTTCTCGTCCAAGACCTCCACTTCTCCCCGGACAATGAAGTACACCTCACGTCCCCTAGTGTCCTGCTTGACGATATCCGTAAAGGGTGCAAAGCTCCTGGGCGAGGCGCTGAGTCCTAGAAAATGGAGTATATCCGCCGGCAAAGATGCAAACAACGGCAGCTCCTTTAACGTAGCTCGGATGTTGACGAGACCGTGTCCCAAGGCACTCGCGGTCGAGACTTCGTTGGTACCCGGACTGGGAGATTTCCTTCTTTTATTTGCATCACCGTCGTTGATTGAAACATCTTCCGGGAATGCAGCTCTGCGTTTCGACCCCCTTCTCCCGGCCGAGGGGACTTCTTCAGTACCCAGAACCACCTGTGCCTTCTTCTTTTCCAATTGTGTTAATCTCTCCAAGGCTTCTTCACGTATCGCTCGCTCCACGTCAGGGTATTTGGGCAGTATCGTTTTTAGATCTTCTTTTTTCAGAATGAGCACCAGGCATCTTGACCGAGCAACGACGGTGGCGGTGCGAGGCCTCTCCATGAAGATCCCAATCTCCCCGAAAAAAGCGCCAGGCTTCAGCTCAGCATACGTACTCTCGCCGTCCCGTGATGTAACAGCTACCGCACCCCGAACGAGCCAGTACATTGCCTTCGCGTCTTCGCCCTCGGTGATGATGTAGTCATTGGCAGTGAATAATTGCGGCTTTAGGAGGAGGCCAATGTCGGCGAGGAAGGTGTCGGAGGCAGCTTGGAAGAGAGGAAATGAACGCAGACGTTCAATTAGATCCAAAGGCATTCCTTGGATTTGAGAGGTTGCCAAAGGAGATTGCCTGACAGGACGCGACGGATTGACCTGGGAGTCAAAGCTGCGAATTAACGACACCTCGGCCGAAGGAGGAGCAGCTGTCCTCCCATGGTAGGGAGACAGTGTTCGCCGTCGCATTCTTGAGAATGTTATGAACTTGAGTGGATGAGCGCGTGTTCAGGACAGCACGCCTCCGGCTCGTCATGAAGTTCTTCTCATCCTATATCCGGTACCATGGCGCAGGTTGTACAAGTTCGTCTCGGCCGCTGAGGTCAAGAAGCCAGATGCCACACGAGAACAAAGAAGCCCCCAAGGAAGCTGCAGCGAGTATAGTCGCCCCTTGGTTTGTGTGTATCCAAGACTTCTCAACGTACGTCGAAGGAGCCACGAAATCAAGGGTGGATGGCCTAGTTACTGTGGAGGGGCCGGAGGGGGGAGAGGTGATTCACGTGGGAAGTGTCTCGGTGTGCGAATTCAACGCGTGACTAGGAAATGGAGGACTCTTAGTAGCAACGAATGGACTATGCGATCAGAGACAGATTGCTATACGGACGGTATCGACGGTGAAGTCTGGACTAGAAACCACAGTCTGGGAAGAAGTGCATGCGCGACAGCCGTACTGTACGGAGTAGATGGGTACTACGGATCCCTGCTCTAGCCGAAGAGGAATCAAATGGCCCATGGGAAGCCAACAAGCTGCCGCCTAGTGAGGCTACTAACTAGACTTCCGGCTAGTTGCTTCAGGCTGTGGTTTTAGTTAAAGCAGAGGCCCCGGTCCCTTGATGACGGTGGTGGAGCTGCTGTTGACAGACGAGCTTCTGGAAGCCGGAAAGACCCAAACGCACCGCAGAGGCGAACAAATCATCCCCCAGAGACAGAACCATCTTTCTGCGAGTGCGGCTACTCGCCTGACCGCGGGGCCATACCGTGCGCCAATTGAGGCCTTGTAGCACAAAGAAGCAGATTAGATTTCGGACGTCCCGACACATGACTATGAATAGGCCAGGCACGGAGTGCTGCATCCCCAGATACTGACACAACACAACTGTCTCTGGTGTTGAGGTCGCTGTTGAGGAGGCTCGTGTCGTGGCTGATAGAAAGCGGCCATAGTCGACCACTTGAGCAGCAGGAATCCATTTAGCACCTTGAGATTTTACGGGGTGCCTGCAATAGTTATCCCCATAACGCGGACACTACTTCCAAGTAGCAGAAGTCATCTATCGAGCCCTGTCGAAGCTCCATAGGATGCTAGTTCTAGCAACACAAGCAGATCTTCCGAAGATGTCCACATGGTGTATGGCGGGGCTAGATTCAGGTCGCTCTGGCTGTTGAGGAGACTAGGAAGGAGACTGTCATCTCTTGAGTAATATGAGGGGACTTCACATCGTAGATCAGCCGATCTCAGCACGGTCGCGCACTCCAAACATTTGCTTCTTTACCCATGTAATGTAGGCCGGAGGGTTGCCTCTTATTGTCGAAGCCATGTCCTGAACCAAACCATACATGAGCGAGAATTTCATGGCTGTTTTTGCAGTGTGCACGGTGGCAAAATGGTCGAGCCCTCGTTTCCAGCTGTAAATGCCTGCCACGGCCATACCAGCGACAACGGTGCTGCCTGCATCCCTCTGGCCTGTCTTCTTCTCGTCGGCTCCTCGAGACAGAAAGCGCGTCCGAGAAAGATCGACCATCTCTTCCGTTGCCATGAATAGTGTCGCCCACCCCATGCAAACAAGCCCTAGTTTGACTCCTTCTTTTACTCCTCCAACAATAGCATGGTAATTCTTCGATTTCTGATATAGGAACCAGCCAGTTTGAGTAGTGGGGAGACGATGAGCGTTCTCGGCACGGTACCGGTAGGCGCTCTTGTTTGCGCCATGAGTCGATCCCAAGATGAAGCCAAAGCCGAAGGATGTGAGTACCACTGTCGGTGCTCGAAAGAGGAGAGGAATTCCGAGCCGTTCATTTGGCCATCCAATCGCACCATCTGGCACATCGGCTTGTCTCAAGGTGCCAGACGATGTTGACGGCGATGATGAGTTGCCATATTGTTTTTCGATTTCGACTTTGGGAGAACGTGCTACCGGTTCCAATGCTGCTGCCTTCGGCTCAGCTTGTCCGGAAGCAAAGGGCCACATTTTGAGAACAGACCGCACCCTGCAAACTGCGAATCTTGCGTCTCCTGTACTCGTACACCCGGATTATAAGGTGATCGAGATTCCACCTCACATTTGGATGTCCAGCGGTAGGGTGGAACGTATCATCACCAAGAGGAATACCGTAGGCGAAATAATCGAATATAGGTCGAGAGTGTCATTATTGCAGGGAGTGAGGACGGCGCAGACTTGTAGAACCGAATTTGGAGCTCATAAGTTGGTCACTTTAGCGGCCTGTATTGGATATTTTTGATTTTGCGGGGAAGAGCCGCTGCCTGCGATCTGCGATGTAATATTGTTCGCCGCGCGACGTGAGTTTATTCTGCGAACGCGTTTTTTAGAGCATGAGCTTTACGTCGCAACGTTTCGTTCTGTGATTTTGCTAGTGATGAGAAGAGGACTAAATCTACCCTCGCAGCATTTACGGCAACCATCTCGTGGTGATTTGACCGCAAGCAAGTGTCGAGGATGTCTCCAAGCGCCGGTGATCCACTGGCAGAAATGCCTACACCAGAAATGATCACTTTACTCTTCAAATGCCACAAGTCCACGACAGTCCTATCAGTCCTACCAGAGACACCATTCAGCGAGATAAAGAATCTCCTGCTCGCGGCGCTTCGATCACGGAATGTAACAACCCTCCCGAACACAGAAACTCCTCTTCCCGAAGATCCTGAGCAGCTCGAACTGGGGGTTCTCGTGGACAGGAAAGATGCAAGCAAAGGCTGGGTACCCTTGCTGATCAAAGAGCAAGAATTCAGGGGAGCGAAGGGACTGAAGAAAAAAGTTGGAGGCGAGACAAGTGTCTTAAATGAGAGTCCACTGGGTGCAGGTCTGAATGATGGCACCTGGATTGCATACCGGGTCAAAGCACAGCTGAAAAAGTCAGAAGACGTGGACATGGCCGAAGCAGATGGTGCATCAGACCTAGATCTCACTGAAGATCCTGGCTGGGACGTGGTCATCCCCAGCTTCGACGATGACGACGTCAACGACGAGGAGGTTGAGTAAATGCCAATCTGCAAACGCGATTCAAGCCCAATATGCTACCGTGGTCTTGCAATTTCCAGAAGCAAAGTCCCACTTCCACGTGTCGACCATGCGCTGTTCGAGAACATTGAGAGTCCTGGCAATTTCAAGATACCCTTGAAGAGGAGAATTCGACCTGGAATACAGCTTTAAGTCCGATTGATGGGCTACCTGAATTTCATTCTGGCCGTATGGAGTATCGCTCTCAGATATTTCGACGAAGTAGCAGACACGGGGAGTTTCCTGCCAGATGTGGACTACGGAGCGCAATCAGGCCAATTGAGGGAATGTGTCAGGAATCCAAGACCACCCCGAAGGCTGTAGCAATTACCAGGGGATGGTTGATCGACTCAGGCATGCGGATATTTGACAGACAACCGAAGTCAGCCTGGCCAGGACGCATCGAGTCTCCCTCATTAAATCAGGCCTTGTGAGCTGCGTGTTGTGCTAAATATATCGAAGAACAATTCCCCACGTTTCAGGTGGGCTCACAAGCAGGTTGTGTGGCTGACACTTGATTTGAGGTGTTCTTGAACAGGCGATCGGGGCCAACAGCACTCACAAAACGGTCAGTATGATAGCACCGAATAAGCAACCGTGATCCAAGTCTAGCGATGGCGCGTCTACGGACATGAATCAGTGTAGATACATTGGCTGAGTGCAGCAACAGCTTTAATTGGAGAAATCGCCCTCATCCTACTCGCGTAGCCAAAGTGCTTCAGCCCCGTTCGTCGAGCTGACATGGCTTGCTCCCTCCTTCTCTTGCCCGCCTTGATCAGGCCAGATCCCCTCTGAATCGTCTTCCCTGTCCAAGAGGGCAGACGCAGGACTTCTCGAATCTTCACGTCAAGCCAGAGCACTACGTATCCATGCCTTTCTTCAAGTCCTCGAACAAGTCTCACAGCTCGATTGAAGATATCCGCTCTGAGCATCCACATCAACACCCCCATCACCAGCCTCACCCTAGTGCTTCTTACGATTTCGATCCCAACCCTGACCGCTACAATCAACAGCCCCTGGTCGACGACGAGTATCAGTCGCAACACCCTCCACCCCATAGCCACTTGTCTCGCAGTCAGTCAATTTCGGCCGGCGAGGTGTATGGCGCTCAGCGACCAAGTGTGACCCTTGTGCCCCCACCAACGCAACAGTCGGGCATCCCTGAAGGGCCACCTCCGGTCCCAGGCCAAACATTGTTCGGTCAATCAAAGTCGGCTCGAATTGAACGCGACGAGAAGCAAAAGAAGAGCAAGAGGAGTTTTATATCTGGACTTATTAAGGATAAGTCCAAGGACGACGACAAGGAGCGGGAGCGGGACAAGGGTAGTGCTTCTGAGCGCAAGGGAATCGGCCGGTCGAGCTCAGTGCACCTGCTGAGGAAGACACAGCCAGTTGACCAGAGTACACAAGAGTCTTATTCACAGCAAACTTCGCCCGTCAACCAGACGAGGCATTCGGCGTATTATCCTTCGGTTGATACCACGCCAGGATCTTCGACCGAGCAGCCTCAGTATACACGAAACTTCGACTCCCCACAGAGTCATACGACGCATCACTCTATTGAGTACGAAGAGGACGCTCCCCATTATACCCCCGAACGCGAGCAACACCAGCAATATCAAGCATATCATCAATCCGAGTCGGCCAGCAATTCTGAGCTGTACCTTCCCTATCAAAGCCAGGTTCAGCATCCGCGAGTGACTACCATCGAGGCTGATCAGTACCGACATCTCCGGCCACCATCGCAAGCATCCCTGGGCCCGCCATCACCCACTGCCAATATTCCACATCCTCAAGGACTTCAAGACTCTCGGCCTTCGACATCTGCTACTAACAGGTACTCTGTTCAGCTCGGGTCACAGGGCCCACCGCAGCAACAGCAGGCAATGGCAGGGGGTGAGGCACGAAACGGAAGCCTTCGTCAGCATCTTGCGCAACGAGACGCTCGCCCTGAAGATCACAGTCAGGGGCAGTATCCAGTCTCCCAGGATCCAAGAGTCAGAATGTCACAACAAGGTTCTGAACAAGGCAGAAGTACCCCTCCACCCAGAAGCAGAGAAGATATCAGCCAACTGGACTACCACCAGCTTCTTCAACGCCATGAAGAGTTGCAAGCCAAATATTCCAAGGTCAAGCGTTATTATTTTGAGCGCGAAGCCCAAGTGACGCAATTGCAAAACACAGTGGCAAATCAACGCATGTCAATGACAAGGACTTCACTGGATGATGCCCAATATACGGCCAGGTTCGAGCGCTTAAGTCAGGCCATCAACAATTTAGCGTTCAATATCCGTAAGGACTGGCGTGCGGTACCCCCATGGCTCCGTCATGTATGCAATCAAGATGCGCACACAATTGGCACCAAAGAGATGACTGCTGTTGGGCGAGCTTGCATCACTCGGTGGCTATACGAAAGTATATTTGAGAACACATTCCATCCTGGGATTGATCCGACACTTTCAGCTCATCTGAAGAACATTGAACGCACTCTTCGCCGCTCTGGTCAAGGCGGGCTAGTCGTCACTGATGAGCAGCGGGATGATCTCATCACCAAACTTACTACTTGGAGGCTGACAACAATTGAAGGCCTTCAAGGGATCCTTGCTTCGCCCCAGTCCGAGCAATATATTGAAAACCTGAACAACAGATTTACTCACCAGCTTACCGAATCGTTGAAGGCCAATCTCACAGAACCCGCTCCCGTGGGTCTAAGCGAAGGCGTGAGTATGATTGTTGGCCAAGCAATCGGTATTGCGGCGAACATCCCTCTAGAATCTCGGGACATTTGCATTGAGTATTTCATGCCCGGCACGCCGGTGAATGAAATGTACATGAAGGTCGAGCCTCAAATGACCCCATTGACCAACCCTGGTCTGGACGAGCGCCTTCTCGCAATGCAAGCCGCCCAGGCGGCGCAGCAGGCACTGCAAGAGGGTCATGACGGTGATGGTATGAGCACAGCGAGTGCAGATGAAGGGACTCGAGAACGCGATGTTGAGGCCGAGATTCGTGAGGCCGCAGGTAAAGCAGCCTCCCAACAGTCTCAAGCTCGTTCTGAAAGCATTGCTGCTCAAGGGGGCCCAGCAACAGCAAAGAACCCCGACAAGCAATCAAAGAAATCGAGTTTTCTTGGAGGGATTGTCGGCAAAAAGGGTCAAGTATCTCGGGCAGACAGCAGAACTACAGAACCCTTGTCGAACAACGGCGGTGAGGACCAACGTGGCAATGCTAGAGATAGTATGGCTGTTGACACGTCCCAATTAGGCTCCATCCCAGGTGCGAATGAAGGACGCATTCGGTTCGCAGCGTTCCTGGCCGTGGAGGTTAGAGGCAAAGGCCCGAATTCCACAACGTCTGCTTCGGGAGGTATTTCCGGCAAAGAGCCTGGGTCGGCTGCAGGTGGCGGCGTGAGGGAGTCACCTGTGAACGTCTTGTTCAAGGCCCCTGTCTACGAGTATTGAGGGTCACCAGCCAGGGCCTGCGATTAATGCAATGTCGCTGACCCCGGTCGCCCGGTCGGTCGGCAGTTGAGCGTTCTCAGCGTTTGAAGTTGGCGGGACTGTTGAAGCAAAAAGCTACACCTTGGATCGGTCGCATAATGTGTGTTGAAGGCTGACAACGACGAATCTCGATGGATAGAAGATCTAACGACTCTTTACTTTCGCAAATGTTGGAATATATCCATTTTTATTCGTGATGCGTAGCGACTGCCACATGCCGTAGTGATTTCCGAGCACGGGGAACATTTCGACGTGTCACCCCATGAGTCCACTCTAAGCGAGATGTGGTCACACAAGGACCGTAAGCAAGCACAGTTGGGCGGCAACTTGGCCCTGTAGATAATTGAAAAACGACAAGGCTGTGGTAAGGATTAGATTTAGGATGCGCCTCTGGGTGGTGCCGGAAGACGCAGCCTAGCTTAGCTAGTGAGCCTGGCTTTGATGTCTGAAGCGTGAAAGGGAGGTTCAGGAGTCACCAAGCTCAATAGGCCGGCGTCAGTCCAGGGTGAGGACGGGGTGTTGGGCAGAGGGTGATGGAATTCGGGAGAGGCGAGCATCGAGTTTGCTTGCTTGGGGTGGTAGAGCTTGGACGCTGTAGGACACTTGGTGACTTGACTAACTAGTAAGGAGTGAGACCCAGACCGCCCGACATCCGCACACAATGCCCGGATTGTTCGCACTCAATTCCATCAACAAAGTGCTCCAACCCTTGTCGCCCCAGGCATCACACCAAAGCTCGCCCTCAGCAGCTTCCAAACGAAAACGCACAACAATCGCGGGGTCTGGGAGATTCTGAACTCTTTCGCGCCATCCGATTGGCACTGCACGTTTGCTACGCTTGGTGTGGCCGTCGAGACTCCTTCTCTCATGCTGTTCCAACTTGCCTTTAATGCTCGTTAATGGCAACTTGTTCCCTACTTTGACATGGCTTTCTCAACTCCCTAACTTTGTCGTCCGTCCTCCGCGTGTTTGCCTGACCAAGTCTCTATGCCAAATTCGGGAATCAAAATAGAGGATCCATGCCAGGAATGCAGAGGTATGTCTGGCTTCTCTCCTGCCAGCCAGCACACTTCCCTGACTGACACATTACCTGAAAAGAGCGCCACTTGAAGTGTAAGTCGAGCCCAAACCGACTCGAGACATGCTCCTCAGTTCTGCTGTTGCCTTCTTCGCGCGCGCCCTCCGTCTTATGCAAATGCGCCGTGCGACAGGCGGATGGGGGTCGCGGAGTACAATGACAGCAGGCGGCCTTGGTGCACCATCGATTCAACTAGGCTGACCTTTCTAGGCGACGACAACCCCAGGTGCAAACAATGTGAACGTCTGGGTGGCAGGTGCCGGAGGGGAAGGGGAAAGCTCAAGTTCCGCCATGGGTCCAGCGCCCGTTACGATGAAAACTTCCCAGGGGCCCAGACATGGCTGGCGCAGACCAAGAATGGTAAGTGTGTGCAACCTGGAAGCAATCAGATCAAAGGTCCGTCAAGTGGGCGTGGAAGGCATCGAGACTTCTCAGCCATGCCTCAACCCGTCTCTTATACCTCCTGCACTGTCACGTCGTCTAATCACATCGTGTCCTTTCCGACTCCGTACCTTGTCACACTTGAGAGTGACACGCTGGCAATGTCCTTTATGCCGTGTATCCCTTGGATGTTCCAGCCACAAGCCCGGCCGTACCGCGCTAACCGTCGTTTCTTATCCAGCGAAATTTCAATTCGTCGATCAAGGTCCGGAACTGGAAAACTACTATGCTCAAGACGACTTTGCGGTCAACTGCGCCAGACCGGTCGGGGAGGAGCAAAAGCAAGGCAATGCAAGCTTTGAGCCATACACACGGCTCGACAGTTCTGTTGATGTGGGCTTATCGCCGACTGTGCATAGTGGACAGTCTTCGGACGTCCCGCCATTCTTGTCCCCGACGACCTCAAATATTGAGACGGTCCTGGTACGTCCCGCAGATGACAGCAAGAGACGGCGGACAGCTGACTCGACTCTTTTCCGACAGAGTACCGGCGTCGAGCAATGGCAACAAGGAGTCTACGACCCTGTTCGTGGTTCCAGCAGCGCACACAAGTACCGAATCTACACCACCCCGCCTAAAACCTTTAGTCCCGTGGGCTTGAACGGTATCGTCTCAATGGACGAAGGACGTCATGTTTCAAAGGTGGTGGAAGCAGAATATCGTCGTTTGGCGGATTCCGCTGCTGCCATCATTCCAGATGACGCCTTGCTCTCACCGGCGGTATGGAAGGAAGACTTTTATTGGCCAAACATCTACACCACGACTCAATGTGCCTGTCTGATGCGCTATTACATCGACCAGCTCTCAGGCTGGGTAAGATAAGGCTGCCCTAGCGCTCTAGATGCAAGCTGACCGTGACTAGTTTGATGTTGGAGATCCAGCTCGACATTTTGCCCTCACAGTGCCGCAACGTGCAAGGAGATGCCCTCCGCTCTTGAACGCCATCTTCACCGCTGCGTCACGGCATCTGGCCAACAATAGACAGTATCGATCGGCTGATGGACTTGTCAAGTACAATGACATTCCCTTGCCGAAATTGACCCAGGAAACGGCCGTGAAATACCACAACGCATGTATTGCATACCTCCTCAAACTGTCAAATGATCAAGATTGCGTCCGGGATGAAAATCTGCTCGCCGCTACTGTTATTCTTCGGTACTACGAGGAGATCGACACGACATTCATGAGCTCGGACAGCGATACATTCCTCCGCCCCTTCCAGGTGTTTGTGACTGCCCAGTCCTCTCCGTATTCACACATCTTGGACACGGGTCAGAATCAGGAATTCCTTCGGCCGGGTTTAGCAGCAGGAATTTACGCCAACACACTGTCCTACCTGAGGAGTTTCCAGCATGCCGCATTCCGGAATGCCCTTCGACAGGAAACTACCACGGCGTTTCTCAAGCAACGGGCGGTTCGCCTACCCCTAGAACCATGGACCATCCTACAAGGCTTTGATGAGGTTGAGGATTTTGTTTGGGCTGACCGGCATCTCTACCACTGTGCCAATGTGCTGCAATATTGCTTCAATGGAGCCACGACCATGCCACACCTGACACAGATCGAGCGATGGAACGAACTCAAGCACTTTGAAACGCAATGGGAGCAGGCCAAGCCGCTGTCGTTTGCGCCCATTCATTACCAGGAACCCGACCGAGGCAAGGGGGAGTGTTTCCCTCATATTTGGTACATGGACGAAATCCATGTGACGGGTCTGTTATACCTTGAACTTGCAAAGATATTGCTGACGGCATACAACCCGAACATGCCGCGAATTGGGCCCGGATCTTCGGCGGCGCTGGAGCATGTCAGGAAGGAATCAAGAGAAACCGTGATTCGAATATGCGGCATGGCCATGTCCAATCCCTCGTCAAGGCCCGCAATGGTGCAGGCTTACATGGCAGTAGCCGTGTGTGGAACTCATTTCACCGACCTCATGGAACAGAAGGCGTTGCTTAAAGTCCTAGACAAATTGAACAAGGACCATGGCTGGCCGACAGGAAAAACTGAACTTGAATTGAAGAAAGACTGGAAATGGTCATCATGAACTTGATACAACGATCTTGTTACCCTTTTTTTTTCTATCGATGCTTGGGACTATCCTTTGATATGAAGGATTGTCCCTTGCGGATACGATTACTACACATAGCATTTGGATCTGGTATATGGTATTGATAGGATTTATACGAGAGATACTCTGTAATCTGTAGGCTGGGTAGTATGAGAGCGAGCACTCCTCATGGATCGAGGGACTTCGGGAAGGAAAATCAATCCGCCGGCGGGCATTGTTACCGAGGGGTCGTTGGATGACGACATTTCGGGATTCAGGCGTATAAACGTCCGAATTGGGGAAAAACACCACAGAGTTCGAAACATTTCGTTCGCGATTTACCCCTCACCTTACAAATACATGATGGTATCGGACGCAGTTTAACGATTCCGCGCAGAGAGATTCAGATTGCGCAATTGGTTTGGCAGAAGCATAGATTTAACTACTTCTTTTTACTTGAAACCTTCGCTGTTCTTCTCCTTTTTTCTCTTCCTCTTTTTTCTCCTTGTCCCGTATGAACTGGTGCCTTTCTCTTGGTAGAACATTATCCTCGACTTCAAGATCGTCAGCAGCTTCACACCTGTATTCACACAGAGGACTACATCAAACAAGAACGAAAGGAACAGCAGCAGCAGCAGCAGCATCTTCGCTCACCCTCGCACCGATCGATCGTCTGCGGACTCTTATCAGTCGCACACGAGTTCGTCCTCGGAATCCAAACGCTAGACTCTTCTCCACTGTCACCGCAACAACCATGGCTTCCTCGTCAAATCTCTACATCGCCGAAACACCCAAGGAGGTCTCGTCGGCCAAGGGCCTGCACCTGATCACGCAGAACACGCCCAACGGACAGGCGACGCAGATCATCCTCGAGGAGCTGCACGACCTGTACGGCACGGAATGGGGCACGACGCTGATCAACATCTCGACCAACGAGCAGAAGAAGGAGTGGTTCCTCCGGCTCAATCCGAACGGCAGGATCCCCACGCTCGTCGACAACTCGCAGTCGCCGCCGTTCCCGGTCATCGAGACGTCGGCGCAGATCTTGTATCTGGTCAAGTTCTACGACAAGGACGACGTTTTCGGCTTCAAGGACGAGCTCGAGCGCAACGAGGCCCTGCAGTGGATGTTCTTCTGGCACGGCGGCGGCGCCCCGTACCAGGGACAGGTCAACCATTTCACCCGTGCTGCACCTGAGAAGATCCCATGTGAGTACAAACAAAACGAGCCTGCCGTGTTTTGAGGACTGTGTTCTCGTTGCATTCGTGTTATTTGTTTTGACCTTTTGACCTTTTGACGTTTGCTCAACCTTGTGAATTGTTGAGCTATATATCGAACCATCCCACCCTGTAGTAGCCATGCCCTCACCCGTTGTTCGGTCACTGACATGTTACTTTTCTTCTTTTGAATCAGACGCTATAAACAGGTACAAGAACGAAACACTCCGCGTCTACGGCGTGCTCGAAATCCGTCTGTCGGGAATCTACACCGGCGGTCCCCGCGACTACCTCGCAGGTAAGGGGAAAGGCAAATACAGCGTGGCCGACATCAAGACCTGGCCGTGGATCAAGGGATGGGAACGCAGCGGCTTCACGGCCGAGGACATGAAGCCGTTCCCGCACCTGTTGAAGTGGATCGACCGGATCGCCGCGAGACCTGCGGTGCAGAGAGGTATCGGTGAGAAATACGTACAGTAAGTAGGAAGAGGTCTTTCCTTCTTTCCTTTTTGTTCTTGTCGACGATTTGTTTGGGTCGGGCAACATCTCGACGACAAGGAAGCGGAAAAAAAGGCGGAAAAGGGCGACGATGACGGACCAAGGATGGAGAGGACCTTAGAAGAATGAGTGATCGATTGATGACCTCAGCTTACTTACTACCCTACCGTATCTACTTGATCGGAGTTTGTATATCTCGAGATACGAAAGGAAGCCATCGAGTCCCTAGATCAATCGATCAATCGACCATGTCAAAAAATGGAGAGAATGTCCATGTCATATCCTATTCTCTACGTTCCGTTATCATCATATATCTGGTCGCATGTCGCGGCATTACTGTTCTACTCTACCAGAACTCCGAAATGCAAGGCCCGTTGCGAGTACTTGCTTATTCGTTACTCGTACACCTGACCTTCTTCTTCTGCCTTCCAGTGTTGTCGTGATTGCCGCGGCATAAAATGCAGGCTGACCAGCTCCATATCCGCCCCTGACGGGTGGCCGGAGTCCAGATCATCCAAATTATGATCCAACGACCATATTTCCGTTGCTCCATGGCCGATACGGTCAAAGTCCCTCGCAAAACAGTCGCCCGGTATCTTGAATCTTGATCGGGTTAGAGTCCATACGTCGCATGAAGTTCGTTACTGTCATTACCATCGTTATAAAAGCGTCGTTGGACGACCACCGACGCAGCCATAAGAGCAAGTCACATCCTTTCCCACCGTTCTCGTCATCCTCACCCCATCTCTTGTTCTTTTGCTGTTTGAGCCATGTCCTTACGGTGCGGCCAACGCGCGTGGGCCCCCTTAAAACAAGTGAAGCACAACGGCAACCTCTTCGCGTCTTCACCCCTTCGTCGCGTCCAACAGCCAATCAACCACCTGAAATAATGTGATCGTATATGTGGTGAACATCCCAAATTTGACTCCCAACACCAAGACCCCTAGATGCGGCCAGATGGTTCAACGGCAACCGCGAAAGCGACAATCTGTGCAACTCGACCCTCCTAGGCGATCGAACCCGAGACCGAATCACGGCCGCACTGCGAGACGTCGATTCCTTGCTCCTCATAGACCGTGTCCTTCTGCATTCAAGGCCTGCCCAAAGGCGTTTACGTTTTCCGAGGCCTCCGATCCGTGTAACCAAGAGTCCAGCCCTCCCTCCCCCCCTCCCTTGGGGCCACCTCCGGAGGGCCCCTTTTCGAAGGATAAAAAATCCCATCCCGGGGTTTCTCCACCATCAATGGTTAACGAGACCATTGATGTTTGGAGTTTTTGTCGTTTCGCAAAATTTCTCGTATCATGCCTTGCTCTCTGCGTGTGTTGAACCTATTGCTGATTGACTTGACAACAAGTAATCTTCATTTCATGCTCCGGATGCTCACGGACTGAAGTTTGGTGGCCGCTGATACTTCTCGAGAAGCTCGACGACTCCCCAGTGATACTCTCTCCTCGCGTATTGAGTAGCCTCGTCACAAAGCTGGGACAGTGATTCCCCATCTTTGACCCGATAGTTGTCGAGCAAAAGCTTCACCATGTCCAATCGACCATGTTCTGCTGCACCGTTGAGCGCAGTTCTGCCGTCCTCCTGGGCAGCAGGTGCACCTATGTCAGCGCCGGCGTGGAGGAGAACTTCAGCAATCCCAATATACCCTCGGATAGAAGCCGCCTGGAGTGCAGTCACTCCACGTTTCATGCAAGCGGGAGCGTTTACGTCCGCTCCATGATCGAGGAGAAACTTAATGATGATGCTGTTCCCTTTCTCACTGGCCGCCTGCAGAGCTGTCCGCCCATAATGCGGCGCAGGTGGTGCATTGATATTTGCCCCTTTTCTAAGCAAGAACTTCAGCATGCACATGTTCCCGTTTTCACTGGCCTCCTGAAGAGCTGTCCGGCCCCATTCTCGCGCTGGTGGTGCATTGATATCTGCCCCTTTACTGAGCAAGAACTCGACCATTGGTATGCTCCCTCTTGAGCTGGCCATCTGAAGAGCTGTCCGCGTGCCACCTGGTGCTACATTGATTTCCGCCCCCTTTCCGAGCAGAAACTCAACCATAGGCATGTCTTGTCGTTCGACTGCGAGTTGCAATGCTGTCATGCTGTCGGAATTGTAAGAGGATCGGGGCTCATTGACATTCGCCCCCTTCGCAATTAAAGCTCCCATAAGCTGGAGAGTCTCCGCCTGAAAAATTAATGGCGAAGATTCACCCTCTCGCCCACAGACTTTCCCACCCCGATCAAGTAATTCCATTACAACATCCCACTGATCAGAGGACCATGGCGTCAATGAATTGAGGGCTTGTGTAAGAATATCGGGCCTAAAATTATGCGTTTGTCTGAGCAGAATTTTGATGCATTCATAGCGCCTACATGAAGCCGCCTCGAGAAGCGCATCCTCTGCAAAGGTTCGCCCATTCTGCAACCTTTGGTCGAAATCGAATTGTCCATGGAGTAACAACAAGTAATCATTGCAGGATGCTCCTGGAGCCATTGACAGAAGAAGGTCCCAATTATGGTCTCCATTCCACTCAACAGTACGGCCACCAGTGCCAGCACAGATGAGTCCATTGAAGAGGTCTAAGTGCCTCATTTCAATAGCAGAACGTAATACCGCATACTCACTTCCCAACCCAGCAGGGGCAGTTAAATTGACCCCATACTCCAAGAGGAAGTCGATTACTTTGGTTTGGTGATGGTCAAGTGCAGCTTGGAGGGCTGTAAATCCATAATGTTCATCAGGAGCCGCGTCTGGGCCTGCACCTCTGTTCAGCAATAATCTTACAACGTCAACGTTTCCCTTCGACGCAGCACATTGCAATGGAGTTGGTCCTTCACAGGGTCCATCGACGCAAGCTCCTGCTTCAATGAGTGTTGACACGATTTCGGCGTGGCCACGAAGGCAGGCCACCCGCAAGGGGGAAAGTTCACACTTTCCATCTGCAACATTCTCGGGAGGTACTCCATAATCCAACAATAGTTGGACATCCTGAACTTGGCCAAACGCAGCAGACAACGCCAGTGGCGAAGTTGTGTAATTTCGCGATAAGTCGGCCCAGTTCTGCAACAGCATCTCGAGCGTCATAGTGGAACCGTGAGCTGCGGCAAGTTCTAGGGCTGTCCGCATGCGGAAAGGATGATGGTCTTCATCCCATATGCTCAACGAAAAGTCCTTGGTGCACGGCCAAAACCCGAAGTCAATTACCTCGTAATCATCGATATCTTCAACGCAAAGGTAACTTTGGTAAGGAGCTCGCGTGTCATGAAGGAAGAAATCGAGTAACCGCTCTTCCATCGATAAGTTTACATTAGCACGAGCTTTGATGAGTATTTCACAAAGTATGGAGTTTTCGAGTTGAATTGATAGCATCAAAGGGGTGAAGAGGAATGATGATCGCCAGTCGTCGTCCGAGAACGTATGTGCATCCAACGGCACAACACTTCTCCCGGTTCTCCTGCTTCTTATGCTCCGACCGTCAGGACAGGCGCCATTGTTTAGAAGATACTGTGTCAGCGACACATCCTCTCGAGATATAGCATAATGTAAAGCCGTCCATAGTTTACCGTCGATTCCATTGATATCAGCGCCGTTTGAGAGGAGTCCAGCAATTCCGGTCATATCCATCCCAGCTTGAACCGCAACTGGGAGAAGGTTTCCAGCAAGAGAAGGTGCAAGATTCGGAAGTTGCGCTATTACGAGGTCTGGGAGATGCTCTGCAGCCAAGAAAATTGTACTCGTCTCATAGGGCATCTTGCCCGTCCAATCTATCCTGTTAGTGTCCATGCCATCCCACTCATCCAGGAGGGGAGTTGCCGTAAGATTGACGCCCAATTCGATGAGTCTGTTGCAAAAGGCAACATCTTTACACTCGAGAGCTTTGTGCATTGCCGTGGTGGGTTTCGATTCGAATTCACCCCGAATTGTCCTGCTCAGGTCATATCCGTAATGACAAAGAAGATCTAATACTTCCACTCGGTCGTGCATTGCGGCATAAAGCAGGACGCGGTCCAGCAAGGGCTGTAAAGACTGAGAGTGGATTGAGGACAGAGCGTGACGGAGCTGTGAAAGAGGCTTGTTGACCATGAAGTCCAAGAAGGGGCGAAGTTGATTGTAGGATAAATGATTGTTGGAAAGAAAATATATAGCATACCCGATGAGGGCCAGGTCGCCGACCAGTCCTGGTGAACATAGTTGTGACTTGCACGCGTCGAGCAGGTGGACTGATTCTTGTGGAAGAAAGGCCTCACAATGAGTTTCCGCAAGGAGCGGAGCCACTATTGTTGAAGGAGACTGCTCAGTGAAATGATCATAACCCTCTGCTTCATGAGAGACAGTCGATGGATATTGAGATTGTTCTTGCCTGGTCTGTTCGTAATTCAAGGAGTTGGCTATTGGGACCTGAGTTGCCTGTGCGGCACTGTCTGAAGGCTCTACTCTGAAGCCGGGACGGTATGAAGTTGCTATCAATCCCGAACTATCTGCAGGGCGAGAGCTAGGTTGAGATTTGTGGTTTGCGAAAGAATTGGATTGGTACAGTATCCTTTCGAGAAGACGTAAACCTGGCAGGTCAAGCCGGAGATGCACCCGATTCTGTGGAGAAGGCTTCGCAATCAGGACATGGTCGGGCGTCCATGGACTTGAGCCTGATACCATTAGCTCACACTTTTGCGTGTATAGAAGCTGGGAGACTTACCTGTACTCCATTTACGCTTCATTGATGGCATGTCGTGTCTCCTTATTCCACGTGCAACCTTCGCTTTGCTCACAGTTCTACCGTACATCTTCACTTGCGCGGCGTCCTGCTTCAAGCCACGACGATTTATGGCTTTGCCCACCCCCCGCCAGTCAGAAGCTTTACAGTTTTTGATGAAACCCCATGACTTCAACTTTCTCTTGTGCTGATCCGTGCTGTACGGCGGTGTTAGCTGGGGCACATGGTAGACGCGCCTTTTCTCTCACCTAGCATCAAACGAATACTGTTTCATAAGCTCCTCCCTCACCCAGTTTAGTGTGCGACCTTCTTCGATGTAGTATTTCTTGATGAATGGCTTGTGTGACAACCATTCCTCCTCGTCAGGCCCGCGAACCGAAGACGTCATTATGGCGACCAGCGGTGCAGCCCTGTGTGATTTACGCTCAAGTACAGTCTCGCTCAATAAGGGAACAGCAACCAACGATAAAGTTCTGGTATGCGTGCAAGCTGTGTTATGAAAGCAGAAGAACAGAATGCAAAGTAGAGTCGGACATCATGTACCTGCGGTCCCAAGATGATCTCCTGGCGCTGGCAGCTTTAGTTGGCGGTCTGCCTTGCATTTGGCGAGAAATCTCATTGGTCGATACCGAAAGTGCGCAGCTGCCTAACTTCGCCCATGCGAGAAGCGAACCCCGGATGACAGCTCAATGCCGCGAGACAAAGCACGACAGGTGTTGATCGGCGGCTTGGTGAATGCAGAAAGTGCGAGCAGGGGTCGAGGAAGTCCTGGACGGTGTTGATCGGCGGCTTGGTGAATGCAGAAAGTGCGAGCAGGGGTCGAGGAAGTCCTGGACGGTGTTGAACAGGGGCGTCATCCGCGCGTGGCGTTCCAATGGATGTGGATGCGCACTTTCGGGCATTGGCCAATGGCCTGCGAAGGGAATGGATGAGTAGCTCTGACCACAGCCTCACCGGCCAAACGTGCAATATGATAGTGTTTGCGGGAAAGAGGAGGGAAGAGTGTCGATTCAACTTGGTGCAGATGGAGCCAAAGGGAAAAACGATAAAGTCTCGCAATGGCTTCTTCGTGTCTCTGCATTCTTGCATATCTGGTACAGCTGGCGATTGACAAGAGCATTGTCCTACCTGGGAAGCAATGGCACTGTCTGTCGAGGCAGTGACTGGAATCATCTCTCTTTTCCTTGCAATACCACCATTGATCATTGGGCTTTACAAACTAGATTTGTATCGGCGAAGACACACGGTCCTGCCCCAATATGAGAGTCGTTGGCCGGGGGCCCCTACCTTTGTTGACGGTACGTGCGTGTCCTCTTGATAGAAATGCCGGCTAACCATTGTTGAAGCAAGAAATGCAAACAGACTCGTGCCTATGCTGTCGCACAACCCGCCATTAGCGAGGCCAGCACGAAGCTACTCATCTCCTCCTGAAGTCAGCCTACCTCGTACGTTGGCAGATCGAGGCCGAACAAACCTGACCTATTAGACTGCCGCCATAAGAGACTCTGGAGCTTCGGGTTGTGAACGAGGATGACATTTCGAAGATTCCAGTGCATGACGGAGATGAACTTGCATGAGGGGCGTAGCACCTTAGCTACGGTGCTCAATTGAGGGTTCAGGTTGGCAGGGTGGTGTCAATTCTTGTCAGTCAAGAAGGGAGTCAGGGTTCACCAGAGCAATGTTGAAGGTTGGGAAATGATCCAGGTGTGAAAGGTTGTGTAAGACAAACTGCTCGGAATAAAGCTGTCAGGTCTCGTTGAATGGATGTTGATGTTGAGTTTTTGTGTACCGTCCTGGAAATGAGATCATTGCTGTTGTGCTCGGTTGCTCCCTGTACAAGCCGACGGGAGTGAAGCCACTACCTCCAGGTACCTAAATGGGTACCCAGTTGGATGAGACTTCCCGCTCTTTAGGTGGTCTTCGCAGCCTACCAATAGGTGTGCAAATACCTCTCCCTGCCTATACTCCCGTGGAGAGGCATCTGTCCCCATATCAATGCCCGTTCTTATTGCCTGAAGTCTTAATCATCATTAAGCTACGTATCTCATTCTATTCAGACCAGGCAACTACCCAATTCGGGTCTCACAGAATCATGTGTCGAAGTGTTAGAGTCCCTTCTTCAAAACCTCCTTCCACGCCCTCTAGATATACGTTGTGCAACATTTCCGCCTCTCTGCTTTACCATCCTGAACCCCATCACTCAAATGCCGCTAGGTTGTGCATGTGGAAAGCCCCCTCTTTGGTGCTCATTCACACTGTTGGGGTACAGTGCCGACCAGAGCAATAGCAATGGGTGACAGATGTCACTGAGCGAGCCTCATCAGCAGTCCGTGGGCAATCTTTACTTTATCCTAGGCGTGATATTGCTGATCCGGACGTCCTCACTCGAGTGAGTCCCTAATGCCTTCGGAATCCCAGCTTTGTCGTATCAGACATGATAAATCATTGTTCGATCCCGTCATGTTCAATATCTTCATGCACAACCTGGGTGGTCCGTCTACGCGTTCTCCCCTGCCCGGTCCTGGGTTTGCGGTTGCTGCTCATACTTCATCGCTGACTTTCCGACATAGGCTTCCCGACCAGCCGGGCGACCGACGATTGTTCCTGGCCGGGTCTTGGTACGCAGATGATGCTCCTCGATTTCTTCCCTCATCGCGGCGTCTGCGTTGTTGACACAGCAACATCGACACAAAAAGCTGAGAGGAAAGCCACTGTCGCGAACATATTGGTCTGCGGAATAGCTCTGTGTTTGCTTCATTATGTTCCAATTGAGAGGGAAAGGGAACACTCCAAGTTGGAATGGAACCACGATTGGTCCTCTTTGTGTGTGTGTTTTTTTGTTGCAGCAGTCCTGGTTCACGCGGAAAGACAGCGTTTTGTAGACGTTGGCAATGCCTAGTCAGAGCGACTTTTACCTAAGATCCCCATTAAGATTGGGTGGCCTGACGTTCAAGAGCCCACCGATGCCAATGGGGTGTCGTTAGGCGCCGGGTCACGATGGTGCCGCAGGAGGACTCGGCAAGGCCACCGACCGGCTACAAGTATTTAGTAAAGCAGTAAAGCGCAGGAATTCAATCTCCAGTTCAGCATGCCGAGGAGGAACAGGAGTCTGTAGCATGACTCAGTTGTTTAGTTGCCCGTCTTGACGTCCCCGCAAAACGTGGCCGCAGCGTCTGTCCCGGGGTCTCTTATTAACCTTTTGTCTTTTTGGCACCAGCAAGTGACATCGCAGCCTTGGAGAAAATCTTTCCCCGAGTGTTCACTGCGTTCTCTACTAACAATCACGACTCCCAGCGCTGCTCTTCTCTTGAATTCCTCCGACAGTCTCTCTGGCCAGTAAGTCTCATACAAGATGGACTTCAAATCATTAATGGCGGCGCAAATCGCCAAATCCAAACCGAAACCGGCGCCGTCCAAATCGCCAGACCAGTCATCCGAATCACAATCGCCCGCTCAAAAGTACCTCCGCCGCGCCGAACTGGAAGCAGCACGCGAAGCAGCTTACGCGGCCGAACAAGCGCGGCTCGAAGCAGAGCGAGAAGAGCGAGCGTCCAAGAAGCGCAAACTGGAAGAAGAGGAAGCGGCGCGCGCAGCGGCCCGAGAAGAGAAGAAACGTCGACTGGCCGAAGAATCGCGGCGGCGTCGCGAAGCAGAAGAACGAGAGGAAGAACGCAAGCGACGGAAACGACTAGGTCTTCCTGACCTCGATTCTGAAGGCAAGACACCACCACCCCCGACATCGACCTCAACATCATCAACCACACCGACACCTGCAGGCGACCAAGTAGACATCGCCGACGACGAGTTACGGAGCAAACTGCGCTCCCTGAACGAACCGGCGGCACTGTACGACGAACCGCACACGTCACGCTTGAAGCGATACTACGCACTCACATCTGCGAAATCGTCCTTGGCCGCCAAACCCAAACTCAGCAGCGGTCCGATCCCGACGACGCTCGAGCCCGTCGCCGAAAAGGACATGCTGATCCCGTCGACGCTGCCGCCCGCAAGCGACGCGGCGGCGCACGGCTACCTGTACCGCCAGCTGGCGTCGTACTTCACGCTGCTGCTGACGGAATGGGCGTCGGCGCTGGCGTCGCGCGACACGGCGGTCAAGGCGTCGTCGTCGGGCAAGGCGGCGCAGGCGTCGTACCAGCAGGTCCTCAAGGACCTGGCGCCGCTGTTCCGGCGGTTCGAGCGCGCCGACCTCGACCACGGCCTGCTCGAGCCCATCTGCCAGATCGTGCGGTCCGCGCAGGCCCGCCGCTACGTCGAGGCCAACGACAAGTACCTGACGCTCTCGATCGGCAAGGCCGCCTGGCCCATCGGCGTCACCATGGTCGGCATCCACGAACGCTCCGCCCGCGAGAAGCTCCACGAGACCAGCGACGGCAAGCAGGCCCACATCATGGCCGACGAGGCCACCCGCAAGTTCCTCCAGAGCATCAAGCGCTGTTTGACCTTTGCCCAGACGCGGTGGCCGCCTGAGGATCTGGGTCAGTTGATGGGTTAACGTCGACACCAAAAGACCTTGGGCCCCGGTCGATGTTGGCTCGACATGAAGAATATCGTCCGGGTCAATTGAAAGGTGTCGGTTGGGTGGGGGGATGGGTCGATGATATGCCGGAAACCCCGAAAATACTGACGACGACAACGACAGATGTGCACAGAAGGACAAACATTTCCTTCCCCCCGCGATCACACTACACGCACGACGACAAAGATACGGGACGTGTGCCGGCGAGTGAGTGTATATCTACGTATACACGAACTACGAATCGCCGGAGAAAGGTGGATACGAGTATCACCTACGGAGAGCTCTTTGCTTCCCATTTCATCAGGACAATACCAGTGGTGGTGGGGTTCCATCCTCGTATGGTATACAAGGAAGGCGCAAGTGGCAAGCCTTGGAAAGGGTTCGTGGTAGTAAGAACAGCGGCCAATAAACGTTCTTTTCATCAATCTATTCACTTTTTCTTTTGGGCAAAAGGAGACGAAACAAACAACACGCTATCAAATGCTCCCTCCCCAGATCTATCTCCTTATGACATTAATCTAATCTACCTGTAGTTCTGATCTAGTCGTTTCCCGTATTCAGTCCAAGGGTACGGAAAAAGCATAAGAGCCGTCAGAGAAATGAATACTCCCGGTCCTCTACCGAATCAGCGACAAAACAGCCTCCAACGCCATGCAGCTAAAACACAATGCGAAAACAATACCATGCCCAATTGGCATCAAAGTCAAGCAATATCACATGGCCACCCACTGCATTGAAAAGCATCAAATGGCAACCGACACCAAATGGCCCTCTCACATGTCAAGCTTCACTTTTCATGCTCCAAGATCAATGCATGACATATGGCCACGTTTTGCACATGTTATCGAAATCATCCCGAGACCAACGTCGTAGCAGGGGACAGGGGCGGGAGGCAGACATATGCACCCCAGTCCCTTGGGCGCAAAGACCAGGAGGTGAACGCGAGAGTAAACTTGTTTCGTCGGAAGATCCGTTATCATTCAAGCCGGCCAGACTCACAACCCGGAATGTTTTCTGGCAAGACTCCTATGCTTGTGCTTGTATTCGTGCATACCCCGAACAGCTGTTTGTGATTGTGGCCCTCAGCGGAGCAGAGGGAGGTGACTATACATCCAACCGAGCCTTAGCTACACTGTCGTGTAACGCAGACGCAAGTCGTTCGCGGGAGTTCCGCTGGAGTCGCTGGTGGTCAAGAATGCGAAATTTCATACTGTCGTGTCCAGCAGTTCTGGGAAACATAGAATTAGATCTCGGCGAAGGTTCAAGACAAGAGAAGAGCCTAGATTTAGGTCCAGATTCAGACTGAATCCTATCAAGACCTCTCTACCCCGACTCGGCGGGATTCTGAGATTGTACATCGTATCACCATGCATCATGCACGCAAACTGCATTGAAGTCCATCCTGTCGACAACAGGCATCTCTTGCTGGTCAGTCGGATGGCGAATGAGATCAGGCCAGACCAGTTACACCCGCGTATAACCGCCGACCATTCGTGAAGAGCATTAGGCTCTGGGTGAAGAAAGTCCAGGATCATGAGCGGCAAAGGCGGCCGTCTGCGTCATTTTCCCCGTGAAGGTGCCAATTTCCCTCCCGAGGATCCAGGTTTCGGCAATGCAGGATTAACTTTCGTCCTTGTCACTTGCGCCCATTTGACTTTGGGGTCGAGGATACTGGCTGGGTTTCCCATCTGGGGAGAGTTGCCGCAGTTATTTCGGGAAAGGCCGGTGACGGCGGTGGGAAAGTCCGTAGTAACGTCGAGCCCAGGCTTCTCGGTTCCGGGCTCATATCACGTGATCCATTTTCAGGTTGGTCAGAAGGTCGACCAGTGCCAGTCCTTTGGAACGCTGTTTGCGACTTCCGCGATAGGTTTGACTCCCCGGAGCCCGCCCGACTGAATGCGACGATGGCCTGCTGGGCCCGCCAGCGGCGTAGGCGGACCGCTTTCACTGTTGAAGTCCTCATACTTACTGTGTTGGCTGTTCTTGCGGCGGATTGAGCGTGCCGTGTCCCAGCGCAGGTACTGACGATGACAAGTTTCGCATGCCCGCGAGGCGACACCGTCAGGATGAAACTTCGCATATTGGTCAAGAGGGATGGTGTAAGGTGTATGTGAAGAGCAGAAGATATGGCCACAGTGCCGGCAATGGTGTTTGCGAACAAATAAGTTGAATGACGACCTGCATTCAGGCGAGTCGCAGCTTGGGGAAGCTTCGTCGGGCTAGATAGAGATGTGTTAGCAAGAAGTCTCCCACATTGAGGTGTCTCAAAGAACTATAAAGTCCTTCAACACCGCTTGCGCATGTCACATACCTTCCAATGTTCCTTGGTGGGGGGGCCTGTGACTTCACCGAGCTCCTCCTCCTGGACCCAGTCCGGATCGAAGGATTCCAGGTCCATAGGGTATTGGTGCTCAGGACTGGCCGCCCGAGGCTCGGTATTCTCCAGAGTATCCAAAGAGCCTTGCAAACTCTTAGGCGGTGTCATAGGAGACGGAGTATAAAAATGCTCGGTCGGACGGAGGGCGGCAGGGACGTAAAGAGGCGACTTGAGCGGCCGGAGCTGCTTGTACGGGTTTGGAGCATGTTGTTGGAGGTAGTCTTGCATTCGAGGCGACTGAGGGGAGGCGGAGCTAGCAGGAGAAGGTTGACGACTGACAAGGAAGTGGTTGTTCTCAGGAATAGTATAGGTCTGGGTCGAGTAGTTGGCGGTCATCATGGGTAGTTTGGTGGGAGGCCAGGAAGAAGACGGCTATTCGTCCTCGTGTCGCAAACCTCTACAGAATGGGGGAGCCAGCGTTTATTATGTATCGACCGAGTGACTGTCGGTTACCAAGCCCGAGATGCGGCAAGATGTGACTGCGTAAGGGCACGCGCAGGTGGTCGATAGAACCACACTTGAGACCGGTACCGAGCACAGGGCCTATAGGATTCGCGATGCCTGTGCCACCCGGATATGATCTCAGAGGCCGCAATGTGGTATCGGGTAGCCCTAATCAGGAAGAGGTGACCGAGGAAGGCAAACAAATGTGAGCCTGAGACGAGTGAGGCTGTCAACGGCGTGGGAGGTGGGGGATGGCGTGTTGGTGGGATGTGGTGTTATGGACAAAGACGAAGCGGATCAATGTGTAGGAAATTGAGTACAAGGATGCCCCGTCTTTGTCTCAGCGAAATCCGAGTTGTCGGCGGTGGATGACGAAGTGAGTACGATCCAATGATGTCTTCAGGGTTTCTGAACGCTCTCAACACATGGTATGGGCTTTGAAGAATAACATTTGGGAACAAATACAGAAATCCGAGTAGAGCAAACATGTACACCAGAGGGCGTGGCCAAGGGAAAACGAACAGTACGGGCGAGGAGGAGGGAAATGGGCAACCGGACATGTGCCAGAGGGACTGATAAGAGAATATCGCAGCCAATGAGAAGAGCTCAATAAGCAAAAGATGCTTTCTCTTTCGGGCCTGGCGCCGATTGACTTTCCCCGTTCCCACCAATAACCCAACATCAGGACAGGGATTGGCCTGGTTCAGCTTAAGGTTCTAGTGCGAGCACTAGTTATGACTTAGTGGCTGGCGAAGCCTTTAGCCACGAAACATCCGTCCTAGTACCAGTGCGAGCGCCTCTTGTAGTAATAATACTCAGGGTCTCCGGGAGTGGAACAAGGCTACGAGCACGGATGTCTTAAAGGTCTATCCATTGTGAGGTGATGATTTATTATAAAGCCGTAAGCGGAGAGTCGCTTCCACGAGGCTCCGTATAAGAAGTAGCGTTGATAGGGGACTGCACGAGGCCTTTAGCATTAGTGGCCGCATGGCAAACCCCAACAGTTCGTCCCTATTATTATTATTAATACATGGTATTTGACAAGTCTCCTCCCTCCATGTTTCAAAATGACAATTGAGGAGCCTCCGAATTCCCACTGGCAATAGACGCGTCTGGCTCGCTGACAGTGACTGGTATCTCTCAGCCACAACCCTCCTCGCCAATGCCATTCGATACCGCATGGTCGGGACAGCGTTGCACTTGCCAGTTGGCCACACTGACTTGCACAGTTTGGTCGGTCGTAAGCCGAGCCACCTAAAGCATATTTGGTGCCAGTCTCATGTCGCCGAGGGTCGACGCAAACGATCTGCACAGTCCTCAACATCGATTCCGAGGAGATTACTCGTATTGTGTGCAGCTCAGCCAAGTGGATCTGCACGACGTTGAAATTGTCTTCTGCTTGCTCCCACCAGAGACAAAAAACGATAATACCCACGGACACGTAATGAGAAGGGCCATTGCTCCATCGATGATGCGCATGGCCCCCGAGAATCGCCCAGGATGAGGCAAAAAAGGGTGGACGGGTCTCGTGTAACCCTGCCGTAAGCTTTGGAGGGAAAAAGAAGTGCCGGCTCCGAGCACCGAAAGACATCTGGGCTTGTGGGCCTGGCGCGGAATGACGATGCCTGGAAGGTAAAAGTAATGGCACCCAAGGAGCCTAGAAGGCGCCTGAGGACGCGCTTAGTGATGCCGTCCCTTGTGCTGTCCTTCCCGTCTCATTAGCCTTGCCGACGCCCCGAAGCCCAGACTGGTGAAGCCCAACAAGCCTCACGGGCGAGTCCAGGCAGCGGCATGCAGGCTCTGATGCCCGCTCGCTGCTCCCGCCAATGCCATCAATGTCCATTCGCATGGGCTCCCTCGTATTCGTCTACGCCAAAAGGACATGCTTGCATCGCTCTCCTCTTCTCTCTGAGCCGCCAATCGACATCTCTCCACTGATCGCACGGCTGTAGCCGCCCAGACTTGAAATCCGGATTGCATATTTCTGGAAAACCTCCCAGCAAAACCGATGTGTACTAAAATATCCAGCGCTTGTGTTGCGTTTCCCCTCATCTTCTACTCGTGCCGACCTCTTCATCAATCAATGTCGGGTTGATGAATCTGCGCACGGGGGCTGGCCTTTCTTTTTCCAAATCTCTGTTTCCTGTTTCTCGAAAATCTTCGTGCGAGTACTCTTCTTCTCTAGCATCAGCCGGCGTCTTTTTATTTCGAATGCTTCATTTGGAGTCGCCATCGCCCTTAGTTGCGTTATAACCCCGGCCCTCGGCCCAAACCACAAGATCAACGATGAAGAGGACAGCAGAGCGCCCGACCGATCGCAGTTCCAAACGTTCATCCATACATGACGAACACGAGTGGATCATACGAGGATATCGTCCAGATTTAGCAAATGCGCCTCAATCCCCCGACGAAGACCCTCTGGGTGAGATCGCCTACCACCGGGCCTTTACCAGAATTTCAGCACAAACTCCTGGACGGGTACCGAATCCTTCATTCTTCCCCAACTCGCCCACGGCATTGCAATTCATGAAATGGAAAGACCAAATTCTTTTCTCGCCCAAGCCTGCGGGAGACAGAACTCCCACCCAAAAGCCGACCCCGGTGTCCCAAGCCCCCACCACTTTGCCTGGAAATCTCCCTTCTCCGGGGTACAGCGAAGATCCTCCAAAGGCGTATCGCTCATTGAGCGAAGATCAGGCCAGGACCGGTGACTCCGGATCGAGCACGCAAGGCGCAGTGATCAAGACACAACCAAGATCTCCTCCGCCCCCCGTGAGGTTGCGAATTGATCAGACTCGCCCTCAACCACATCATCAACCGGCACCGATGACCAACATCTTGCCACCGATTATGGAACCGAGAATCAACGCCGCTCCGCCCGGTCCTGACAAAGTGTTTCGATGATGTATTGCGCATATTGGTACGAGCAGTGATATTATTGCCAGCCTCAGTCTTGCAACTCCTCGACTGCTTCTGAAAGAATCCCATGCGTATGCCTAAAATGAAGGGATCCTCTCGATATGCGGCCAAAAGTCCAGTACCACAGACGCTATAATGGTGTCCTTTCCAGCGAAGGGAAAAGAGCGCCACGCATGTGCCGCCCTTGAGGACAAGGCCCGGCGTACTGGACAGGCAGCTCATAATGTGACATGAGGGTCTACGAATACAGGACTACCGGGACTAGTAGAGGTTCAAAATATTCAAGGAGGCTGGGGAGTTCCCATGCCTCCTAGGAAGCGTTCGCAACTCTTAGCTGCGATGCTAGAGGGAGATATATTGATGACGTGGGCTGTGCCTTCTGTTGCGAGTCAGACCATGGGAGTTTAGCGATGATACCTATGTAGATCATGTTCTCTTCTGGAGCGTTTCTTCAGACCTGAAATCGAAATAGCCCGTAGATTCAACGGGACAGAAAGCTCAGGCGCCTCGCCCGGGATCTCTATGGTTGGTCATTTTATCTATGTGCTCTCATTTCCATACCTAATAGCCATCATGACTCCTGTGAAAGTTCTCGTGGCGCAGTTGGACTGCAGATGATACACAGCAACTGCCTACCTCGACGGAATCATTCTCAGTTCTGGAACGACGCCCGGTCTTTGCACGAGTAAATCTACCATCGGCGAAAACAACAGTCGGCCCTCTACATGATTGCCGCCGCTGCCATCGCCATCGCCATCGCCACCACCATCAGAATGCTTGTCGTGGTTTAACTTCCCCCATCGCACCTGCGCCATCGCCCACATTTCATACTGCCTCCAACTCACCCACTCCCAGCCTGCGCACTTCTCGGGCTCCATGAGCCGTGCGATCGGCAAGCCATCCTCACCGACGTTGGCGGCAGCAGAATCCCCCGGGTCCATCGTCACCCTGGCCGTCATAAAGACAGTGATATAATGCTTTCCACCTTCGTCTTCGCCCATGACGTTGTTCGTAGCCGTCAGGAACTTCACGTCGTGTACCCTCAAGCCCGTTTCTTCGAGAACCTCGCGCGCCGCACATTCCTCAAACGTCTCGCCGAACTCCAGATGTCCACCGGGGAGAGCGTAAGTGCCACTCCCGTGGGACCCCAGCCGTTGGCCCATCAGAAACTTCCACGCTCTCGTCTCGTCCGAGGATCCTGGAGACGGCTTAGAGGTGGGTTTGGGAATCGTGGGATGAATGATGAATACGCCCACGCCCACGCGAGGGACCTCGGAGGCGAGAAGCTCGTGTTTTGTATGGCTTGGATCCGTCCAATGTGCATTGTCTCGGAGACGAGGTTGTGGCGATATCCTTCCTGAGAGAGGGCTCGTCAAACAACTATCCAGTATCCGCTTCATTCTGTCAAATGCTGATCGTCTATGAGACAGAATCAGAAGATCTCGCTCATTCGACAGATTCTCCGGCTCATATCTTGCCAATACATCAGATATGATGTGAAGATATCCGAAATTTATATTGACGTGTCGACAAGCTGTTGCAGCATGGAAGACCTCGCAGTCAACCCAATCTGCTTTATCGCGCCAATGCTCAAACCAAACTGCGTTTTCCACAAGAGGCGAGAAAACACTCACGTTCTGTCCAACAACGAGTTCTGTTGAACCATGGCCCTCACGACTGGTATCATAATAAAAAGGACTGGACCACTGAAGGCGCTCTTGTTCCATGCAACTCGATGAACCCGTCACAAGAATCCGGTTCGGTTGAATGAGCAGGCCACCGGCTGGTGAATAATTCCGCAGAGAGCCTGCCTTCCCGAGAAAGACAACATGACTGGCATTATTCAATTCTTTTAGCACTCGGATTAGGGATCCAACAATCTCTCCCCATAGGCTTATCATACAACCCAAGTATGAGACGACTTTACCATCTGGAAGAGTGATTTTTTGCCACGCAAATAACTGCCGTTCAGGATCCACTGTACCGCTTTCCCAATCGCCTCCTGTCGTTGGCAGAACAGCCTCTGCGTAGCCCAGAACTACTATGTCAACTTTACCCATGAGCCGCAGATTGGATTCCGCAAATATCAAAGCGCTGTCTTCCACCCCAGGCAACCTATACTCGACGACGGGACGCGAAAAAGAGAGAGGAGGGCCATCGGTGGAGGGAGACTGTAGTTCTTGCAGCCGGAGATACATCGCGATTAGGTATGCATTGTGTTTGACATAAGCTTGGCCTGGGAAGCAGTTGATCTCCAAAGTATCGCCATCAACGACTCGGCTCGTGGGACGGTGCCAATTGAAACGTTTGCCTTGTTTTTCGAACACCGATAAGCGTGCCGTCCCATCGCGCTGGTAGTGGCCATGAACAGAGATCCGCTTCCAGTGCCGCTCCCGAATATCCTGGTGTATCTTGTCAAAGACATATCTTTCCAGAGAATGCCTCATCGTATGATTGGACATCATGGAGTCGATCTCCTCCACCGAGACGGTGATTGACGATACTCCTTGATCACTGCTTGTTGACATGTTGTTGATTTTGCCGACGTCAACGGAGCTGAGAAGAAACCCTGGACGAAAGAGAGTTGATTGTGTTATCAAACTCTTCTAGAGGAGACGATACCCCTGGGCCTTATTTATAGGCAGCACGGTGGCAAGCCTTGGTGTACAGTTAATGTCGCTGCCCATACGACTCACGTATCACTGCCCACATCAACTCACGATATCACGTGGATCGAGGTCACGTACCTGGTTCCAACTCTGTGAGAAACGCTGGGAAAATCAATGTGAGTGGCGATGAACGAAGTCCCAGCCTTGTCAACATCGCCTGGACGTCTTTGCACAATACCGCTCTAGTCTAACACATATTTGAAGGATAGCGACGTCAAGGCCGAAGTCACTTCGGGAGACTCCCGTTTTTCACCGCGTCCCGGAATGCTGAGTCAGAAGGCGAAGGGTCTATTGTGACACATGTACTCCGTACGGCCACCAAATTACGGATGGCCGATGGCGCATCCTTGGCCCCTTCTGCAGTCTGTTTTCGACCGACAAACAACTACGGATCCGCACAAGCGGTATGCGGCTGAGGACGGAATACCATAAAGTCTAATAGATGAGACAACGAGAAGGGGCTTCTCCTCGGCCCAGAGAATTCCCCTCGAAGAATCCCCCCCCGTCAAGCAACGCATAGAACGATAATATGGCTGGCCCAAACCCTCCTAAATTATTGTTGCAGATGACATACATACATACGAAGGACAGTTATGACACTGTTCCCCTCATGACGTGACAGATTTTACTACTTTACTCAGCAACCACAAGCAAATATATGATATGAAGAAGTGGACAATCGAAAATCAATCTGAGGTCGAGGCAATGATTCAACCTATTTCCATTTATCACGGATTCACGGTCGACCCCTTGCCAGGTACCCTGAGGCTGTACAAATGGAAACAGCGCCATAGTCGGACAATCCCTGTCTTTAGCCGCCCGGTTGATCACATCAACCCTTGTTCTACCCAATCTCCGGCCAAACGACAGATGCCCTACGATCTAGTACATAGCACTTGTATTAGGTGCGTTGGTTTCTGTACCGCACAACACAATCGAAGCTCCGAAGACATGCCCGGCAGAGAACGGCTTTCTGTGAGCCTTCAGCCTTACAATGCAAAGCGATGACTTTTCTTCTGTGCTTCTTTCTGCTTTTCTCTTTCCATTATGTAGCTTCCCGTCATCATCACTTCCCTGTTCTTCAGCCGCACTTCGGTCATGTCATCAACAGCACCAGCCATGCCTCCTGCGAATCTTCTCCGTGAGCTGAAGGGCAAATCCTATGAGATCGGTCTCCAACCAGGAAGTCCTCCAGTCAGCTACGATAATACTAATTTGCAAGATGTTCGGACCTTGGTGGCCCGACCTATAGAAGAAGTATGCAACATCTTACCTCCTCGTACCCGGCGCTGATCAGTCCATTTCAGTATAGCACGGGCACTGTCCATGTGATGTAAGATGTACTACAACGGTATCATGTTCTAGACTCATATTCTAAAGCTTCATGCCGTCCATCGAAAAGCGCCTGGAGAGAGGATTTGCACCCGAAAACCTCGTCGATGATATATCAAGCAGGTTCAAAATTCCAAAGTTCTTCTTTGACGACATGGGATGGAATGCAAATGGGTTCTTCAGGTCGTCGGAATTTGGCAATAGGAATCTCAACACGGAGGCATATTCATACTGTAAGTTAGGAGCGGTAAGGTGTTTTCGATGCGCTCAAACAATCGCAGGCACGTCATCACGCTATCTAACCAAGAGCGTTGGAGAAAAGGGCCAAGTAGTTGACCAAAATACGGTCCAGGACCGCATGAGGAACCCAGGAAGGCAAACCTTGAGTGAATTCAGCGACCTCGAGGACGAAAAGTGGACGTGGACATCAGCAGATGTCGGTCCACCGCAAACATCGACCCCAAGCTCTGACCCGCCATCATACAGAAGCTCGACACGCAATCAAAGGGAAAACTCCCCTTCATACAAATACACATGGGACTTTATGGGGTTTTGCACCTATTGGCGACGGACACGTCCCCAAGGCGGCGAGGAGTCTACGTATCTGAACATCATCCTCTGCTTTGATTTGAGCAAAGAGCTCAAGAAGAGGATCATAATGGCAATCAGTGACTCGCGGTCCGAAATCGCTCAGAGATTGAGCGACCCGTTCTGCCTTTTGAACATGGCGAACAATGTCGTCGTGGAGCATCTCCACCGGACCTTGTGGTCGTTTCAACAACCCATCAGAAACGTTGAAAAGGTAAGGAAATGCCCAATTTGGAATTTGTTTCGGTTTTGGTGTTGGTTATTGTGTGACGATGGCTGACGGCGTGTGTGCCTCTGTTCTCTTTAACAAACAGACCCGCCTCGAAGGCTGGACTAAGACTCTGCAAGACGAAAACGACGACAGAAGCGAAAGCACCAGGGAACGAGAAGTCGTGACACTCATGGGAAAATACGCCGCGATGCATGAGCTCAACCGTCACGTTCACCACATTGCAGAGGCCATGCAAGTGGCTTCAAACACCCTTGGGAATATCGTCAAAGCGCATGACTCACTTCAATCTGTCGGGGATCAACCCCAGCACAGGTCAGACGATATAGCCAACAATCTACGATTCCAGACTCTGTACACTGACAATCTGCGATGTCGGGCTGATGCATTCGTCGACAGAATGAAGAACGAAACAAGATTCGTAAGGGAGTCCCATATTCCATATTATTACCATTTCCGTTGTCTACAAGTACCTACCCACCCACCTACCTATACGGATGAAGAATATGTACCCATGCGAAGGATTCATTTTTCATTCTATTCATATATCGTCATTGTGATACGCCACACCAACCTGAAGTTATCGCTGACTACATTCCGTGTGCGGTCTGTCGGAGTCCGTAGATATCAAACCGTGTCGCGATCGAAGACAACGATATATCAAAGGGGATTCTGGCCGAGACCCGAAACGACGGAAAAGTTCTTTCGGAGACCGTCTCGGTATTGACGTTGCTGTTCTTACCCGGGACTTTTGTATCTGTGAGTACTGATTGACTCATCGATTGCACTACATTTCCCAAGCCAACGTGAAGGTGAAGAGAAGCTATCACGGATCGCAGCAGACACCCCGAAGCCTAGCGACAAATTTTCTCTCTCTCTCCCTCCCCCCTTCTTTTGTGGTGTAATTAATGGATAGAAAACTGACGGATGTTTGTTTTTCTGTGGACGCAGGGATTTTTTGGCATGAACTTCTTCTCCGTCGGAGACGGTGCGAAATGGACCTGGGTGCCGAAGTTCTGGATGTTTTTCGTCATCACCGCTCCCATCACGTTTGCCGGCTTGGTTCTCTTCATGTTCGAAGTCAACGTGGTCGGATGGATTCGGAGGAAGTTCTCCCAGCCTGTCAAAGTCTGGTACCGGACGCAGAGGACGACGAGGGTGAACAGGAACAGGAACAGGAACGGGAACAGGAACGCAAACACAATCACAATCACAAACGCAACCGGACAACCACAACCACAACCACAAGGCGGCGGTATCGTCGCTGTCTAGGCATGTACTATACTAAGCAATAGCTAGGAGGACAATGGGTAATGTGGGAACTACGTACGGTGGGCCTATGGATGGACCGCGGTGGATTTTTGGCATGCCGTGCCTCGACACACTGGATACGGGATACGGGATACTGACACAGTGGTTGTTGTTAATGAGACGGACACGGGGATACACTGTGAATAACGGCTCTTCACGAGAAGGACACGGGGGTATATACTGTGAGTAATGGTCCTCGATGAGACGGACACGGGGATCTATCTACGGAACAATAGTTCCTCGATTGCCCTCAAATGCCCTAATTACCTACCTACTTAAATGTCCTCCACATCATCGTGACTAATATAGTATAACCCCGTATCCGTCGAATTGGTAATGTTGGTCTGCTTGACGGTGCCAAACTTGACATAACCGTTCTCGACGGGGCCGGACACCACGGGGGCAGCAGCAGCAGCAGCACTGGCGTTGACGAATCTATGCAGTCGGTTCTCGCCGCTCAAGACGGTAAAGTTGGCCAACGAAATCTCGCCGGGGTTCCGGTTCACGATGGTCGGCAGGCCGAAGTACCTGGCCTCGACCTTGGCCGGGGTGACGTGCAGCTCGTAGTAGCCGCGGTAGTAGAGCTCGCTCCACTGCAGCTCCCGGTTGGCGGCGACGAGCCACTCGCTCGCCACGACGCTCGCGGCGAGGCTGATGTTCTGGCCGCCGGGCGAGGGCGACGACACGGCGGCGCCGGCGAACTCGACGCCGATGGCGCCCTCGCCCGTCGCCGGGTCGTAGGGGTGCCGGTCGAGCCACACGAGGTCCGACACCCAGTTGGCGTGCGAGTCGCCCGAGATCATGATGTTGTTGGTGATGTTGTGCCCGTACAGCGTGGCGAACGTCCGGTTGCGGTTGGCCTGGTACCCGTCCCAGGCGTCGTAGTCGAGCGGGTCGACGTTGCCGTACGCGAGGGACTCGTTGATGCGGCTGAACACCGTCTGCGACCCGATGATGCGCCAGGCCGCCCCGCGCGCCGCCGACTGCTTCAGCGAGGAGTAGAACCAGCTCTCCTGTCGCGGGCCCATCATCGACCGGCCCGCGTCGTTGGAGATCTGGTGGATGTAGTGCGTGTTCCAGTACAGGTCGGTGATGGACCGATCGTACTGTCGCGTGTCGAGCATGACGAGGTCGAGGAGCTTGCCGATCGAGAAGGACCGCCAGATTCGGAGCTGGAGAGAGAGAAAAAAAAAGGACAATCAAGTCAGACAAACACGTGCTCGTTCGTGAGGGCTCTATTGAGGGACTGGGGAAGTGTTGGAAACTTGGACTTGGAGACACCATTTCCAAATACTTGACCATTGTAGTGGCGAGTGACAAGAGGGAAAGAAAACGAGAAAGCGAGAAAGAGGAAAACTCACATCATCACCCATGTCGACTTGTCGAATTGGTAACCATTCAAAATACGCTCGCACGGCATTCATCTTGCGTTGGTCAACTGATACACCGCCGTCCTCGACGAAGGACGCTTCGGTGTTGTTGAGTTCCGATGAGCCGTCTCGGTATGTGTTGTCTGCCACTTCTGTTGCGTCGGATCAAAACATCAGTCATCGGGTGTACTTTGACTCGACCCACGAGGGTGCTGCCTCCAAAGAAAAGAGAAGGAAAAGCGATGGGAGGTGGAGGTAGACAAGGGTCACCAGATATGACAGGTAGGCATAATTCTTACCGTGATCGTCCCACACTGGAATCCAAGGGAAATTCTGATGACTAGCAAGTAGGTCAAGGTCGGTTCGATAAGTGGCATGTCGTTTACGGTAGTCGTAGAGAGTATAAATCTCCCTGTCCGGCAACGGCACACGTCCGATACTCTGACCCCAGCCGTAGTCACCGTTCTTGTACTCGTAGATGTAGTCTCCCAAGTGAATCACGTAGTCGACCGATTCCTTGCGGACCGGGTTGCCGTAGGCGTTGAAAAACCCAAAGGGGAAATTACTGCACGAATACACTGCCAGATTGACCCCCTGAACGTCGTCGGTGGGCAACGGCGTCGTCTTGGTACGGCCGACCGGAGACGACTGGTTGGTGTTGCAGATGGTGAATTGGTACCAGTACTGAGTAAACGGTTTGAGCTGGGTCGCTTCGACCTTGACCGTGTAGTCGACGTCGGAGCTGGTGTAGACGGTCCCGGAGTCCACCACCGACGAGAGCTCCTTGTCCGAGGCGATCTTCCAGTCCAGGCAGACCGGGGATGTCGAGACGGGTTTGCCCTCGTCCGTGTCATTGTAGATGGGCACGGGGTTGTACAGCGGAACGTAGCCCGAGGTGCTGCTGTTGCTCTTGACATCGTCAAACGTCGGAGAGCACCTCGTCCACAGAATCACGCTGTTGGGGTATGGGTCGCCGGATGCCACGCCGTGGGTAAAGTTGAGCGAGTCCGCTGCAGTGGTAGATCGGGGATCATGGCGTTTGACTACCTTGCGAACTGATATGCCTAGCCCAGGGTGGTTGACTGAGGGTGAGCGGTAGTTGAGGTTTGCACCGTACGAAGCGACGGTGGCGCCGATCAAGGACGAGAATGTAAGAAGATGCAGCATTGTATCGGCGGTTCCTGAGGGCAGGAAAAGAAGTCCCTTGACTTACCTTCGATCAGGGTTCGCCTGGCTTTATAGTTCTAGTTACGATCGCACCTCGAGAGCTATCGGAAGCGGAATATTGTAGAGGTGCAGGAATGGAGCTGCATGTCTACCATTAGGCGATCCTGAGGGCATCTAAAAGCATGACCGGTCGAGGTCTCGTCATGGAGCTCAGAGCATGCAGGGCGTCGAGCCAATCAAGGTCAAGCTGTTAGACATGTTGGCGGTGAGGATTTTCCAAGCAGCTGCCTTTCTGATCTAGTTCAATCGAGGACCCCTGTAGAGCTAGTTTGGGAGACCTTGAGATACAAGGTCACCCATGGGCTTGTTTAGCCCAAGCGTTGAGGCACGTGGGCGTTGAGTCTTGTTGAGCTTGAGCATGGATAAGATTTCAGGACGGTAAGATACCGAGGTTGATGACAAGGATGGAGACGGCGCCGACGATCGGTATGGAACATTGACAAACACTTGTATACAGTCAGGCCATCCAGCATGATGCGCATGCAAAGGAAGTATAGCCAAGCTTTCACTCCCCCAAATTCACGATCCAATCGGCATTCTCGCAAATGCACGTTACACCCGGTTGAGCAAAGGTACTGTAGGTGACTCGTTCCAGTCGTTGCATACTCCGCTGCGTTGTGGTCTGTGAGTTCGTTCGAACTGAGACCGTAGAGTAGAACTCTCGCAATATCCTGGTTTGTGGATAGAGGGAACCTGAGAGGCAGCCAATTGACAACACTGGCTTCGCTTATGATATAGGGTTGAGATTAAGCCGACCCTTCGAGGGTGTTGTTGCTTACGAGGCCCAGACTTGTGGTTCCCTTCCTAGTAGTTATCGGCCTGGTAAATCCTGAAGAAACAGACCTATCTGTCACGGAGGGCCACCACCAACAAGAAGGCACTCATTTTCAAGCAAGCAACCCAATGGTGCGGGACGTGGTTCTGGATTGAACGAAGTTGGCAATGTGATTGTATGGGATCAAGTGCTGGAGTCTGAGCCCGTTTCCCCGTCCGGCCAGGAGCTCCGGCACGAGGGCCGACAATTGGCGAGCTAGATTGAACCTTGCCAATTCCTGGTAGTCACATTGCTGGATAGAGGCCGTCGAAACTCGAGAAGTTGAAGAGAGGACACATCGAGGAGTCATTGGCTCCCCACAAGACACGGGACGTTTGCCATGTCTCCCACCGCTTCAAGGGTCACACGAGCTGCTGCGATGTGAACGATCCAACGGACGTATCGACCATTTAGCGAATGTGAGATGCAGAAGTGCCATGTGTCTGAATCAGGCCCAAAACTTTGTGAAGAAGATGTTCACGGTCAGCCAAGGCAGTAAATCCCATACTCATCAGAATCGAAATCAAAACTCTATTGCTCTATTCACCATATACAATACAGCCCAACACACCTCACTCATCGTGCATCGAGGCGGCTACATTTTCTCCTTGTTCTGACTGCTGCCCTACCTATCCCATGGTGCTTCGTTCAATAGTATCTGTCTTTCTAACCGCAGCAACCGAAGTCCACGGTCACGCACCAACCCACAGCTTCGTGATATTGCACCCATCTCTCTTATCAGTTGCTCTTCTTGTCACCTTCACTCGGGTTGGTCTGGTTGTATTTGACGCTCAACTCGTCATATGCTTTCTGCAGACCCTCGGCCTGGCTCTTCATTGCCTGCAGTTCCTTGTCTTTCTTGTCCAACTGCTTCTTCAGTTCTCCAATCTGGTCGGCACGGTAGTGTTTGCCTAACTTCTCTCCCTCGACACCACCAGCTTTTGCATCACCCTCGTACATCTTGACCTTCTCTTCCAGACGAAGGACTTCGAGGATCATGCCGTACGTTCGGTTTAGGATCAGAGAGAGGAAGAGCGTGAAGCCAGTCAAGTACATGTTGCGTTGCGAGTAGAACTTGCGGGCTTGAACCTCCATCCGGTCAGAGCCGATTGCTGCAGCACGCCTGCCACGTATCAGTGAATGTGTTCAAGAGGCAACGGATCTAATGTTCTCACCCTGCGCCCGTGGTGTCATTCATCAGGGAGGCCATCTCGATCTGGACTCGGTAAACGCGGTTGACGCTGTCGAGGAAAAGAATGAGGATGAATATGAAGGTGATCTAGATAATGTCAGTGTCTTGCTGCATACCAAAAAAAAATCACGGTCCGCCCAACCTTCATCCCATATTGTAGTTTTGCTACCAGGGGACTTTCCGAGATGAAATTGAACATCTTTCGCTTGATGGTGAAAGGCATTGGGACGACCAAGGCCATGAAGAGCACCATCTCGGACACCAATATGGCGAACACCTGTAAAAACTGTCAGCATCAGACCTGGAAAAGGGCGATGATGGTGCCGTCGGTCTCGACGACAGCTCTCCGCATGTTTACTGACCAGACTGTAATAGAGGGTCATGATTGCGGATCGAGCTCCCAGTGAGCCTGCGTGGGTTTAGAGAAAAGAACGATGTGTTGAAGAGGATATCTGAGGCTGTAGCCAGAATATGATTATATGTGGTAGAATGGAGCGAGAAGATGCTCGAGTGACCGAATTTAAGCGGGCAAGGCAGAACTGTGGAAACAAACCACTTCACCCTCTTGTGCGGTGTTACGACATTGTCGGGTCTACACACACCGTGCATTACGTCATCTCTCAGGCAACGCTAAACCACGGCAATGCTCCAACGGAGAAGGGTACGACAATACAGGTACTAGATCAAGCCACAGAAATTCTAACTGAATCATACACTCCGGTATTGCAAAAGATCTGTCAATTTTGATCCATGACCGACTTGCTTCGACGTGGGCTTGAAGCACAACTGTATTGAGCAAAAAATCAAGGATATCAGGTTCGTGCCGCAATTACCAACGTTAATAAAGAGCTTTTCTGCCGCCTTACCAACCGTCTTTCTTCAAGCGCCTTTTATTCCCGTCCTGAATATTCATCATGTCAGATTCCGCAGGCCGTGGTCCAGCTCCCGAACTACGGGAGAAGTGCATAATCATAGCTGTTCCGGTGGGTCAAAGATAGATCGAGAGCGGCTCCTGGTGTCATCCTGTTGCTGCTTGTCATATTTTGTCCAGGAATCAGCCAGTTGAGCAATTGTGCATGCTCTTGTCCCTATTCGCAGCTTGTTCGGTGGCTCGTGAACCACATCGAGTCTAAAGAGTGGAACCACGACTTGTTAGCCGTTGTCGACGGCTTACCATTCAAACTCTCCATTGCCTTTGTGAAAGACATATCTACGTCCTGTGTTAGCCAACTATCTCTTCAGTGCTGATCAGCCGGAAAGGTCGCACTTACTCATTGCCATCCACTCGCAAGATGCCGTCCTTTAAAATACACTTCCATTTGTTCTTCACGCGTTGTACCTTGTCATATGTGCATAGCATAACTTGTTCAGTCTCTTCACCGTTTTCGTCATTGGCGGCGAGGTCATCTGGATCATCAAGATCGGAGTTGATAGCATCCTCATCGTCAACATCGTCGTCATCGTCACCTGCAGCGTCGCCTTGGGCGCGAGTGATGCTTGGTGGCGCTGAGGCTGATGAGGAGGAGCCGCCGACCACGGCATTGACTTGGCGGATGGTATTTCTGCGTGGAGCTGGTCGGGATTCGAGGGTGGTGAGAAGCCCACCAGCTTCTAGCGACTGTTGAGACATTATGAAGTGGTCGCGCATTAGCCGATCTGCTTCCGCGCCATGTGAGGCAGAGAGAGCTTTGCGTGAGAAATATTCTGCGTCCCATTCATCCCGAGCGTCGGACGCGCCATCGTTTTGACTAGATTTCAGAGGTGCTTGGAATTGAGAGTAGTCTTGAACACCGGGAAACGTCTGAGCCTCTTCCTGCTTGATATAGTTGGGTGGCGGAGATGCTTGAGGAGGGCCAGGTACACGAGACTGGTTGGACTGCAGTTGTGCAATCTGGGGACCGGCTCGAGGGCCGTATGTCTGGTGTAGATTCATCGCCGCCCGGTCGCGTGCGGTCATGGGCTGGCCTTGCTGGAACGATGGAGCTTGATACTGCTGGAGCGGGGGCAGCTGTTGAGGTTGAGGTGAATATGACTGAGGAGTACCGTTGCTCTCAGCTTTGATGGCTGGCTGCGAGGGCACTGAGGGTTGTGCCGGAGGGGTGCCGGTGAGGTTGCCATTGCTCGGCAAGGTCGTAGGTATTGGTTTGGCATTGCTGGGGAGAGTTTGCTCTTTGAGAGGCGCTGGAGGGGGATCCCAAGGTAGCTGAGCGACCTTGAGGCCAGAAAGTTTCTTCTGCCATTCCTGTATATCGCGCTGAGGTCAGCAAATGCTCTCCCAGTGGCCGTCAAGAGTATTGGGGGCCGTCCAAAACAGGTTAGCTGCGTGGGTGGGATGAGGCTGGGCAGGCGTTGGGGCGTATTTAAGAGCATGAGTCAAAGGGCCGGGGGCCTTCAAAGACACTCGCTTCCCCCGCTCGCCTTGCCGCGCCCTCTCTCGTTCGTCTCGCCGCCCTCGCCCTCATCCAACCCGCCATGACTGCCTGCCAACCGCCGTCCCTCGCGATGTATGACTTGCTTGAAAGATTACTTCCTCAATCATAGAGATCTGGCAGTGATGCTACACTATGATGAAGAGATGGTCTTGGATGATGCAATGTCGAAAGCTCATGGTTTGGGTGATGGCGAGAAAATGACCTACCGCTTTCAACAACTCCAAGGTTGCCAACTCAACACCACCTTCTTCAAAGTCCTGTCGTGAGAGTTCGCACACATCGTTGATGACCTTAGCATAGACTTCGCCCTGTTCATAATCATGTCAGCTCGGTCATTCGAGACGGCAACCTTGCCCGGATGCGCAGTGACCGCGATCACTTGTAGAGGGAGGGACTGCGCACCACTGAGGTCTTCGACATGACGCGCGCCTATCGCTGCACTCTTGAAATTCCTCCTTGCAATGTTCTCACGAAATCACGCCGTTTCCTCTGGTCAACAATGTTGAGGAAGGGATCAATGGTGGTGAATGCGGGAGGTGAACCGTCAAGTTGCTGGAGTGGAGAGATATCAGCCGAGGATAGGCAGCAAGTGAGGTAGCTGTGAGACACAATAGATACGATTGTTACTGCCGCAGACGTAGGCTCGATAACTCGTGAAAGACGTCGATGTCAATTCGCAGTGTCCGCAAGCCAGCATAAATGTTGTGAAGCCCTATGCCTGAGGCAATTGGATGATGTTGGAAGGGAAGTCTGGGGGGAGCGAAATACAAAAGACTCCCTCAAACCGCCGAGTCTGTAATAGGCAACTTGGCCGAGTCCTGTTCCACTTATCATATTCCCTCTTCACTCAGTTGCACAACCCTCGATTAGACCTGAGAAGAAGTTCATACAATTCTGAGGGTTGGTCCCATTCTGTTGTCCCTCGGTGGCCTCGGATGAAGCCTGATTGAACACTGTGCCTCAACTGCTCCTATCATCTTTTGGGCTTCAAACATGTCCTTCAGGCCAGCATTGATTGTTGTTGATATGCAGAATGACTTCTGTCCACCTGTATGATGTTCCCGGGCTTTCATGCAGTGACGTTTCTGACTGCTTCCAGGATGGTTCCCTGGCTGTTGCTGGAGCCCGGGATATCATTCCGTTGATTAACCGCCTGCTCGGCTCGTCGAAGTTCGTGATCAAGGTTGCAACTCAAGATTGGCATCCTCGGGATCACATTTCGTTTGCAACTAACCACCCTCCTCCCAACAACAAACCCTTTGAATCTTTCGTCGACGTGCGGAATCTCGTCGCCAACAAGCCGGAGCAAACCATGAAGCAACGCCTTTGGCCGGTTCATTGTCTCCAGCAAACGAAAGGCGCAGAGATTCTTGAAGAAATTGACCTTTCCAAGGTTGACGCCATTGTTTACAAAGGCATGGACTCGAGGGTTGAGATGTATTCTGCGTTTTCTGACTCTTTTGGGAACATGACTGCTGGTGCTGGAGGTGTGAACGTTGACCTCGCTGCTCTCTTGACGGAGCAGCAAATAACTCATGTCTACGTTGTTGGTTTAGCCGGGGATTACTGTGTCAAGGAATCTGCGCTAGGTGCTGCCAGGGCTGGTTTCACGACGTATCTAATTGAAGAGGCCCAGAAATGTGTTGACCCTTCCTCCTGGTCTGATATCAAAGCAGAGCTGTCGCAAGGCTCAGTCTCTTTAATCAACATCGACAGTCACGAGTCGCAACGAGTCCTTGAAGCATGATTTTCTTTGGTACCTTTCTTCACGTTGAGGGATTCTGATATGCTGCGAGTGAGCTGCGAGTGTTTCCACTGAGACACGGCTCGGACTTACATCGCGAATGCCGAGCTTATAAGTATCCCAACAATTAAAGCGCAGGCATATGCCAAAGAGCTATCCTGAAGGAAGTTAAGATGAAGCTATGCATTAAAGGCTGTCTCTTGAGCACTGAATTCGCTGTCCGGCCGAAACTCTCTGTTCAGACACAAATCAGTCTCCAAGACATCTTGCAGATGAGGATCTCCAGTTCCAACTCTGGTCTCTAACTGGCTACGGTCGCGTACGGCTCGTTCAAAGGCCAAGAGCAACAATCGCAGGAGGATCTGGCCTCTGTCAACAACACGAAGTCCATGCATTATATGTAGATTTGGCAGGCTGTATGTCGACTCTTTCCAGAATCCTAGTACAGGTCGACGTTATATCAAGATTGGCATATCGAACCCTCAAGACCAGGTTTTATGTAATTGCACAGCTCATCGTCGGGTGCCATACATGTAGCTTAAAGGAATACCTCGCCGATGTTCGGATTCCCACAACCGTTGTTGCAGTGCGAAGATACCACGTTACAGCGTATCGGTGACACGTCGGAGGGCGCGGACATTGTAAGGCCTTGGCTTGGCGATGAGTCTCTACTTTCACCCGCATGCCATTCCTCGTGTACTCTTATGGGTCCAAGGTACATATCTGTTGTTTCCTGCACAGAGTGTTCTGCGACTTCATGACCAAGAGGTCAGGAATGCCGCACTCGGTGCATTCCCAGGGTGGGGTGAAAATGCCCGTTGAAGGAGGTGGGGATGCGATAGACTTGTCCACGCGGTATTGGAATGCGAATCAGCCCGGGACAACATGGACAAAGGAGTGTCCCGAGTTTTTACTGGGCATAAGTGAAAAGAACAAAGTGATTTTGTCGAAGCGGGATCAAGATTTTGACAGAATTACTTGGGACCGGTGCAAGGAGTTGGTGAGTATGTACGCACTTCACGACGTTGATGCAGAGTCTCGAGGTGTGAGAGATGCGGCGACTGGACTACGGACAGCGGGAACATAACAGTGATCAGCAGCTGACACGGTATATGATCTAGGCCACAACACCATTGACCGATTCCAGCGCAATGCAAGTCAGCTTCGAGCCTATCTCGACTATATTTACTATTTGAAGAAAGAACACGGGAGCGTACTGGAGTATGTGAAAGAGTTTAGACTCAAGTGGGAGGACATAACTCCTTCCGGGAAGCCGCCTTTTGAAGATGCCAGTGACTGGAAGATCCTATACAATGACTGGCCCTATTACGTCGAGGAGGATATCACACATCTTGTGGTGTGGACGAAGTTCACCATCGATGAGGACGAGCAAACCGGACTCGTCACACCAGAAGGGACAAGGCAAATTGAGGAGTTTATCCAGAGAACTTTCTTGCGTAAGGGTGTGACGAGAGAGCGGATCGTCTGGTTCAAGAACTGGAAGAGCCTTAAGAGTGTACATGCGCTGGGTAAGTTGACTCGCCATGAACGGGAGGTGATATTTGCAATGTTGACTTTGGACTGACGGACTGAGGAATCTAGAGCATTTTCATGTCATGCTATACAAGGCACCGCGAGATTTGTTGGATGACGTTACAGGGGGAGACCGACCGACGTCGGAGAGCTGGACGTCTGGTGAATGAACCTCAGCAGGTTCATCGTTCCTAGACTTGAAGCAGGGGATCCTCAATGTCTTGTGGCTTGCTGACTGGACATTTCCCAAAGAAAGGACAGACTTCCGAGATCCGCATGAAAAGTGGGATGACACGTCGTACCAAATCAAAGAACATGGTGTTGGGCATACATGGGAGATGGGAGTTGGAACACCGACATCCGATCATGAAGAGAGGGACGACTCGGATACAGAAAAGAGACGAGAAGCGAACAACATCACTTCATGGTGGAATAAAACGGTCACTCGGCATAAAATAGAGACGACGAGATGCAAAATTTTTATGCTTGTCATGACGCAGCGAGAAACGAGTTTGGTCGTGGCTTGATTGGCTTGCAGGGTGGCAGGTGCTTGGGGCTTGAGCTTGTGCTCCGGGCTCGTGTTCAGCACAACGTGCCTATCCCACGCCTGTTTTAGGGCTCTTGGGGCTGTTGGGCAGCTTCGTCTAGGTGCCGGCCAACTGCACCCAGCACCAACAATCCCCGCCGTGACCTGCCCAAATGACCGTCGAGTGACTCGGGCGTAGTTAGTTGGCGAGCCTTGTCTTTGTGCTCACTCGCAGACAAGCGCCATGGTCCTTTTCCTCCACGACCTTCTTTCTAGCTGTATGTATAAACCTGCATCTTGCAACTTCTGCATCCGACGCCCTGGCGACTAGGCAGCCTCTTCAGCTACTCTTGGACTCTTTTAAAGAGGTGTTCCTTTCGACCAAGAATCCCCCCTTCGTACCTTGACTCCTCGTGTTCGCCACCTCGACCCCTCGCTCCCCAATCGATTAAGGTCTTGCGAGTACGAAATTCGCTTGCTCCAATCCCGCACGACGTCATTTTATATCCCACTCCTGGCCTTCGCTCAGATCAGCCTTGGTGCTGACGACGATACCGCGACACCGAAGCTGCCCAACAGACAGGATGAAGCATTCGATAGGAGGTGCCTTGCGTGGCCATGGTCGTACGTACACCGCCGCAGGCTCCGGCCAGGCAGGCTAGAAAATATTGCTTACACGGTGTTCCGATAGGCAATCGATCATCCTCTGAGGAGGTTCGCGACTCGGAAGGCGAGGATACCACAGTCGTCGAGGCCGACCAGGGAAATGGTATGCTATCAAGACGTTGCTGCTATGAAATATAGTCTGATCAGGAGCAGTGCTCTCACACATCATCTCCCAGCTGCGGCCTGGGGCTGATTTGTCTCGAGTCACCTTGCCCACATTTATCCTCGAGGAAAGATCTATGCTTGAAAGAATCACAAAGTGAGACTTCCGGAAGATGGTTCCCCCAGCAATGACTGACGAATTGCACTAGTTTCATGGCTCACCCCGATACCCTTCTTCCGATGCCGACCATAGATGATCCTGTCCAGCGCTTCGTCGCGGTAGTCAAGTTCTACCTGAGTGGTTGGCACATACGGCCACCGTACGTTTGCCCTGATAGTAACATAGGGATACACTGACGAGACACTAGGGGAGTCAAGAAACCCCTAAACCCGATCTTGGGAGAAGTCTTCACCTGTTACTGGGACTATCCAGACAATACGCGGGGTTACTACATATCCGAGCAGACATCCCACCATCCGCCAAAATCATCCTACTTTTTCATGGCCCCAGAACATCATATTCGAGTGGACGGCACGCTAAAACCTCGAAGCAAGTTCCTTGGGAATTCGGCAGCAAGTATGATGGAAGGCATATCTTACCTCAGGTTTACAAACAGGGGAAAGTCCAAAGGAGGAGAGAAATAGTAAGGAAGAGTGATTTGATACCGTGGATAGCTTGAGATGCTAATGGACAACAGTATCCTCACTCAGCCCAATATGTACGCCCGAGGAATTCTGTTCGGCAAGATGAAGTACGAATTAGGTGACCATTCTTATGTCCGCTGTCCTGAGAACAATCTGATGGCAGACCTCGAGTTCAAAACAAAAGGATGGGTCGGGGGCACCTACAATGCCATCGGAGGAGTTATCAAGAACGACAAAACAGGCGAGGTCCTTTTTGAGCTATCCGGATTGTGGTCGGGCGAAATGTACATCAAGGACGTCAAGTCTGGCCAGAAGAGATTGCTCTTTGATGCCACGCACGCCAAACATGCTCCTCCCAAAACGCGACCGATCGAAGAACAAGGCGAGCGTGAATCGCAACGATTATGGTTAAGTACCGTCAAGGCTGTCCATGCCGTGGACCATGAAACCGCCACGACAGAGAAAGCCAAGATTGAAGACCGACAAAGAGAAGAAGCCAAGCGAAGGGAGGAAATGGGTGTTGATTGGCACCCAAAGCTCTTCCGAAGGGTCCACGCCGGTCCTGGAGGATCTGAAGAAGGTGAAGAAGATCTTGAATGGGTCATTAATGCTCACCTGTAGGTTCTGCCATTTCCATGAGATTTGACCAAGCTGATATCCTTTGTGCAGAGATACGCAGGATCCAAAGGAGCTTGTGGACAGAATACTTTCGATAGCTCCCATTCTCCCAGGACAAGGATCATTCGGACGGCGAGACTCTGTTAGGACTGCTCGATCTACAGCGTCTAATGGACCTACCAGCAGTGGTGTGCCAAGTCATAAAGATGCTCCCAATCAAGGCAATACTCATGAGAATCTCATTGACTTTGACTCACAACCTGCTCCGGCGACGACGAAGAAGGATTCTGTGAGCCCAGAGAACCCAAGGTCCGACCCACAGCAGGCTCCTGTGCATCAGAGTACGACTATCAACGCACCGATCGGAAACACTCCGAAAAGTAGCAATCTCATGGATGACGACGACGGTGGGCTGAATGAGAAAATGTCCGGGATGAAGATGCAAGAAGCCATGGTACCACAAGGGAGCTCGAAGCCACTGAAGAGGGCAGATACAGAGACCAGTGAAGTGGATGTCTTTGTGGATGCCGAAGGTTGAATCAAGTACGCAGGTATCTATGGAGGGATTATGTTCCTTACGTTCATACCAAGCTCTTGACAAATAGCTACGTTTATACCACAGGAAACCAGGCATGAAATACCCCAGGTGGAAGGAAGATCTTTTTGGGTTTGTAGTTCAATCGATGATGGGAGCGAGACCACATTCGTGCTACGTATCGCGCGTACCTATAATAATCTTAGAAGCTGTTTTCTATCAAGTGTGAGAAGCGGAAGGGAATTTATGACATTCAAACTAAGGACCTGTGCATCACTTTCTTTGCACGATGTTTGGAAGTAGAGCATAGAAATATCTGAGTTTGTAGCATGTTGACTCGTGTCTCTGGAGGAGTCGAGGACAAATCACAAGGGCAGCAATCCACCCGTGATAAGCCAGAAACGAGCCATTCCGTACTTGGCGCTAGCGTGACACGTAAGTGCGGGGGAAGTTGGAGACCCGGGGGAGAGAGACCCTGGTTACCGTGTACTTCGAACGTTTCACGCACGATACCTGGCCTGCCTCCCACATTACACGGTGAGCCTAGGTACCTCCCTAATGCCACCCGCCCGACTTGCATCCCTCTGCCGATTCCGGTCAGGTGCGCGAAGGGGGTTGCGACAGACTGACAGTAGGTAGGTATTTAACCGTTTTGAAAGTCGCCCTCTCCTACACTTCGTTCTTTCTCCTTCTTCCTCACCACAACTTCACTTTCCATCCCCAGACTTCGCACACGCAGTGCAGTGCCAGCGATTATCTGACATCAGTGTCCTCGGGTACACCAACACCACTTGGTTGTCGACTTTCCCACCTTTTTCAACTCTCCACTCCCGAGGCAGTCTACACTCGTAACTCGTTTCGCCCGCCAGGTTTGAAACCGTCCACCACCACCACCACCACCACCACTACTACTACTGAAAATCGACGCGAAATCCGAACCCCCTGAAAAATACATTGACCCCAGATCCGAGATCCCAAGATCCCAAGATCCCAAGATCCACGCCGCAAAGAAAATCAACAGCAAAGTCAAAACAAGACGAAAACAACAAAACAAAATGCAAACCAGAACACTCGTGGCCATAGGTGGTCTCGGGGCCCTCGCCGCCGTCGGCATGACGCAGTTGTCCCTCCAGTCCCAGGACCGCCAGTACAAGAAGACGCTACAGTACATGCACGACGGACGGGAACGGTTCCAAGAGAAGATGAACCAGATGAGCGGTGCTGGTGCAGCGAGTGGTGAGAAGAAGTAGACCAGAAGATGGGGGAGGTTTTTGGAGGAGGGAGGAGAAGTGGAAGGACGAGCGTAACGACGAAGAAAGGGGGGTTGGAGGAAGAGAAGGAGAAAGAAAAGGACAAGTTGAGCAGCGTAGCTTTTGATACATCTGACATTGACCGTTGAGGTGAGGTGGAGACGGATCTACTTATTTTTTTTCCTCTCACGCGCAGCATGAAGACGAAGGAAAAGGAGTGAAGAGAGCCTGTCGTGAGAAAAAGGGGGAGGAGGGAGAAACTTGATGGTGATGTCCATGTCCATGTCCGTGTCGCCAGAGCAAAAAGGACATGAAATGAGCCCCGGCAAGGTAATACAGCCATGTACACCTGCCGACAAAACCAGAGCAACGAGCATACCTTACAAGAGAGCGACAACTTTACTGTAGGAAATCAAAACGTACAGACAAACTTCAAAGTGACCCACCTATCTAGATACCTAAGGTATATATACACCTGCTTTTGGAGTAACTGACCTAAGTGCCTCGAACACCTCCCTAACTATAACTGTGCGACCGGCGGTGGGCCATCAAGTTACATCAGGCGGGTATCCGTGTAGGTCAGTTATCCACCCGGCCTGCGAGGCTGCAAGTTGTAACTACCTGACCTGCCAGACACTCGTAAAGTGATAGATAGGTATGTTGGTAGCTAGAGGTGGTCTGGATTCTGGTACCTCAAACAGAGTCTCTGCCCGTCTACAACCTACAGGTAGGTATGTACCTTACGGAGGCAGGTAAATCATCTCTCCCTGAATGTACTTGAACCACCTCACACGAGGGTCGTATTTTACCTGACTGGTAGCCACATGGTGTGTTTGTTTCAAATCGTGGGAATAAGATTCCAAAAAACACAAGGTACTCTAGCACGTATCGTACACATAAACGTACAATTTTCAAATGCCGACCGACCTTAGGTACTTTCCCGGGGTAGGATATTGATCACTTCTGCAACTCTCCTCGCAGTGGGTTTCCTTTCATGTCTGTCTCTTCCAGCATCGTGATCTCAACAAGATCGGTTGGGTAGGTGCATCGACACTTTCCGGGCCGCCAAACCCAATCACACAGTCACTCACTCAACTCCCCTCCCCTCCCTGCTATACGCACTTACGACTCCTCATCTTCAGTCTCAGTATCCGTCTCCGAAGTATCATCACTCTCATCGCCCTCGGTATCACTCTCGTCGTCGTCGTCACTTTCGGCACCCGCATTGCCAGACCCTACGACAGGCACGTCAACTTGACTTGCCGTCGTCTTCTTCTTCCGTTTCGTTGTCGTAGACCCGGTTGTAGCACCAGAGAGACCTCCTGACTTCATCGCTTGGAGTTGTCCTGCTATCGTATCTGTTTGTCAATCAAGTCAGTAAACAATGACACGCACAACACATGATACGTAGGTATACAATAGATGATAGATGATAGATAACAAGAACACGAGAAACCAAAAAATACATACCTTCATCAGGCTCACTGATTTCATCGTCACTGTCGACTTGGTTCGCCTCGCTTGGATTTCGAACATCAAGAATAACATCCAACTTCGAGTCCAGTCCGATATAGCTGTCGCACACAAGATGCAGAACGAATGGAAACGCATGAACTTGAGGGGGTGCTTGGAAGGGACACTTCAACGTTAACATGTTAAACGTCGGTGTGCCGTCTTCGTTGAAGATCGGCTTGTCGAATGCAGTAAACGTAAAGGGTGGAACCGAGATCCGCCCACTTCTCGCTTCGGCCAGGAAAATATGCCATCTCGGCGCATGGTCTGCTGCAAAGTATGGGGCGTGCGCGAGTGGTGGCTGTACGGAACCGGGGGTCGACTCGTCTTCGATGACTTTTCCGTCAATCGTCTTGCGGCGTTTCGACTTAGCCGGTTTGCGGCCGTGTAGTGCGTCCAAATCACCCTCTTCAGGGTCAATGTCCTCGAGGTCGAGAGGATCAATGGGTGGCACGTCTTTCGCCCCTGGAGGGATAACACGCGCCTTCACCACCAGCTGGACGAGTGATCCCGGCGTAACCACTCGTTCGCCAACGACTTTGAAGAATGCCTTTTCGACTTGTACATGGGGAATTTGAGATGCCACTTGCATGGCTTGATTGTATTGTGTTTCGGAGAGACTGGAGCATAGGCTCCTTCGAGTGGACGGTGGAAAAGACATGAACTTTTGAAGAGTTACGGGCTCTTTTGAGGTCCCGGTGATTTTGTCGGCCAGTTCTGGCGTAAAGTTGGGGAGTTGTAGGAGAGGTGAAGCGTTGGGGGGCACTGCTTGGATGATGCTTTGTGAGGTGTGGTATGCAGAGAGAAGAGGCTTGACGACCTGGAAGGGCAAAGTGACTGATGCGAAGGAGTTGTTCAAGAGGAACGCAGTTGGTGCAACCGCATACTTCTCTCGCTCCAACTCCGCATCTTCAAGGTCGATGCGAGCAAGGTATGCCCAAAGCAAGGCTAGCGTCTTCCGTCGCACAGGGTCTTCGATAGACTTCAGACGAGCCTTGTCTGCATCGCTGAGCATCGAGCTTTTGAGTACCTTGCTCTCGACCTTTGCTGCTCCCGCGTCACTCCGTGCGCCCTTCAGTGTCTCTTTGAACTCCTCTCCGGCACTAGTTGCTGCCACAACCCCACCTTCTGAGATGTCTTCTTTCCATTCTCGAAAGAGATTCCCAGAACTGGCATGAAGAACCTTATCCTTCGTCAGTGCTTGCGTGCCATACCACCATTTCGCCAGGGTGTAAGGAAGGATGATTCCAAGCAGGATGCCATAGAATGCGACCACGAAATATCTGTTTCCTTCCTCTACCATCCATTTCGGCAAAGCAATACCGATGCTTGTAGATTGTCGCCCGTCCGGGTTGCCGTACTGAAGATAATTGTTCCGTATCTCTTCGTCGGTCAAAGCTTTGTATGCTTTGGTCATTTCCACCCATCGATCGTTGATGGTCTCGATGGTTTCATTCTTCGCAGGGTCTGGCTTCGCTTTATCGGGGTGATATTTGATGGCCAATCGTTTGTAGAAGCGGTCTATCTCCTTCTCCGAAGCACTTCTCTTGACACCGAGAATGTCATATGGATCCCAGATTTGTGGCACGGTTCTCTGGGTGATCACAATGAGATAGGTCATGTACGCCATGAATGCATACCCCGACACCATCGCAATGATGCGCTTCGTCTTGCGATTTCTTCTTTTCCGCTTTCTTCTCTGTTCGTCTATTAAATCTCCATCTTTCGGCTTGAAGTCTGACTTCACATGCGCAGCGGTCTGCTCGAGATCTGTGGAGGCTTTGAAGACATTATAGGTGAGAGGAAGAGTGACAATGCCGGCCATTGTCAGCATGAAGAAAGGGAAGAACTGGCCCTGGTCATCGTAGTTATAGTCGGAGGAGGCCATGGTGGGTGAAATCGAATTGCAAGCCGCCGGGGCCGCGTCGCAAGAGTCGGAGGAATTACTTTATTGTCAGTTCGAAGCAGCACCTTGCTATGTTGAAAGGCAATTGAAGGAGTGAAATCGCGCGTCAAAAAACGAAGAGAGCCCTGCAAAGACAAAAGCAGAAGGGTACTGGTGTTGTCACAAGAAAGTCCGCATCATTTGCATTGCAGCGGAACAAAAAAGTACAAGGGAGAGCACAGGCGAGGTGGCTTCTCCAAGTCTCAATAAGGCTAGCCGGAGCCTTGGCTTACCTCAGCCTGTCAGGAATAGGGGCGAGGCTTCGCATCCCGTAGTAAGAATAGATGACGATTCCTTTGCTATCGATCTCATTAACGCAGATCGTTGTCTATGCTGAGAACTCATCTTTGCTCTATTCGTGATAATTCTTTTTCTTTACCAAAATCTCGTCTCGAGTTTCACTGTGTCGTGCCTTCCTCGTACATGCATTGCTTTAATTAGAGTCTGTCGAACGAACACCTGTCTGGCACACGCAAGATGGGAGTATCTACCGGGAGAGACATCTCGAATCGATCATGTTCAAACATATGCTCGAGACGTCAAGTCTGACAGGAGCTATAGACTTTCTTTTTTCTGAGATGCTCTCTCGCGGGTGCCTGAGGCTATATAACGAACGTGGGACTTTGGGGAGTTTCTATAGAAAAGCGAAATGAATGGTTCGTGGAGGACGTAGGTATGAAGCTACTCCCCAGTTTACATGTTCTGCGCAAACGATTGTTCTAACTTCCGCCGTCTTCCCTTCTCATACTACACAGCCCTTCAGATCAGCACCTTAGATCAATACTCGGTTAGTTGCTGTCTTGAAATAGCTAGGGGCAGGGGCAAGGACATCAGGGAGCTGTTTTCTCGGGGTTCACATACCTATACGCCTGCTTCGAGTGTCAGGGACTGAACCCGATGATCTCCTTTGGCGAATAAGGAACGTGCCATGGTATATACCTCTGGTCCGGCTATCATATTCGCACTCTTACTCCTTGAGAGAAGGCCCGTGGCCAGGTGCTTGCCATCCACCTTGGTTGGGTCCTGGTCCTTGGGGCTCAGGGTCTCTCTCCTTGAGAGAAGGCCCGTGGCCAGGTGCTTGCCATCCATCTGGATTGGATCCTGGTCCTTCAGGCGTTCTAACCTCGAGTGCACCAGACACTGGCTCAATGACAGTCGGATATGCTAGGGCAGCGTTGAGGAGAAGGAGAGAGCTTGTAGCTACGCTTAACTTCATGTTGTAAATTGGCTGTGGGAACGGCCTTAAAAAGAGTCCTTGTTGAATAGAATATAACGATATGATTCTATAGATACTTTTCAAGGTTTGAAGTGAAACTGAAAGAGTAGTAGAAGATGGAAGAAAGTGAAGCTCAGGCTTGAGGAGCATTCACTGTCTTATATAGCCCTCACCAAACTGATTGATCTACACAGAATTCCTGAATATGTCTTCTTCGTTTCACCCTTACAATGGTAGTAGGTATAGTCTCCTTCCTTCATTGCTTCAGATTATGGGTCCTCAATCCATCGTCGGGCTTAAGTCAAGTGCCGTGTTCATTCTTCACATACTCCGTACGCACCACAATATCCGCTAATTCCACACCCGCAACTCCCGTCACAATGCACACTAGTTAGCACTTGACGAGTTAGTCAACTGGCGCTCGACCCGACTCGAGGAACGCACGTCTCACATTGCTACTTTAATTCAGGCTTAGAATGGTGAAAGCCAGACAAAATGCTCCTGTATATGATAGTGTCATTTGAATCCAGCAACCACCTGTCTCCTCTCAAGCCGTTGTTCTCCGTGGTTTCCCGGTTGCCTAGCCTTGAACTAGGATAGCAGAGCAGGCTCATTAAGTAACGCTGGAAAATAACTTGCAATCAGCCAGTGTCAAAGAAAGCTTGAGTAGTATTCTCTTTGTCTAGACAGACTACAGAGACATTGGATCATAGCCTTACGGCCTTAGCTTAAAATGTGGCGTTCATGGTACAGCCGACTACCTCAGGGACTCAGATACTCAGAGGCGTCGTCTCTCTGTGGTTGAAGTTTTGAGTTCATTAAGTGCTTTACGGCACTCTGACGTGACATGTCCCGATGTTACATTTTCGACGAACTAGCGTTTTGCGTGGTCACCCGGTGACTGTGAGTTTCGATTAGCCTGGGTGATTCACAATGCTGGTTTGTCTAGAGAATGTCAGACTCAATCTTATGCTGATACCGTTAGGAAGGGCAAGGATCGATAATGCCCTTCCGCAAGGAAATGATTATCGCGGGATTCTCTGACGTTCGAAGTGCCGAACTGAAGGATGATTAGGGGTGAATCTTGACCTCTCTGAAATCCATCTCCATTCTGGACGCTCAGGCCTGAGCATCTCGCCGTTGAACCTGATTCACCTGTGCGAGCCTGAACTAGGATTGACCAGCTCTAAAGGCAAGCCTGAGTAGCGTAAGTAGAGTACCGAGGCCATGAAGGTTCTCAGAAGTCGGCCCGGCGTTCTCAACTTGCAGCGTTTCACCGATTGTATTTGGAATATCTAAATCCCGAGCGCTGCCCGTTTGATATTCTCGGTAGTTTGAATACCTCGGTTTTTGCCCCATTACTATCTAGGTAGTTGGGCGAAAGGAGCCGGATTAGGCTCCCACTGCTTTACCCTAAGACATGAGTTGGCATCCACAAAGTTGTGGCTATGCAATCCTGCGCTCGGCTTTGTGAACCCTGAGCACTTCAGCGGGCAGCCTTTGGCGATTTATGAGGGCAGCCCTGTGTTGGATGCATGGAACCTTGATTGAAAGGAATAGGGAAGGTGCCACTTTGCGGTCAAGTGACGCCCTAAACCTTATCATGCTAAGGCAACACCCTAAGCACTCGAGAGGGTCGTAATCGGTCCTCGGCCCTATCATAGAGAAGGAGTTCCCAGATTTAGGCTTGCAGATGCCTGGAGGAAGCAAGTTCCGCACTCCCTTGCCCAGTAAGGGTTGCTAAAGCCCAGTTTTGGTTTGTTGCCTCGTTAAGATACTGCTGCAACTTACCCTTCATCCAAGGCTGCTGCCTGGAGTGCAGCCTTGCAGAGTCCCAGTCGCTATTACCTTTTTTTGAGAGATAAACAGGAAGGTTTCTCTTTAACACTAATAGTCATATGCAATCTATATCCGTCTACGATCCATTCCGAGCACCAAATTGGTATGAGAAGCATAGATCCACTTTGAGTCTCCCTCTTGCGCCAACCCACTGCCACGTAACGGGGATTAGGATCAGCACTCATGGAGGATAACGAATTTGAGTATACGCCATTGAACTCAGCTTCCCAAGAAATCAGAATACTGTCTATAACAAAGTCTAGTTCGATTGAAGTAGAGTGTCATATTGAGCATGCTTCTTTGGAGGAAAACTTGACTTACGAGGCTCTCTCTTACACCTGGGGAGACCGGTATGATATCTCATCGATTAAGCTCAACAATCACCATTTCAAAGTTAGAAGAAATCTTGCAATAGCTCTTCAACATTTATGTGAAGGAGGAAGTCCTCTCAGAATCTGGGTTGACGCCGTCTGTATAAACCAACAAGACGAAGCGGAGAAACGTGTGCAAGTGCGTCAAATGAAGAAAATTTACGAGAAGGCGCAGAAAGTCGTCATTTGGCTAGGACCAGAATCCGACGATAGCAGCTACGCGATCAACGTTATGAATAGCATCGATCGACGTTGGGCAGCGCGAACCTCGCAGCCGGTGACTATCCGTGGTATACCAGCGCCAACCATCAGTGAAAGAGCTCTTCAAGCGATAATCCGGCTTCTCTGTCGCCCTTGGTGGCGTCGTGTGTGGATCATCCAAGAATCAACTTGTGCCAGTGCCACCTACTTAAGGTGTGGTAAAGATCATACAGAATTCTGGAGAGTCGTGGCAACGGCGAACTTTATAACACAACACACGATCCAACATGTCTATCAACAAGATTTCAAGCCCTTGGACATCACACATTTTCACAGAGTCATAGCGTTAGATCAGCTCAGGCTCACTCGGAGACGGTTAGGAAATGGCTCGAACTTTCTCTCACTCCTTGATGACGCGCGAACGTGTGAAGCGTCAGACCCGAGGGATAAGATTTTTGCATTATCAGGTTTGGCGGCCGAGGATCACAGAGAGGCTGGAGACCCGGACTACACCATGCCAGTTGACGAAGTATACATAAAATTCACGTATGCTCTGATCACATCGGAGCGGAGTTTAAATGTACTTGGTCACTGTCAGGAAGCTGCACGAACACCACAATCTTGGTCTACCTTCGACTTCCTTCCTTCGTCTTTTTGCCCCAAGCGCATTCTGCCCTCCTGGACCCCTGACTGGACATTGATGCTGGAAGCCACACCGTTCATGAAGAATGAAATACCCGATGATGCTCTCTCCGACAAGGTATACAAAGCAAGTGACAATTATGCCCCGTCGATTAAGCTTGCTGATGGCCTGCGAACCCTGTTTGTACGAGGCGTGGCAGTCGATACAGTCTCAAAGCTCGGTGAAGCTTTTGATATATTATTCAGCCCATCGATATTAGGCAAGTGGCATTCCTGGGCTGAAACAGAGCTTGGGAAAAAATATCACCAAAAAGAGACTACGCATGAAGCATTCCTCCGTACGCTTGTTGCAGACATACGTGTAGCAACGGGACGATGTCTGCGTGGTTCTGCTGCACCTTGGCCGGTTCAAAATAAGCAAGACGACGCGAACTCTTTCACTTCCAGCAGCCTTATTTGTCAAGCAGTCAATTCTAGAGGGTTCTTTCTCTCGAAGCAAGGCTATATGGGACTGGCTCGTTACGATGTGACAGAAGGGGATAAAATCTGTATACTTCATGGTGGACAAATTCCCTTTATTTTACGACAAGACGGGAAATATCATTTGTTCAAGGGAGAATGTTATGTTCATGGTTTGATGGACGCAGAAGGCATGAGATATCCATGGGTTTGGCAACACTTTGCCCTACGTTGATGATATATGACTACTGTCGTACGAAGGCACGGCAACAGTATAAATGAGGGGGAGCTCGTTGAGACATCTAACTCTGCATAGTGGACAGAGTTACCAAGAGCTTGGGTATAAATACGGACATGGAGCTTTTATATCATCATGAAAGTATCGAGCAGGAGAGCAATAGCATTCAATCGAGTTAATATTTGTGCGTTCGTCGCGCCAGTTATTAGTTGTAAGTTCCGCTTGTGTTGTCCAAACAGGTGTGACGGATGGTTCTCCCGTCTGTAGAACCAACAGATATCTATATATACTGTACTGGGGTTGGAAGCTGGGTTTTTCTGTGCATGTGCTGCAAGGCTGAGCTAAGAACTCTGGACGGTGTACAGAGGTTTGTTCTGGACCGTGATTGGTCAACATCTCTGCACGAGGCTGTCACAGCATGTGCTTTTCCTTTTTCTCACTCTACTCCGCAGATAACGGGGAGCAGTCTAGCATCAGAGACAATCACTTGCTTTGTACCCAGCTTGTGCTCTGGCGCTCTGGCGCTGCCGCACGCTATCTTCCTTTCCTCCTTCTCGTCCTTCTCCACCATGGCTTATAGCTCAGGCTCTGTCCAACACTTGTAAAGGAGTGTGCTGAAAGGAATGAAATGGTAGCAACAGCAAGGTTGTTGTTGCCCATTAACAGGAAACAGGCAGACAATGGTGTGTCAACCTAGCCAAACTAAGATAAGCGGATCTTTTGACGATAAACTCACTCCTGACGACCGCATTAGGGTGTTTCAGACTATGCAATGCAAAGGGACACATGCGATGAATAGGATTTCATATCAGGAGCCTACAATGAACAGTAGGAACTGATGAACTGTAACAGCTGAATGCCTTCTTCTACCTGTAGTCATATTGACAACGACTCAACGCTTGAGAAAGGAAGAGTCTTCTCTCCCACGATTCGGATAGGAGAGGATTCTTGTGGCTTCTCCTCTTTGTCACGTGCAAATGGGCAACAAGGATATGGGAACCGACAGCCTTATGCTTCCTTGCCTCCTCATTCCCACTTTGCATCCCTGGGTCCTTTCACTCGAGTCGGGTGAGGGACCCAACAAGCTTGGAGGCAACGGCGTGTTCGTGACAGTTCAGGATTTCAGGGGCTGATTCTGACTGCCAGCCATTGTACCATATATATCAGAGGTTCTTCCTGCTCAGGAGAACAAGGAGACATCAGATCATCACAGCACATCATATCGCATGTACACAAACAAGCAGATATATGACAAATTTTTCCGCACACAAAACAACCCTTTTGTCAACAGGATCCTGTGTTCCTGACAGCGAGGGATGGTGCTGATTCTGTACCCCGACGGAGGTTCCACATACTGTGTCCCGTACCAAGCCGACGTACATCCTAAAAGCGGTTGTTGATGTATGAGTTATGTATAAGAGCAGGGGACCAAGTACGGGAGCGAGTGCAGGTGATGAGAAAACGGAGCAACTGAAGAGAGGGGCGGTTAGCCTAAGCAGTTCAGAGCGTAGCTGAGACGAAATTGGTCGTTGTCACATAACATATTGGCAAAGGGGCAAGGCTGACCGTACAAAAGGAGCCTTGTCTTCCGCCCAAGAACGTATCGGAGAGAACGGCAGTTGTGACCCAGTTTTGTGTCGATAAGACAACCAGCGTGGAGCTCTCCGAAGAGGTTAATTCTATGCATCATTGGTACCAGGAGTCGAGAGTACGATGCACAAGAAATTTTAGGCAACATTGCGAAAGGAGCAGGGATTTACAGGTCAGCCAGGTTCACTCGGGATTATCTGAAACCAATGCCCTAGCGTGAGTGGCAGGTTTAACCGATCTCTGGGGAGCCAGAGTAGGCCCCTTTCGTAGCTCCGGGGGCCTTAGGGCGCTCAGGGGGTGCTCAGTGAGGCTCAGCTAAAGACTCAGTTAAAGCTCAGGTTAAAGCAGCTCTCGGTCACCCTCTAGGATCAAACCGTAAACGGTAATTAGGATTTTCGTTCTCGAGTAATGGAGGTACCTAGGAAATTGTCACTTTTAGTTCTGTACCTTTTAGAGCTCGGATAGTTAGCTAACCCTAAGAAGTTGAGCTCGAACTTACTTCTGCTTTCTGTCAATGAGGGGTAGGCAGCATTCGTGTTGGCTCGCGCAGGTGTCCAGGCACTCTCCTACAATGCTCCGACGAGACCCTGAAGACGCTTTCGTGCCCGGCCGGGCCTCCTCGATGCTCCCTCACATGGGCGATTAAAGCGGCCTCGCTCCCTTCCCTGACCAAGGCTGTGCACTTGAGAAGAAAGGCGATACCTCAAAATTCCGACAACGGGATTACCGGTGACGATCCCGACTCCTCGAGGCATCGAGGATGGAGAAGAAAACAATAAATGTCCAACATAATAGCGATGCGAGGCGTGGAAAGGTCGCTTAGGAACTCCTACCGATTTCTGGAGGTGATTGTCGTTGAGTCTGCACCAATCAGCGACACTCGTCTCGTCGTGTCTGATTACGAGAAGTGAGCATCGACATGGCTTAGTTTTAGTTCGTGTCCGCCACTATTTTGATCATTGTTAGTCGTGTTCAAGGTAGCAAGCGACACCTTGAGGGCCCCAATCACCATGTCCGGACTTCGAACCCCCTTCTGAACTTCGCCATAAGCCATATTATTGCGATCAACACAAAGCTCACGCCAGGATGCCGAATCAGGCAGTTTTCGCGAATGCCTACAACCGGCCTCAATCTCGAGAATCACGACAAGTCCCTTACCAGAATGACGCTGGAAGCAATCCTGTACTCCGGGGGTTACCTCTGGCGGTCATATCTTCTATGTACGGTTCCTAACCTGGCTCCAGGCACGGCTGGCTGGCTAACTGACATGTCTAAAGCATCGGGTCGTCCTCTTACATCCAGAATATCTTTTGGAAATTAAATCGTTTCGACAAGCTCAAAGACATCAAGCATCTCCACAACTACGAACCCCGACATGATCCCACGGTCGTACCTCTTTCGTCCGCTTCTGCAGAGCCACCTTCCCTGACAAGCCTGCCTTCACCAGCCCCTCGAGCCGCAGTCAACAACTACTACACGTGCGCCGATTATCATGAACTATATACCTCTGGCAAGCTCACGCCGTCAGCTGTCATTGAAGCTCTCCTGCCACTGATCCGACGAGATGTCACACCGGCTGGACAGTACTCTGTTGGGTTTATAGACACCAAGGTCGAACTCGTTCAAGCTGCTGCAAGAGCCTCCTCCGAAAGATATCGGCTCGGGAAACCGTTGAGCGTTTTGGATGGTGTGCCAGTCGCAGTGAAAGATGAGGTGGACTTGACGGGCTACAAGAAGACCCTGGGCAGTAAGCTGGACTTTACAGACCCCAAAGATCGCACGGCCTGGTGTGTAGAGAAATGGCAAGAAGCTGGAGCCATCTTGATTGGCAAAACATCCATGCACGAGGTCGGTCTGGACACCACCGGAAACAACCAGACCTGGGGCACTCCCTTGAACCCTCACAACAATGACTACTATACTGGCGGTAGCTCTAGCGGTTCTGCCTTTGTAGTCGCCTCGGGTATTGCGCCCATCACCCTGGGTGTAGATGGCGGTGGTTCGATTCGTCTCCCCTCTGCTTTCTGTGGCATCTACGGTCTGAAAACGTCCCATGGTCGCGTGTCGTCCCGTGTTGATCATGAATTCAACGAGACCGTCGTAGTGGCAGGACCCATGGCCAGCAGCATTGACGACCTCGCACTCGCCTACCGCATCATGGCACAGCCGGATCCCCTTTCCAATCGGGGCTCAAAGTTCCCTAATCCCCTTTTACCATCTTCGCAGACCTCCCAGTTGCTCACAGGGAAGAGATATCTCGGTATTGATCGAGCGTGGGTGAATCGCTCTGACAAAGCCGTGCTTGACATGTTCAGTACCGCTGTTGACCACTACGTTAAAACCCAGGGATACGAAGTTGTCGAGATTAGTATCCCCTTGCTCCCACAAGGCCAGAAAGCCCACGCGTTGACTATTCTTTCGGAGTCTCGGAGCCGCTTCTCGCCCCAGCAGATCAAGAAACTCTCGTGGCACAATCAACTGCTTCTAAATGTCGCTGGGAGCCATGCTACAGCACAGGACTTTCTCTTCGCGCAGCGTCTACGCAACCTCCAGATGTGCCACTTGGCCTGGTTGTGGGAGGAATACCCGGGCATGCTGGTGCTCTCGCCTACAACACCCTGCGCCGGATGGAAGATCGGGAAACCCAGTGACCTCACTAACGGGTATGGTGTGAGCGACGGTGACATGAGTTTGAGGAGTATGGAATATGTCTATCTGGCCAATTTCGTGGGATGTCCTGCGATTTCGTTTCCCATGGGATACACTGACAACAATGTCCCCGTTGGTCTTATGGTAAATGATCCTCTCTCTTCAAACCCTCGTTTGCTAACTCTTGCTATAGGCTATGGGAGAATGGGGCAGCGAGGAACAGCTGATCTCGTTCGGTAAAGAGGGCGAAGGTCTGCTTGAAGGTGGCATTCGACGGCCTCGGGGTGACAAGATGTGGGTTGATGTTTTGGCCGCAACCAAGGCTGCCTGAAGCGCATCAAGCCCCTAGCTAAGTCGCCCAAGCGTGGCCAATGTCATATTGCTCTCCGGTGCTATTCGAACCTGTCGATGTTTGCAGTTCATCGTCAGTTCATGTCATTGATTGCGAGGTGCATTTATCACTCTACGAACCTCCGTGATTGACGATTGGGTGTGGCATTACTCTGTCTAGCGGTTTCATGCCTGATCTGAAGCCACATACCAAGCAAGCCCTTGAGAATGGAACGAGGCCGTGGAGTGATAGAGTCGTTACCTGTTCATGTACCCTCATCTACCTTTGCTACTTTCTTGTCTATCTGGTGGCCTTCCACAGTCAATCGAGCCCTTGCTCTGATGTCTCTACGCAGAACTGACTTTGCTGTCCCTCTCACCCTTCCCCCCCGCCGCCATCACACTCTTGCTCCCCCGTCTAGCCTTCCTGACTCCCTACTCCCGCAGCACTGACACTGTACCATGGTTTCGTCTTGCCACTAGGAGCAGTGGAGGACCTTGGGAAATCTTCTCATCCCGATCATGTCAATCATACTGCCCGATGATGAGCCTTGACTCCATCACACCGATCACACAGCCCGGTCCTCTAGTGGATTCGGGTACTCTCTATCCCTCTTTTCCTGGATCATGCACATCAGACAAATCAGTGTCATACCGCCGCGGACTGCCTGCGGGACTCTCGGATCAAACGAAACATACTGATATCCGCGTCACGTCGGACGCGTGCTCGTCGGGATCATCGACGTTGTTCCAGGCGATCTGCACTGTCGAGTGGACCGCGTCCTCCACCACGCTCGCGATGAACGAGCGGGTTTATACACATGACCCTCTCCTATACAAAGTCAACCAGTACTTCTCGCCTTGGCTTTCCACTGGAGTCCTCTCTACACCCGCGACTATTGCTCTCGTATGCCCATCCAAATATCACAAAAACCTTGTTGTTTTCGTCTCCCCCTTCGCCACCGATCCATTGACGCTTTGTTCGATTGATCTTCTGCTCTCGTTCACCCCGTTGGATGATCTGATCTCCCTTGATTCCGTTGGGTCATGCTGATCGTTCAACTCTGGCTCTTGTCTGCCTGTTCTGATCGGACTGGTCTTTGAATCTTGCCCTCAGGGTTGATCTGACGGTCCTCTGGGCTCATACTTAAACCTGCCTTGCCCCCCGATTCTCTTCGTTTTCTTCTTCATTCTTACAGATCACTCATCCTCATACATTTCTACATTTTCTGCCTGTTTTCTCTCTTTTGTGCTATTGCGTTGTCCATTTGCCCTTTCTTCTTCTATTGTATGTGCTTTTTGATCCTCTATTGTTCTATTTCATTATACTGTCTCTCTTCTTCTCTTTTACTACCTACTGTCTATCCCCGTCCTTACTGTCTACTCTTTTTTACCTCATACACTGCCACCTCAAATATCATATCACCAGTTGGTACGTCAACCCCCCATTCTTGAGTTGTCTGGCTTGCTGTTTTCATTACTTACCCCTGTCTTTCCTTTTCTACTACTTCCCTTCTCATTGCCATCCCATCTCATTGCCCTCGTGTGTGTGTGTGTGTGTGTGTGTGTGTGTGTGTGTGCGTCCTCGTTGCCCTTGTGTCCTCGTTGCCCTTGTGTCCTCGTTGCCCTTGTGTCCTCGTTGCCCTTGTGTCCTCGT